GCATAAAAAAGAAGACAAAAGCTCGTGAAGGGCCCAGTTGGCTCCCGGCGGCTGGGGCCTTTCTCATACTTCCTAGACCATCCACCTCAACGCCCTCCAACTCCCACCTCCCCTACTCTCCCCTACGCCACCTCACACTATTCTCCTTCCCCTCCTCCTCTTTCGAGACGCCTTAGTTTGCGGAACTCCCACTCGGACTCGGGCATGTATTCCATCTCAAGCTTCAAGGCGAGCGCAGTAAGGGCTCGGGAGGAGAAGCCCCGAGGATAACTAAAGAGAAACAAAGGATGATAAAAAAAAAAGGGGGACGAAAACAAGAGACATAGATCGTAACATCAGGCGTGGCGTCGAAGCAGGGATGTAGAGGCGGGAGGAGGATTCGGGAGAAAGAGGGTGTTCACAAGACAGACGAGGAGGCAGGGAGACATGAAGGAAACGAATAGGAAAGAAGAGCAAGCCGAAGAGAGGAGCGGTGGGGGAAGATGGAGGGAGAGGGAGAGAGAGCGCGGGAGAGGGAAAATCCGGGCTAATCAGGGCAATCAGGGCATATCAGAAACTATGCAGAGGTAGACTTCTCCTTGTCGTCCGTAGAAGCTGGGGATTCGGATATTTGAGCCGCCCCGCTCGCCTCGTCCTGCTTGCTCTGAGGTCCGGGGGTACCCTCGCGCTCACTCCGAGAATCGGTGGGATGCACCTGGTTGGCCAGATCCTGCTCCTCCGTCTGATTGAACAGCTCCTCCTCGTTCTGGTCCGAAATGATCTCGGTGCCGTCGCCCAAGAGAATAATCCGACCCTGGCGCACGCTAAACGCCCGCGAGCGCTCCATCTCCAACTCATAGTCATCGGGCTGGTCCTCGAATTGGTTCCGGATTCCAGGGCCGCGGAACTCGGCTGCTCGCACACTTGACCGTCAGCACGACGAAGGACTTCCTTCGGGTTCCTCGTGAGACTTGCCGTACTCGGGAGGAGCACAAGGCCCGTCTCCGTTCGCAACCCGCTCTGCAATCTTGTTGTACCACTCCTCCTTGGTCTGGCCGTTGAGCAGGCCGATAACGGTCATGGTCATGTTGTCACAGCCAACACCGCCAGTCTCACTGTTGGATGCCAGGCAGTTGTCCATCATGTTCTCGCAAATCCGGTACAGGTCCTGCTTGGCAGCGATTCCTCTCCGCACAAACTCTACCACAGCTTGGGAGGACTGGCAATCCCAGATACCTGAAGAAAAAGGGGGTTTGTGAGCATTTGTGATTCACATACTCGTTCAATAGCGTTGGAGATGGAACAAAACATACCGTCGCAGGCAATAACCAAGAACTCATCGTCAGCAGTCAGCTCGTGGACTGTCACATCGGGGTAGGCGGTCACAATTTGTTGCTCGGGGGAAAGCTCGGGGCTCTTCTTGAACTCAAAGTCACCGATGGCGCGGGACAGAGCGAGGTTACCGTTGACACGGCCGAAGTCGACGAAGCCACCTGCAGCACTAATGCGGGCCTTCTCGCCTGTAGTGTGGAGTTAGCGTACCACCCTCATGGGATGAAATGAAGCCTCCTGTCTCGGTCTCTCGCCGACTGCCAACCGGGAAAAACAAAAGAAGTCTTGGAATCCAGGAGCACAAACCTTCATTCTGGGGCTTATGGTCGAAAGAGAGCGGCTTTGCGCGGCCCTTGACACCCAATACTGATCGAGAGTCGCCGGCATTGGCCTAGTCGTATATCAGTTTCGTCTCTTGAGTTTCCATTTCTCTCGCAATGCCTCCGTGTTCAACGTACCACCCAGATCTTGTGCTTGGAGATGATGGCTGTGGAGGCCGTGCAACCAGACACTTCCTCTTCGTATTTGGGGTCTGCAGGGAAATCACTTGGTCAGACGGTTTGGTTTCGTTTGCGTCTTCCTCGAAGGGATAGAGAAGCGGTGTTCCCTTCCCTCTCGCAAGTCCAGATGAACCACGAACCTTCCAAAATAGCCCGATCAGTAGCCAAGAATCCATCTTTCAGCGCCTGCTCAACATCTCCCTTGGCAAATGACTCCTGCTTGGAGACGATCTTGTGGAGGTTCTCCCCAGTGAACAGTGCTACCTTATCTCCACCGTGGCCATCATATACACCGAAGAAGGCCAGACGCTGGTCCGGATCGGTCGGTTTCTCGTCGGAAGGACCCGTGTAGTTCGCGTGAAGGTCAAGAATGGCTGCGTGGGCATCTTCCATGCTGATACGCCAGCCCTGCATGGCAGAGAGACCATAGATACAACACTCATCTCCACCCTCGGACGAGGTCTAGAAAAACGGAAACGCAAAGAGTCAGTGATTAAGCTCTCCTGGGCTAGACGTGTCCAAAGTGGAATTTGACAGCTTTTGAGAGGGTAAGGTGCTGGCAGTGAATGACCCGTCGCCGGGATAGCCTCCTTTCCACCCGAGTGCCTCAACCCCTCCAGGGTCAGGGTCAGCAGGAACCCCGCATAGCCGATCGTGACGCCTGAAAAAAAGCGCCATCTGATATAAATGGCAGGGGGACACTCCTCTCGAGAGCAAGATTCACTCCAGATCGTGGAAATCCAGCTGGGGTGACAGGGTGGTTCGACCGAGGCCGTGTGAAAAGGGACATCTCCGGGCGACTGGCGTCACATCGCAGTGTGGGGAGGGGCAAGATGGGCGGAACAAAATGGGAAATTCGGGCGACTCACCTTCTCGACCACCGGCTCCGACAAGGTCTGACCCATAATGGCACGGATTGAATAAAGTATTTGCGAGGAGGAGAGGGGGATGGGAGGTCAAGCACCAGATGAATGGTAGAAGGAGAGGAGAGAAAGGAAGGTCAGGTGAGGTGTGCAGGCCTTTCAGCGCGTCTCTCGTCTGTCCTTTGGGTCCTGCGATAAGTCGCCAGCCAAAGTGGGGAATCAATGGCGATCTAGTTAGGGCTCGTCCACCGGATTTGAGGGGAATTCACCGGGGGGGGAATGAATATGAGCGTGAAAAAGTGGATGTTGAAGAAGAGAGATTGAAAGGGAAAAATCAATAAGGGGGGGATATATCGTTGGTCGCGTGGAATTCAATTTCTGTCTGGCAGGAACCGTTTTGGCCAGGCAGAGATTTCTCGTAATCTCGTTACTTGGTTACCTTACCAGTTTGCTCTATTGCCAGTCACCTGACTCTGGATGAGGTGAGCATTCAGCTCCGCCTGACAGGGCAGTGTACAGTACACTGTGTCCTACAAATCATAGGGCCTTGTTGGCAACTTGTTACTAGAGTCATTGACTGCCCATTCCTTTGTTCCTGTCATGTCTTATTTCTTCTATCCCTCATAATTCAGCCTCTGCTGACACCCCTGTCCCGGGGGCTCTGTATAAGACGCCTCATTCAGGCTAACGACACCCTCGTTGCCTGCGATCGTCACGCAAGGGCCTAAAGCCCATCCGAGGCTGGTGCGGCTAATACTGGAAAAGGTAATGGACCGTACAGGAAATATCATCCCCCGCTGGCCTAGTCGGTGTAGGATCTGCTGAGAGAGTTCTAGATTGTCTTCTGCTTGTACTGGAGACATGTTCGTCACGCTGTCAAACTGTCCATTACTTACTGTCAACTGGTCTGCAGCACGTGCCACTGTCTGCCCTGGGCGGGATGGGCGCTGATGCTGAAATAGATTGTCGAAGAGCAAGCTGTTGGCTCGATATAGCTAAGGTTATAGCTGGGCGCTAATAGGAGTTCGGAGTCTAGAAACAGTATCTAGAACAATGTAAGGACTTAGTAAAAGGTCAAGGTCATTAGGTAGTCTAAGCACAACTTTGCTCGGATGCTGATATATATCTGGACACCACATGCTGAACAAGATCGCCGCCTTGGGAGTGTACGTCCCGCGACTACGCAAGAACAGAAGAACAATATAATTAAAAGAAGGTTTCATAGAACAGACAATACCACGAATAATGAATCCTCTCAAGAAACGGAATGGGTGACATGGAGCAAAGAAATCAAGCCTTCTCTTTGTATCACGGTCTATATCGGGCTCTTCCCAGTGGACCGCAAGCTCAAGCTCAAGCCCTCCCAGACAAACCCCACAACAAACCACCCCAAACACCCACCATCCAACCACTTCACCAACAAAACTGTACAGCACTGGGCACTCCAATCTCCAATCTACACCAAAACCCTCGACTAGACAGGCACATCCACACCACAAGCCCCATCCACAAACACACCCACCATGGCCCCCCAACTCGACCCCGTCGACAAGCGCCAAGCCGCCCGCGAAGTCATCGACATCCTCCAAGAGATCTCCGACCTGCTGGTACGTAGCAAGGCCCAATCTCGCGCCTTGACCAGCCCAAGACTGGATTAAACCAGTATCCGAAGGGCCGACTGACTGACTATATCTCTACAGAATACAAATCTTGACCGCACGGAACTATCATTGTGTGTGTCGTTGATCGAGAATGGGGTGAACCCCGATGCGCTTGCGGTACGCGTCTGCTCCCCTGATCACCGCCAAGGCGTGTGTAAGATGCGAGTTTAAACTAATTTTGTTCCCGGGGTTGTGTCTGTAGACTGTTATTAAGGATTTACGGAAGGAGGCTGTGAATTCTAAGCGGGTGTCTAATGCGCCTCCTGCTACGACGGAGTGATCCAGGCCAGGCTGATTAGGTCTGGCTTGAGGTTTGGTTGGAGAGTGTTCTTGTTGGGATAAGATGATGCTTATGTTGGGTCATGGCGTTATATGGTCGTATGGCCTCGATAGATACCCTCGTTGCTGCTTGTTTTGTGCGGCTGTTTTGTTGGAAATTCCAAATTGACCACTTTGTATGATTGGTTATATCTGCTTCTACGTAGGGGTTGAACGGGGGTCTATCCTACGGGAAAGCGAAGTATATGGCAGTCAACCAGGACAGACACGGAATTCGACTTGAAACTGTAGCTCGACGGGGAATTTCTGGGCACGAGAAGCAACTAATACAGATCCAACAAAGGCAAAGGCAAAGATAAACCCAAATGTTAGTTCACCCATCTGATTTACTTGGACGAATCTCCCGCCTTCTTATCATCCGTGGACGACCCAACCTCGTCAGACATGGCCTCGGCGGTCGCTTTCTTGAGCTGCTCGCTTTCAGGTACGGTAGTCTGCTCCTTGGCCTTGGTGTCCTTCTCGTCGTCGCTGTCACCGAGGCTGAATGGGTCGTTCTCGGCAACTGGGGACGGCTCGACCGTGGCCAAGGGCTGCCACTTGCTGGACTTGCCGCTAGCCGGGGCGCTGCGCTTCCCCGGCGTGGCGTCGTACAGGTTATCAATCTCGGTGGGAGGGCCGTCTTGGAAGGAAACCCTCCTACCCGGGGAGGGCGATGCAGTCTTTTTGAGGTTTGTGTTGCCGGGGCGAGGAGGGCGCGCGGGAGGGACTAGTAAATACAATTAGCGGTGGCCAGACTAAATTTCTAGGTTTCAAATACCCACCTTCGCCATCCCTCAGCTCGAGTGCGGAGAAGTCATCACTCAGCACTTGAGGGTCTGCATCATAACGCTCACGATCCCCACTGCGATGACCCATCTCGCCGCTGCGCCGAGGGCGGCCAAACGCGGAGGTCTGCTGCTCATAACGCTGGCTGGAGTGTGCTTGCTCCTCCTCTTCCTCCTCGTCACCATGTAATTGCTTCTTCAAATTCCCGAACCACGAGTTCACTTTCGTCTGTGTCTCCAAGAATCCCTTCTTGAAGTTCTCGCGGATCACCGGTAGATCATCTAGAGATTGCCTCACGGTTAGCACCCCTGCGCACTCGCTTCTAGAATATCTGTACTAATTACCTTCGAAGAAACTGTAATCCTTTTCTTCCGAATCCTCGCTTCCTCGCGGCTGGCGATACCGAGGGTCGTTCTCCCATCCTGGGGCTGGACCCCGGCGTCCGGCGGCGGGGGCATTGTAGTGCTTGGCCAATTGACGCGCATATTGCTCATCGGCTTCCAATTGGCGCTGGGTAGTAGAGGTTGCGGGCTGAGACGGACGAGGAGGCTTGGGAGGAGGAACCATGTCCTCCTGAGCGGTGGGATCGGTCATGCCTGGAAGATTGGGGTTAGCTCTTTGAAAATCGTTCGGTATTTGAGGTTCGCTACGAACCCAGCAGGGCATTGAATGCGCGTTCGACATTCCAGTTGCTAGCATTCAAGATAGCCTTGACCACTCCAAGCTCGACTGTTGGGAATGCCTCCTTCAGTGTGTTCACCGACTGTTCTCGGGGGCTCAAGGGTCGCGGGGGCTTCGGTGGGGCAGCTGGGGGTGTGTCGGTGGCAGACTGCTGCGCCGAAGCAGTGTTGTTGCCGGTGGAAGTGACACCAGACTCCTGTGGCTCATCGTCAAAGTCCAGAGGTCGTGCAGTAGTGGGCGACTCAGCGCGAGGGCTGTTTGGCGCAGCCGCACCCGAGGGCTTGCTAGGAGTGGACTGTGAGAGTGAGCCTCCGATTCAGAGCTGCAGGCCAGGGCCTATACTTACTGTCTTCTCCTCCTCCGTCATGTTGAGTATATTCGTGCAAGACAGGTCGACCAGCGAAAGTGACCACAGATAATATCGAAAAAATAGTGTTGCCTATAGGAAAGAAAGGGAAGAGGCGAAGTAGGCAGAACATATTTGGGGAAGCTCTAAACAAGTGACGTGGGGGTGCACGTGATAAAGCGGGTAACTTTTATAGTGGCATCCTGCATCGCGATTGAACATTGCAGCGCGTCCTTGGTTGGATCGGATTGACAACAAAACAGCAGCCTAGCCTGATTTCTCAGAATGATGCTGCTATGCTGTCTACAGATATTGTTCCCATGAGCTAGGGAGATCCATACCAAGAAGAGCAAGGTCATATCCCTTCATCTTAGGACGGTCTCTTCCTGATACCAAAGATGGGTTCTGAGCTGGAACTTTCAAGCGGCTTTATCCCTGCATTGTACAAACCAGCATCTCTGCTACCAATTGCAAGGCATAAAAGGAGTCTAACCTACCTGGTTGAGACTTATCAGGTCACCATAGTGGTTGGCCAGACGGGGAGTGGAAAAACCACACAGCTTCCACAATACCTCGACCAGGCTGGTTGGTGCGAGAATGGCAAGACCATCGCTGTGACGCAGGTATGTCATATATTACTATTTCCTGAAGAACTACAGTCACTGATCTCGAATGGATAGCCCCGGAGAGTGGCTGCCACCACGGTTGCAACTCGCGTCGCCGAGGAAATGCGCTGCAAAGTTGGGGAAGAAGTGGGTTACTCTATTCGCTTTGAAGATGTAACATCTGCCGCAACAAGGATAAAATTCTTGACCGACGGAATGCTTCTCAGAGAAGCATTGGTAGATCCCCTGCTATCACGGTATTCTGTGATCATGGTCGATGAAGCGCACGAGCGGTCTCTCAGCACTGATGTCCTTCTGGGCATCCTCAAAAAGATCATAAAGAAACGGCCCGAGCTTCGCATAATCATCAGTAGTGCGACACTACAGGCGGAGGATTTCCTGCGATTCTTCGCTGGGGATGAATACAAGCCAGATGCCGAGCCAGCTAATTTGGGCGGCGGCATCGGGACAATCATCAGCTTGGAAGGCAGGATGTACCCTGTTGACACGCTATTCCTCGAAAACCCCGCAGAAGACTACGTCGAACGGGCAGTCAAGACTGTTTTCGATATCCATACCCAGGAAGCAGAGGGTGACGTCCTTCTATTCTTGACCGGCCGAGAGGAGATTGACCGTGCAATTCAGATGATATCCGAGCGTGCGGCGTATCTCAATCCCAAGGCTCCTTCACTGCTCACTCTGCCGCTTTACGCCGGTCTCACAACGGACCAGCAGATGTACGTCTTCGAACCGGCACCAGAGAATACGAGAAAGGTCATAGTATCGACGAACATTGCAGAAGCATCAGTCACGATTGATGGCATCGTCTATGTTATCGACTGTGGCTTTGCCAAGTTGAGAGCCTACAATCCCAGCACGGGAATTGAGACCTTGACAGCTGTACCTATATCAAAAGCATCAGCTACACAACGTGCTGGACGTGCCGGTCGAACGAAACCCGGCAAATGCTTACGTCTCTACACCCAACAGACATACGAGTCACTCCCTGAAGCTACAATACCGGAGATCCAGCGGTCAAACCTGGCCCCGATTGTGATGCAGCTCAAGGCGCTAGGTATTGATAATATCGTTCGCTTCGACTTTTTGACATCACCACCGGCAGAGCTTGTCATTCGTGCCTTGGAGCTATTATATTCTCTTGGAGCAGTTGATGATTATGCCAAACTCACAAAACCCCTGGGTATGCGAATGGCCGAGCTTGCAGTTGACCCAATGATGGCAAAGGTCCTTCTCGCTGCACCTTCATTCAAATGCTTGAGCGAGATGCTCTCCATCGCAGCCATGGTGAGCCTCCAAGGAACCGTGTGGGTTCAGCATGACGGCGATAAGAAAGCCGCAGAGAGTCACCGGCGGAAATTCGCCGTCGAAGAAGGTGATCACCTTACCTACCTCAACGTTTACCAAGCCTTTGTCACCAAGGGCAAGAAGGACTCGAAGTGGTGTCGTGATCACCTATTGAACTACCGAGCCCTTGTGCGTGCCGTCAGTATCCGCGGCCAACTTAAACGCTACTTGGAGCGCTTTGGTATCCAGATTGATGAGAGTCTCTCGTCTCGTCATGGTGCTGGAACGGGTACATCGCCAGAGCAAATCCAGCGGTGCCTCACGACAGGGTATTTTGCTCATGCGGCAAAAATGCAGCCAGATGGCACTTTCAAGACTGTTAGTGGAGGGTTGACTCTACATGCTCACCCCAGCTCCTTGATGTTTGTAAGTGTTCTTCATTCTCTACTTTTGAATGCATGGCTAATCTCGAACACAGAATCGCAAAGCAGACTGGGTGATATTCCATGAGATCATGCAAACCGGCAACAAGACCTACATTCGGGACGTCACGAAGATCGAGAAAAGCTATCTGTTAGAATACGCCCCGGAATATTACAGGGTCTCATGAGGGGTGGCTTAGCTTTTCTTCGAATACAGAGATACCATTACATAGAATATTTCTTTTCCAATTCTCGTAATGGTCATAAAGCACGATCAGTTCAATTTGGGCTCAGCTCTAAACATATAGTCGTAACACATCAATCTGTAATGCTTATCACGTGGAGATCAAACATAAATGTTGTTAATAGAGGCATGGAACACATAAAACTCATAGACAGGAGAGAGGAAATAATTACAGAGCCCCGTCGCCCTGAACGGCTCATCAGGGTTGCAGCTTGTCCAGAAATCTCCGAAACCTCCCTTTAGGAGCATCGTGCATCACACGTTGATAGTCTCCTGATTCCAACCGGCGTTTATAAGCGTGCTGTCGTTTCCGTTTTCTTTTTTTCCTTCTACCATCGGTTACTTCTCTCCCTTTATCCTCAACGTCGTCTTTCATTCCTCCAGTGGGACGTGCCTCTCTGCCTTTGGAGCCACGCCGGACTTTAGGCTTCTTGCCAGGAGGGGATGCTTGGCGACCAATATCCACTGGGGTTGACAATGGAGGAGGTGCAGCAGTGGGCTGATCCCTGAGAGAGATCTCAGCCTCGAGCTGGGTGTTGAGCTCGGTGATGCTCGCCTCCAGCTCCGTGAGTGCCCGCTTTAAGTGCTTGGAGTCCTTGAGGCCGTTATTCTTCAAGGCTGTGTTGAACTCGCGTTCAAAAGCATTCTTTCTTCTCTGATGTTGAACAGCAGCAACTCTGAAAGCTCCTTCAGCCTGGGCTATCTCACTGAGATAGTCGACCTCAATTGGCGGAGGCATGTCAAGAGTAGTCTTGATATTATCCTGTCCGGCGCTCTGGACTTTTTCTGTCTTAGTGGATTGCTCCTCTAAGTCGAGAATAGCTTTTAGCTTCCTATGTTTGGATTCTTGCAGGTTCAACAGCAAACTCCGGGTAGAGGCGGTGCTCGCCCTCCCATGTGACCTACAGGGGTGCCTGCTAGTGTCCAATTGACCTGAAGTTCTTCGGTACATTGCTATTCTTGTACCGATAACCTAAATTCTAGATGAAGCTATCTGAGGATCAAAAGTCAAGAATAACATAGATTCTCGAAGAGCAAAGAGAAAATTGCCAAAAATCTAGCATCTTCATCCTTACTCAAGCTTGCGAAGTACTAAGGGAGCAAGAGAGTACAGAGGGAATAAGACGAGGGTACATGAACTATTTCCCTTTTCGGATTGATTTCATGTTTACTTTTTTAATTCCTACAGGAAGTACAGAAGTCCCACTAATAGTGACAGAGAAAGGTATAGAGATGTGTAGTTTGGGTATATATGAAATATGGATAAGCGGTCCAATGCAGTTGAACTAAGCCTTAGCAAGTTCATTTCCATTTATCATGTTTCTAGTTCATACTTGGTTCTTGGAGATCTTCAGGATCGACGTCACGGGTGCGGAGAAATGCCACGCGGATAAGCCCAAACTTTCTTTTCTCTTTACTTTGATTGTTACCCAGCACGCGTCTCGAATCTCCAACTCGCCACAACACATCTGAGAATTCTCTACAGACTATCAATCAGTGACTTACTCAGCGACTTCGCTCATTATGTCTGGCCACCATCATCACCACGGTGGTGACGGACACGGTCACTGCCATGATGAGCACGATCATTCCAACGACATCACCCCGGCACTCCAGTCGCTGCTCTACTCGCAGATCGACTTTGAATCAATCACTACCTTGAATGGTAAGTGGATCACTGCATACCTTTTGTCTTCATCGCCTATCATTCTACACTGTCAGAACTGACAGTTCTCTCCAGAGGCGACCCCTAAGAGCGGCTCCGCCATTGTCAAGAAGACTTGGGCCGAGCGATTGAACGATCAGCCCGAGCTTGAGAGTGATGCCGACGAGCAGCTCCTTATGCACATTCCGTAAGGTTGCCTACTGCTTTTAAACCTGCCTCGTTGCTTCTCTTTGTTCACGCGCTACAAAATTCGAGATACCCCACTATGCCCCTCATCTTATCGCTGAATTAGCAAAGCTAACACGAAGTCAACCACCAGCTTCACCGGCCAGGTTAAACTTCATTCCATCCTCATCTACACTGCGCCCACCCCCACTGCCCCCAAAACACTCAAGCTTTTCAAGAATCGCGACGATCTGGATTTTTCTACTGCCTCCGACCTCCCTCCGACCCAGACCATCGAGGTTCCACAGCCCGTGGCTGGCGAGGATGTCTTTGAGATCCCTTTGAACCGCGCCCATTGGAATACCACTACCTCCGTTACCATCTTTGTTGAAGACAATTGGAGTGACGGTGACGAGGACGTCACCAAGGTTGGCTACATCGGGTTTAAGGGCCAGTTCATGGCGTTGAACCGGGAGCCGATTAGCTTCTTGTACGAGGCTGCTGCGAACCCTAGTGATCATGTTGCGATCCCTGGAATCAGCGATGTGGGGGCTCGCACTATGCCCGGTCAGTAAGGTGTAACTTTATTCCGGATCTGAGGATTGAGTGTTTAGGGAAGGATGTGATACCATAATGGTTTCAATGTATTAATGATATCTACATGAAGAATAACGAATCATGAGCAATGCGCAGTTCAAATATGCCAACAACGCCTTCCAATGCTTCCGATCAAGTAATGCATGTGATCGATCTTGTATAGTGAGACCCCAACGGAGTATCTTCAAGACGCCAGGACGGGCGTCCGGGCTTTAGCCTTGGCCTCGGGCTGTTCTCGTCCTGGCTCTTCCGCCACTTCGTCGCCGTGCTCGGGCAGAGGAGCATGAGGAACAGCAGGTAGATCGACAGTCCCAACGACCTCTTGCCGTAGAGCCTCCAATTCATCCTCAACGTCCTCCTCATCCTGTGTCGACAAATTGCCCTCCAACATCTGGCTCACCTCCTGAATGAACCATTAGCCATTTATCCACAATAAGACCACTCGCTCTAAACTTACCTCCTGATAAGCACGAGCCTCCGCCGTCTCCTCCATCAACCGATCCACAGCCTCAATACCACCCATCTCCTTATTGATAGCCTGCAGCACCTGGGTACCTTGCTGCAACCCAAACAGCACGTCCTTTTGCACCAGTGCGAACTCGACTTGGCCCGTCAACTGCTCTAGCTGTGCGAGTTGACTGTCGGTCTTGGAGAGGAGCGATTCTTGGTATTTCTTGCGTCGGAGAGCGAGGAGGGCTCGCCGCCGATCATTGCGCGCAAGACATTCCTTTGCGATCGCGGTTTCCCGGTCGGTGAGGACGGTGATGCGTTTTTGGTACTGGTATATCTTATCGCGCTGGTTCTTGAGGTCGAGGATTGCCCTGTAAGATTTTGAATGAGCGAATGTTAGCTAATGAGTCATGCTGCTTGTGCTTGTATAAGCCGAGGGAGGGGTCTCTTGGTCTCGTGAGGGGCAACAAGGCATATATGGCGCTGCGTGTACACAATAGTGATATATCTGTGCCCGGGAGACGGTACAAACAAATTCAAGACTTACCGATCCTGCGACGAGATCTTCTGCGAACTGCTAGCGTTCCCCATCGCGCAGTTGCGGTGTTGACGATGCCGCAATCTGGGGAGACGGTCAGTCCGCAGATGACGTTGGTTGGAATGGCGCTACCGCCCCGATACCGAGAGATAACGATACGCGTATTTTTCACCTTCTTCCGCTTCCCCAAATTTTTTTTGCGGACTTGCGATATCGCACTCCGCAAGACACTCACAATGGCGCCCAGGTATCGTGGGGGCAGACCGACCCTCAGCCAGGGTTTGGATCGTGAGGTAAGGACTGCTGTTCAAGGGTAGTCTCTGAATATCGCTCACGATCGAGGCAGGTCTACCAGGTTGTACGCAAAATTATCGACGACCAGCCCGACGGCGTTGACAAAGTTCGCCTAACAGTCCCGGTTATCTATGCGCGGATCCGGGGGTCGAATTCGAGTTTGAACAGGAAGCCGAAGAAGTTGCTGGAGGATAGTCTGGAGCGAGTTTTGGAGGTGGTGAAGAGTGATTTGTTCGGGGACGAGGAGGAAGATTCGGTGGAGGGAGACTTTGAGGGCTTGGAAGAACCCCCCCGCTGTGGTATGCAAGGTACATGCCGAGAAGCTGAGTCGCACTGGTATGCTAATTTGGTTCGGTTCAATTATAGGAGCCCAATGGCGTGAACCAAAGCATTGTCGGCGCATGGGCGACACCAACGGCCCCGAAACCAACCCCAGCACAGAAATCCGAGTCAACGAGTACATCCAAAACCTCGAAGCGACGAACACACGGCAGTGAATCTGTATCCAAGCGACGCAAGGCTGAGACTGCGATTGACCGATCACCACCTACGCACGTTAGTCTTGCAGACCTAGGCGGTTTGGACGATGTGGTCCAGGAATTGGGTGACATGGTTATCCTGCCCTTGACCCGGCCACAGGTGTACCTCTCATCCAACGTGCAACCTCCGCGAGGTGTTTTGCTGCATGGACCGCCTGGTTGCGGTAAAACCATGATTGCGAATGCCTTCGCAGCAGAGTTGGGCGTGCCTTTCATTGCCATCTCTGCTCCCTCGATTGTGTCGGGCATGTCCGGTGAATCGGAGAAGGCTCTGCGCGAGCACTTTGAGGAGGCTAAGCGCCTTGCGCCTTGTCTGATCTTCATTGATGAGATCGATGCGATTACACCCAAGCGTGAAAGTGCGCAGAGGGAAATGGAGAAGCGAATTGTCGCTCAGCTTTTGACTTGTATGGATGAAATTGCCCTTGAGAAGACGGATGGAAAGCCCGTTATTGTTCTCGCGGCTACCAATCGCCCGGATAGTTTGGATGCAGCATTGCGTCGTGGTGGTCGGTTCGACAAGGAAATTAACATGACTGTGCCCTCAGAGCCGGTCAGAGAGCAGATCCTGCGGGCTCTTACTCGGAAGCTGCGTTTGGCGGATGATCTGGACTTTAAGACTCTGGCCAAGAGAACTCCAGGTTTTGTTGGAGCTGATCTTAACGACCTTGTCTCGACTGCAGGCGCCGCCGCTATCAAGCGATACCTCGATATCCTCAAATCCAACAGCGGCGAGGAGATGGAGATGGAGATTGAGACTGAGGAAGCAGAGGACGTCCTCAGCCCTAAGGTCCGAGAATTGCGCCGCCTGATCACACATGCCAAGGAGAATCCCATCGGTGAAGAGACAGAAACTGTCCTCGTTTCTAATGCCGACTTTTTCACTGCACTCCCAAAGATCCAGCCCTCATCCAAACGTGAAGGCTTCGCTACTATCCCCGACACAACATGGGCAGACATTGGCGCCCTTGGTGGTATTCGTGAGGAACTATCCACTGCCATTGTCGAACCCATCAAGAATCCCGAAATATACGCTCAAGTCGGTATCACCGCGCCTACAGGTGTGCTTCTATGGGGTCCGCCAGGTTGCGGTAAGACACTACTGGCTAAGGCAGTGGCCAACGAGTCCCGCGCCAACTTCATTAGCGTCAAGGGTCCCGAGCTGCTCAACAAATTTGTCGGTGAATCCGAACGCGCCGTGCGCCAGGTCTTCGTCCGCGCTCGCTCGTCCATTCCCTGCGTCATCTTCTTCGACGAGCTGGATGCACTCGTGCCCCGTCGTGACGATACCCTCTCTGAAGCTTCCGCTCGTGTTGTCAACACCCTCCTCACTGAGCTAGATGGTCTCGGCAGTAGTCGCCAGGGGATCTACGTTATCGCGGCTACCAACCGTCCCGACATCATCGACCCGGCTATGCTTCGCCCCGGCCGCCTCGAGACCCTGCTATTCGTCAACCTGCCGTCCCCGCTCGAGCGCGTGGATATTCTCCAAACTCTGCTGCGCAAGCTGCCCATCGAGTTCAACGAAGACATGCGCCGGCTTGCAGAGGAGTGCGAGGGCTACAGCGGTGCGGATTTGGGAAGTTTATTGCGCCGGGCAGGTTACTCGGCTATCAAGCGTCGCGATGCTATCCGTTTGGAAGACTTTGTTGCTGCAAAGGCGTTTATCAGGCCTAGCGTTACGGATATGAAGAAGTATGAGCGGCTTAGGAGGGATTGGGGATCTGGTGTAGTTTGACACGGCGCCGTCTAGTGATGAGGGTTTTTTGCATAATGTTTTGAAAGCTTTTGTTGCTTGGAGTCTTTGTTGATGGACATATACATACATTTTCGGAAAGCTGTTTTGAATATATGAGCATGAAATTCATAGACATGGTCTTGCCGAGACGAATCATATATCTGATGAGATTCATGAGACAAAGTTTGCGTCGTCAGAATACTGTTGAGACCATCCTCCCAATAAGGCATCTTCTCGAAAGACAATGACTTTCGCACAAACTGTATTCTGTACCTGAATATCGAGCTACGTTACTGACATCATTGAAGCTCTGTTCATTTCATATGAAGGATACCTAGTATGTACTTGGAAAAAATATACTCAAAGGATCGCTAAACTCCAAAACCCCAACAATGACCATAAAATCATCGAGTTTTAAACACCCGATCCCATCAACGCGAAAGCCCCGAACGCTATCCACCCTCCAACAAAAATCAACGTCAGAATACCAGCGCCCGCCTTGTCCCCAGTGGTAATTAGTGTGGGAGTGCTATCCGTCTTATTGTTATCCAGACCCGCACTAGGATTACTGGTACTGTTCCCACCAGTACTGGACGTAACCGGCGCCACGGCTTTGCTCTGCACAAACGGTAGCAAATTGGCGCTAAACACCTGGCTAACGCTGATCTGCTCTTCCATCCCTGTCCATCCATCCCATTGGGACTTGTACCATTGCACACCGCAGGTATTGTTGTTATTGCCCGTGCAGGACTTGGCGGCTGCTACCGCGGAGGTTTGGAGCTTTGGCATGATCAGGTCGTACGTTGTTGGGACGACGAGGGCGATGTAGGAGAGCCATGTTGAGAGGAGGCCTTTGAAGAGGACTTCATTGTTGTTGCAGATTTCTCGGGGCTCGCAGGTTACGTCTTCCATGACGAATCCGCTTTCTTTGCGGAAGAAGGTTTGGAGGGTCATGTTTAATAGACCGTTTGTTGCGTCGAGCCATTGTTGATCGCCAGTCTGGCGGTTATGAAGTTAGTTCTGTCACTGAAAGAAAGGGTATAGCAGGTCGGTTCCACTCACATAGTTATACATATAAGCAGCGCCCATGAGATACGTCCCGTAGTTGTACGTCCAGGGAATATTAGCTCCATCTTTGCAGCCATTTGTACCTTCCGTCGAGTCCTGCACAAGCCAAGTCTTATTATTGACGAGAGGTGAATTGACCGACCAATCCCAAACTTTGTTCGCCCACGTCGCATACTCATTATCTTCGGTGTACCGGGCAAGACGAGCCGCGAGTTGGAAAAAGCCTCCGTTCGAGATGGCGTTCTTCAAGGTATACCCACTCCCTTGGTATTGGAACATTTGCCAGGTCAAACCTCCACCGCACATTGTCGTGTCCCATCGACCTTTTTGTGAGTTGAAGACGCCTTGTGCGAGCGAGAGCCATGAGAATCCGTTAGAGACATCTGGGAATTTTAACTCCGCTGCAGTCATCGCTGCAAGGCCCCAAAACATCTGGTCGTCGTTTCCCTGTGTGTAGCGTCGTTAGCCTAGATGTAAAGGAACGGTATACCGATTGTATCGCAACGCTTGTCTTACCAAGAAATGACTATAGTTACTGGGCAGGTAGTCTCCATTGGTGCCTGACTGCCATTGTAATCCAACACTCAGCTCATCATTATAAGTGCTGTCACCAGTAAAATGCCAGTAATTTAAAAGCGCATAGAACAAGGCGGATCCTTCCCACCATTTCGAAGGGAAAGCACCAGGGATCTGCCCGGTCTCGTTACCATGATACCAGACCATCATCCCGTAAGTAGCGGTCGCGGCGGCATCTTTGATCGATTCTATTCAAGAATTGCAAGCAGGGTTAGCCGGGATACTCGAACAAAAAGAGACGAGATTATATCAAGGCGTAACTAGTTGGTAATATAACTCACGTTCATTGTTAATATCGAGTTCGATAGCATGAGCTTGGTAGCCCAGCGTCAGCGCATATAAAATGACTGCACATATTGAGTTCGTCCCGCTTACACGCATCGCCAGGAAAAGGGATCGGGTCGAAGCCGACAGCTCAAGAGGATGACGTGAAAGGACCGTGGATGTCTGTTTCGTCCAGTTTCGATCATTTGACTGGGGTGAGGCTTGTCCGGTGTTGGAAACCTGGAATGAATAGAAGGTGTGACCTGCTGCGAACACGAAATGTTCTCGAGAGCCTTGTTAAGTCATTAGTGTCTCAAAATGGTAAGATGAAATTCAGCACTGGGCTGGGAGAAGTGGGATGACAACTGTACTAATATTAATGTCAGCGAATTCGGCCACAGCCGCATCAGCAGGGCCTGGATTGACCCACACAATATGTATGTACAAAGTCATTTGTTAACGGCGTCCGCTAGTTTCAGTGGTTGGTTACATGTCTACATATGGAGGAAGGTGGGGTATGTAATTTGCTGACATGCCCGGCCAGTTGATTTTCGGGCGCTTTATGATCGCGTCAAACAGTTGGGAACTAGGGATCGTCGGGAGCTTCTTAGCCATGTGCAGTGCTATGGCATTATCCGTGTCTCACAAACACTGCCACAGTAGGAACAAATGTCTGTATGCCCATATTTGCCCTTCTCAGCCTAGAATTTGTTGCATCGGACGGACATTGGGAGTAGCTCCAATAATAACAGGCGCCTGGAAGTCGGGGCCATGCATCCTGCGACCCTGCGTCAACTAATCGGGTTGTGTCATGAAAAACCGAGGAAGATCCACTAAAGCACATCCTTCCAGGCTGTTCGGCCAGTCAAACTTCAGCGACGGAATAATCGGGGGCCATATGAACCGTTCGACTATTTTTGTCTCGTCGATCACTTTCCATAGTTATACATCGAACACCCTTGACATCATCGGAGACTGACCCTTAATTGCTGATTGGCAGCCCTGGTGAGACAGTCTTGGCGCTTGCCCATGCGTACGTGTACATACATCATCCAACGGCTTATTTTCCAGAGTTCAGTTGGTTATTGGCAGAAAGACTGGAAAAAGATCAAGATCCGATAGTTGGAAGACGGGACGTTGTTTACTCTGAAGTTATTGTAGGTCGTCGTTTGTGCCGTTTCATCCTAGTATTATCGCGGTCATGTTCGTTCATGGTATTATTTGAGTTGAGCCTCGAAAGATGTTCCGCATATCAATTCTTGGAAGACAGTATGACATTTTGTATCTTAAGGATAGACATTTTTATGTAAATCCCTCATGACCGCCTACAAAGGCTCATGCCATGGCGGTATTGCGCACTTTAAATATATGTGGCATTTCCCTAGAATAGCTTTACTGACAAGTTCAAGCTGCCTGAATTGAGGACATAGAAGTAAGTATGATGATTTTCTTTTATGTTCGCACCTAAATAACTTCTACTCGAAAATAAGTATAGAAGGATCTAAGGAAGGGCGATCATGGCACAGCAGCTCTCTTTGCTAAGCCTTTACGATCGTAGAGCTTGATCTCTTTCGCAGACTCATATTGATTGATCCAGATTCTCCCTGAATTTATACTCCTGATCATCCCCCTGATAATGGTGCCAGAAAAGTCAATGAACACTGATAGTCAAACAGTCTCTTAGAGGCGCTCAAACCCCGCCGGTACACTATAGTCACCCTGAATCCACCCCCGAGCAGTATTCGCAAACAGCAGCGGATCTTGTCGATTCCAGGGATGCCTCATCAGAGGATGAGTGACAGCCAGTGTCTTATCATTGAGCTCACTGCCAATAGAAGCCAACTTCTTGGCATCCTCGGGATGGTCATACGAAGGTATTATCCCTCCACGACCTGCAGCGATAATCAGTGTTGGCGCAGGCCAGGCAGCTGGATATTTAGCCGTCTTCATTGTCTCTGCAACTTGACGACACAGCTCTAGTGAAGGCGATATCCGAGCTATATCTGTCCCATCCATGAGCCATCTAATCGCCGGTCGTGGGACGAGATTCTCCACGCGATTCATTGTCCATAGGATATAGGATAGTCGGTCGCTCGATGGCAGTGATGGGTATATCTCAAATCCTGAAACAATCATATGATCGACTACATCGGGATACTTTTCGGCGAGTCGGATGGCGACTTGAGCTCCTAGGCTGTGGCCAACGACATGGGCTTTCCTGCTGGTTGTTGATTCATGGATCAGGGTATATAGCGCATCAGCTGCGTTGTCGAGGGTGAAGATTCCACCCGCTGATCCATGGCTAGGCAGGTCTGGGGCCAGAATGTGGAAGGACTGGTTAAGGTGGGATATCACAGGTTTCCAGTCCACAGCTGTAGTGAAAGCCCCGTGGATGAGGAGGATAGTTGGTTTGTCGTCCATCTCAGCCACTCTTAAATACCACTCCGATGCCAAGGTATTTGGAAGGGAGTGAGTGCCTATCACTAGCTTCAGGTAGATAAATTACCACTAAGGGAAATACGTCCACATACAGAGCCAGGTCAAGGGTCGCATCGAGAGATCGGAGAAATGGTCGGGCCAGATGCGCTTCAACTTCCCCTCTTTCCAACGATATTTTCGAATAGCATCTGAAATGTGTTTCTAGATGACTCAGGTAATAGCTCTCGAATCGTATCTGATGCGATGATTCTGAGGTTTGGTTGAGGGTTCAAACATATGGCCCTGCTGTAGCATGGCGCTGTTGGTTGGGGGCGGTTTTGTGACTCGAGAGGGCTCAGTCGATGCCAGCGGCATTTTGCGTTCACGATGGTGTTACTTTCGTACCAATCTCTACTGTCATCCTGCATTGGTTTAATGCTAAAAGCCAGGTTGGCGGTTTTGAGCGTGAGATCACCAGGTTGCTGGTTTCGACCAGTGTTCATGTCTGAGGATGATGAGGATGACGGGCGAGAATGATTGGGGAGGGTCATGTTTCTGTGCGATCTATACAGAGGTGCAATTTAATGGTCTAAATCCAGTTGCCAACAAAAGCGGCTTAAGCAAATACATGCTAAAGCTTCTTTCGGAGGTCTTTGTACGTACGGTTTAAAGCGTCTCTCTTGGTGACTCAGGCATCAGTATGAAGTAACTATCGTTCAAGTCGTCACTGATGAGCTGGTTTTGAAGGCTGTAGATTCAGTCTGCTAAAATCTCACTCTAGATTTTGACCAACATACCAAACATAACGTTTATGTAGCAACTCTGGCGATGGGAGTATGTCAGTGCGTTCGTATTTCCCAAGATGAATTTCCTCTTCGGGTTCGTGTCCTCGTTAAAAGTCCCGAGCCCCTCTCGCAAACCTCCAGTATCTCCAGACGCAAGCTTCATGAAACGACTCCTGATTTTGATGCGAAGCCGTTGTCGGTTCCATCGCGATGTCTTTCATGTATAGATGGATTAGCCCTCTACATGATGCCTTCTTCTGTCCGTCGCTCCCTTTCACGATTCGCTGGCGTCTGATCGCCTTCCAACCTCTGCTCCTACTCACAAATACGATCCAATACTTTCAAGGATCAACGTTACTCTCAAAGAACGCCGAAACTGTCATATGGATTCCGTTGAAGCGTGCCCCTGGCCACTCAGTTCGTGCAATTGTCTACCACCCTCCTGGGCGATCATCGCAACAAGAGACAAGACCTCTCCATATCAACATTCACGGCGGTGGCTTTCTTGGTGGTCTACCAGAAGGCAACGCGCCTTTTTGTCGTAAGGTCTCAGCGGAGACTGGAGCAATTGTTGTTTCGACGACATATCGATATGCTCCGCGGTATACATTCCCGGTCGCACATGAGGATGTCCAAGATGTGGCAGACTGGTTAATCCAGAATTCCGAGGGACTCTGGTGCGCAGATCCGACTTTGATGACTGTGAGTGGATTCTCAGTCGGCGGTAATCTCGCATTGGGTATTGGACAACGATTGTCTCGCTCGGAGTACAGGGTAAAAGCAGCAGTGCTTTTCTATACGCCGGTAGGTGATATCCACTTTTCCTTGGTTGCAACCAAGTCTACACTGCTAGTACATAGAATAATCTCAGGCCTTATATACTAGGTCGACCTCCGTTTACCTCCGTGGGATAAATCAAAGCCACCAGGGTTTCCAGCCAAGGACCCTTTGTCTTTTATACTTCCTCTCATGGATGCCTATGCCGGTCCAGAAAGGGCCAAGTATATCCAGAACCCCTTACTACATCCTATCCTCGCAGATATCCAGAGCCTCCCGCACAACATGCTAATTTTCGGGGGGAAGGTCGACATCTTACTCACTGAAGAGATGAAATTTGTCCAAAGGTTGCAGGATGAGTCCACAGCTATCAATCAAAGAATCAATTCTACCATCGATGGAAAGGAACAATCAGCGGATGAAGCATACCATATTGAGAGCGACTTCTTTGATAACCAGATACATGGATGGCTTGAGCGTATGAACCCGATTCTTTCCAGCTACTGACCCACGGCTAACCTAAATACCATTGCTAGTTCCATCCTCAGTTATTGACATCAAATTGCGGGATAGAATTTTCGACGATGCAATACATTTCCTAAGCAATGTGTACAATATACCCAGATAAGGCGAATCAAGATCTACCAAAGCGTACAGCTTGTTTTGAAATGTTAAAAACAACTTTTATAGAAGTATGGCTATACAGAAATACTATGCACACACATACAGCAGGAACGCCTGAAAGAGTATCATGCAAAACAAAGACGGAAAGAAATGATTACATCCACAAACGACATGTGCCATCAGCACCGGCACTGACACACCACGCCTCCCGAGGGTGCCAATCGATATCGAGGACACCCAGCTCGCCGGTGATCTTGTGGCCCTTGAGGACCTTGAGGGGAACGATGCTGGCGTTGCTGAGCATGTCGCCCGTGACGCTGCCGTGGAAGATCTGCAGGGAACCGTCGTCACTAGCGTCGGCGAACAGCGGGTAGCGGCCACCAGGGTGGAACTTGACAGCGCGGATAGCCTTGCGATGGTACCGCAGAGTCTTGTATGGGCGCTGCGACAGATCCAGATCGTGCCAGAGGAGGCGACGGTCGTAAGAACCGACAATGATGTTGTCACCACCCGAGGCAGTCGATGAAGTGGGGTGAATATCAAAGGAAGAGATCCAGCGGGCACCGGGCTGGACGATCTTGACCAACAATTGCCGAGAAAGATCGTAGCCACGGATAGAGCGCTGGTTGGCGACAAACAGAATCGGTTTTGACGGGTGGAAGTGAGCAGTCTGAGGGGGACCACCACCCTTGAGGCGTCGGCGGAAGGGATACTGGGTAAGATGCTTGGAGACGGTGTGGATGGCGATGGCCACGGAGGCAGGGGTCGAGGCACCCGAGCACACAGTGACAAAGTAGTCTCCGCGGCGGTGCCAGGAGATCGACTTGGGGACGTAACGAAGAGGGATAACCACGCACACACCGGCATCCGCGAGCTCGGAAGAAGGTCGGATCCACTGGGGAGGCGTGTTCTTCTTGTTGGCATCCGCAGCACTTGGGGGAGGGTTGGAGGCAGCGTAACCCCAGCCAGCATCAATAATATCCAAGCTGGCCTTCTCAATCTCCGGGTCGGCAATCATCGGAGGAACGGTAAGGAAGAGGTCGTCACCTGCAGCAGCAGCAAGAATGACGGCATCCTTGCCAGGTCGCCAGCGGACCACATTAACTGCATCCTCGTCGCTGAGCTTGACACTCCAGAGCTGACGACCAGTAAGAATTTCCCAAACGCGAACCGTACCATCGTCACCACCAGTTGCAAGCCAGATTCCGGTGGGGTCCACATTGAGCGAACGAACACGACCCTTGTGACCACGGAACACCGTCGCACAAGTGGTAGGGAACGGCTTCAATTCTTCAGGGCTGGGTAGCTTGGGCAAAAGACTCTCGGGGTCGATGTTCAGCTTGCTGCGGCGCACACGAGGAGCGAGGTAGAGATCCAAGCAACGCTCGAACTTCTCCTTGACAAAGTTCTCATAACCAGGAACCCTGCGAAGAGAACCGAAGTCATTGGGCAAGAACTCCTTCTCACGGTCTTCAGGGTCTGTCTGCTCCCACTCCTTGCGCTCTTTCTTTTCGGGCAGATACTCAGGAGGCGGGTGATAACTCTCCTCGTAACCAGGAGGCGGCAGCTTAGGTGCAGGAATGTGCATAATGTGGTCAGGTCGCTCAACCTCATCGGCCCATAGATCGTAGTTGATAAGGTCTTCCTCCTTTTCTTCACGCTCCTCTGGGGGGCGGTATGGGAGGATACGGCCCTCGCGAATGGCCTTCACAATCTTCATCACACGCTTAGCCTCATGCTTGGAGGGAACGAATCGACGCTTCGGTTCGGGTGCAGCGCTAAGAGGCATGATCTCAAGCTGGCTAGAGAAGGACTCGACCAAGGGCTCGTATGGGTTGTAGCCATCGATAGTCGACTCGTTCATCTGCACCTTCTTCAGCAGCTCCAATTCCTCCTGGCTCAACTCCAAGGGCTTGCCAGTCGAGGGGTCGGTAAGACCAGTCCAGCCCCTTGGGCACCTCGATACTGTCGAGGAGCGCATCCAGAGCCTCGCCCTTGGCTGGGCGCATGATACGTTTACCATTAATGTCGTAACCGATGTGAGGGTATAGATCGTAGAAGGACAGAGGGATATCACCAATAGTGTTGGCATTCTCCTCGACATCTGAGTAGTCCGAGTTATCGTCCGGGTTGATCTCATCGTAGAGGTAGCGCTCGTTTCCATTGGCGTCCTTCACGATGCGGTAATTCGGTTCCTCGTTGACAGGTGTAGACTTCTGTGTCTTTTTCGGCGCCACGGGCTCGGTGTCAGAAGGAATCTCATCGCTGTCCAGTTCTTCCTCTTCATCCTCGTCATCTTCATCACTGAAGTCGTCAATGAGCTCGATTTCGGAGTCGCTATCTTCTTCCTCGCTCTCCGACAGGTCATTGTTGTTGTCTGAGAGAGCTCCATCCAAGTTTTCTGCACTCAGCTCATCGCCGGAAAAGACACCAGCTTCCTCCTCCACATCGCGGGTAACTGCCTTGCGCTTCTTCGAAGCCTTCCTTGCGTCCATTGTTGCTGGCAGTTGAACTTGGAATTCTTGTCGATTACGGATTTTTTTTCTTCTCCATTCAGAATCGCGCTCACCGCTCACATGACTTACCGCCCCCAGTCCTTATCGCCTATCGATGATGGCCAAAGCGCCCTCCACTATGCACTTCAAAGACAATAACCATCTACTCTTGCCTCGGTTTCATGGAATGACGACTAGGTGATGGCGGCAGTTATGGCAGGGCCCGTGGGGGCTCCTCTAACCAACGAGGCACCTTCCTCAGTCTTGGAACCAAAGAGACACTCGGCATGCGATGAGTGTAGTGAGTTTCTTGCCAGACAGAGTGATAGTCGATTTCTGCTAATCACATAACCTTTCCTAGGGAAACGAAAGCTCAAATGCTCGGGGGAGATCAGTGGCTGCTCCCGATGCTTGAAGCAGTCGATTATATGCAACTATTCAGTACAAAAGCCCATGGGTAGACCGCCGAAGAAAAGGGCGCGGGCCGACGATGAGGAAGGCGATCTTCCAATGCAGAGCAACATTGTCTGGCCTACCCCAGAAGACACACCGCCAGACTCTTTCACGATGGGACACGAGCCCGTTGTGACAACAGACGCGCAGTATCTTTGTCCACAGTTCTTTGTTCATCACGGCGGGCCGCCACAGCCGTCGGATTTAGATCTGCTCGCCGGCGATGAAGACCACAACCATAGCTGGCGCCCTGACCGTTTGAGAAACTCCAATATGCCAGTCCCCGAGTCGTCAAGTCCCTGGCCTGACTTTGCAACCGTATCCGAATCAACCTCGACGCTATTTCCACACCCGACAAATTTCCTTGACGCTCATTCCCTTCCTTTGACCCCTCCAATGACCAACCTCGCCGACCCCGCCACACCTCAATGTACATGCCTGTCTTATCTTTATCTATGTCTCAGCCACATATCCTCCGTCGGCTCTTTCCCCATCAACTCTCATACATTATGCTCACTATACATCGCAGCCAGAACCGCGCAGGACGTGATTCGCTGCGAAGCATGTCCCAAAAATTTTGCTACCGGCGTGCAGAACGTCATGTTCACTGGAACTCTTCTCACAGTCGTCGCAGACGCTTGGCTACGAGTTTACAATAGTGACGCTTCCGAGCTTGGCACGCAGTCCGCTCCACCCGAATTCGCCAGCAAAGTAACGCAGAGTCCCAATCCAGCAGAGGGATGGAAGAGTTGGCTCCGTCAGATCGTTCGCCGTGCTGTAGTCGGTGGACCTCTGAGTCCAGAGGCCGGTACGCGTTGTTCTGGACAGCCCGATCTTCTCTCTTTGATCAGAGAAGTCGAGAATCGCCAGCGACGATGGCATGAACCTGGACAGCACCCCATGGAACGATACACTCCCCAGCGCTGCTCGCCTGTTGGGCATAACTTTAACGATGGAGACCAGCACGATGAAAAGAAGTTGCTGTGTATGCGTGTGGTCGGGAGCGCGAGAGTGGTCCTCTCGAAATTCAATTTCGAGCCTCATGATTTTCCCGAAGGGGTCATACCTGATGATATGAAACAAATATCACATCCATGATGAGAAATTAAGGAAAACTGGATTGAAGTATAGGGTGTGGCGCTGGCGTTTCAATTGTTGGTTCTATACTGGCTGATGTACAGGCTGGTAAATGCCATCTCAGAAGAAATAATCTACGAATACAACATGATGATTCCTCTCTTCCTTGCATTTCGTCTACCGTGCTTCGTACTTGTGTTTTGGATGTTACTATATTATATTCAACTTCCCGGGAGCTTGTTCATCATACTGCTACCTGATGGTATACGCCGGCAGAGCTATTTCTTAATTGAGGTTATCACACAGCAATTCAGGATATGAGTATCTTCTATCAATGTCACGGAAACAAGCCCTAGAAGGACTGTTATTTATAAGAATTTATAAACACTAGCTCGAGCGAAATGCAGACACCACAGATTTCACGTTAGAAATACATGGGCTGTCGCTTAATTTGATCATCGATCGTTTCATTATTTTTGTTAGAGAGAATGTACTATGCCAGCTTGAGAAATACAAGCTATAAAACAGAACCAACGTCCCGGAGAAAATGCCAACCCCTGTAGATGTGACGCCCGGGCCATGTTTCGACCAAATTGTAAGGAAAAAGGAAGACAAGAAAGAGGGAGAAAAAATTGATATGCTTTGAAGATCACTCATCCTCGTCATCATCATCAACCACATAGCGGTTCTTCTTCCGGGCTGGCGGTGTTCCATCTCCTCGGGGAGTCTCCTCTTTCCGCGCCGCCTTGGATGGCGCGATTTCATCGTCGACCTCGCCTTCGGCATCCATATCTTCATCCTCGAGCTCCTCCTCGTCGTCATCGTCATCAACTTCCTCAAGTTCCTCGTCACTTCTGACCAAAAATCCGTCGTCCTCGTCATACTCGTCCTCGCGGGTGCGGCCACCACGACCATAGTCTTCCTCTTCGTCTGTCATAATTTCTCCGCGGCGGTTGGGACGGCGTGGCTTAGCGCGAGGACGGGTAGTGCGCAGACCATCATCTTCCAAGCCGCCAACACTGAGACCATTGGCCATTGTACGGGGAGCGGCAACGCGGCGGGTGCGATCCGCTTCGCGGTCTGCCAGCTGCTGGCGGCGGCGTTCGGCGCGCAAAGCTTCTCTCTCCATGAGCTCGGCCTTGCGGGCGGCCAATTCCGGATCTTCCCTCACATCGATCATTGGCACACCGCCGTCTGCAGTCTGCTTGTTGCCGCGGGCAGCAGCGGCCAGGGACTCCTGAAGTCGTTGAACTGCATCGTCTGATTCCAAGGCCGTCGGCAGAACGGTGAGACCATGTGTGACGTGCGAGGTCAGCCGGAACAGCTCGGCTTGCTCTAGACCAGCGCCGAGGTAGACGTGTGAGTCCAGCTTTGTAGTGTACTCGCCAGACTTGGAGAGAGGCGCAAGAGGTTTGGATGTAATGCGGTATTGCTCGAGGGGTGCGGAGGCGAGCTGGAGTGTGATAGAACCGTCTTCCCATTGGACTAGCCGGGCGTTCGACTGCAGCTTGTCCTCGTCGGCAGGGTCTCTGCGCCAGCAGAGAGATGTCGCCGCCGTGGAATACGCAGGCGCAATGTATGTCTCGGGGTTGAACTCTTCCGACTCGATGGAGAGGAAATCTGGTACGCGCATTGTGTAGACCTAGTGATTCATAGTGAGCATAGACTCGTCGTATTGAGCACAACATTATCGCATACCTCGGGATCATTCGTGGCTGGTACTGGTGCACGCGCAATGGTCATTTCGGCGATGGTGAGACTCTCCGTTTCGCCATCTGGCGCCTCGTCCATGCGGTCCTCGCGTCGGTCATAGCGAGCCTCATCATCTCCCGAGTCAAGTTGCTCGTCGTCCAAGGTACGGTGAGGTCGACTAGTCAGAATTAGCTTCTGCTTAACGGCTCAGTAGCTTCCAAGGTGAGAAATTACTCGACATCGTCAAATCCACCCTCTGAACCGTCGGATCCGAAGAGATCAGCGTCATCATCCATCAGATCATCACCGCCAGCGCCATGGTCCTCAGCACCAGAGTCATTGCCAGCATCACTCGGATCGGGGCTTTGGTTGGCGGCATTGCGTCCGGGGCGGCGGACAGCCTCCTCGTCGGAGGAGGACATGATGGTACCTGTGGGTGAGGTGCGACAGAAGAGTACAGGAGGGAATGAGAAACTCTGGGAAGAATTGGAAAGGAGGACAGATCAATCAATCTGATCGAGTGGTCACTAGGAGCTTCCCCAGGCAAGCAAGTACTGTCCCAAGCAACTTGATCAACTTCACATTCACATCCACGCAGAGAGCCGGATTAACAAGATGATCCAGCCCGAGCCCCCCAAAGAAGTTAAGTCAGCGGGCCAGACCAAAAGGGGATTCCCTGGACATCTTCACCGTCTCTCTCTTGCTTCGTGGTTAATTGCTTTTTTGTTAAGGAATTGGTCTTTGTCTTCACAATGGCGACCTTCTTTCAGAGTGTGTAAGTTTGCTGAGCAATGGTGGTCTCAACGAGCGCCTTCCCTCACTGTTTACTTCCCCTTGACCCTGTGCGATTTCCCCCCCCCCCTCCATATGCATCGTTCAAGCAGTACCCGCCGCCACAAACGCAACGCAGCATTCCGGCTTCCAAAAGTCTATTAGCCGCTCTGTGTTTTGCCCTGATCTTGTTTTCTCTCCCCTTGCTCCGTTTCAATCTCGTCTGCCTCGCCTTGAAACACACCTACTTACCCCTCAACCACCACGTCTGGAGCTAACTCGACCCGCCTACCACAGTCGTCAAGGGTTCGGCCGGGGAGGAAACAACAAGAACAACCCTCCAAAGAGCCCGGCGCAAGCTCCTCAAGCTCCCCAGGCTGGCGCCATGTCCAACTCTCCGTCGCTCACTAGCAGTCTCACCGTGGACAACCTCACGGCGAACGACCCCGATGCCCCCAAGTACTTCTTCCAGGAGAAGTACGCTCCGCTAAACGTGAGGGGCAACTTCCTGACCCTGTGTGCTTGTCCAAAAAATGTGGAACTGGGCGAGTGGCTGGCTCACCAGAGTAAGTCCTCTCATGGATGATTCGCCATTCGCGATAAACGGGACGGATTGCTGATGTGTCCGGGGGTACAGTTGTTGAACAATATCGCCTGCTCCACGGCATGCTCCAGGTCATCCAGGAGACGAACAGTGTAACAGGTGTTCCGATTTGCAATGAGAGCACATGCCCGACGATGTCGGCTGGTCGGTACGTGGATTTGACGAGGTACTGATGATACGCAGGAGTTGCGAGCTGACAGCGATTACTCCAACAGGTTGACCTATACTTGGCTCGTCGACGGCCGTGCAGCCAAGATATCCGCCCCGAAATTCATCAATCGCGTCGAGAAGTGGATTGTCAGCAAGATCCATGACCCCGTCATGTTCCCCACGGAGAAGGTGAACGGCACCCCTGAAACCGCCTCTATGAGAGATGCCAACGGTGCCTCTGCGGCTGCATCCTCCACCACTTCCACGGAGTCCGCCAGCCCAGCGGGAACGACCGGCGCATCGACAGACGAGTGGATTGGCCAGTCCAGTGGCTTTCCCCAGACATTCTACAAGGACTGCCAGGGTATTATGAAGCAAATGTTCCGCTGCTATGCGCATCTCTACCACGCACACTGGCTGAACCCCTTCTGGCACCTCAACAAGCACGACATCCTGAACATGTGCTTCGTGCACTTTGTCACTGTCGCCAAGTATTACCAGCTCGTCTCGGACAAGGAGATGGAGCCGATGCAGCCGCTGATTGACCTGTTCATCAAGCAGCAACGGGTACCCCCAGAGGCCTTGAATGGTGGCCACTGGGCTCAGCAGCCGGCAGCTAACTAAGCTGACCAAATGATCATACCTAAATGAAACACTCCGCAGGCCTGGGAGTACAGCGACTCTCTCTTTTCTATTACACATGACGACACATGACATGTTCTTCAACCGGGCGTTGGGCTACAACAGCTATCTTATGCTCGAGTTTCTGCTTTTACTGATGCCAAGAGAATGAGTTGAATTGTTTCTGCGACTGGTAGCCGATGCCACGACACATATCCAAGGCTTTGAGCATTTAGCATGCGGTGTGAATATTTTATTTCTATCATCTTGTTCTTTGTCATGATCTTTGCATATCTTTTATCAGCTAGTCGCGGTGACATATCCTTGCAATGGAATCGTATCCTTGAGGTGCAGATTGGAAGCTCTGTATTGGTAGCACCACGCGACGTTTTGGGTATTGGATGTGCTGTTGAGACACGGATATGTGTCTATTCCTGCCTCTAGGAAGGAAAGGGTCACACTTTATGGTCTCTTCGCCAGCATACCTTGAATATGGTGTGGATCTAAAGCGTTCTGCCTCTAGCATTGATGCCAACTCGAGACACGTGCAAGGATGGCCTTGATGGCTGGATCCAAGCTAGAGTGGAGATGCGTGATAAAATTCATCCAGTGATGTCTCAATGGGCTCAATTAGGTTTTTTGGAGCAAGTATCTTCACCCTTACACCTAAATAGCCTCGTTGAGGGAGATCTCGAGCCTAGGTAAATATCTTAGTGATGAGATGTAACGGTCACCAAGAAATACACGATCTCCTGTGAGTGGCCTAAAGTTATGCTGCCTATACCTGGAATTGGCTCTAACCTCTAGCGCTATGGTTGACTCGATCGCACATACAGCGACGTAACACTTGGAACATAAAACCAGATTTTCCTCGAAGTTCAAGTTCGTGGTAAATGGTGTGGTCTGAACTATCACTCCTCCCAGAAGTCCTTTCCACCATAAGTGTTTCCGATCAAAGCCGTTGCATCATTCACCAGCACACCATTGTATGAATGAGACGTTCCAACCGCCTTGCCATTCCAGTCACTGCTATATGTGTCTGCAGTCTGACCTTTGGCTTTGTTTGTAATCTTCACGTTCAAGTATTGATGGCCGGTACGGGCTTCTTTTGCAGCCTGATAGAGCATGTCGTCAACGCCCTCGGCGGCCTTCTCGACGTATTTCAACGCTTGACTGTCCTGTATCTCTGCTATTTCTTCCCTGACGAGGGCAACCTGCTTTTGCGGTGCAGGAAAAAGATTTTCCATCTGGTCGATGAGCGAGGTAATGCTTGTGATGAGTTCTCTGAGTTCCGATCTATGGTAAAGAGCCCAGCTTGCTGTCTTCGAGATGCTGGTCCTTTTCTGTCTCTTCATTGCCAGCGCTTTCATCTTGTTTTCGAGTGATACAATTGCAGGCTCCAAATCACCAGCCGAGAGTATAGAGAGATCATCGCCAGCCTTTGCGTTGAGCTTGTACTTCTTGGAGATTTTCTCTGTGCCGGTGAAAAGGACAAGAATTTGAAGTAAGCTATTCTTCACAGCACGAAGCTCATCTGGGGTTGCGTCAGGCCTGCCCAATTGCGGATCACCGAGGACATTGACGGCTTGCCCCCAGCGTGTCAGACGGAGCCTTGCAAAATTCAGAGATAGCAGATCTGTTTGGAAGTCTCGTCCAAAGTGGCGGCCGACCTGCACGTACTGGAAGCAATCAACACATGAGGTAAAAGCAGCGGCGATCCCGGCAGCACCAGATACAATTCCAAACGCCTCGGCCATATTCAAGATGAGATAGTGATAATATGTAGGACGTTACAGACGAAGGGGTATCTTAGTGTATATTATAGTTGCGAGTTATCTATACGCGCTGATGGTAGGCGCTTAGAGGTATGCAGATCAGGGCACGCTACCCCTAGGAGGTGTCAGAAATCCATATCTCTCTACTCTCTGACCCGACTCAGCTGCCGTAGTCTCAGAGGGGTCAGAAAGTGATGCAGAATTATGCTTTTTTATACAGTCTGTATATAATTAGCATCACACGGTTAATGTGTCGCCTTTATATCTGTAAACGGGGTATTTTGTTAATAGCTTAGTCTTCCAGTTGGTCGTCCAACAGACCTTCTCCAGGTTTTAGAAAGGTCTTTCAACGCATCCTTATTAAATGATTGAAATTAGTCACTTTTGATCAGTAATATTACGTCTTATCTACTTCATTTCTTTTGGATCCTTTTTTTTTTTTTTTTTCAAAGAAATAAACTACAGAATAGTAGAGTTCTTAACATGAAACCTTGGGCTGTGGACCAGCGCTAATGTAAACAACGTCGTATGTATTGGTCTTGGATTGGTAGGAGGTCAAATAAACATCCAGTTCAAGCTAAAACCCTGACTACTTAAAATAGGGTCCCTAACCCCCTTAGATGTACCCCTGGCGCGTCGAGCGTGTGTGATAGTTGGCGATCTGCCCCCACCTGTAGCCTGGGTCAAAACCAGGCGCATGTCCACGGAGTCTCCTAACTCCCCTTCTCACTAATTGTACAAGTTCATGGAGAAATATATTCTTAGCCCCGAGATGGTGTGGAACAAAGATGGGAAGGCAGTCGGTCATCAGTTCAAAGATATCGAAGTTTATGGTGGAAAAACTCACTTTGGCGATTGCTACAATTACCATACCTACCATCAATGTAAGTGTTCTCTGATATCCGTTGACACCATTTGCACTGGCTCAAAACCATCGCTTCTGGATTGAGGAAGACTTGGAGAGAGACTGATGCGACCGTGATCATTTGTTTTTCTGATGTAGCTGATACTGATATGTGCCAGACACCTCTGGGGATCCCCAAAGTTAGTACACTCGAACAATTTCCCTCTATCTAGGTATACTTTCGCTAAATATTACGAAAATAGAAGAACTAAACAAGGAAATTGAAGCCTATCGGAATGTGCTATTCCTTACTGATCCAATCGGCGATCTGGAGAGTCTGAAAAGCACTAAAGGCAAAAGAACGGAAGGCACTTGCGAATGGATCAGAGACAATGAACATTATAAAGCTTGGCTTTACGGCGAGACACAATGTCTATCAGTCTGTGGTGGGCCTGGTAAAGGAAAAACAATGCTCTCCATCTTCCTGACGGAGGAGCTTGAGAGGCACACCAAGACAATGGGATCCACGGAGCTGCTGTTCTACTTTTGCAGTCATCGAGGCGAGAATTATAACAGCGCTGTGACTATTCTCAGGAGCCTGATATACCAACTGCTTCCGAAGTGTCGTGACTTTTTCACGTCTGTCTCGTCATACTTTGAAAGCCCGGAGAGAACCAAAATGGCATTGGCGTCGGCGGACACTCTCTGGGTTATCTTGAGAACTCTGATACAATCTAAATCCAGCACAACCTATTGCGTACTCGACGGCTTCGATAATTGCGACTATGAGTCATCAAGACTACTCACTACCAAGTTTGGCGACTTCTTTTTATCGGTGTACTCCAATCGACTCAAGTTGGTGATCGTTAGTCGGAAGATGGCTGGGCTGGAAAATTTTCCCCAGTTGAAGCTGGATCCTGACAACGATGAACTTTTAAGCGGCGATATTCAACGGTTCATTTCCGCTAGTGTCCATGCACTGGAAAGAATACCGGGGTTCAACGATATTCGCCAGAATGTCGAAGCTACCCTTCTAGAACGAGCCCAAGGCACTTTCTTATGGGTCGGCTTCGTTATGGGCGAGCTTTCGAAGAAACGCACCTGTAGCGGAATTGTCAGGTCTCTGGAGGATTTTCCACCGGGTCTGGATGTGATTTATAGCCGAATGTTACTTCAAGCCACAGAAAGCTGGCAGATGGAGAGCGATGAGAAGAACATTATGTCTGACATCTTGCGTTGGGTTACGATGGCCGTCCGTCCACTCACGTTACAAGAATTGACGGTAGCTATTGCCTTATCCACTGCAATCAGTGATGAGCAAGTCATTCGGGATCAGATCACTTTATGTGAGCCGATCCTCAAGATCGAAGGGCTGAAAGTCAAACTTGTTCATCAATCGGTCGGTGACTATTTACGGTGGGAAAAGCCTGACGATGACCCAATACTGGAAAATTTTCGAATCAAAGCACCAAAAGCACATGCTCAAATAGCAAAAACGTGTCTCAAGTACATTGAGAACAGCGACTTACGCTACGAGTATTTGAATATTGAAGATGCATCAGTTCTGCAGAAATCGCCACTGTTAAACTACGCAGCACTACACTGGCTAGAACATGCGGGGTATTCTTCGATGTATGGGAACGAAGATTATCAGCTTTCACGGCCTTTCTTCTGCAAAGAATCACCTGTACGAACACACTGGTGGAAGGCCTACATAAATTCCGAGCAGCAAAGGTGCAATGGAGAGGGGCCATAGACGTGGGAGAACTCTCTGCGTTTGTTAAACATCGCATCGTATATCGGGATCCATTCATTGGACCGGAAGGATATAAAGGGAGATAAAGTGCTGGAATTAGTCGCCAAGAGGGGACACGAGGCCATCGTGAAGCTACTGCTCACAAAAGGTGGCAAGCTTGACTCAAGAGGATTCGATTACAGGACGGAGCTAAGAGTCGCCGCAATAATTCCTCGCAGAGGGTACCGATGCCTATATAGACGACGGCGAAGCACGAAATCTAGCCTCCTCCCTTGGGAGGAGGCCGTTGTGCAGCTACTATTCGCGAACGGTGTGCCATCCACAAAGGGATAGGGGACTCGGTCTGATGCCAGAGCTGCGAGTGAAACGCGAAAAGGAGAAGAAATACATCCGAATTGGCACCCAGCAATCCCTGACTGGCTCGCCTGCCTCAAACCCGACATTTAAGCCGCACGTATTAACAGGAAGTCCACTGGAAGACATGCAATCAGCAGGATACGTATCATCAAGGCTGAATACGTGATCTGTTCCAAGAACCCGCGTAGAAACCGCGTCGACCGAGACAGCCCGCAACGACATGGAATGGCTGTGCGAGTCGGGCAGCGAAACGAAGCTGGAGCCTAGAGTCCAGCTCTCAACCAGAAATCAGATTCTGAAGCGCTAGATATCTTTCGTCGAGTCATTTATTCGTAAATCGTAGCCAGTAATCGCCCATTTCACACCTCAAAGATACACCCCACCCTCAGCATCTCGCCCACCCTCCTGCTGATGCTCAGCATGGCCACTCCCATTCACAGCCGGAGCTTGCGCCTCATCCTGATCTTCCTCATCTTTCTTCCCAGGATGAATCCACAGCTGCCCCCGCTTCTCCACCTCAGCTTTCAACAGCCCGATTCGCTCTTCCTTGCTCTTTACCACACCCTCGTTCTCCACGATGACCTCGTCGAGGAATTTGATGCCTTCTTCTGTCTCCACGGCCTTTTCCGCTTCCAGGGCTGCGTTGGATTCGAGCAGTTTGTTGATGTCGTTTTGGAGCTTTGCGGCTTCGGCGTGGAGGGATTCGACTGGGAGCTCTGTGATGGCTTCTGCGAAGACTGTGGGGCTTATCGGTCGGCTTACAGCGGACATTGTAAGATGGATGCTTGGTTCGGTTGATTTCCGATGTCTGTTGAGATTGGAAGGTATAAGCAGTGTGAGTTGTTTGCGGAATGAGAATTGAAGGTTGGCTTGGAGAAAGTTGGTGGAGATGCGTCAAGCTCCCGCTGATTCTCCACATCCGCATAGAGAGTCCATAATCACGTGCGATGTATACATATCTTCGGGTATGCTTGTGTACGAGGGAGAAGGAGACGGCAACTCATATAAACGATATGTAGTAAAACTTTGGAATGTATACGCTGAAAAATTACTGACCCATCAATGAGATTTACATAAGAAGTACAGGCCAGACCAAAAAGCAAATCACATCCGACGCTTCAACCGCTGAAAGCCAACGTAGCCGCTGGCCATCTTCGCGCGAAGCCAGGGCATCCGAGTTGGACCAATAGCATGGGACGATGTCAGTGCCAAAGGTACTTAAACGTGCTGGGATCGAAGTCCATCTACGATGGCCATTTGACCAATCAAAATCCTGAGCAAGAGGGTTAAGCTTATAGCGTTAACTGCGCTTCCATCCCATATCAACAAGTCTATACTTCGGATGGAATAGGTTAGCCAGGAAGAATGTTGATCGAGGCTTACCTGGTTTCTGAGCATGATCATTCGATTCTTCGATGCTGCACATTCCAACTCGCCCGCATCAGGGGTGAAGACTTTCTCCGAGTTGTCTCAAGTTCTTTGTCCTCAAATATAAGGTAAAGCCATTGTGTCGACGAATTTAGAAAAGCGCGAACCTTGGTCGAGAAAGTCCTTTGTCTGTTATTTAATTTAACTCGAATAAAAATGACTTCGTTGAAGTACATTGTTTCTTCCATTTCTCGGTTTCGAAGTACTATTATGTCTCATTCTCCGTTGAAAGCCCCCTCCGTCGAGGACAAGGCAGCGGTCCCACATACAAAGACCATTTATATTAATAACTCCAATTCTTTCGACTTCGAACAATGAGGTTATACCAAGGGCTCAATGCACTATTTGCGGTATCAGTGTAGACAATGCCTTTGCCCTCGCCTTTGAGGCTAGGATCTCCTCGACAATGAGATGAAGGAATTGTCATGCTATTTTCGTTTATAGAAGGAACTTGCCCACAAAATGGAGACGCGCATCGTAGCCCACCCGGAGCACATAAAAGACGCTCGATTGCTCTTGTAGGAACGCTCTTTTCCTCTGCAGATTCGCTCTTGCAAGCCTCGTTTGCCCAGTACATCTTGTGTGAGTTGCTCATAGCACATACTTACCCCGTACCCTTTTCAGCATATTCCCTGCCTTCCGCCTCATTATTACTGCGCACGATCGGCTCAGACCAGCCGTCGTCAACATGTCTTCGTACAGCACTAACCTGGAGATGGATAGGTTGTCCATCACCTCAGCGCCTAGTATCAATTGGAGCACATGGGTCGAGCCTCTTGATGAGTTCCCCCATGAACCAAATGCCCAACGCCGGTCCAGATGTGAAGGAGATTCCAATGCCTATGACGCATTTTGGAAGGCACGACACCCTTGGGATCTGGTTGATTACTATCTGTACCTCATCGCGATCGAAAAGAAAACCCAGAATTGGGGGGTTCGACTATCTGAGAGCTGGTTGATTGAAAGCGACGGGTCCAGATGGGAGAACTTTGGATATGCGATTGACTCGGACGATCGTGATTGTCAGACAGGATGGAAAGATCCTCTGGTGATTTTTTCTTCTCTGGCCGTACCACATGCAACTGAGTGTCCAGACCGCAGAATTGTCTTGGGCGTGAACCTCCGCACGCATTGCCTCGTCGGATATCTATTTGAGGCCGCACCTGAGAGTATCGCCGAGCTGGGCTCGGTATGGGATCGAAGGGAACTCATTATCAATCTTCCACTCAAGCGATTCATTCACATTCTAAAATATAGCATTAACGAGGACCCGGCTATTTTGAAGAAAGGTATTTTCAACTACTTCCGCCAGAGCACCCGACGCCTGCATGTTGGCATGGACGCGGTGGTCACCATCAAATACATTCAGTTTCTTCGCGATGCTCTTTCCGGTGCAAAGCTGAGTGCGTCGTGCAATGCTAGGGAAGAACAACCTAACTTTTTCGGCATGGAGGAATATCTTCGTGACTTTCTATGTCGAGGATCAGCCAATGCCTGGATGAGCTCACACGGGGGCATGACAACGGAGGATATTCGTAAGCGTATGCTCATCAACAGTCACTCGTCTGATATCTTTGGCGATCAACTCTATTCATTTGATATCATTAACGATGAGAAGATAGCAATTCGCGACTCGTGGGCTTTGATCGAGACAGATATGTCTCCACTGATGTGGCGCGAGGTGGACCTGCTCCCAGGATTGATGTCGTTGGGGAGTATGAGACAATCAGCGTCCGACATGGTGATTTTGTTGGGAATTTTCATTAGCGAGTGCACGAACCTGGTTAAGGACGAGGAAGATTTTGAGATCGCGCCGTGGGTTGAGAAGATCATCCAGGGTCGATGCGTTGATCGGCGGCAAGGTTCGCTACCTGACGCATGGGAATAGGCGTTTTGATTCGTCTGGTCTGTGAGGATATTTGTATTGTATTGTATTGCATCTGGGGCTATTGCTTGCCATGAACATGAACACTGTACAGCGCTTTTGTTGAGAGAATAGAAAAGGTTCCCTCCAACCGAATCATGCATAAAATTCGTCGACACTACAGTAGACTGCAGATGAGATCACCCAGAGGAGTCGGTCACCCCGAGAACCTTGAGTTGTATATGGCAGCCAATAAGATTATCAGATCATGCTTCCAGTCTACGAACTTCTTCCACTATGCACACTGTACTCCGTACTATAGATGGGATGTGTGCCTGACGCGTATTTTGAGTTAAATCAACCTTGTGCCACTCGAAACGGTTCGTGAAAGTCAATTCTAATGTTCAATCGTTGCCTTTGGCCAACATGACTCGTAAATCCTGTCATGTGTACGATGTATCATATTCGATGTAGATCGCCGATCGCCGATCGATTTGTAAATGCTCTGCTCTTTTTTCGGCTTGCCCTAGCAGAGATTATTAGCCTCTAGTTACGCACCAATTACATACTATATGCATCGTTGTACACGTAGTCATGCATGACCTCCGCTCATCTCCGAAGACCTCTCTAATACTACTGTAGTCATCATATAATTACTGTATTTAGGTTATTATTATCCCTCCCAAAGGACAACGTAAGGCCTGCAGGCTGCATGATCGGAGCTCACTCGAGCACCGCCACACCGTGTATCCAATGGCAACGTCGTCGAAACCGGGTTGTGTGGCGCTACGTGGCTGTTCTCTTGCTGAGCTCCAATGATGACCACCCATTCTTCCCAATGCATCCGGATGGACCCTAATTATAATCTTCTGATTGGCACACCAGACCCTCTCTCCGCGGGCGGCGCATCTTGGCGGCGTCATGATCGTATTGCGATTGGCAACGAATGTCGTGGGTACCAGGCATCCGCTCTGAGCTCAGCGGAAGGTCGCAATTTCTCAAGCTCGCGAAAGCTGGGCAAAGTACCCGATACCTCCAAGAGTCTTGTACCTCGCTTGGCCTCAGCCCTGCAGCCCTACCGTCCTGCACTGCATTGCCCGTCTCATCTTGTGCTCAACGATTTTCGAGTCTGCCTAATCCTCGTTGTTTCAAGGGCTTTGTGTTCTTTCTGGCGTCCCCTTTCTCGGGTTTCTAATTGCGCGCTCCTTCCAAGACTCCGCCCTTCCGCTCTCCCCCGTGCGACAGCTCGTCCACGAACCTTCACCTTTTTTCACTTCCCCTTTCCACCTCACCCGACGACTTCCGTGAGTTCGCGTCGATTGCCTGCTCACAATGGCTGACCTTACTGCTCCTCCGGTCAATGGTATGTGGAACTCGCAAAGCTCCTCCGCGCATACGATCAAAAACAATCAGCGACCAGCGATGCGACGTACGATACTGACAAAATATTGCTTGAACAGGGATTGTTGCCAATGGCGAAACCTCCGCGCCGGCGATGCGCGGTGCTAGCGACCGCTTCGAGCTCATCTCCGGCCCCCTAATCAACCTCAAGAACATGCACTATCAGCCCTCCCCAGTTTGGCAAGGCAGTGTATTGATCGTGACGAAACCTGGCCAGGACCAGCCCCAGCTCCACCTGCGTCAGCTCGGCCCCGTTGCATCCCACGGACAACCTCCGCAATCTCCGACAGACCAAACAATCCAAGGCTTGAAGCTCTACGAGGATCCACAGAAGGCATTCTGGCGCTTCTCTCTGGCCGTGCCCGTCGAGTCCTACGAGGCGCGTTGGCAGTACGATATCCCGGGTCTGTACAATGAATCGGCAGAGCCAGTCAAGGCGCCTTGGAATTTTGTCGTTCCTGCGGAGGATCAGTCCATGCGCATCATGTTCCATTCTTGCAACGGCTTCTCCGTCGGTACGGACATGGACGCTTGGGTGGGCCCTAATCTGTGGAACGACGTCCTGCGCGTCCACGGCGAGAGACCCTTCCACGTGATGGTCGGTGGTGGTGACCAGATCTACAACGACGGGATTCGCGTGGATGGGCCTTTGAAGGCGTGGACCGCCATTGCCAACCCTCACAAGCGCCGTACCCATGCCTTTGATAACAAGATGCGTGTTGATTGCGATGATTATTACTACGCCAACTATGTGCGCTGGTATAACACCGAGCCTTTCCGCTCTGCGAACGGGCGTATCCCGCAGGTCAACATTTGGGATGACCACGATATCATTGACGGCTTTGGCTCCTACACAGATCACTTCATGAAGTGCGCTGTGTTCCGCGGTATTGGCGGTGTCGCGTTCAAGTATTATTGTCTGTTCCAGCACCACATCGCCCCACCCAAGTCGACCTTCACCACGGATGCGCCTGAGACTATGCACGCGGTGAACGGTACCTCTGGCGTGGACCCGCGCCAAGTCGAGAACACTTACGTCCTTGAGAACCAGCCCAAGGATGACAGCTGGATCATCGGCAAGCGACCTGGTCCGTACGTTGAGGAGTGTAGTCGCAGTCTGTACATGCGCTTCGGCAAGCGCATTGGATTTGTTGGTCTGGATGCTCGCACTGAGCGCACTCGACACCAGGTCAATTACCCTGAGACCTATGACCAAATTTTCCAGCGGCTACAGCAAGAGATTGAGGCCGCTAATGGCGACCTCAAGCATCTTGTCGTGCTTCTCGGCGTGCCCATTGCCTACCCGCGTCTTGCCTGGCTAGAAAACATCCTCACTTCGCCCATAATTGCGCCCATCCGGCTGCTGAACAAGCGCTTCGGCGTAGCGGGTGGTTTCTTCAACGAGTTTGACGGGCAGGTCGATCTACTGGACGATCTGGATGATCACTACACGGCGCGTCAGCACAAGCGCGAGCGTAAGATGCTCATTCAGAGACTGCAGGAGCTCGCGCGCGCCAATTCCATCCGCGTGACTATTCTCGGCGGCGACGTGCATCTTGCGGCGGTCGGCCGCTTCTACTCACACCCGAAGCTGAACCTTGCCGGCGAGAACGACCACCGCTTCATCGTCAATGTCGTCAGTTCCGCCATTACGAACAAGCCCCCACCCAAGGCTGTTGCGAACCTTCTAGCCCGCCGCAACAAGATCCATCACCTCGACCGCGAGTGCGATGAGACGCTGATGCCGTTCTTTGACAAGCAGCCCGGTGGCGTGGAGAAGAGCGCAACTTGGAATAAGGTGACCATGCCGTCGCGTAACTTTGCCACGTTAACCGAGGTCGTGGCGCCCATTACGAATGGCGATGGCGTCCAGCCGGTGACTGCCAAGCTCGACCGTCTGCCCAAGGACGGCCATGCTCCTTTGCACAAGGGCGAGGTTGAGGCTGGCTCGACGCACATTGCGGCGGATGGATTCAGCGCACACAGTGGCATGTACGGTGGATTGGACGTATCTATTCGAGTGGAGATTGATCCCCATGATCGAAAGGGGACGACGGAGGGATATGGATTTAGCAGTAAGTGATATTCTCTCTCGAGGGGTTGGCATTCTCCATGGTTTTTGCATGGGTCAAGTCGTGGCTAATCTTTTCTTTTCCTTTCTAGTTCCCCCACTGTTGGCTACCGAAGGACCGCCCGCCTCATCGCGTCTGAGCATCCGCTCGCGCATTTCTCGACAGAATTCGCGCCAGGAACAGGAACAGCCCGGACGACCTTCGACTGCGCTATAATCGTAATGTCTCTTTTCTTCCTTGCGGATATATAATCTCTTATTTCATTCGTTTTCAACCATGTTACTACCCCCTTCGTTCGATGTCTTTTTTTTTTTTTTTTGATACCTCTTTACGTCATGTTTCCTTGGTCACGTTTCGATTTCCCCACATTCTCCACTTCACCTGATGTACTTAGTATGCTTTTGGTATTGAGGTCTTTTGCCCGGTTACCAGGGAACCAACCCAGTATTAGGAATCCAGATGAGTCTATAGTTGCATCTCTGATTCCAGCTATGCGAATGTGATCGCCTTTGAATCATTCCGCTAGATAGGTTATGTGTTGAATATTATCCCATTCTCCAACGAGGGTACATGACCTGTACTCCGTACACCTTCCATGGTTATCATTGGTTGTGGCGCGCAAAGTATGACCAGTAGACTCGCGGTACGGGAGTACACTTTCGGGGTATACTTTTCTGGCTTCCCCTCGCAAGGAAGTAGTTACTCGTTGTGGTTTAGAACGGTGCTTATCAAGCCCGCCTGATTGACTGGTGGAATTGTGGTTCTCCACTTGAGCTGTCCACGCGAGCTTGCGATAGAGGGGCTGTAGTTGATAAGTTATTTATTTACAGTAAGTGTTGTCTGTACTGGTACTATAGGTACTACTGTATAGTAGTTGTTAGGTGTTACTGTTGGTCTAGTCTACCGAGGCCTTGAAATACTTCCCGTTGATGATAAGAGGAGATCCACTTCCCCAAAGTCAACTGACTAGCGCTGACTAAAGTAGTTAGTCGCTTTTTTTCTACTGGAGGTACTTCCAAGTACCGACTGTCGGACTACGGTCATGCTGTACTACTACTGTACGACTGGAACTACCACTGACAAGCTGATAAGATCCTGCCAATTAACTTAGTCAACTGAGTTTAACAAAGTCAACCAACCAATCCCCCCTGAGAAATAAACTAGACCCCTCTCCCAATGACCCAATCCCATCCAGATCCAGCAAGTCTTCCAGCCCATCCCCAAATCCAACCCCCCAAATCAAGCAGCTTTTCGGTCCATCCCCGATTAAGCAACTCTCTTGCCCATTCCCAATCCGTACACGGGATCCTGCATCTCCTGCCTGTGCCAAAGCTTGGCGCCTCGCGTTCACCTGCTTATCTCCTGCTTGTCGATGCGATGGTCGCTTATATTCCATTTCTCCTAGTTGGAAAAAGGAGGGTTTGTGGCCTGTGCGACCAATGCTAAGGTTTTGGCGTTTATGATTCTAGTGTCTTGTATATAAGGAGAGGCATGGTCGGGTTGGGCGGGTTGTGTTGGATTTTTGGTATTGTCTTGTACGACATTGTTTCTGCATGCTGCGTGTCTTGGAATTGCATCTGGTTGCGTTTGCAATTTGGAATCATATCTCGACTGTTGAGTGCAGTTACAGTACCTGCTCTTCCATCTTTATCTCGAGTCTAGATACTCATCGCTACACGCTATTCTCGCCTGCTAGCTGACCTCGGACCATCTTGCTGTCCGCGTCACAGCTTCAATTCAATCCACCACTCGTCCTTCTTCCTCTCGTCCTCCCGATAGGACTGTCGCAACGATGGGACTCGACACGCCCACCGAAAAAGATATACAAACGAGCAGTGGCTCACCGAGTCATGACCAAGAAGCTGGCGAGATCGCCAGCGTCGGCGAACGCGACGAGCTACACCATCTGGGCTATGAGCAGGAGATGCACCGCAATCGATCCGTGCTCACTCTGCTCTTCCAATCTCTCGCCATCGCAGCCATTCCCTACGGCGAAGGTAGCGCCCTGCTCAGCGCCATCTACGGCGGTGGCCCACTATCCATCTTTGTCGGATGGATCGTCGTCTGCGTCCTCGATCAATGCATCGCAATGTCTCTCGCCGAACTGGCCTCTCGCTATCCCACTTCCGCAGGCCCCTACTACTGGTCCTTCCAGATCGCCCGCAGCAGCAAAACAACCGTCTCCTTCATCAATGCCTGGATCTGGCTCATCGGCAACTGGACCATCACGCTATCCGTCAACTTCGGCTTCGCATCCCTAGTCTCCGCCACCATATCCATGTACCACCCAGACTGGAGCGCCAACTCCTGGCAACTCCTCCTCATCTTCTACGCCATCTGCCTGGCCAGTCTAGTCATCTGCACTTTTGCAAACAAATACCTGCCCCAAGTCGACATTGCCTGCGCAACCTGGACCGCCCTCACAATCGTCGTCATCCTAATCGCCGTCTCCGTCAAAGCAGATACAGGTCGCCACTCCGCTTCCTACGCCCTAGCCCACTACGACACCTCCTTCGCCGGCTGGGGCAACTTCACCTTCTTCATCGGCCTCCTCCCAGCCGCCTACACCTTCTCCGCCATCGGCATGGTCTCCTCCATGGCCGAAGAAGTCGCCCAACCAGCCATAAAAGTGCCCCGCGCAATCGCCCTCGCCGTCCCCGTGGGCTCCATCGCAGGCCTCTTCTTCATCATCCCGCTAACAGTCACCCTCCCCCCGCTGGAAGATATCATCAACTCCCCTGGCGGCCAGGCCCTACCGTACATCCTGCACCGCGTCATGGGCTCGCCAGGCGGTGGCCTAGGCCTCGTCTTCCTGGTCCTCGTCATCACCCTCTTCTGCAGCATTAGCATCACCGTCGCCGCAAGCAGAGCAACCTGGGCCGCAGCCCGCGACGACGCAATCCCCCTCGCCAAACTCTGGGCCAAAGTCCACCCCGGCCTCGGCGTCCCAGTCTGGTCCCTCGTCCTCCTGACCCTAATCCAAATGCTCCTCGGCTTAATCAACCTCGGGTCTACCAGTGCGTTCACCGCATTCGTGTCGGTCGGTGTGATCGCCCTTGCAGCCGCTTACGCCGTGCCCATCGCATTGAGTCTCTACCACGGACGCGAAGAAGTATCCCGCGCCCCGTGGAATTGCGGCAAAATCGTCGGAACAAGCGTGAATATTCTAGCACTGGCGTGGATTGGATTCGAGTTGGTGCTGTTTAGTATGCCGACCGCTTTGCCTGTGACGGCCGTTTCGATGAATTATGCTTCTGTCGTGTTTATCGGGTTTATGGCTATTTCGGCTGTTTGGTATGCTGTTTATGCTAGGAAACGTGAGTCCCTTCCACCCCACCCCATCCCATCCCCATTTGTCCTTGCATTCTTGCAAAAGATCCGTTTTTGGGGAGTGCCTGCGTACTAACCAGGGAATAGATTACAAGGGTCCGCCCGAGTCGGATGCGTTGTAGACTGTGTTGGGTTTGGGTATAAGTCTTTTGTATATGCTATTTCGGGGGCATTGTGGTATACCTTAATCAAACTAAATGCAATTTTTCGGATATAGCTTGTTCCCTAGATTCGTAGTATGTGTCATCTTGCCGTGGACTTCGGTATACCTGAACCTCTTCTGAGGGTGAGGTGGCACTATCCTCAACTATATCTCCAGCAGAGTTATACTGAGAGGCTCAGGCGCCCAAACCTTTACCATAGCAGTGTTCTAATACAGCGAGTCATCCCCGATGGCCATTTATACTCCTGGATCTAAGCTACGTACTTTGTATCTATTCAAAGGATGAGAAAATAAGCTTGTGGGGCGAGTGGAGCCACTACTCCGAACCATCAACCCAAATAAACATACACAGGCGCAGACTCCATGAATATCAGAGCCAACCAACCCTTCGGTCATCATAGTACCAATACACGATCTGTGGAGTGTAACTGGTGTATGTGTAAATTCTACTTAACAGTGCGACGCGATTCAGATTAATGACTCTTGTCCTGTTTTAGCGGGCCCCCCAGAGTACCAGTCAACTGATCAGATAAGATCAGTAGACACTGGGCCTCTACGCAAAAGAAGCAAAAAAGGAAATCTGGAGAGAAGCAATATTCTTTATCGATAGCGACAGGAGATCAAGCAATAGAGAAAAGGAAAACAGGAAGCCAGAAAGGGAATCGAGGCACTTAAAAAAAAAAACCAACGCACAAATACCATAAACTGCATCCTGCAAGGAAACAATCGCCGGTCCTGCCAAAGCCAAGGAAGGAAAGTAAGGAGCGTTCTCCATCATTTTCTTCACTTCATAGCCTCCCTCTTGAACAGTCTCAAAATAAGCTCATTCTCACACGCAGCTGCAACATCGATACTAGTCCTCTGTCTCTCGTCCTCGGCCATAGGGTCCAACCCCATATCCATCAACCGCTTGAAACGTCCCACGCCTACGCGTTCAGATCCCGGGTGATAACTTTGAAACACATGTCTGAGCTCGAGTTTAATTCCTGCAAGGAGATGAAGCAGAGTAGACCCATCATTTCTTCGGGCAAAAAGATCTGCCCCAGATTTCAGGAAGAATTCGAAGAAGGTGCCTTTATACGTCTGGTCTTCTGCCGACCCATACAGGCCTTCGTTATTTTGCTTCAGAAGGTTGAATATTGGTGTCTCTCCAATTTTATTTCGCACGTTGATGTCGACACCTGCGCTGAGGAGTCGTTCAAATAGGGCTTTGACCGATTCGTGGCGATAATTGGCAAGGTGGTGGAGTGCTGTGTCTCCATTCTTGTCCGGTTGGAGTGGATCTGCTCCATTGTCCAAGAGGAGTTCAACCAGATCGAGACGTTTGTCATGCAGGGCATAATGAAGAGCTGTCTCATTGGCGTGGTCGGTTTGGTTTATAAGGCTTGGGTTGGCCGTCATCACGGTCCGGAGGACCTCGTTAATGGAGATCACATTGATCAGATTTCCGATGTGATGTAAGATCGTTCTTCCCTCGTTATCCTGAGCCATGACATTTGCCCCACGATTGATGAGTTCTGGGAAGCAGTCTGTGGAGTTTACTCTTTGGGTTGAGTTTCCGACATAGAATTTTTCTCTGTCATTCTTGGATGCGGCTAATATCAGGGTGCAGCCATTCTCGTCACGGCGCTCAATATCCAAAGACGGCAGATTGAAAAACGGGTCAACAATATGGCCACCACTCAGAATTTCGTGAATTATCGTCGCGGTTGTAACTGGGAAGTCCTTGGGCTCCTCGGTGGCGCCTCTACGAGGGTGGATGGGTTGGTATTGCTGGTGATCAAAGGTAGCATATGGATCTGCTCCATGTTTCAAGAGGATATCCACCAATTGCTTCCTTATTTCGATGTTCGGGTTCACTTTCCTCGTACCTTCATTGCGAGCGCGGTACGCAGCTGCCCATAGCAGTGGGAAGGTTCCGGCTCCGACAGTTTTGAAATGATCCGGCCCAGTGCTGTAGAAGATTTGTTTCGGAAGCGGTTGCTTCAATATTGAACTTTCGCTTCGAGAGAGTAGAACCTCTAGCAACTCTACCTTTTCAAGTTCCAGAGCAGATATTATAGCGGACGGGCTAACTTCAGCTCCATGTGCAATCAAAAGTCTGACCATATCCATGTCGTCCCAGGCGATCGAAAGACATGTGTTGCCAGCAGTGTCAACCGCATTGACATCCGCACCGGCTCTTATAAGAGCTTTGGAAGCTTCCTTGGAAAATGGGTGACAAGAGTTGAGAGCAACGATGAGGGGTGTCTCTCCATTTCTGTTTCGGATATTGATATCTGCGCCCATTCGGATCAAATACGGCAAGGCTTTGTCCACATGCCACCAGAGTTTTCCAACGGCAAGCTCATGCAAAACCCCGTTGGTAATTGATGGGAAGTACCCCTTATCTCGAAAGATTCGCTGCGTTCCTTTCGCGTTGATGTTGGCTCCAAAGTCTTCAACGACCAGTTTCAGAACGTCCATGTTGGGAAGCTGTCTTTCGCAGGCAGAGATGACCAGTGGTATACTGCATTTTTTGAGATCGTTTTCGTCTGGATTGGAGATCCAGTCAACACCATCAAGCTGCGTCGCTACCTCTCGAGTACACAAGCGCTGGAGAAGTTCAACAAATCCCCATCGGGCAAGCATATTCAGCGATGTGTGTCCGTGATAATCAGGAATGGACAGGCTTTCAACCCCTCCTGCAAGCTTTTCGAACAGATCATAGTATCTCAAAGCCAGAGCTCTCTCCGCCGAGCGTTGCCGTGAAGATGCAACATGATCCGTATGCCACTTTTGTTCTTTTTCGTCTTCTGGCTTGCCGTTGCTCTCTAGGGTATCTCTTAGTGCATTCCGATAATTGATCGCAACCGATATTTTCAGCTGCCGGTCGGGATCCTCAAACTGGACGTGCCTCCCAATATGAATAACACGGGGCGAGGGAGATTGGTTTCTCAAGGGCGGAAGGCAAGAGATTGTATATCCATATTCAGGCTGGGCGGCATTTTTCCACGCAAACTCTAGAGATACGTGGTCACTCTCGAGATCAGCTCCATGTTTGACAAGCAGGTTTATGATCTCGATCATTCGTGTTGTATCATGCTCCGAACTAATCCTTCCGAAAGTGGGCTCAGTATCATCGTCAGCTCGGTCGTAGAATGGACGCGAGTCATCTTTCAGCGTTAGACCTGCGGCATTGAGACCCCTATCTGATTGTGTCTGTCGCGAGTTTGGTGAGGGCACTCGACGATCCCAAAGCGAGGCTTCCTTTTCAAATTCTCCACACATCGCGAGCGGAGAGTGCTTGTGGATGTCCAGAACATTACAGGCTGCTCCAGCCTCGAGCAAGGATTTGACAGTTTCAGGTCGGCCGGAACGGCATGCATAATGAAGGGCGGTTCTTCCATCTTCATCTTGACTGTTCACAAAGTCTAGGCGTGTCTTCTCAGAAAGAGAGGCTGCTCGAGATAGTAGCATATCGATGATTCCGGACTGACGTGCACGCGCAGCAAGATGAAGGACTGTCATCTTGTCATTTGTAGCTGCGCAAATGTTGGCTCCAGCGCTGAGAATCTTATGAACAAAGGTTTCAGAGATCGTAGCAGCGATATGTAGTGGCTGGATACCGTCATAATCACTGACTGTTAGACATTCGCACCGTTTGAGGACATAATCAAGGATGTCATAAACCGAGTCTCTAGATCGATTCATTGCCAAGTGTCTTGAACAGACAGCGTGCAAGACGGTTCGGCCTTTGTGATTGCGTTGGTTGATGTCCACACCCACTCCCATCAATCGCTCCAATATTTCTCGCTTTCCGTTCAATGACTGATGGGTGACAACTGCATGGAGCGGTGTGTTGCCATCATGGTCTGACACCAAAGGATCAACTCCTGGGCTTTGGAGAATAGAGTGTGTGTCTGGGCTGTCAATGGCACAATGCCACAGAGTACGGCCTTTGTAGTCACGCGTGTCAAGACGTGCACCCTCGCTAGCGAGGCGGTTTAGAGCTTCTGGTTTACGATGGGACTCGTTGCATCTTGACAGTTGAGCAAAAAGAACAGACTGGCCCTTGTTGTTTCGTGCTTCAAGATCTGCACCGGCTAGAAGAAGACTTTTGATTACTTCCCGACTGACTCCAATGCTCATTTCGTGCAACGGGGTGTTTCCCGCGGTATCTCTTGAATTTGGATTGGCGCCTGCAGCCAACAACTCGTCGATAAGCTCACGGGAGAGGCGGCTGCGCCTCAATGCGAGGTGCAATGGTCCGTTTCCTTTCGAATCGGTGACATTCACATCGGGCTTGTAAGCTAAAAACTCGATGATTTTCCGGTTATCACTCATGTTGTCTGCAATGTGACAGAGCAATGCGGTCCTTCCATCGCTTGCCCTGGGTTTATTGATATCCACTTTCCCACTCTCTAAGAGCAGTGATAGCGCTTCTTTCCCGAGCTGCGATGACGAATATAGAGCTGTTGCTCCATTGTCGTCCTCCATCGCAGGATCTGCACCTGCATCCAGCAGAGGTTTAATCCATTTGATCGATGACTTGAATGCGTAGTGCAAAGCCGTCGAGCCTTTGAGATCCTTCGCATTAATATCGGCGCCAGCTTGGTAAAGAGCCTTCACGCATTCGGCAGCTTGACTGGATGCCTGTGCTCCATACACAGAGTTTCTACACAGAGCATGAAGCGCCGTGTATCCCCTTCCGTTGGAACAAGGCGCTTCCTTTGGTACTGAAGAGAGAGATGCGTGTCCACCTCCTCTAACTGCTTCAAAAGTTTCGCACAACACCTTCGGATCCGCGCCAGCTTTGATCAAGACTTCGATTGTCTTATGATCTGCACTTTTGCAAGCCACGAATAGCGCGGTGCCACCTTGCAACTTGGAGTTGACATCGACTTCGGGTTGTTGTAATATTAGCTCCACAATGCTCGATCGACCTTTCTCGGCAGCCCAATGTAGTGCTCGGTGCATATCTTCCACATTGTTCAAACATGGAACGAATTCGACAACAGTCTCCAGGTGACCGGCATGGCACGCATACATCAAAGGGGTGTGGCCTATAGTACTAGGCCCAGGCGCACCGGCTACACATCCCCCCAGTGGTTTGTCGTTCTGTGTCTTTGGTGTCAATGGACTGACTCCAGCAGCGATTAAGGCTTTGACAGCATCCACATGGTTTGATTTGGCGGCTATATGCAATGGCTTCAGCCCTTCACTCAGTTCAGCATCCGGATCAGCTCCATAATCAACAAGCACCTGAATAACATCTCCGTGATTGTATGATGCTGCCCAATATATAGGCAAACTCACGGATTCACTGTCAACCACTTCGCCTTTGGACAAAATATGCTTTGTGAGTTGAGATAGACCAGTCTGGGCAGCAACGTGAAGGGGTGTAATGCCGTCAATATTCCAGCCCGGCCAGACCAGATGCAACCAAACATTGTATCGGTGCGTCTCTGCGAAAAAGGTATCAAGAGCGTCATAGAACATTTCCAGATTTTCGCCTGATCTCTCCGCTAGGCGGGCATGTTTGTACCAGTTGTTTGCGGCGTACTCCAAAAAGGGGAATTGCAACCGTACTTCGAATTTTTGCTTCTCCTTCCGGTCACGGAATCGGCTATGGCTCTCCCTCGGTATTGATTTTATAATCTCTATGTTGTCGAGACATCCTGCCCGCAAATAATACAAGCATGCCATCGCAAGGCGCAGGTTGGTTGAGCCAGCTTCAAAGATTGGATACTCAAATTTGTCCGTGGATCTCGATCTAGTGTAACCCTTGAGGAATTCGGTGAATGTGTGGTGGATGACCGATACAGTCTCATCGGGCAAAACCTCCAGAAGGGGTCCGCAGGCACTTCTGACCAGGTCTTTGATTTCTTTGAGGGTTCGATTATATTCGGAGTGTGTGTTCAACATTTCAGCAATTTCAAGAAGTCGTAGCGGGCGTGTGGCGTGGGTGACAAATTGAAGGATCAGCAGTTGGAGCTCAGAAGGCACATTCGATCGCCGAGCATGCTCCCGTAGAAGTTCATTATACATAGTGTTCAGGTCCATCGGTAGCGCTTTGAGAGCCTCTTGTACATCTGCGCCAGACTCGAGGAAGACATCCATAGACATTTTCGCGTATAAGAATATTCCATTTGCCCGACCAGGAATCGCTTCTTGAATAGCAGCCCAATTTTCTTTCGCGATAGATGAGCCAAAAAGCTTATACTGAACATATGCCGCGATATCAAGATCCACAAGTCTTTCTTCTAGTCGCATTTGAGGGATAGAAACGGACCTCAAAGACGTCTCTAAGCGGGTTATTGGGCGCGATGTCATTAAAACCTTGACATTTTGTGGACGCCATTGGCCTAGTTCGATCACGCTTTTCAAAAAGTCATCATGTCCTAGGTCTATCTCATCCAAAGCATCTATCACACAATAGGCTTTAGGTAAACCTCACAATGCCATCATGAAGTCGCTCCACAGGTCGGCTGGCGACAAACTATCAAGAGATCGATCTTGTGCAACGTATTTTTGAAGTTTGACTTGTAGCGGAGGGCTGTAATCCAGAACTTGACACAGCCAATCTCGCAACGCAGCAATAGGCTTGTGGTTAGCTTCGATGATCTGGCGGAAGAAGAAGTAGACCACCGGGAGATTCGCCTCCTGCAGTTGCTTGATTATAAAAGCAGCCATGACAGACTTTCCGGAGCCCGGTATGCCTTTGATCCATAGCAATCCATTATCACCAGAGTGCCACTGCTGATAGACTTGGGTTGATGTGAGCCAAGTACCAGTTCCGAGTAGATGTGAGGCACTATGCCTAGAGTATTCGCCTCTTTCGAAATCATATGGAGTTGGCTGAAGCCATTTAGTAATTTTGGCAAGTTCGTTTGCCGGTAGTGGGAGTATGTTGTCAGAGTTAAAATCTTGAACATCTCCTGCATCAAGCACGACGGTATCACTGTCAGAGTCTGATAGAGACATGATTGCATGAACTTCTCTCTCCTAGGGCAAAGGAGGAGGAGAGGAGGGTTGTTAAATGAGAGACATTATGAGTGACAGGGAACCGCTAAGACATGCTAAGACGTGGCCCATGCACACATTTGTACAGCCTCACAGCCTCATCTCCCCACTTGCCCCACGGGCTGCTTCTAATGATTCGTGGACGCTGCAGCCTTTCTCATACAAGAGAATTCATCCAGATCATCGCATGCAGTGTATGCATATTAGTTCCACATGATCTTAGTTTTCCAGCCTAAACCAAGATCATCGTGGGTCAAGACCATCGCTTAAGCGAATGTGGGTAGTAAGATATGCATATATACTGGATAATGTCTGGCAACTCTTGGCGATTCCCTTCCGTTCTAGTGCTCACCCTCTTGCCGCTTTTCCTCACTGAGTAGAATTGAGGACGCCCCTTAGCGACCTGAGCTGGTCAGTGGTCATTCCGTAATTAAACTGACCCCACTCTCTGAGCCTGACCTGTAGCCTGATTTACTTACTGAGCCTGACCTGATTTGATCACTGATGATCCGAGCATCCTTGATTTGCTTACTAAGCTCTGACGAGCGACTGGGCGACATGAGTAAGCTGGCTTAATAAAACGTGACACGCTAACTAACTAACTAGCCCGATTCCTGTGCAATTTTTTATTCTCAGATAACATCTCCTATCCCCCCAACAAAGTGTTGGCGTCGTAAGTTTACCACTGACTTGGCGATCTTTCCCTGTGCAAGCGGAATGTACGTATTTTGTGATTGGATATTTGCCCTATTCTAGATTTTATGCTCCTAGAAGCATTCTTCTTCACTTCCCGTGATACATTGGTCAGATTTGAGAGGTCTACAGAGGCAAATGTGATGAAGTGTGATTCCTTGATGGACGAGGATATTTTGGTTGGAAAGATCTTGGGGGGTTCGACGTTATGCCATGTTCGCGATATTGTGTGGAACAGACGGGAACGAAAGATCTGCTATCCGCATATGCCCAATCAATTGCTCCTGGAAGCATCAGTGTGTTCCTAGGAATCCCTTAAGGCGTGCGGGAGTTTAAGCCAATAAACTCGTCTGTTCAGGTAAGATATTCTTCTAGGTTTCCAGGAGCTTGAGTTTTACCAGGGCATCATATTATTGCCGCCTATTCTTAATGAGATTATCATCACTCGCCTACTTCGAGATGAGACATTGGTTTTCAAGGAAGAAGACGGACCTGGCGCATCAGGGTTGGAAAAGTGTTCTCCAAGTAGGAAAAGACACCACAAGTCGTCAAATCTAATCTTGTAAGGAGGAGTCTCACTGTTGGAATCCTTGAAATTGGTGATACAGGGGCATAAGCTGTGTTTCGACGAAATTGACGTATACACGCATGACTCTCAGTGCCTTAACACTGTGTATGATATCTGCAGAATGTGTTCCTTCCGAGTCACTTCTGCTGCGAGACATAATGACTTCTCCAGCTTTCGTACTGACCGCATTTCCACAGACCGGAACTAGTTGAGTATCGCCAGTGGATTGTTCGTGTTAAAGATCGGTGCCTTTAGCTTCTAGCTGACCGAGTATCCCTTGCATGGTATCGTGGTGGTGGATCAGAGGCTGCAAAGATCGTAATCCGCGTTTTTCGACCGTAGCATATCACATTATTGAGAATGATGAGAAGAGGCAAAGATTGGATTCGAAACCTGTAAGGTGACCTCTTACTGGGCGTGGAGCTGGATCTAGAATTGAAATTTGCTTGATTATCCCGGATGAGGACGCCATATCTGGTCATGAACTGTCTAGGCTGGCGCTCCGGCAGACCCAGCAAAACGATAGAAGTTCTGCAAATCTCCTCCATGCAGCTCAATCAAAAACTCGCAATTCTCGCATGGATCGGCAACTCTAGTCCAAAAATTGCCGCTGAGAGTATCTTCATACTGTGCTGCCTTCAGCGCTTTCTTGCGTAGAGCTAGGCCGTGAACATTTTGATTGTTCACATCAAGCCCGCTATACATGATGTTGCATTAATATAGCTTGTTGCCGCAAGAAAGTAGAGAATCACTTACGCAAAAGATGAACTATGGGGTATGTCTCCGCGCAATTGCCGATGGTTTGGTATATTTCGGGCTTCTTGTTGAAGGACCATCCAGACAGCGTGACAGGATCACCCCCCACAAGCCAGTATCTTCCTCGCTTAACAGGCAAGGGCCAAGACCCAACAAGGTTATCCTTGAGAACGCATCCACCAAGCGAAGCACCGAGAAAGAATTTATCCGCGCCCGGTACCCAGAGGCAGCTGTACATAGCCGGCTTATGTATAGTGTCGAGAAGCTGATTACACCACTGGCCATACATTGCTGTTAGAGGCAGGTAGAAGTTACGCTTCGTTGCTCCTTGCGGAGCAATGCCAGGTGTCGAAATGAACAAGCCGAGCAAATCTGTCGGGCTCCAGTAAGGGATACGATCATGTTTGTGCTTTCTAAGCTTGAACTTAGAGATTCCCCGACAATGCTGGCTGTTCCATCTAGGGTTGAACTTCCGCAGAATATGATGAGGCGGGTTCAATCTCGCGTCTGGTGACCGATATTCTGTCCCAACGGGTGCACTACGTCACATGTTAGTTTGCTCACCCTAATTAGAGAGGACCGCAGAGAAGCAGAGGGGACTAATTTGATAGTTCATGGGTACCTGAGTTCCCTGATCTCCCGGCATATATCTGCCAATTTAGCCCCATCTGCAACAGGAGCGCCAAAATGCACGGGCGACACGACAACAGAGCAAAGGAAATTAATGATCTAGTCGTACAAAAAGGTGGGTCAGTAAATGCTTCTCGCTCTCTTAGAGGTGGCCGCTAGGATTGATTACCATATCGCGGCTCCATGTATACGCTGCCCGGATATCAACTTGCCCATTGAAGGCTAGTAGGATCTGCTCTGAGAAGGGAGCGGCAGCAGCCGGGCCTAACTGACCATGAATCATGTCGATGAAATTTCTCACGGGCCACAATAGAGTGTAGACGGGGAAGGCAAAACTACGACGACAACGAAAAGTGGGAGGTCTTGAGATTTCGGTGTTGACATTATGCCTATCTAGATAAATATAGAAGGAACGCACGGCAACGGGGCCCCCGAAGATAGGAACCCCTCCAAGTTCATTTATCTAAGAATTTTCTTGGTCTTTAAGGCCTCCTCTCCCTTTTCCTTCATAATCTTGATGATTTCATCCAGTGTTGTCGGAGAGGTGATTTCAGAGACAGCGAGATCGATGCAATACCAGAAGTAGAACTTTCCGCCGGCTTCAAACATGTAAGTAAGGCCTCTGTAATTAAACATGATCGGGCGGCCTATTCCAAGATTCAACTCTGCACACAGCCATTGTCCTACACTATCATCTGCCTCCCAGTCATCCTCGTCCTCGAGGTCCTCGGGTTTTGTGCCCCACCCGGGGGGTGGGTCAGTCTAAGATCTATATTAGGGTTTAGTACAAAGTTTTGACAGCGACAGGCTTACCACGATGGCCATTATGTTGGATTTGATAATAGAGCAGAGTTTTGGGTATGTAAGGTGAGTGAATGGGTAGGTTCGTGAGGTCGGAAATGCGTCATGAACGGCGGCGAGTGGACTCAAAAGTTTCAAGCCCACCCCGCCGTTCAGATAGGAATGCGATTAGTCATCATGTGACAGGTGGGTACAATTCAGTCCAAGCACAATTTCTCTAAATTGAATATGTCTCTCGTGGCTCTATAGGCTTTGCCATATTTCCATGGCCATTCAGACCACCTACCCTGTACAAGCTAATGATGCTCCTCTATACATCACAATTGAGAAAATGAGCGAATGGAGCCCCTACTCGTGACCATCGACGGGAAGCATCATGTTGTACTCAAGTGTGATTGAGTGAAACCCCATCAAGAATAGAAAGGCAAAAGCTCCGGGAATGTCGAAGCTTTTCCAGTCTGCCATAATAGCGCTCACAGTGCGATGAGCAAGAAGCGCGGAGTGCGGAGGTTGTCAGTCAGGAGTAGCGAAAGTATTTCTGCTACTAAATCTTACTTATTACCTAGCAGGCATATAGTACTAGTCAACAAATCGGTATCATTTATCATGGATTATATTGATGGCACTACAAAAATAAACTACGGACACGGGAAGTTGAATCCTAATGGGTGAATCATAATTTCCCTTCGGTTCATTCTGAGTTGTATATCAAATAGAGCTTTGGTTTCCTAATATAATATCAACGTTTCTTGCGGCATCATCTACATTGAATGAATCATGTAACATCCATAAAGCTACAACAGAAAGTGTGGAACTATCTGAATGAAGGTGGCATATCGACTGTAGAATATCTGTGGAATTGACAGCTATATGACGTGGCAGAACTTGGCTATTTGAGGACGACTCTTAAAGCGAGGGATGGCGGGGGCACAGCTATCCCATCACCTGCTCATTGATGAGGTCGAGATTCCACAACCCACTGCTTCTGTAACGTTAGTAAGCCTGAAAACTGATTCCAAAAACATACGCGAGGCATACGTTACGCAGTAAAATTCCCAATTTCGTTGATTCAAATGAAACTCAAGAAAATGCAATGTCTGTAGACAGCTAAGTCCTGGACTTTACCTTTTTTTAAATGTATATCTAATGGCTAGCAAATAAGTCTAAACTAAAGGACTAAACATGCCTGTACACGACTGCTCTATCTCGTATATCGTTTACTTTGAATCAGCAAGTATGCCGTTCTCAAAGTCATTCTCGCTACAACCCCGTCGCTGACGAGCAGCGCCCTCATTAGGGAAATGCATCGGCGTAGGAAGAGACGCATCGCTTGGACGCCGGCGACGAACGAGCTGATAACCCCGGTCGAGTTCAATCTCGATTGCCTCGCGGACTTTCAAGGCACTGATCGCGGGCCAGACGCCGCGCTCGCCTTTTAATGTCCAGTCTGCTACCCTGGCGCGGGTGGGCTGTTGGAAGAGCTTGGGTAGGTCGTTGATAGATAGATCCGGGACGAGGGTGAGATTAGCTCCCGGGATGGTTTCGTCGATGAGGAGTCGGCTAAGCGATGCTGGGAGGAGACCCATGTAATCGAGTTGGCGAAGTCGGTGACGGAGTTCGACTAGTGTAAGTCGCATCATAGAGCGGGATAGATTGCTCCAGCCTGTTTGGCGGCGGTCGAGGAGGTTTAGCTCGGAGCGGAGGAATGGGATTAGGTAGGGGCGGGCTTGGGAGACGATGAAGTGGTTGACGTTGAAGAGTTCGGCGATTCGGGAGAGGGGGGATTCGCCGTCGCTGTAGGTGACGTGTCTCCAGGGTTGGAATACAGCCTCCTTTGTGTGTGGCCAAGGGACGATTGAGCCGGTTTCGTCTTTGCAGTAGATTGTAACTGGTGAAGAGAGTATAGAGACTGATGAGGCATTGGAAGCCGCCGCAGCGGACCAGATAAGCTGTTGGACAGGTCAGTCGATGGCTTCGTCATATCAAGCAGAGCAATCTAAAGTCAATACACGAATAAAATGTAGAACATACCACATTCGGCGCAGTCAGATAATTGAGCAGATTGGGTGTACCAGTCTTGCCAGCCGTGGCAATCGTGATATTCAAGATCCGCTTGGACCGAGCATACGCCTCTTCAAAGGTCAAGTCGCCGACATTATCTCGAACACAGTCCTCCAACAACTCCATATCATATAAATGTCCCTTCCGAAGCAATCGCTTCATTCGCCGCACAAAAGTCGACATCCAACTCTCCTCCGCATGCTCTTTGCGTCGCTGATCAAAGGCGGATAGATCAATCGTTTCGCCTTCAAGCAAAGCAAGTAGTTCGCTTTCAGGGTGAATACCCACCAGCGCTGCAATCATAGCCCCAGTCGCGGTACCTGTGATAATTCGAGGAAGAAGGCCCTGTAAATGCAACGCCTTGACGACGCCGAGATGGCACAGTCCAAAAGCCGATCCACCCTGTAGCAGCAGCGTCGTGCGTCCAAAGGCCTGACGAGTATCGTGTAGCAGTTCCAGCTTCGCCTGCGACGTGAACCCGCTCGCCTGCATATGTGCAGGTTGTAGCGAGGCCACGTACTGGATGGACAGAGCGACTTGCGTGATGTAGTCATCAATTAGGAGTTTCGTTCCGGCGTATGCATGGGTAAATAACTTGGTGGATGTGATATTGCCCAGATTGCGCACGAGGCCGGAGCGAAGGAGATTGACTAGTGTGAGAATGTCCTCGCCTTCGCGGGCACTCATCAGTGCCTCCAGCCGGCCGAGGATGAGCCGGTAGTCATAGTGTCGACTGACGGGATTTTGACGCCTGTATGCGATTAGTGGGAGCAAATTCACAACTTTGCCTAAGTCGGACTATACCATAGGTCCTTGCTCAAGAGCTCATCCAGCTCGAATGCAGCCTCCTCCCATCGCTCATAGCTCTGCGCTGTGGCCAGCGTGTGAAGCAAGCGGGTCTTTGGGGACTTTGATTTCCACCACGAGAACAATTTCTATATATTCGTGAGTCGTTTTTCTCCCATTGCTCGGCCAGAGTCTAAGCTGTCCGCGGGGGGTTGTTACGCCGTTGAATCGTTGAAGGTTGGGAAGTCCTCCAACCCACCACGTTCTACTCCCCGCGGAGCTAGCTAGCTGACCCTGGGATGGAACAACTCACCTGCTTCCAGAACTGGGCGACGTCCAGCATCATCCCGAAGATTGCGGAGAGAATACTCCACAGACCGAGCAGCCAGGACCCCATTTGCGCGCGATCAGAGGAATTCCAGCTCGGGGGGGGAAGGCCTGCCGGTGGAGCGCCGCTTTCACATGCTATTTATGGCGTCACGCGCTGGGCTTCGCAGTTGCAAAAGCAAAGCGAGCGATAAGGCCGGATCGAGGGTGGAAGGCCAGTGCAGGTGATGAATTAAGTTGTTAACAGGGAAATTGTATCGTAGACTTTGTGTATTGTAGACTGCAGAGCACGCGGGAGGGCCAAAGCGGTTGATGTTGGGGTGGCAGGCCTGACGGACGGACTGCCGAGAGTTGAGTGGTTGAAGTTGTGTTAATCGGGAGTGGCCAGTTCGTTCGCCCGTAGCAGGAGCCCAGAGATACCAACACCGTCTCCTCCCTTGGGCATGAATTGATGTATTTCGCTGTCCAAGTCGGATTCTACAAGTTATTACATCTAATAGATATGCTCAGGCCATTATCGATGGTATTTCCACCTCAAGTCTTCTACTCGACGGTCGGATCATGCAAGAAGCATCATGAATAGAAGAAATAATCGACAATACAATTGCACTTTCGTTACATGCCTCATTACAAAGTTTGATGCGTGAAGTGGAAAGGAAAATTGTGAATTTTGCAAGGTCGTTTGTTTTTTATCATTTCGCTTTGCTTCCCTAAAATGCAAGTAGGCGAAATTAAAAAAGAAAGCTTCTCCCGGACACCCGAACCCAATTCAAGGCGACATTTTCTTTACTCCTCGATGATGTTGCCCCGCTCCGACACGTACAGACCGTCCAAGAACTACAGGGAAAAAGGAATTAGTACATGTGTCGTAGTCGTAGAAGTGGAACACTTCAATCCCAGTTTCCCAGGCACGGAAGGGAAAGGATAATTATCCAAAACTTACCTTACGGATATCCTTGTTCCGGACACGGCAGATCTGCTGAATGTCGGCGGCGCTCTGGGAGACGTCCTCCAGGGAGTTGCCGGAGAGCTGGAGCTCATCCTTGACGTTGGCAGAGGTGATAATATCAACGCCGGGGCGGGCAGAGACGCGGCGGACGTACTTCTCACCCAGGAAGTTGCGGATCTCGATGTCGGAGCCGCCGGTCTCGGCGTTCTTCTCGATGTTGACGTTGATGGGGAAATGGGCGTAGACGTAGCGCATCTTGTACAGGAAGCCGCGGGTAACACCGATGATCAAGTTGTTGATGATGGTGCGGACGGTGCGGAGGGTAGCGACACCCTTGCGAGCACCGTGGTGCAGCTCGATCGAGATGATGTCCTTCTCGGGGCGACCGAAGGTAACGGCGACGTGGGACAGGTCCTTGACGAGCTTGCCGCGGGGGCCCTCGACGGTCACAACCCGCGAACGAATGTGAACCTTCACTGTAAGGAAGAAAAAAGAGATAATCAGCCGGGTCTGTTCTTTTTGCAACTAGTTTATTTTTGCGCGTGTGCATGATTTTCCATCCAGGGACGGTGTTCCAGTTCCAGATTCCAACAAGATGCTCAAAATCTTGGGAATTTTTCCACCTCTTGCTGGTGAGTGATAGCGGCGTTGTCGCAGTCGATATAGAGATTTTCGTAGTATTCTCCTTTCGCCTTTCCTCTCTGTTGCTCATGGTCTTGTCTTGCCATGTCCCACAAAGAGAGGCGCAACTATCTCCCACCACCGTTTCCCACAACACACATCCCTGAAATCCAAATCTCTTTTCCTCCGAAAAGCAAGAAAAAGTCGTAGCTCACCATTGTCCGGAATGGGCAGCCGTTCCTCGGAGTGAATGTACCGCATCTTGACTGCGTGGGTGGAATTGGCCGAGGGGGTTGAATTGTCGATGTCGGGAGGATCAAAATTCGGCTTGGAGTTGATGGTGGAGCGAAATTGCACGTCACGAGATTGTGCGTCGCTTAGGGCCTGTTCGGGATTAGCGTAGGGTTGCTTATCGGGTGATCTTTATCATCACGTGATTGGTTATGAGCGGACATTTGTAACCTGATTGATATGGCATTTCAGTTTGTCTGGGTTGCTCAATGGAAATTATGTAATGGTCACGTGGTCAAAAGCTCGCGCTCGCGCTCGATTCTTTGATACAAATTATGTACACTACCCAATAACAACTCAATAAACGCCGGTCCGTATCCAGGACATGGTCATGACAAAAGATAGTTCAACAATTGCAGTCCTCCCTCACAATTACGCAGATTCCGGAGTCTTATGCACGACCTCCGCAATCCACTTCCCGCCCAGTTGTCGTAGCTTCGATGCCAGCTCGTCGCTCTGATCCAGGGCAGCCACGTCGTCTCCACCTCCAATACTCTTGCCATTCACCAGGACATTGGGAACAGTTCCCCGTCCGGTATTCTCCTTCAGAAGTTGTTGAAGAGCCGGTCCGATCGGGTGCTGGTCGAGCTCAACGACGAATGGCTCTGGTGTGATATCGTAGTGGCCCAGCAAGATATTCTTGGCTCTCTTGCTGTGCGGACAATAGGATTTGGAGAATATGATGACTAGAGCAGGATTGCGGGTTAGTATTGGGTTTTAAAACTCTTTGGAAATGCGTAGCAATCAAGCCGCCGTAGTGGACAGCGCAATCATACCTGGAGCTCTCTTCAGAATCGAGTTCAGCTCGCTCTTTGCATCCAGCTGCTCGGCGCTCTCCTTCTCATCTTCCACCTTCTTGTCCTCGTCCGATGCCCCCGTATTCAAAGACGAATCCTGCACACCCTTGGCCTTGGGCACCGTCATCTTCGTCCGCCCCGCAATAGGAATCTCCTCCATTTCCTCGTTCTTGTTCTCCGTCCCCTTCGCCAGCGGCACAGCGGGTCGCTCGACATCAGCACTGCCAACCTGCGCACCTCCAGCGCCGGTGCCGGGCTTGACAGTAGTATCCTGGATCTTATCGTTCGGTTTCGTATGCTTCGCCTCTTCCTTGGCCCGCATGGCTTCCAGTGTAGATCGGTAGAACTTCTGGTTCTGTATTTTGCTCGCTTCGTCCTATAACGCAAACAGTCCGTCAGAAGCATACTCCAAGAAACGTGTGCAGAATTGGAAAGAAAGCGCGGTGGCAAGCAAGACGTAGAGGGGCTTCTCAAGTCATACCGAGTAATAAAAGGTCAAGACCAAGATCGCAATAACAGCGACGACAAGCAGTCGCACACGCCGTTGGGAAGGCATCCTGACGCAATGCCGCTTTCACGCACTCCTAGTATCGTCGCTAAATGTCGTTCAAAGGCTCAGGGGGTGGTAGAAGTAGTAGATGCGACTAGGTTCGTAAGCAGGATGTTGGTTGGAAAAGGGAACCAAGTCTAGAACTGCAGCGACAGAGGCCGAGCATAGAAATGTCCCGAACCGCCGTGCTCCTCGGGGTCCAATCTGGTAGCGCAACGTAACAGGTTCGGCTGCGGGCGCCAAGAAATTGGTTGATCAAGCTTCTGCGCGCTGGCTTGGCTGGGTCATGGACGGTGTATTTTTTAGCGAATGGTGATATATTGCAGTGATGATTCTGAGACGGTGTTCGTGTTGATTGATTCAAGAATGCGCTGAATTAGGTATATAGCGTCTTGTGTGAGACATTTGGCGGTGGTTCTTGGGGGATGTGGGGATGGTTTCTGATTTCTAGGGGTAAGCGCCTGGTCAGCGTGTCATCCCTGAAGGCGGGCGGGACTGGGACCGGTCTGAGCGCGATGCTTGGCATGGGGTAAGCTACGGAGTGGCATGGTAAGAGGAAGCCTCTTAGCGAGCTACGTTATTTCATCAATTTGCAGGGCAGGTTCAATAAGATGAAATTAGTTTGAAAGCTGACATGGGTATTTTGCTAAATCACAGGGTTTTGGTCCAGGCGCGACTCCACATGAATCCATAGACGGGGCGTACATCAGCCACTATTAGGTTTATGTAGTATGGTGGTAGGGTGCATAATATGTGTAGGTAGAGGGAGAATAGCCAGGATTCGGGACCACAGAGCCTGCTGTGGTACCTGGTGGGAAGATGATGGTGACGATTACGGGTGATTAGGAAGTGGAATAGGACCACCGGGGTATGGTTGAGGGCAAGGGTAAACGTAACGCGTAGGAGTGAGGAAATGAGGGTCAAAGAGAAGAGAACGAGGAGGTTGAAGTGTGATGTCCAGGATCTTGAAGAAGGAAGAAGGTTTCATCTAACCATTCCTGATCAGGCTTGGAGGGAAAGACTCGGTCGTGTAGCCTGTTGAGCAGTCGCCCGACGACGACCCTGGACGATGGTCGTCCAGTCTTCCCACTCCTTGGCAATCTCGGTCAGGACATTGCCCATCACGCTCGCAGAGGCCATAAGACCGTGGCCTTCGCCCTCGAGGATTCGCACCTCGCAGCGCCGCATTGTCTTGCCCAGCCATTGGACATTTTCGACCGGCACGCGAGTGTCCTTGCTACCATGGTGGATCACAGTAGCTCGTGTGATATCCACGTAGCGGAATCCGATGGTCTGGCGACGTTCCAAGCATATCAAAAGGTCAACCGCAGGGTTGGCATTGGCGGTGGCCAGCGCCCAAATCTTGTGAGTGAGTCTGGTGTCATAGTCCCGCTGTCTTTCCACCTCTTCCTCTGGAGACTTGGCACGTGATCCGAGAGTCGCATCACTTTTTCTGTACGCTGCATGGGTGACATTCGATGGTTTGGAGGGTTCCACGGGCAGGGGAGATTTTGGCTCAATGCTCGAAGTGGCGGCTGGTAGGGCAGGGGCCTCTTCCTTGGGGGCTTCTTTGGTGGTCTTCTTCTTCGCTCGTCGTGGAGACTTGGGTAGGCTAGTAGTGATGCTAGCACTAGTAGCACTCATGAAGCTGGTGTTGGCCACTTTGAGAAGAGACGTGGGAAGAGCACGGAGGATTCTTTGAGAGTAAGGGACGGCATTGGTGGGCACGGGCTCTTTCTGGGAGCCGATGCTGGAAAGTTGGGACGGAGGGATCCAGGGAGCAAGGAGATGGATGCGCCCGCGGATGTGCTGAGGGATTCGCAAGGCCGTGGCCAGAGCGTAGATGGCACCGGCCGAGTGAGCCAGGATGGAGAATTTAGTCACCCGTAGATAGTTACACACAATGGCAACATCATCTACTCGGGAGTTAGCCGGAGAAATGACTACAAAGAATAAATAGAACAAAACTTACCTGGCCAACTGAGAGGAGTGCTGGGTTCATCCAGTTGATGTGGCCCACTTTCACCAACCCCGGGACGGTCGAGGGTTACCAAGCGCAGGTTCAGCGTCCGGGCAAGCTCATCATAGAATGCCATGAGATACCGGGTGAGTCCCATGCCGAGACAGCAAAGAACAACGTGACCCTTGGGATCGCCCACCTCAGAAAATGCGATGGTGCGGCCCGTAGTTGGGTGGGGTACTTTCTGGGTGAGTTTCGGAGAGAAGATATAATCGTCCACAGCCAGGTCGATCGAATCTGCACTGGATGGTCTCTCATTATTAAGTGAGTGACGGCCGACCAGTGTAGGACCAGATGGCGTTCGGCGATGGGACAGGGTGGGAGAGGTGGGCTCCAAGGACCGTCTGTAACCGTTTTTCTCATGCTCGAGTTTGTCAGACGACTGTCTTTGCATCTGGGGAGAGAAGTTGGTAGGCTTGGAAGACAATGGTTGACCCGGCCTTCCGGCACGGCTCTTGCCAGTCATGACTGATGGCGACGGAGCACTTTCATTCATGGCCGAACGATCATAGACAGAGCCGTTCTGCGGTTTGGAGAGGCGGCTCTGATCCACTTGGCTGGTGCTGCGTGATGGCTTCGACGGTTTGACAGGTGTGGTCGTTGTAGACTTGCTGGGGCTATCATCAACTTCCAGCTCACTTTTGATCTTCTGTTGCTGGTCTTTCAGCTCTTGGATCCTCCGAGTCACCTGCTCCGCGTCGTTGCTCGATCCCGGCAGTCCATTCTCTGCAAGGGTGGAATCCCGGCTGGCAGTTGACGAGTATCGGCTGTGACGAGCAGACCTCCGCTTCTTCGAGCCGGAAGACTGGCTGTGTCGGTGACGCAGAGAAGAGTCCCGCGTGGGAATAATTCGACCGCTTCCAATACCACCAGGGGTATGGTGCGCGTCGGGGGTGTTCTGAATTGATGGCTGGTCCCGGGTCGGGGGGTGCTGGCAACTAAGCCCTCACTTAGTTCCTCTTTCACGCCATTCTCCGCCAGTCCACTCGGCCCATTTTCCTCGGCGACATCCGCCATGGAGTACATGGAGCGCAAACTGGCTCGACTCCGTGGAGTGTTGTGCCACAAACTATCGCTATGGCTGGTGGTCCGACGCAGGCGATCAGCCTTCGTTTCCTTATCGTTGTTGAACTCGCGCGATGACTTTTTCAACAAGCCAAAATGACCTTTCAAACTCTTCGTTCGTCCGGCGGAACTGTTCGACGCAATGCTAGGAGCCTTCGAGAGACGAGGGGCGGGCTCTGCGCTAATGGTCCCGAATACGGATTCTTCCGGTGCGGCCTTTAAAGATGTGTAGGAATCTCTTGATTCTGGCCGAACAATTGAATCTGCTGCTTTGAATGGTTTGAATCTCGGAGAGCGGGGGGATTTTGGCGATTTGGGAGATGGGGGCGCTCTGGCCATGCGAATAACGGGCGACGAGGCGGCATCATCTGGATGCAAGAGACTATGCGGGGGATCTTCGGTGGTTGCGTAGGAACCAAAGTTCATTCCAAATCCATTCTGCTTGGAAGGGGGGATGGTGAAGCACGGTGCAGTTTGCGGAACATCCGGCAGGCCAGGGTCGGAGGAATCTTTCGAGTCGATGCGCGGCACGTTGTCGAAATGCGAGTTCAGGGGTACCGAGATCGCGGATAGGGATGAGATCAGTGACGAGATGACTTCGGGCGACGTTGGATCTGTCGAGGAATTAGGGCCGTGGCCGCGCAGAGGGAGCGACTTGCGACGGCGACGGCGATTGAGTAAAGCGGATTCGGCCTGCTGGGGCGGCTCTGGGAAGGGCTCTTCGAGATGCATGGCGTTCAATAGTTCAGTCGTCTCAGGGATGGTATACCCGCCCGCGAGTCCGGGGGTTTCAGACACGGGGGGAGAGGGAAGATCAACGAGAGATGCAGGGTGGGAGTCGTCGAATGGCCACGCGCATGTTCTGCTGCAGTTGATGGATAACTGCTGCAGTTCCTCTGAAGGGGAGAGGGGCGCAAACCTAGTTATCGGGTTTTGCTTTGGCCCTAGTGAAAACCCCCTTACTGGTGGTGGAGGGACTGACAAGGAAAAATGAACGAGAGGAAGATTGAGAGAAAGAGAAAGAACAAAAATTCGAAGACGGCAGACGGGGAAAAAAAGAAAAGGAGTGTGGCAGGAGAGAAAGTTGAAGAGGATGAGTAGAAAAGAGGGGAATAAGGAGTGAACCTCTCGTGACTACTTCAAGACGAAGTCGAAGAACCTCCGGAGAAATGATCGCTCGTTTTTGGAGGCTGGTTTTAGCGTTCGCGAGTTCAGCTCCACCGGAATGGAGTCCAATTTCCCACTCGTTTGTGTACTTGCAAGTCACGAGTTTAACTTCGTACCACCACTGCTCCTCCTACGATGTACTACTCCCTACAGTAGTAACTAGTAAGTGTACCGAGTAACCTACTTGGGAATTTAGTTTAACGCCGTCCAGCTCCTTTGGGAAACTTTAACATCCGATCCATGGATCCCTCGTGGATTGGTCAATCTTGATTCTTATTTCTCCAGTCCGGTTATTCTTGTAGAGTTCGATGACCAGCGAGAAAACTCAATGCTTATATACTTCATAGTTTCAGCCTCAGTTCATTCCAGGTAGACCCTCTCGATCGAATGCCACCAAAAATGCAGGGTCTTCTAGAAGACCCTACGGGGCCAGAGCACATTTTCTGGAGTGTTGCCCATCCTGCCAAGTGATCGGCGCGATCTCGGAGATGAGCGCGTCCGGCATTATTCGAGGCGCAGGGTTGGGACGAACTGCATGGGGTATGCATCGAATAATCTGACAGGAGTCTGGAGCAGAGATGTGCGTCACCCATACTATACTCCGTACATGGTTCCAACTTCAAGATGAGATGGCTCGTGTTAATGATGCGAATAAACCTAAATACAGTAGTACGCACGGTTGATCTTTAATTCAGAGAATACATAATTTCCAAATAAAAGTCCCCCCCCCCCCCCCCCCAAGCTGAACAATCCCATAGTCTCTTCCCTAGATATATATCCACCGAGTGGACACACGCTGCGGTAGCCAGAGACTATATTCAAGCAAGACAGTCCTACACTCTCACAAGGTAGAGGTTCATCGTTATAGTAACAATTTCAAATACTCTACATACTTACTAAATAGATATCGTTAATTGACTGACTATGAACTATTGAAGGATCTGACACTTCTGACAGCTTCCTCACACTCTTCCTGAAACGCGTCCCGCTGTTGTGAGGCGCTGACCGCCCGCCAGACACGGCAGTATGGCTGGACCCAACTAGTACTACCAACGTTGCTCCAAATAGTCAACAGCTGCGCCGACAGCATCCTCCTGCTTTCAGATCGGACCCTCTTGAAATTGAACTACAGACGGGCTGGACTGCTTGAATTCAACTGATTCATTCTTGCCAACCACCACTTCAGGCCAATTTTGAACCATTCGACCAGAGATGCGGTGACCGACTGACGCAACATCCTCCAATTGTCCGCAATGGACGCTTACCCGGAAGACTACGTCAACCACAATCTTCCTTTGGTCCTGCTCTCAGGGCTAGAGGCAGATACTGAAAATGATGCGAACCCTACAGTGGACTACCCACTTCTAGCAGAAAAGGGTCCCAGGATCTTCTCCGACTTCCCACCGCTGAGCGGGGCTGTTGCGGAGGAGTTGCGGAGAGCACTGCTGGAGGAGGATGGCTCCCAGATGCCATGGAGAGCGGGTCTCACCTCAGGTGGAAATGCAACATCCCCGCATATAGCATATCGCATCAGGAGTTCTAGTCGGGTAAGCTCCCCTCTTCTTGTACAACTGCGACACGACCGCATTGACATGACCTTGTTTTGGGCCGAGGATGCTAATCTGTGACCATGTATTCTAGTCCTATCAACTTCCTCCACGCAAAGCCAATCCTCCCAAGACCTCTGCACCTACAAGCCCTACGATTGACACGGACGGGACTCCATCCGGCTCGACCACGCCATATGTCCTCCACTCGCCCATCTCCCCGTTGTCTCCAGGGTCGCCCACCTTTCCGGATGGCCTCCTCACGCCGCTGTGGGTGACCAAGCATCAAGAGCTGGTCCCAGCAGCGGTGATCAGTTTCTTTCCATTCTCACTAGATCCCAACATGAATTCGCTACGTGATAATCAGCTCAAGATTGAAATAAACAGCCTGAAGAAGGAATGGACATCCTCCGGGTTCAAGACGCGTTTCCTCGTTGTCCTGGTCTCGGAAGATGGTGACGGGGGCTACGAAGGGGAAATTGATGATCGTGTGGCTGGCATTCGACGGGCAACGAACCTGGATCAGAAGTCGATCTTCGTGATCCCACCAGACGCGACTTCTTCAGAGCTCAAGGAATTCGTGAAATCGCTGTTCTCTCTACTCCAACCATCCGTAGTAGAATACTACCGAGACTTGTCGAAGCATGCTCGTCGCAAGCGAAATCGCAGCACTATTCCTCCCCCAACGGCACCACCGACAACTGGTACTTCCCAGACACTATCTTTGCAAGGTTGGAACGTACGCTATGAATTCAAACTCGGAATATTTGCCGAGTTTCGCCAGGAGATGGATGCTGCCTGCCGAAACTACGAGAGTGCATACGAGACCTTATTTGGACAGGAGGTCTTTGAGAACATTGCAGGCTGGGATCCTCGTTTTAATGACGCGCGTCTTCTGGGTGACGCCCTCGCAATTCGGATCATTCGCTGCTTAATGTGGACAGGTCAGACAACCTCTGCAACTCGGTTTTGGGTTGACCATAGAATTCGCACAAAGGATATTGTGAACCGACGAGGCAAGGGTAGCAAGAACTATGGCTGGGAGGCCTGGGAAGCTCGGTGGTCTTTGGTGATGGCACAGCTCATCCTCCGTGCGGAAATCTCTCCATCAACTGAAACCTCGGGCGACCAATCGATGGCGATGGCGATCTTTCATCCTCCCGAGAAGTCCATTCCTACTGGCGAACGCGTTAACCCATGGGAGCATCTACATCACGAAGGATATTGGCTGTATCGGTCAGCCAAGCATACGATGGTGCGACGAGCGCTTGCTCTGCAAATTCCAGATGAAGACCGCATGTCGCCCGGGCAATCCCCTGCTTCTCAGATCGCCAACAAATCCTATTTGTATGATACATACCTTGCGCCAGAGATGCACATTGAAGCCCCGCAATCGGGCAAGGGAGGCTTTAACCACTCAGAATTGATATTGAGCTCATTAAAGGCCGCCCTTGACGAATTCTCGAAGCGACAACAGACAAGACAAGTCGAGAGACTGAGTCTTGAAATTGCCGAAGAGTACATGCGTATCGGCTCGTGGTCTGAAGCTTATACCATTCTTGAACCACTATGGTTGACTCTCAGTTGGCGCAGATCAGGCTGGTGGTCCTTAATGGAAAGCTTTGGACGGGTTTTGAGAGAAAGCGCTATTCGTATGCAAAAGAGTGAGACGGTTCTGCGAGTCGACTGGGAGCTGTTCAACAAGGGTAAGACGACACCATCTCTGCCCTGATTCCACTGCTTGTTCTAATGTGGTGCTTGCACAGTGTTCCCCCCGAGACCTGCGTGGCATTATGATATCCATAAGAGTCTCGACACCCTCCCTGCTGAGAAGCCCAAACCATCCGTGGTGCTTCGCGCAGAAGATGTCATGACGAGTCGTAAGCTTTTTGTCGCTGAAGAAATCAGGATCCGTCAACGCTGACATTGTATCCCAGTAACTGCTTCCATCGTATTTGAAAAGTCCGAGGGCAACGTTGGTGAGCCATTACAAGCTCAACTTATCATATCGTCTTATGCCCAAAAGGGATCGGCGCCTATCCGATTATCGGAGGTGAAGCTTGTTTTCGAAGGCTGTCTCCGACCTGTGAAGCTGCAATCTGACCACAACGAAGAGGCTGATATCTCATCTCCCTGCTGCATCTCATCATTATCACTCCGCGAAAACAGTTCGGCTGGTGACATTCAATCCCCAACGGGTGGTTTGACTACGTTGGTTGGAATGGCCGACCTGACAATCGGACCATCGCAGACCAAAGTTTACAACCTCACTTGTATCCCTCGCGAGGCTGGAGAGGCTCAGGTCGCCTCAATCACAATGCTGGTGGACGAAGAAAAGTTCGATCTTGCCTATGTGATAACCGACCACGGCTTGCGGGATGCTTACTGGTGGCAACAAACTCAGAAAGGACCGTCGCGGCGACGAGTCGGCAAGGATAGGGATACTGGAAGATGCAAGATCATGCCGAAGCCGCCCAAGATTCGGATCTCCACTCCAAACTTGCGGGAGACATACTATACCAACGAGCGTGTTGTTCTGAAAATTGGCATTCACAATGGAGAAGATGAGGGTGCCGACGTCTCAGCAGAGATCAGACTCTTCGGTAGCCCTGAATCCTCAGCCAAACTGCAATGGCTCGATGGCAGCTCGAGCCCATCAGAGTCGGGAACAAGTTCCCCAACAGAGGGTGCTTCGCATTTCTTGAACCAGACTATCGGAGTGATGGAGCGTGCTTCTGACAGAGAGCTTACCGTCGTCCTTGCCGACACCCAGGATGCCGCAAAGTATTCCTTGGAGATTTCTGCGGTGTACCATGTCGTCTCCGACATCCAGACTCCCATTATGAAGGTCATTAACGTGGATCTCTCATTCATTCGGCCATTTGAAGCCAATTACGACTTCAAGCCTTGTATCCACCCGCTCCCCTGGCCGGACTTCTTCTCCGTCAGCGATGACTTGGTCTGCGATGATCCTGCTTCGGCAGCCGGTGGATTATCGCAGAGATATTGCCTCAACTCAAAGGTGGTCTCATTCGCTCTGGAACCCCTCATCATTGACCAGATTTCTCTAAAACTTCTCACCTTAACCGGCGGCGCCGTATCAACCATCAACCCCGAAGTCCTCGTCAGCCCCGAAACACCACACATCAGCCCCGAAGAACTGCGCGAATCCAACTTCTCCCTCGACATCCAGAAAATCACCCTAGGCGACCGCCGTCCTGCAGCACTCAACGTAGCTCTCGAAATAACCTGGCACCGGCGCTCCGACAAAACCACAAATCCATCGGACCTCGACTCCAACACAACCACGACAATCCTCGAGATCCCCCGCTTCGTGGTACCAATGGGCGAACCGCGCGTCCTCGCCTCATCATCCCCCTCAATCTCGCTCCCGGGCTTGCTCAATCTGGAGTACACACTCGAGAATCCATCAAGCCACTTCTTAACCTTCAACCTGATTATGGAAGCCAGCGAGCACTTTGCTTTCAGCGGCCCCAAGACAACGGTCGTGCAATTGGTGCCACTGTCCCGGCACACGGTGCGGTATAATATCCTCCCTGCGAAACGGGGCCTCTGGATTCAGCCGCAGTTGATTGTTGTGGATACGTACTTTAATAAGACGCTACGTGTACTGCCTACCGGTGAGATGCGTGCTGATAAGAAGGGGATACTTGTGTGGGTTGATGCGGACGATTAGGGGGTAGGAGATGTGTATGTAATTAGGTTGCATTTTGGCGAATACAGATAATGCGTTGTGCTTGCAAAGCTTCAGGATGAGATTCGATCAGTATTTGATTCAGAAGAGGAGATCAATTTCGACTCGTGCAATAAGTTGGAGTATTGTCTCACCACTCTCACTGAGGCTTTGAGAATGTACCCTTCTTTCCCGCCTGGAATGCTTCGTATCCTGGATTCCCAGGGTGATATGAGTGTTGTAAACTGGACTGGCTGGAAATATTCTTTTGTCTTATGGGATAAACCAGCCTTGAATGTCAGGTTGCCTCGAAATAATCATGATTTATGCACTGAAAATAAGCAGAAAGCATTGAGATAGGTTTCAAGCTGACTGGTTGGAGGGTCATGGTTCATCAGATTACATAGCATGAATTTCGTTGAACATCGACCCAACATAGCCTTGAGCAATTCCGAATATCAGAACGTCTAGTATTCTCATAGTGGAATCCCCGCTCTTCATAGTAAGGGCAAACAAGTCACGTGAACTCTTATCACAATCAGTCCCGAAGCGGTTAGCGGCGATCGGCCTTCGCAGCTGTCTCCGCGAGCTTTCGTCCCATCCTCGCTCGTTGTGCATTTCATCGTTGACAATCCCTTTCTGACTGTCGTTTTTGACTGCTCCAGACCAGCATACTGGTTCGTTCTCTATCAAAATTCGAGCCACCTCGAGTCCTCCCCTCCAAAACCCCTCACAACGCGAACCCCGGACGTGTCTGAACCGACGACTCAGTCGCAGAACCGTAGCCATGGCGACCCAAGCAGCGCTGATTGCCGATACAATCGTTGGCATGAAGCGGGCGCTACGCAGAGAGCGTGAGGGTAAGTGGAATATTCTTTTCCATCCTGGATCATCAAGGAAGTTGTGTTTCTAACGTGCCATCCTCTGCTAGATTCGGGCCCGGACGATGCCATTACCCAGCCGACGAATCGCGGTAATAAGATGAAGGCGAACGCGAAGTATGTCCGTGAAGGTGCATTAGGATATATAAACGCAGAGGAATTCTACAAAGAGGTATGTGGTGCTCTTTCGGACCGAAGACCGGCGAGGCGCTGTTTCCGTTGCGCCAAGTTGAAAGACGTGCAGGCTAACGGCTAGGATCTTGACTATAAACAGAAAATCGAGCATGCCGGTTACACACGTCATATTTTGCAGCACAATCCGATTCGCTACGACTCGGAGGGAGAGGAGCTCTACGAGGAGGATGAAGATTCTGAAGCTGATGCGGCGGCCGCAGAAGAGAACCCGTTTTCGGGGATCGCGTTAGAGAGTAGGTCATACTTCTTTTGTCAGATAACTTGCGAGGGGCTAACTCTTTAATTTTCTCTTGCAGCGCTGCTATGCCCTCTCAAACACCCCTCCGAACTACCCGTCCACCCGTCGCTGTCTCACCCGTACACTTCCCAGGCTCTTGAGCAGATGACACAAGCCGTCGAGGAAAAGTTACGTCAAGAGAAAGCTCTCCTGTGGCGTGCAAGAAATCTGCATCGGAAGTTCCTTGGCGATGGCAGTTGGATGCCCTGCGGCCTCGTTGAGATACCCGATGATCGTTACATCTTTGAACCTCGGATCGTGGAGGACACTAGAACTGTGTCTGCTGGACAACAGAGGCAAAGTGCTCTCGGGACGCCATCTGCCAGCAGCGATATGAATGGGCCGCAAGATGTGCTTTCCACGACGGCCCTTGGGAAAGAGGGACAGGCCACACATAGTGCGGCAGAGGAACGCCGTGTCGGGGAGGGCGATGTTGAGATGACTGAAGTCCCCGCGGCCTCTGGGGGAATAATGGCAGTCAGCAATGACTCCCATGAGCCAGTCACGGAATTCAAATCCGAAGAAACCGACGCTATGGTCAAGGACCTTCCTCAGCATCCCGCCGAAGAATCTGACAAAACAAGCGAGAACAATACTGCGAGTGCACGCAATGGGCTTGCCGAAAGGCAGGAGGAGATGGCAACCTCTAAGGAGGCAGTCAAGACAAACGGAGAGCATACACATTACAACGAAGCCAACGAAGACGAGAACGAACAAGATACCGAAATGCATGACGGCTCCTCGCCAGAACCGCCTCGCCGGATGACGACCCGAGCCCAAGCCAACGCGAATAACCCCTCTGATGACAATCAGTCCCCGTCACTATCTGCCGACAACTCCAGCTTCCTCCAAACTCCCCACCCACTCTTCGTCATTCCGGAGACCGTGCGTCCCGACGCTAACTTTGGTCTTCCTCCGGGTGAAGCAGAGGAGACTCGCCGCCTGTTGTGGTCATATATCCAGAAGCAAGAAGAAACCGTGCGGGGCTTCGAGCATATGCTTGAATCCCTGCTACGAGCTTCCCACATGAAGGCCGATGTATTGGAATGGTGCAAGGCCGAGGGTCATGTGGGCGAGATGAGTGACGGCGAGGACTGGTACGACCGAGAGAAATGGGGTCTCGCCGAGGGCGAGGATCTCAAGAAGGGCACTGACGAGGACGAAGTCGAGACTGTCGACGAGAGTCGGACAGCAGCGAAAAGAGGCCGCGGCCGGCGACAGTAATAGACTGTCAAGCCTTTGCCACTCTAGATCTGGGTTCATCGATCTACTATGGTCTCTCTTCTGCCTTTATATTTGGTTTTCATTTCGTCGGGCCCTTTTTAGTTCCTCATAGCGTGGTGTTGGTGGTGTTCTGTCCTTGCGTGGGTGCTCATCTCCCCCAATATACCATATACTTTTGCCCTCGGCGACTTGCCCTGGACAAATGCGGTGTCAATATACCCTCTGGAGAATGGAAATAGTGTTATTTTTGGCGCTTAGCGCTTGCAATATACAGATTTGTTTGCAATTGTAACTGGATTCTTCCATCCACTGGTTATTATCGGCCGTACTTGGGTAGAATTGTCCTGCCTTTGATCGAAGTCTTTGTACTTTGTACTGTATGGTAGAGAAGAGCGCATTCTTGGGTGTTCCGGACTACATTAGGGACATATTCCGTCGAATGGCCTTCATTTTTCAGTGACATTCAATCTCATTATGCCTGTTAAAGAAACACTAATCTGATAATGAGTGTAAGTAATGCGATCGGTAGATTCCTTAGAGATATGCTACCCTCATAAATGTGTAAGAATTAACAAGAGTATCTATGAAAGTTGATAAGACTCGACCACCATGTCATTGTGATCTTCTTTGTTTAGATCCATGAACCGTCTGATCAGACAAAAGAACGAAGAGAGAGCATCTCACCCTAGGTCCTCCCCATTAATCTCAATGAAGCGGACAAGAATATCACACTCTCAACCCAGCCTCCGCAGCTGATCCCTATCCGTTCTAGGAACCGAATCCACAGTTACGGATTGCACGTCGATGAGTAGCGTGATGCTACGCAGGCGCGGGAACTGGTGAGTGTCGTTGAGAAGGAAGTTCCCGACTGCGTGAACCAACTCCCTTGGCCAGCGATGCGGGATGAGATGTTCATGAAAACAATCTCGAAGGGTAAGTTTCTTCAGAGTTTCTGGGAGAACTTCAGCGAGTCACTCCTGATGTTCACCCTAGCTAAGAAGTAAGGGAATAGGGAGGCTGATGAAAGTCAATCTTCCGAATGATTTGAACAAGCCGTGTGCAAGTTTGAGTCTAGCCTGGTTCCCCTTGTAGACGTCCGCTGCTCCGGGTGAGATTGAGGTGCAAAAAGGGTTGATATACAAAGACTTGAGGGTTACAGAAAGGCTGTTGAGGCCTGATTCCAGCCTAGCAGTGTTTTGCAATTGTCCCAGACAAGTTTTGCATGGAAAGGTTAGAGAGAGGTACTTAATAGACCTCATCTGTGGAAGGAGGGCATTGATGTCCTCAATATTAAGTCTGGCTTGCATGAGACTTAGCTCGTATAGGCGCTCGAGGTTAGAAGGACGGCTTCTAGTGCCTTCCCCGATATCTGCTGCGAGATATGGGCTTCGGAGCCACATCTGAAGGGCCATGAGTGCTGGCAGGAAGAAACCAGCCCACAAACTGGCTGCGTTCCGACTCTTCCCGGGGTGCGACGTCAGGATCGTTCGTTCCTGCTGTGTCGCTAACAAGAAGCAAGGACTTGTTGGTCCCATAGTTGACAGCCTCCAGGTATGTGAAGTCTGAAATGACCCCTGGGGGTGCCTCTAACATTGCATGAGTAATCATTAGGCCCGGATACCCGACAGGCTGAAGAATAGACGGCGCAGGGCCTGACTAAACAAGGAATATGCCAAAAGAAACCTCCATCAATATTGAAGTTCGATTCAGGATGACAATTAGAAAAAAAAACGCTAAGAAAGAAATTCAATATATCACAAATTCAAAAGAAACCTAAAGTGCGAGCCGAAATGAATATCAAAAACCACGCGCTCATTGTATAGCCAGGGACTCATATATCCGCAAAGTCTGCAAATAGCTCACGCTCATTCTAAATGCCACCAGCTTTGCAAATGTTCTCAGCCTCAGAAACATGCTCGCCATAGCGAGTAGGATAAGCAGAGCCTTGCACCTGCTGGCAGAGGGTTCCAACTGCCATAGATTTCCAACCACTGACGCCTTTCATCCTCTTGAAGAATTGAGCAGCAGATTTGGCGGCATCCATGTCAGCCGCAATATCGGGGTAGTACATGGCACGCTGCTGGAAGATACCGACGCTGTCGTTATCAGAGCCAATAGCGTCGTGGGGGTAGTTGAGGGAGGAAGGGACACCCCGATTAGCATAAATCAGGATGTTTGACTGTATGAGGTTATTCGTTGATCATTTTATGGATTAGAAGGGGAAGGAGAAAAATGTGACCAAGGGGGAATGTTGGTATGTCCGTACCTCCACAAGGGCAGTCGCAATACCAGCTGTGCAGCCGTGCAGACCAAGACCCTCACGCTTGGCCTCAGCGATGATATCCTGAGCGTGCTTGGACTGAGTAGCACTCAGGCCGGGCAGGTTACTTCCGCTGACCAGAGGCAGGGCAATGGCTGCAGAGAGGGCGAGGAGCGAGAAGTGCATTATGAAGGTGGTTAATTGAACTCAAAGATGTTTGTTTCTTGTTTCGTGTGATAAAAGAAAAGAAGTTTGTAAGAAATCCTGATTGTTCTTGGCCTGAGTCAAGAGGAAGTCGAAGTTGTGAAGCTGTTGTTGATGAAGATAAATTATGGATTGCGGGGAATCTTCCTCGACTTTATACATCTTGTTGACACCGAAGGATTATGAAGCCGAATATGTTTGATCAAGGGGATACACAGCTCGTTAACTCTCTTGCTGTAATGGTACTAACCTAAATAGGCTTCATTTGGCTTGAATGGAGGTCCCTTGCATGCATCAGAATGCTGGTCACCATGAGGCTCGTATCGATGTATAGAGCCAAGGAACTCCACTACAGTGCCAAGAAAGCGGACTGTAGAGCCAAGCTGCTAAGAAACGATGAAGAGGCGAAGGTATTTTTGCATCGTATCGAGAAGGTAGCACCTTGTTCATATTCAAACTCGAGGTAGTTAGAGATGGCCAGTAGGACACGTTTGGCCCCAAAGTTGGATTTTTAGAAGCCTCATCCCGTATATGTGATGGAGATAAGGCACGACGGCAAATACGGGGAAGTTTACCAGGAATAGAAAGCTGATGTACTAAATTTGAAAAACTACGACTTAGGGAAAGCATCAGATCGCCTATTCAATGAATTAAGAGAACGGCGAAATTAATAGAGCCATCGAAAGTTAAACAGCATCTCCGGGGAGAGCTCATGGAACAGGGTACGAGGCCATAGAGTAGTTGATGCTCGATCGCACTAGCACACTAGAGGATCTAAGAATTTCCCCTTTCCATTAGAAGGAGATTCAGGTACGATCTACGATCTATCCTCACCAGAATATTAGGATCATCACTGAATGAGTTCAGAATAACCGCCCAACCATCCTAAACAACTGCCAATACCACTCTGCGGCCCCTAAACGTGCCTCGAAATCTCATGTTCCTGGCATAATGGGCCTCTCCTAAAAATAGAAAACTTCCGAACTCCAAGAGTTTCCAAACCTGCAGCGAGTGAGCGACCTGCCAATCCCCCATATTTAGGGAAAAGCCACGCCCGCTGATTACACCAATCAGATCCACTCGTGCCTGACAAACCCAAGTTTATTCAATACCCTAATTTGTGAATAGGGCTGTAATCTCCGAGTTGTTAGAGCTGGTGAGTGGGAGGTGTATATGATGTGACGGCGATAGTCATGATCGGTACGATCGTATGCTATGTGTGTTAGACAACGGCGGCCGATTACTGTAACAGACCGTCCCTAGACCTCTCTCCATGCTTGCTTAACACTATGATAGAGATTAGTAACGAGAGAAATGGCTAGTAATGGGGAGACGGCTAGTAGTGAGAGAGGGTTAGGGACGAGATTAGCAGTTCTTGCAATGATTGCGATTTAGGTTATATTGTCTAATAACGGGTAACCCAATAGTTCCTTCCCTCTAAGCTGAATGATATAATTATATAACCGAGTAGAGGTTACTTATTATAATTGTCAATGAAAGATCAGTTGAAAGATCAGTTAAAAGATCTATGAGGTTTTAAGGATGACTGAGGTCCTAGGTTTCTATAGTCCCGTGGGGTCTCGTTAGCGTTTTGTCTAACACCCCGTCGGAGAATGCATCGACCACAGGCTCGCAGTCTGGCGGTAGTGGACAGTCTCAGAACTTGCGGTCTGCCAGTGGTAGACAGTCTAAGGACTTGACCCCCTCGGTATCTGACGCACCCCCCTACCCGGTTTTGTTGGATAGTTCGTCGGATGCGCCGGAGGACCATGGGTTCATAAAGATAAACAACTCTGGCATGACACCAATTGGACTCATCTGCCCGCCTCGGGGTACTAAGGTCTCAAACCTAGGCCCCTCCGATCCCCTCTCGTCGTTGGCGGACGCGGTAAAGTCCAAACTCAAGGATGGCGGAGGGGAATAATAAGAGGAAAGTGGGTGATCGTGGGCGTTATTAGCTTGTTCCTTGCTTCTTGTGTCATGCATTTGGTGGTGTGGTTCGGCTTGATGCTCTTGTTTGGCCTCTGCAAGAAGCAGGTGAATATACGGGTATCCTGATCGATGCTGGAATCCCAATCTTGCACTCCGCGGACGATCAATACGGCCGAGTGATTCAACGACAAATATAACAACCATCGGCGATTACGTGGTTGATGTGGCAATTTGATAGCTCTCTGCATGGGGGGATCCTCTCGGATGCATGTGGCCTTAAAAAGACCGGATATCCCTCTACTTTGTGTACTTTGCCATTAGCCGTCTTATTGCCAGGGCTCATAGTTCTAATCGTGCTAGATTCCATGCCACTCTGATTGTTGTGCCCAGTTGAAAGACCTGTTGAAAGACAGCCGTATGATATCAGTTACATTGGGTGGGTGAGACTTCATCAATTTCAGGATTCTATTAGGCTTTCTGTCGCAGAGAATAGGCGTCCAGTCGGTGGTCGCAATGGGTCTCTCTAGTCAGACGTAGGTTAACGTTCTAAATAGATACACGAAATACCCCGATAGAAATCACCTCAAGCAAGGATTCAAACAGCCATAGAATTAATAGGTTGGGGGTGGCGCCCGTTGGTCCCAAGCAAAGAAAATTAGGTAGAAAGCATTATAATGCGCAGAGCCATGCTTGGCATAGCTGGTTCATATTTACAATCAACAGGGTGGCCAACTTGGAAGGACTGTCCGCACTGGTATACTGGTCGCATTGGGTGGATAGGTAACTTTTCTTGTACATAGTCGCGTAGGGGTAATCAATAAAAGAGGAGGGTGCACTCGTCCAGCAAAGCGGCCATGGCCCGGCCGCACTCGCGCTCGGCCGTCTGTTCTCTGCTCCGTAGGCAAGTTGAGGTTTATCGTCTACTCTTCCAGCATCGTTGAAGATTCGGATCCGGATGTATCCGTGTGCTGGGCATATATGCCATCTTGCAGCTCGAAAAGGTGTGTCCGGGCTGTGATTGGCGTAGTCGTGGGATTGTTGTCTTGTCTGTCGACCTCTGACGGGTCCGAAACTTATCAAGCGAGTTGTAGATGTTGAATGTCTTGACAGTTCTCGCCATCATGTTGAAGAATTTACTGTTTCTTGCCGCCAGACTTCTTGGCGCGCTCACGCTCACGCTTGGCATAGATCTCGGCGGTGAAGGGGCTAGAAATTGTGGTTAGCTTGATTCAGTAAGACAGTGCATATATATCACATACTCCTCCCACTTAAGGGCAAACCAGTACAGCACAAAGACCTGGGCGGTCAGAAGGATACCAGCAACCTTGCCCTTGTAAAGAGCGACGCCGAGGAAGTTCAGGGTGCTGCCCCAGTACATGGGCGAGCCGGTGACGTTGAACGGGAAGCCAGTGACGGGGGCATCCATGAGGATACCAAAGTAGTCACCGAGATAGGTGCCAGTCACACCCAGAGACCACATGCTGGACAACACCAGGACGGAGCCGACGGCGAAGAGAATGCCGCCGATGATGGGCTGGTGCACTGGCGCGTAGAAGGGTTGCTCATCGAGGGCGGCCTGGTACAGATGGTCGCGCAGAATGCCCAGAGAGAAGATGGTGATAGCTAGGAAGTAGCATCCTTTGTAAGGACCACCAAAGATACGCGTCAGGATATGGCTGTTGTACTCTGTGATGGACTAGTGTTAGCCGAGTCGACAAAAGTACCAATTGTTGTTTTCGGGTACAGGACTTGGACGAACCTGCGCGGGCAACGATGCTATTCACACAGGATTAGTTAGCTGTTTCAAGCTCAGACTGAAAAATTTTTGCTGAAGGCCAACTCACTTCCAGAAAATAGGATTGAACGCAATCGTCGCCGCGGCCACTGCTGGAGGGTCAGTCCCAATCACATGCAAAATGCGGAGAAAGAAACAAGGTTGGAGAAAGGTTGAAGCTCAACTTACACGCCAGGGACCTGGGAGTGAAATCGACAAAATCGGTCAGACTGGCCATGACGCAGAAACCGTTGGTGTGAGGTAGAGAAGGTGTAGAAGGACAGAGAGGGGGAAGTTTTGGGTTTGGGTAAGTTGGTCAATCGAGGCAGCTTAAGTAAACAAATGATGTTCCACTTCTGCGTAGTCACGGGATCTGTATGCGGGTTGTCGCAAGTCCGCTCGACTCGCCGAAGCTCTGCTCTTCGGCCGATAGCCCCTCGGCATCGGCAGTCCTCTTTAATTTCCTCATCGCCTCCTCAGTTACGATCCTCGAAGCGATCTGTACTTCTGCCGGCCGAACTTCCTCGAAAACTCGTGTTATTGCGCCCTTGATCGCAACTGTCGGGGAGCTCCTCGCTCCTGAGCTTCACCGGATGATCGACATGCGACGTGGAGCTCTGAAACCTCTACGAGGAGAATGGTCCTTCAACGTCGTGAATTGGTTCTAGCGGGCGTCGGTGGATTCATCGCCTGGGGCCTGGTAGTACGCTGGTTGCCGATCCTTCGATATCTCGGATATGCTCTGACCTTCGGGGCCGCCTTGGCCACGGCTGGTTTGCTCGGCCTGGTTATTTTGACAACCCGAAGCAGGAATGATAAGAGTAAAAACTCAAAGGAGGTCTCGGTCGCCTTTATCACTCCGGGTCACTGGCGAAAAGAGGTGTTGAATGCTCGCAAAATCGCTCGATATCGTCCCAGACCGCTATACCCGCAATCCTTCGTCGTGTCGGAGGCAATCGATGAACTCTTGTCACTGGTGAATCGCCAATTCGTTACCTCGTGGTATCACAATATCACTCCGAATCCTGCTTTTGCGAACGATATCGATCGAGTCACACGAGTGGCTTTGGATAATCTACGAGACAAACTGTTGGCAGAGGACGTGATTTCGCTTATTGTGTCGCGCATCTTTCCGATTTTGACAGCCCATTTACGCGAGTTTGACGTTGCTGAGCGTTCGGTGCGCGGAAAGAATCTCAATCGAAATGTGACAGAATCTGAAGAGCTCGATCTGGCTATTGCCAACAAGTTTCGCGATGGTCGGCTGCACCCCGCGGTAGCGCTTTCAGCCTCTGACCAGAAGGTCGTGCAGCAGGAGTACCTGCGCAAGATTGCCGTGGGACTGCTTCCTCAGCTTTTCCCCGAGAGTGTGCTCAAGAGCAGGATTGTATCCGTGTTGATTAGAGAAATCATAGCATGTGCAATTCTGTTTCCAGTTGTGAACGCGCTCTCAGACCCCGATACATGGAATCAATTGATGGAAGCATATGGGCGGACGGCTCTGCAGGATCGAAAAACCGTGCGCAAATTGCGAGCTGCTCTAGACGAGCATGCATCCCCTGCACCAAAGTCTAAACGAGCACAATCTTTCCCAAAGCTGGCGCCTCATGATACTGAACGTGCCTTTGAGCGGTTTGTCCGGACCATCAGACGTTGCAATAATCTTTCTGATGCTCGTCGATTCCGTGCTCTCGTGACCAGCCAACTGAAGCGGGAGAGTATGATCGAAGGACAGGACCAGGTCTATCTTCGCCGGCTGGAAACGGGGAAACGAGTCTTGGATCAAAAGGTTGCCAAGCTCTCCTTACATGGCGAGACTGCTACATTGCCTCCTGCGCAGGTCCAAGCTCGCCGGGACAGCGTTCCTGCTCCTCAGGAGACATCGCTTGTGGAAGTCATGCACAATGCGTCTGGGCTATCGTACTTTATGGAGTTCATGGATCGTCAAGGCCTCATGTCTCTCGTTCAATACTGGATCGTGGTAGATGGTTTCCGCAACCCCCTGGAGGATAGCCTCGGCGACGAGACCTCATCCGGTACTGTAACATGGACCTCTGCAGACAGGAATGACCTGGCGCTTCTGAGCGAGACCTATCTCACCAAAGCCGAGCTCAAGGTTTCTGAAGAATCTCGCCGCGCGGTCAAAAGTTTCTTGAGTGCTGGAAAGCGTGCAACTCCCGAGCAATACCGCAAGGCTCGAACGGTCGTCTTGACTACGCAGTCGGCTGTATTGGAGGAGCTAGAGTCAACCTACTACCCAAAGTTCAAAGAGTCGGATCTCTATTGGAAGTATCTCGCCTCAGACGAGGCTTCGGGTGCTCAACCAGCTCCTCGTCAGGCCTCGCCAACGGTGACCTTTGAGGCCCCCGAAAGACGACCCCTGCCGCCGCTCATCGTACGAACCAGCTCGCAGCCTGGGACTAAGCCACCAAAGGATCTCCGACGAGCTGCAGTGTCATCAAGTGACGTGCGCAGCATGGGTAAACTATTCGATGATGATGACTCACCGAGACGATCAATTGACTCGGAACGATCTGCACCTTTATTTGACGACGATTACGACACTGATAACCTTGCCATGTCTACAGCCAGTCTGGGCAAGGATTCGCAGAATGGGGAGAGTGAAGCCACTCAAAGCAAGGTCCTGGAGACCATGGAAGCAGCTTTGAATGATATTATTACCAACGAGCCGAAAAACGGCAAGGTGGATGATCTACGGAATAGTGACCTGAGAAGTAGTGATGGTGTCTCCTCATCGTCCCTGTTTGGCGCAGAGCGCCCCGAAATGGCAGGGCAGACTCCGTCTGATGGTCTGCGCCAGGACAGCCGTCTTCCTACGGAGAAGACCAAGAAGAGCATCGCCTCGCTAGGCCTGGTCAATGATGGATCACGTCTTGGCGTCTTTGAAGACGACCTCTTCACAGACCAACAAAAGTTCATCGAAGATGAGTACGAGGAACCCGTCGGGGACGATGAAAAGGACCCTGCAGATGAGGTCCACGAAGCTGCACCCGGCGATCTCGGTTTGACAGAAGCGATCGAAGTTCTCACCGCCGATATCGACAAGCTCACCACACAAGACTCCGTCGTTGAAGCGCTCACCCGCAAAGCGGAGTTGACCAATAACACAGCTGAGCTGCGCATCTTACGCAAGTCCAAGGCCAGCATTCAGCGTGAAATCCATCGAAAAGAGATGCAACGCCAGCAGTACATTATCCAAGAGAGCGATAACAGTCTGTATGGTCGCTCCACGGTGCGTATCAAGTCTATCGTTGTGGGCAAGGAGGAGGATGACGGGCGCGAGTTTGCAATGTGTAAGAGACCCCCCATCGACCCGAAAACCCAAGATCAATCCGCTAACACTGTTCTTGCAGATGTCGTTGAAGTTCAACGCAATGCTGGCGAACAAATGCCTGCCGCTTCCTGGGCCGTTGCACGCCGCTACAGCGAATTCCACGAGCTACACCAAAAGCTACGCATGAGCTACCCGTCCGTACGACACCTGGAATTCCCACGCCGACGAATGGTCATGAAGCTGCAAAAGGAGTTCCTCCAAAAGCGACGCCTCGCTCTGGAATCATATCTCCAGAAACTTCTCCTCCTCCCCGAAGTCTGCCGCAGCCGCGATCTCCGAGCATTCCTCTCCCAGCGCGCCATCCTCCCCCGCGAAGAAGCCAATACCCGCGGCACCGAAGGCGAAACCAAAGACCTGGTCACACGAATCTACAACTCCGTCGCCGACGGCATGGATGATTTCCTGGGTAACTTTGGCGTCCTGGATCAACTTTCCACCGCAGGACAGAACCTCATTTCAGCCGCAACCGCCCAAGCAAGCACCAGCGCCGCACACGATCCCGCCCTCGCCACCGAAGACGCAGTCACAACCGCCGAAGCCGAAGCAGAACTAAACGCCTTCGAAGACCGCGAACTAGAACCCTTCATCAAACCCATCTGTGACCTCTTCCTCGAAGCCTTCGAACTCAACCGCGGCAACAACTGGCTCCGCGGCCGCGCCGTCGTCGTCGTCCTCCACCAACTCCTCGGCGGGACCATAGAGCGCAAAGTCCGCGACAGCGCTCGCTCGCTATTCCAGGATGACTCGCTACTACGGTATCTCAACATCGCACGCGATAATCTCTTTCCTGGCGGTGTCTTGCGTAAATTCGAGTCCCGGTCTGCACAGGAGAGACTGAAGAGTCGCGCTGAGGCGACTGTCGTTCTTGCGACGCTTATCCCGGATTTGGCGGGGAATGTGGTGGGACGCGCGAATGCGCAGGCTGCGGCGAGACGTATCTTTGCGACGCTTAATACCCGCCCGTTGAATACGCATCTGGCTTTTACCGTGTTGGATGAGATTGTGCTGGTTTTGTTTGGTGCTAGGGAGAGTGGTCGTTCCCGATGAGCCAACCGTCTTGCACTTGCACACCCCATCGACAGTTTTTTTTTTCACTTTATGATTGTTGACTGTTTTTTTGCCCTTGAGCGTTGCTAGCATAGCATTTTGCCGTTAGGGTATTTTGCGCTTGTTTTCTTTTTTTCCCTTTTCATTTCTTTTGTTACTGTTTTTTTTTCCAGCCTTGACGAACCAGTCGCTGATGTATATATTCATAATGTCTGCACATGATATTCCTCTTCCATCATAGCCGATGCAAGCATTGCCTATCACTCATCGAAACGAGACCCTCCCTTTGTACAAATTTTCTCCGAATCTGCACTTTCTAGGCCAGGGTCGAAGATTGTGGGAATCGCTTATCGAGGAATCGAGGCTAAGGCGCGGGTTGTGGGCCCTCGCGGTGGGTACGGCATTGTTAGCGTGGCGCCCATTCCTAACGTCGGGTTGATAGATGGACTGATGGACTGGTGGGCTATAGTGGTATAGTATACATAATGAACTACTGGGAAAAGAGAACAGATGTATCCCCTTGGAAATTAATAGATTGGATATTCCCCGAGTTGAGTAACGATGGAAATGGAGACTGGACACGCTGTGTCCCAGAACAACCGGGTTGCTCACACTGGGACGGTGACCACCAAGTTCCCCTTCTTCACCCTCTTGATGGTAAAAGAAAACCACCAGAAGAAAGGAAGTAGGGAAAGGTGTGTACACCGCACAGCCCGCTGGGCATAGATGATAAAAGACAGCAGAAAAAAAGGCGGACGATACAGGACGAGCAGACCAGAAAAGATAAAGATAGAGATAAAAGATAAAAAGATAAATGTCACACCCTGCGCCCTCTCTTAAATCCATGTTTCTACGTCCCGGAACCGAAACAGCAACGCAGCGCGATGGGAAGAAGGGGAATGGGAACGGTCCGTGGCGTGTTTGCCGGGACGGTTCGAACCGACTTCCCGTGGGAAGGAACTGGCAAGGAACGAGACAAGAAGAGGGGAGAGAAGGGGGTAGTTGGATGTTGACGTGGGGAAGTGATAATGTGTGGGTTAGGGGGTGGAGGGTATGTCAACCCTTGTCGTTTCAGTGTGGTCGTGACGGTGAATGAGCAGAGCAGAGAAGAATCATAGAGAGTGAAAGTGGGAGGGAGTAAAAATAGTTAAGAATGTAAGGAGTTAATCATTGAAGGGGAAGTGGAAGGGTAGGCCAGGTAGTGGTGGGGAGTACTGGCTGAGTAGGAGGGGGTATGACCCAATCTATGCCTCATCCTTGTTCTTCTTCTTGGACTTCTTGCTGCTGGGCTCTTTTGGGATTGTGCTTGTGCTGGTTTGGTGGACGATGAGGCGTGTCCAGCACTCCTCCTTGTCCCACTCGAAGCCAGCGAGGTAGGGCTTGTCCAGTTCGTCGTCCGCCTGGAGGGTGTGAGTCATGGGATAGCGACGGTGAGGGGAGACAGCGGATGGGGATAGATGAAGGGGAGAGGGATGCAATAGAACGATGGATGCGTACCTTCTTCTTGAATTGCTTGTGGATGGCATCTAGTGCGTCCTTGATCGTGACACCCTTTGAATTCCGGGCGGTGACTTCCAGACCCAGTGGGAAGTGCAGGTCGATCCTCTTGACGGGAGGGTTGACGAGGTGCATCTTGAGGATGTCCCTGTCATCAACCGTTGATGGTGAAGTGTTGAGTTTCCTGGGTGGCAGGTTAGTTATCGTTAAGAGGACCCGGGTGGGCTGATGGTGGTTGGGGTTGGGACTAGGATGGGAGAGGGGTCAGGGTCGGGTGTCACTTACCATCCGGTTCTTTGTGTCTCAATGGGAAGGGTGATTTCGATTTTTTGTTCCTCTGACAGAGAGGGTGAGTATATGATATGATGTAGGGAGTCCATCATGACGGGACATACCTAGGTCCTTGACGTTCCATACTCCGTCCGCCGTGGATGAGGCGCGACGATGCGTCTTCTCCTTCTTGGAGCCCTTGACCTCTTTCTCGGTAGGGGCAGGGGGTTTCTCATCGTGTATGGAGAGACCGGCGATGGCCGAATCAACCTTGGTGAGAGGGACAGTCATGGTTGGAGAGTTTGTTGGGAGCTGGGTTCAAGAAGAGAGATTCTTGGTGAGATCAGGATTGATTGATGGAAGGAGGAGGAGAAGAGAAGAAGAAAGAAGAGGAGAGGGGGGAGAGCCGGATAAGAAGGGAGGCGAGGGAGGAGGAGGGGGGAAGAGCAGGTGACCTCGTGAGTCGTGCCTGTTACCAGACTCTGAAAAGTCATGGATGTCATTCCGCGTCCAGCATAAACCCAAAAAAGTAGAGGCAAGTACCAACTGGACTTGGATGTACCACCCCAGTACCAGGCCAAGGTTACTTTGGCCCAGTGAGGCTTGTACCTGCGGGAACGGGCTCGACCTTGTTTCACGAGTATGGACGAGGGCAAGCTTTGTGGTTCGAGTTCGTCTCTTCTGGAGACTTTCTTGACTTTGGACCTTGAGCCGCATTTGATGAATCGCGATCTGGATAGCCTCTACTTCATTCTGTTGCCAGCTACCTCTCGGCACCTTCGGATCACACGAGCAACTGACATCAGAAGGGGCGATGGATTGGCGCTAGTTCGGACCAATCTGGAGCTGCACCCCGCATTCTGCTCCACTCTGACTTTATTTCAGACCACGGCCAAGTAGTCCAGTCATCATGATGACTGGACAATCCATCGGCGATGAGAGAGGAGAGGAATATAACATCTGATGTTAAAGAACAGACAGCTTCTTTCTTGTTCAATAATGATATCGAATTCATATCAATGGCCACTCCAACCTGTCGGGCGTGGTCCAATGCAAAGCGCCCCCTGATCACCTGATGTCATGAGCACACGCGACTCTGCGAATCAGCCCACGTCCCTCCCCAACATGCCATCCCCTTCTTCCTCCTCCATCAGATCCAAATCCATTTCCATCTCTAATTCAATTATGCCTACTATTCTCAATCCGAACATCACTCTTCCACTCAATCCGACCAGACCAGACCCATTGAACCCTCTCTCATCCACCAAACTCCCTTCCCCACACCCGCAGCTTAAGACGGGGCCCGGAAGATCGTCTACGATGGACCAAAGTGGATCCTGGGCTTTTTACCCCACGCCGAGCTTGCCGTTATGACTCGTCAGCCACACAATGGTGATGGTGACATTGCAGGCCACCCCTTCCATGACTCTGTCGAGCAAGATTCAACCTGGAACACTTATCTGAGAAAGAGTGGAAGACTCAAAACCCTCCTTCCAAGGTGTGAAGCTCCCAACAAAACTGCTCAGGAGAGAAGACGGGAATTCGACCGCCAGCTCACAAACCAGCGATACCCCCCCGACCGTGCAGAATCCGTTGGTCGAAGCAGAGGGAGTGCTTCCTTGACCGGTCTGGTCTCAAGGGTCTCCCTGCAAGGCTTAAGCTCATTCAGGACTGCCACTGTGGAATGAACTGCCCCCATACTTCCCCGGAAATCCTAAATTCCTGACACATTCTGATGCTCCCCCTTCCCTCAAAAACAGAGATAGATAGGAGAAACAAAGAAACAAAGCATTGACACCGCTTAGCAGCATTCCTCCCAATCCAAACCAATTCTCCGATTGGGTATGACGGAGCGCTATTGTCAAGGGGGGCGGGCTATAGTGAGTACATACTGTAACTGTACGGTCGGCCATTCACCCTCGCGAAAGGCTGTCTTGAGCATGCAAACGATTTTGCGTTCCACGCTGGTCTCTCTAAAGGATGATTCCTGCTTCTATCGGTTCAGGAGGGATACACAGATTTTGATATCCGTGAAACCCATCCATTAGAATCTCGAATTCTTTGAGCAAATGATAGTAAACTGTAACTATATGACAGGTCATATTGCAGTTGTTGGACACAGGCCCTTCAGCAACTCTTTTCATGGAGGGGGTTTGCAGTGCATGGTATCAGAAGCGCTGTATAATGTAGATGAATCAACTCAAGGGCCTGTTTTGGGAGGAATTGCCTGAAGGCTAATCATATAGTTGCAAATACGTAGCTGCTTCTCTCACCCCAATCGCCTTGGGATATGTTGACTGGCTACTCGTTTTGAGTTCGAGGGTTATTCAAGGCCGAGAATGACGGGGCGTGGAGTGCTTTGAGCTAACTTTGTTGACGCTAGATAGTGGGTCTAGTAGTCTAGAAGTCCAGTATTTGTCGGTAGATATGTGTGATAACCCTATCCATCAGCTACGATGTAGACCTTATTGTGATTGCAACGAGGGTGGAGTTGAGAGCGTCCTCTTAGAGCAGTCCAACCACCGAGCCTATAAGAGAGTCTAAAACTATCGTATCTACAAAGTTTTCTCTATTCTATAAGAAGTGTGAAGACTACTTAAATAGCTACAGGTACCCTTCACCGCTGGTATAGCCCCCTTATCCGAAAAGCCTCAATTCCATTCCCGAAGCTATTCCTACCACGCGCCTTTTATTCACTTTCATTCCAAGCCCTGGTCGGGATATTCTGATGGGTAACAAGTTGAAGATACAGTAAGTAGTAGGATGATTTCTGTCATTGATATGACCCAATATCCATTTCTCATCATCGACTTGCAGATACTCTTGGCTGGCTACAGGTCTCGCACAAGCACAATCAAGAGACACTGTTCTTCGTGGAGTCCAACCCAAGAAGACAGGCTATACTCGCTCGTCTCATTATCTCCCATGATGCAGTTAATCGAGTCGTATTTGATTTCTGAGCGGATAGGACATGGAGGATGTATGCTACAACTATGATCGACCCTAAAGCAGAGGCACTAAGATCCTGATCTTGCATATGTAGCGGGGACCGCAATTGAGCACTGCTTTATAGTACTGTCTAGCTATCATTAGCATGAAGCTGAGCAGTGCTACGAACTTTGACTTAGATCATGTATATCTTGGCCTGAAAAGTGTTCTATTTGACCTCCTTCGACTCTGCGAAGCCTATTATACCGCTTTTTTTTTTACAATAAGCGCATTTAGACGTGAGTAGGCGACTGAGCAGAAGTTCCTAATTTCTGATTGATCAAGGCAGAGATGTTGAAAGAGGTGTTGAAACACCTGTTATATGATGATGAATAATGGTTGCATTAATTTATAGTGCCTCTGAGAGTATTGTAGGTGGTCGGTACTTACAAATTGTGAAAAAGAGCGTCTCTAGAATCCTGGTTGAGTCTCTTTCTATGAGTAGGTCTGGTCTGTACCTACGTGTTACCCTGCGCCCCCTCTTCGGACCAACGGGCAATGGTATAGTGGTGTTTCATAAGTCTTCGACCACCTCCGCTCTACCGCCTAGTCTTCCGCCCTCAGTGAGAACTTGGCCTGTATATAAAACGCCAAGAAAATAATATGAGATCTTGTCCTACTGTTCTTTTATTTGAAATTGTAATCAAAGTCCATCTACTGACTCAAAAATATGAAATACTACCTTGTAATTGAAGCAACAGACAAAAATTTTGACTAGCAGAATATTATGTCATCAACTGAGCGGTCGGAGACTTATGAAACAGCACTGTAATGTACATCAGTTGGCTCGCCCTGACGAAGTATGACACAACCGCTCTTAATTGGATGGGACAAATTTCTCAATTATGGATTGATACTTGGACTACTATATTTACTCATTACTGCATCCTATGTTGCCACAATCGGCGCGAATTGACAGGGGCTCATACAATACATGTAGGAAGGGGACGGCGATTGTGATGACATCATCTCAGATCACGAAAGGGAGTAGTGGGGTAGCCCTCTCGCCAGTCCACATTGTAACAATCTATTGTCTCTCCCGTCGAGAGTAATTTCTGGTGATACACTGAGAGTGGCGATAAGCATAGAGCGTAGAGATCTATGAATAGTACACTCTTCAACCCCTGAGGAAAGTTGACTCCTGGAAAGGTACTGGGCGCATCCTGAAACACGGAAACCAACCAACCCGTGGGAGGGGTAACTGCCCGCATTGCAGCAACCGCTCCTCGGTAGGCCGCAGGATACATACAGGATTGACATGACATGGCGATCCCGCTGCAGTTACTGTACGACTGTAGGACTTGAGCTTCTCCTATCATTGACTTCCCCTGATCCAAAACCATTGCTGTCTTCCGTCTGGAAATAAGATATGACACACCACTGAGCGGTGTACACGGCTGGTGGGGAAGGGGCTGCCCCTCCATGGTAGCCACCGTACGAACCGCGTATTGTCTTCTCCCAATTGAGCGTTAGTAGGCCCTGGTTAGTCCTCATTAGTCCTTAGTGAGACCTTAACCCCCCTTTGGGTGATGTATTAAATACATAGCCCATGGAAATGCCCCACTTGGTTAGGCTGCAGTACCGAGCTGGAAAATGGAAATTGGGAAAATATGGATCCCAAGAGGGGTCTGCTGTGGTGGACACGAAAAGACTTGGCTTCTATCGCCAAGCAGTGATCAGAGAGCTTGTCCATCTTGGCAGGCAGCAACACCGTTTGATGGACAATTGTATACAGTAGATACTTGGTATAGCCTCACGATAGTAGTATTTAAATGTACCTATTCTGTAGTCCCTAATTCTACATGATGACGCCTTGCACCACCCCGCTCCCCCTAATTTCGGGTCTGGGGGCAGCGGAAACCGAGCAACAGACTGATTGGCTCAGGAGTGGGTTTTTGTTTTAAAAATGGAAAAGACAACACAGGCAAAGTCAATCGATTGGCGCCAATGATACTGTAGTTGTGAGTTCGGCGAATCGCCCCCGCCACCAGAGAGAGACCAGCGAGGATCTCAGCCCTCTCAGGCTTGGAGGTCTTCACTTGTGGAGCATCCACACGGGCAGCTCCATGCCCGACTGGAAAAGTGGCGTCCAATTCGACCGATTTTCACTGCTTCAGCCACGTAGCCGTGACTTGCCCCCCTCGTGGAGGACGACTGACGGGAGGTGTGCTGTGTTATCCACCGCGCGCTATTTAGATGGCCTCCCTCGCCCCTCGTCGGTACCCCTCCTCTCTTTTCCTCATCCCACATCTTCTCTTCTTCCTCATCTACCTCAATCACTCTACAATCACCGTCACAATGGGCTGGTTCTCTGGTAAGTACCTCAATGGCATAGCTACCTGATCGTATCACCCATCCCTCTATCCATCTATTACTACCCCCCGCATGATACCTGTTTAACTGGGGAAAAAAACACCTCACTAACCCCTTATCCTTCCCCCCAACAGACGACTCTCCCCAGTCCGACTCGTACCAGCAGTACAACGAGGGCGGCGTTAACCGCGAGCACGAGGCCTCCTTCGCCCACGAGCTCATCGCCGGCGCTGCCTCCTACGAGGCCGCCAAGGCCTACGAGCAGCACTGCGACCGCAACGGTAAGACACAATCCTACTCCTAGTCTCTCGTCTATCTCGCTATCCGCTATACATTGCCTAGCCTGGCTTTGTATACTCCATCACTTGGAATCTTGCAAGGCTAACACCCCTCCCTATCACAGGCCAGCCCCAGAGCCACGAGAAGGCCAAGGAGATCATGGCCGGTTTCGCTGGTGCCTTCATCGACCGTGAGGTCGAGACCCGCGGTCTGGACTTCATTGACCGTGAGCGCGCTAAGCGTCAGGCCGAGCAGCACATTGAGCAGGTCGATGAGAGCCGGTTCAACTACTAAGTGTTTTTCTGGAATATGATTATGTCGGCTATATGCCTTGATGAATCTGGAATTAAATGACTATTCCAACCCTTTGCTTGACGTGGTGCGTAGAGAGTAGTTGGCGTAGTTGCTCTGTTTTGCGTTCGTGTAGTGCGTTGCAGACCATGGTAGCTTCGATTGGTTTAGCTCTAGTAAACATAGAATCCTCTGGAGTCATGACCACGTAGAGACACGTGTTCCTGGCCCCAGGGTTGCCTATTACTTCAGGAAATTCCATCGCAACTGTAGACCACGATTGCTTATAGATATGCTATCCTTTTACACTTGTCTATTCAGAGGTGTTTGCTTCCGACTCTGGAAGCATTTCTATGGTAAAGCGGTATGGTATTTCAAGTAATTCTATTGATTCATTGTGAAGCTTTTTGACCTAGCTTCTTTCACATTCTATCTCGTTAACTAAATACTCACTGTATATAAATTGTTTATTCATTAATAGATACGATAGCTAACAGGCCCCACGACTGATAAGGTGCTAAATACGATATCTTTTATTAATCACGTGATTGAAGCCACTGAAAGGTTATGTGCGTAACTGGGGGTTTTACTACTTTGAATTTCAAGTTTTTGAGTTTGCATGATTCTCTTCCAACGGTTTCCATTTCAATTCCATTGCATTTCATTTCATTTTCAATGCAATTCAAAGCTTTCCCTTCAACATATCGTCAATAACCTGGCCTTTATTTATATGATTTAGTCTTCAATCATTTTGATTTCAATGATTCCAAGGCAGTCAAATTAAATTTCGTTGATTTGGTAGTGAATAATTAAGGTTTCAATGGTGATTGAAAATCAAAGCATGAAATTGAAAGGGTGAAATCCTGCGATAAAATCCCGTGATCAGAGCCTATTGGAAATTGGAATACTAATTTGCAATACTTTGTATACAAGCCTCCGTCCAGCTCCCAATAATCTCCTTGTTTATTCTGGGAGCGCTAGCTAATAGTGGCAGCCCAAAGTCTGACTTTAGAGACCAAGAAAGACATCTAGCTAAATAGGCTTCGATTGCCCATGCCTTTCTGGATAGCTCAAACAAAATTCGTTAATCAATCTTCGGAAGCAGAACTGATGAGATGAACGTCTCTACGGGGGTTCAAACTTGTGGAATCCCATTAGAGATTTCGGTAATCATGAATAGCAGCACTACGAACACCTTTGATAATGAGGCTTGATCTGAAGTAGGAGATTGATTATCAGTAACACCCGTAATTACCGTTCAAGGTGTTTACGATAAACAAAGAGACTCTGGACATAGTCGTAAGGCCTTTGATATAGGAATTGATACACTAATACCCCATATCTCAAGCATGGTACGCGAATTTTCACTGCTCGAATGTAGTATAGGATAGTATAGTATAGGAAATATACTTGACCAGGTCCTATTGGTTGGCACGTTCACTGGTGGTAGGGACAGGATCTTGCTTGGAGAAGTCACTTCGAACATAACGCGCAGGGCATAAAAATTGCCTCTCTTATGCTCAGAAGACGGCGGAGACCTTCTCTCGATACATGTCTGAGAAAGGCGAAACGTCATAGCTCCTGGCATGATCCAGGTAGTACCTCCTATCGCTACATCTCGTGCCGTTACCAATTTGTTGATTATTTCAAGTCCCCGCCTGTTCTCGAGACATCATGTCGACGTTGCATTTATTTAGAGAAGATCTTGATCTGTCGGTCGAGAGAAGACCATAGTCGACGTGATATGATATTCGGTATTCTCACCGAGGACGAGGTATCTTGTCGAACGAGCTTCAGTAAGTCGGAGCTGGACCTTTAGGGATGAATGGCTTGGAATTTGGAAGATTATGTCGGGAAATATACTTGGAGGTGAAGATAGTCTTCACTGTTAGTCTCAAAGGCCGCTAAATATGTTTCGGTCGAACGACATGTGATAACTGTTCAAATAACCTTGTCCGCCATTGTGGACCTTTTAGCGCACGGCTTCCTTTGACCAATCTCATTTTTGTGGGTCATCTCTCACTATCTGTCACTCCATTATCACCGTTGATTGAACCTTCTATATTTATTCAAGTCAGCCAATTTACGTCAACAATGCTCTGTGCTTGTCATCATTGCTCACCCACAGTATTATACCATGGTTGGATAGACTTCATTAATATTGGGGTAACTAGGGAGGTTTGACTTGACTCTTCATCTGATGATTCCCTATTCTTTTCTTTATTCGAGTATCAGTCCCGTGGTCCCAGAAAAGACGAATTGACATATCAAATTGATCTGATTGGACAGGTTATAGACCTCGCTCTGTGGCCACTGTGAATGTTGGAGGTCAGTGCTTCGTTGGCAACGGCCGAGGTCTTTTGACGATCGGTGACATACAACATGCAAAAAACTATAGCATTGGCAATATTAGTAGCGCCTTCAGAATTATGAGCACAGGTGTATCGGAAATGCAAGTAGGATAGCAGTACGTTAAGTGACCCCTATAGAACCGTCATCTTGAAGGGGTAATCAGACATGAGACGACAACGAATTATAGCCCCAACGACCACCCCGAAATTTGGTTCCTGATCCCATCCAGGACACGAAACCTAGAAGGTTCTGGTGATTGCCTACATTTGAGATGGCCTTGATAGATGAAGATCGATATAGCCTATATGTATACCCTATACCCCGCATAATCCATCCAAGCCCCAAGAAGTCTGTGCGTAGGGGCGAACGAATCACAAAGATCAGTGCCTGCAACAATGCAATAGCTAAACGGAATATCACAAGCAATTGAATTTCTTCATTTAAATACCCGAAATACCGAGGAGATAACGCTGATAATCTAGCATGGACCTCTCGGCGCCTTAAATCTTTCCGGGTTAGAGTTCCTCAGAGGATGCCTGCCTTGATATTGCACTTCCTTTGACCTTCTACCCCCGCATCCCCGCAATATATTGCAGATCGTGAATTTACAGTACTATGGGGAACTGAACGGACGATCCGCTCTCCACCTTCCTGATTTACAGAACTTTAGCTGTGCACCTGAATCATGCCCTCGGTCATTGTACTAGTAACACTACCAAGACTCTTGTCTTGCCTTGCTGATGCAGTCATTTCACATGAACTAGATCCGAGCACCTTTTAAAATGGAGGCCCCAGCCGAGCTTCGCTTTTCTCGTTCAAGCAAAGCTGCGGTCCAGAAAATATGCCCAAAACGAAGAAGGATTTCGTGATAGGAGCCCACCGTGGACCACTGTTTTCACGACAAGAGGAAGATGATGGACTTGCCAAAACCGAGTCTGCTAGCGGTCTTTCCTTGACCAAAACACAAACTCGTGGTGAAAAGTGGCGCCGTCACTGGCGCCGTTTCTGGCTTGTCTATCTTGTCGGCAATGTGATCTTCCTTGCAATTCTTCTCCCTATATTGTGAGTCTCAAGAAACTGGTTACCTATGCATTCTATTTCTTACCCCCGGTCTAACATCTCAAAAGCTTCCTAGTTGTTATCCCTGCCGTGGCACAACTGGTGGTAAACAAGTCGGACTTATGGCTCGTCAATGCGCAAGTGATGCAGCCAAAGCCCGACTCTGTGATCATGACGATGCAAGCCAATGTGGACCTGAAGCTTGCGCTTCCTGTTCGTATTGAGCCTGTGACACTCAACTTATTCGAGCGAGAGTATGGCCACGATAATCCATATGTCTCAGTTGACATTCCAGGTCAAACGATCAAAGGCAACTATACCCTTGGTGTCTCTGATCAGTTCACGCGTATACAAAACTTGACCGTCTGGGAAAAGTTTGTCAAGCAAGCCGTTTTCCAGGAGAAAACCTCACTGGCCATGTATGGCAAGATGACTGCTTATTTGGGTGTGCTAAAGTCTCATGTTACGATGGACAAGGACGTTGTCGCACCAAGTAAGCTTTTCCTTTCCTTACTCGTCATCAATGCTTGTTTTCTTCTTCGGCTCCTTCTTTGCCCATCAGTTTCAATCCCTTGCTAATGACTTCCAGCTTTGAACAAGTTTGCAGGTTTCGCCATGTCTGACTCGACACTACTCCTCCCCGCGAGAAGCGACGGCACAAACCTCATCGGAAACATTACACTCCCCAACCCCACCGTCTTACATTTCGAAGTCGGCACTCTGAACTTGGATATTAAGAGTGGCGATATTCTTATCGGCAACGTTACCATCAAAGGAGTGACCCTCGTACCTGGGGACAACAAGTACCCACTTACTGGAGTTATCGATCTAAAGACTATACTTTCAAATTTGGGAGCCGTTCTCAAAGCCGAAGCTTCTGCTCTGAAATCCGGAAACTTGAGCCTCCAAGCAACCACTTCTTCGGTTGTTTGGAATGGTACTGTTGTTAAATATTATACAGACATTTTGCGCCAGCTCACTCTCACCACGGATATTGGTCTCGCCGATACCTTGAAGAATACGCTCAAGAATTTTGTTCAGGGGAAGAATGTTACCGGACTATTGTCCAGTATCTTTGGGAATACCGGTAATATAAACTCCACCCTTGGTCGTCGGTACGAGGATGATGGCAAGGCGAGATTTGACTTGGCACAATTCCTCAAAGAGGATCAAGATGTGCAAGATGCCTTCCATGATGTAAGTCCGGAAAGGCGGAATGGAATGATTGATTCTCTGATGGCGATGTATTGAATGCTTAATGTTCCTCCTTAATGACTCTATTAACGAAATGATACCTTGATATCCCTTCACACAATATAGCCCAACGTAGATAAAACTGCCTTTTCATCGAGAAATAAAGACCAATATTCTTTCATTCATGAACGTCCACCTCATCTAGTTCTTTATAGATAGCATTCTTCACATCATCCTCGGCCCAGCACATGTCCACCGCATTCCTCGCCAAATGCACCATTTCAGCTTTACTAAACCCGCAGTATGTATAGATTTTCTGCATATTCCCATCAATCCAGACATCATGCATCAGAGTCGGATCGTCACTATTGATGCAAATCTTCACTCCTTTGTCGCGCAATCTTCGAATTTTGGGAAAGAGAACATCCGTCGCTGTTCTCCGGTGATACGCATGGGGGCACAAGGTCAATCCAATTTTTCGATCAACCAGACCTTGCCACAACTCCTCTCTATCCTCGGCGTCAAGCCCATGGTCAATGCGCTCAGACCCTTGGCCATCGCAAACCTGGAAAATGGCTTCATGCATATGCTCATGCGTGTCCTTTTGTCCAAAATCACAATGCATTGTGACGTGCAGACCATCCGCTTTTGCAAGGGCATATCCCTCTTCGAACAGCATCGGCGGTCTTTCGTATGCATTGCTGGCGAGCCCAACGGCATGGAAAAGCCCCTTGCCGCCCTCAACTGTACCAGCGGCCCAAGGTCTCGCCTCAACGTACGCCTCCAACCCTTTTTCGACGGGCTCATCCCGAAGGAAGCATAAGATCCACTGCGAGCGCACACCGAACTGACTCGCTGCATCGTGTTGTGCGCGTAGATAACCACCTAAGACTGCGGTCGCAGCCACGCCTCGACGGGTATGCGCTTGAATATCGAAAAAGGGTTCAGCATAGCGCACATTCATCCCTGCACAGCGACGCAGATATGCCATTGCTAGATCGTAAAAATCCTCCTCTGTGCGAAGGACCTCACAGCCTGCGAAATACGCTTCGAGAAAGGTCGGGATGCCGGGCTGACGGCCATTGAGCTCCGGTCGGTGATTCAATGTCACTGCATAGGAAGCTTTGAGGTCTTCAAATGTTGCGTATGGGAGAGTGATATTGTTGCGGTGGGCGAGCTCCCACCGGAGAGCTGGCGTGAGTGTTCCTTCAATATGTACATGGAGTTCGACCTTGGGCAAGGTTGCTATGAAGGGACTGATAGCCAGGCCGTTCATGATGGGTAGAAGTGAGCGCCCCAATCAAGCCGTGGCTGGTGAATAAATGGTAAAGAGACTGTAGAGAATTCTCCCGAAAGAGTGACTGGAGGATTGCCGAGGCTTTTTAGTATGCCAGAGAGAAGCTGTTAGCTTGACGATGTCGGCATTTTCCGACGGCCCCTCGACCCTTTTTACCAACCACGCGAATAGCTTCCTGTTGGGGACAGATTGTACTAAATTAGCCTTGTGGATACGGCTTGATCTCTAGACAACTCACCCAATAATGAGCCCTCTTCACGATGTTCGATCAGTGATAACGTTCAAGGGCGCGCGGATCTTGCCCGAGCCAATCGAAGTGCGGGGAAAGATAAGGCAGGGATGGACTGTCTGCAAACAAAAGACAGTCGTTGCCTTTCGCTCCTCGATCACTGGGGACAATACTTCTTTGATTATATTTTTCAACATCTCTGACATTTTGAAATCATGCCAGAATCTAGCACTGCAGTTGAAGAAGCCATGGTGGAGCAGGGGTCGGACATGGCCATGGCCAAACGAGTGTTGCGCAAGATCGACATGCGACTCGTGCCTTTGTTATTTTTCACATATATGCTGAATTTCATGGACAAGACCATTCTTTCCAGTGCTTCTGTCTTTGGTCTAACTGAGGACACGGTAAGATTTCCGTCCACGAAGCGAAAATTCAAGTGCTGACTATGTTGATATATCAGGGCCTGGTGGGGCAACAGTACAGCTGGGTATCCTCAATCTTCTACTTTGGCTATTTGGCATGGGCATACCCAACTACCTTGCTCATTACTCGCCTGCCAACGGCTAAATATTTGACTGCCAATACCCTGTTCTGGGGTGCTGTAGTTGCGCTCACTGCGGCTTGTACAAACTTTGGCGGCCTCATGACGGTTCGCTTCCTCCTCGGAGTCGCTGAGGCAACTATTACTCCGGCATTTATGTTTATCACGTCGACTTGGTATACGCGTGATGAGATCCCGACACGGACGGGCATGTGGTTTGCTGGAAATGTGAGTGTCTCTCGGCCGCGAAACTTGTGCCATGTCCTAATTCATTATCTTCAGAGCGTCGGCGGAATTGCGGCTAGCCTTATTGCGTATGGCCTAGGACATGTCGATGACCATGTCAGGCCCTGGAGATGGATGTTCATCATCCTCGGTATCCTTACTTTTCTCTGGGGATTCGCTATCTGGATGTTGCTCCCAGATTCCATTTCGACCGCGAAGTTCCTCACAGAAGAGGAGCGTCAGTTCGCAGCTAATCGAGTCGTCATTGCTGGAACCGGTGCGACCGAAAAGACTGCATGGAGGTGGGATCAGGTCGTCGAATGCCTCATGGACCCAAAGACCTGGCTTATTTTCGGGCTGGAAATTCTCACACAAATTCCCAATGGAGGCACCCAGAACTTTGCCAACCTCGTGATCAAGTCCTTTGGATTTACGAGTCTGCAGTCGACGCTGATTACAATTCCCTATTCTCTTATAACTGTCGCTGCAATTACCGGCTCTGGTTGGCTTGCTGGTCGGTTTCGCCAAATGAACTGTCTGTTGATTATTGCAGTCATTCTTCCATGTGTGATTGGCAGTGCGATCATCTACTCCCGTGCTCACGTTGTGCATGGTGTTCAACTATTCGGGTATTTCCTACTGTCAACTGGCCCGGCCGCGATGCCACTCGCAATGTCGCTGGTGCAGGCGAACTACCGTGGAGTGACGAAGAAAATGACAATGACCGCTTTGCTGTTCCTAGCATACTGCGCAGGAAACATCTCGGGACCCCAGTTCTTTCTCAGTCGTGAAGCCCCCACATATGACACAGCATTCCGCACAATTATGATCTGCTATGCGTTGGCTGTGCTTTTGGCCCTGTGTCTACGCTTCTACTTGCAATGGATGAATGCTCGTCGCGTGAGAGCAGAGGGATTCGAAGGAAGTGCGGGAAATGCAGGCGCAGTTGGTGGTGGTAAAGTCGTGGATGTTGATCCGAACGCAAAGAATGTTGGACAGATGGTAAATCAGGTTCAATTGGTATCGAATGACTACGAGGATATCACGGACTGGAAAACGCCTGGGTTTAGGTATCGATTTTGATTGAAGGGGCTCAAATGACGCTGTTTCGGGATTTCAAGTTGATGTCAGTCTTCTGGTCACACTCAGTGCAATTGAAAATACTCCATCCTTTGAATTGATCTGGAGCTGAATGCTGTCAACTCAGAAGTGTCAGTCTCTAAGCGCTATTGTGTCCATTCGTTCTGGCTGCTAGAACAGGATGCAGTATCCAACATGATGATCTTATACATTAGTTCATCATTAATTGACAATTGGACTTTCAAGTTTCGAAATGGTGCTCCAGATGCCCGATAACCCGCGATGGTCCTGTCCAAGTAGAATCTGGTACCGACGCGACCTATCATGTACGTTTTGGTGCAAGATTGGTAAGCATCCCCGCTAGCCTAGGGGGTGGCTATGTACACTATTTTTGACCCTTAGCCGAAGATTCATGGTGGTTGAGACCCGCAACATGAGTCAGTTTGCGCGTACTGGGAAATTAGGCTTGGCGTCGGAAGTATAACATCTCTCTCGAAACCGAAATAGTCAAGTCATATCAGAGACATATGGTCGAGTGACTGAGGCCAGAATGATCACTCCGTCGATTTCAGAAGACAACCCTTTTCAGGTGTTGATTGCAGAGTCAAATAATGACCCGGTAAGTTACCTTTTTGATTTTCAAGCCACCCAAGAATACTTACGGCGTGACTGGCACCGAGTCGTAAACTAATGCGGACTTGAAAGACTCAATTGCAATCGCGCTATGAAACCCATCGCACAAATCGAAATGCGCAACAAAAGGCAAAAATTTTGGCAGAAGATTTCCCAGGCTGGTCTATAGACGAGATCCTGCGTCGTCTTGATGGTCCTGCCAAAGAAGAAGGATACCTCGACCCTCGCAACTGCCTCGTCATCTGGGCTAGACCTCCTCCCCATATCCGAGACTTGATCGCCTTTGTTCAAAGCGAACTGAAAGATGTTGCTCCTTGTAAGTAGATTGCAAACACCGTTCTCAAACCCTCAAGGCATCACGCACTGACTCATTGTCCTTAACAGCTATTTGGCTGATGCCACCTGGAAATCTCCACACGACCGTCTTGGAAGTGGCCCATTCTTTGACAGCAGAACAGATCCTCGAGCTTGTCCAAACCTTAAAATCATCAAAGAATGTCACCGAGAAGAACATCTCAGGATATCCCCTCAAACATCAAAGCCGGCTCTTGAAGCCAATGGTGAGCTTTGACTCTGCGGCACTTGCTCTGAGCTTCGTTCCCGCCGCAGGCGAAGGCCCAGCGGGAGTTTCTGAGGGCCATGGGGATCAGTACACATATCACCACCTTCGCCGGGACATTTTTGACTTGGTTCGTCAAACTGGTCTGCCTGTTGCTTCACGTTATATCGTCCCGTCAGCTCACATTACCATCGCACGATTCATCACTCGTGATGGGTTTCTTGTTGATCAAGCAGAAGGCAGAGAAGTGATTGATCCTGCTCGAGTCAAATTACTGGTCGACAGAATTGGTCGTATCAACGAAATTTTAGAAAGCCGATATTGGCCACAGTCTGACGGTAGCTATCCAAAAGAAGGTGAATGGGTTGTTGGACAGGATCAGGCACTTGTGATCCGGAGGGGCCGCCTGTGGTATGGAGGGGGTCAAGATATATGAAACATTGAACCATAGATTTAATATTAATTCTTTGGCCTCGATTCTGTCAATGATGCTGCCTTAGCTTGTGAGTCACCTCCTGACTGCTAGTTATGTATAGCCAGCATGTAACTGGCCTGATGAGGCCAAACAAAGCAGGCAAACAATACAAACAGTGCTAAGTCAGTTATCAGCAGGAGATACTGTTCTAAAGCAGACTAGCCTGGAGAGAGACAGGACACTTGTATGGCCAGAGTCACAAAGAACCCCACTCCCCCGCTTTTACGAGGGTGTTTGCAACACGAGAACAGCCCCCGAAACGATAAACATGAAATGCAACCTCGTGTGCTGTATCTTCTTCGAATCTTGAATACAAATAGTTGGGAGAATTCTTGAACTCTTATGATCTTTGAATATCTCATTCACGCTCAAGTGCAAAGCCATCCCAAATGGAGCCACTACGAAAGATAACTCATCAGTATGCTCACCATGTGATACCGCTAGAATGCGACGTATATGATGCAATCAACTATGCAAATGATGCACCTGTCTTTCTATTCTTTCATGCTGGTGGACTCGTTGGAGGTAATCGTACTTGTGTCCCTCCTTGGCTTGTTCAGGTGAGAAAAGGGTGTTTTTAGTCCTGGGGAGTTGTCGTATATTGACCTTCTTATTCTCATAGAATTGTTATGAGCAAAAGTGGCCTCTGATTAGCGCGAGCTATCGACTAGTTCCTCGTGTAGGAGGCAAAGAGTTGCTGGAGGATGTCACGGCTGCGTATCAATTCGCCAGAAAGCTGGGTAGTGCAGATAGAAAGGTCATAGTTGGTGGAGCCAGTGCCGGTTAGAAACACCCCTTCGTGATGGCATGACTTTTACCCAAATTTGATTGAAACTGATTATCTCAAAGGATTATTCATGGCCAGTTTGGTCCCTCATCATCTACAACCTCCGCCACTAGCTTTACTCTCTATCAGTGGAATCGCCACGTTTCACCACCCCTTCTTCCGCTCATCAGTTCAACTCTCGCCGACTCCGATCCCAACGAGCGAAGTGGAATACCTCTTCAAAGGTCCCGTAATTGTTGGTACCGCTCCAGAATACGACCCCTGGTCATTCTCTCCCGCGATGCTGCAGCCCTCATCCACAGCCAAGAACCCAGATTATGTTCGCCCAAGACCCCCGGCTGAGAAATCTGCCGCCGAAAAGGAAACCGATAAATATGACTCCCTTTATGACTACTTCCTTTATCAGAATGCATTCGAGGGTATTGTCGGCGATATCGACCCTGGATTTGACTGGACTTTGGAGAAGGGTAAAAAGTGGAATGCTTGGCCCCCGACTATCTTCATTCAAGGAGATGCTGATGTCGATGTTGATAAGGACGTGTGTGTCTCAGCTGCAAGTAAACTTGGTGAGAAGGCAAAGTTCTTTATGGCCGAGGGACAACCGCATTTGTTTGAAGCGGGCAGTTTTCTTGAGGAAGAAAGCGCGCCGATGGATACAGTTCGGGCTGCGATTGCCGAGTTGAAAAGCATTGTCAGTCAGGCATTGTAATAGAAGAAACGAGCCTCTATTATGATAGCTGAGTAGCCATCGGTGCAACTATAAAACTTGAGAGTTATGAGACACGAGATCTTTTAGTGGTATTTTGCATTCATAGCCGAAATAATTGTGGCGGGGAATTCTACAAACTTCCAGGCGCCGCGACATACTCGACCAAGTTTATATCTGTGATGGTAATTGGCAGAATGTAAATGAAAGACCATTATCTAATCATATTGGAAATATTATAATTCTTATTATCGATCAAAATTAACTTGACATCTGAAGAGTCGGAGCCCAAAACCAGATGCGAGATCAACAGAGCACATCAAGAAATGATACTCCTCTAAGAAAGGAAGAACATAGAAACAGCTAACAGCAGCAAGATGTCATAGACAGGAATCATCTTCAATGCCGAAAACCCAGCACCAGTGAAGACTGGACTCGAGCTGGTCACAGTTCCACTTGCCCCGCTAGTATTCTGTGATGCAGATGAAGCAGTCGAGCCGGGACGCAGGCTTGACGCCATGGCCGCGACTGGAGAAGACGATGTACGGTAGAAAGTAGTAGAAGAGCTTGGTGATCCTGCCTGGTTGCCGGCGACACCACCGGCATTACTTCCTGAAAAGCCAGATCCATTGCCGCTAGAACTGCCATTGTTTGACTCCTTGCTTGCACCCATGGATCCAATGCCAGAAGCCCCGCTGGTAGACACGGCAGGAAGAGATGTCAACGAGCCGGTGGCGGTTGGGGATGCCTCAATCGTAACGAGGACCGTAGACTGGACCAGTGTCTCAGTAGTGACAAAAGTGTTCTTAACCGAAGCTGGGCAGTTGGTGACCGTCGATGGGCATGCAATCAATGTGGACGTCCGGGTAGTCAGAACAGTTGAAGTGGTCACACTGGGATATGATTCCCCAGCGGAATTATTTGGCTGCGAGCCAGCACTAGGAGTAGGCGTCGAAACAGCCACTGGGCACACCGTGGTGGAGACCAGGACAGTTTCAGTGGTGACATATGTGCTCTTTTGTCTTGCAGGACAATCCACCACGCTGGACGGGCATGCAGTAATGGTGGAAGTGCGAGTACTGAAGACAGTGGACGTAATGAACTCTCCGGTAGGTGATCCGCCATTGGTCTGAGTAATTGTGGATGTTGGTTGAGAAGTCTCGGTGATGGGGCAAACAGTGGTGTCGACGACAATAGTTTCGGTCGTCACAGAGGTAGACATTTCAGATGCAGGGCAATTAGGGACTGATGATGGGCAAGCAGTAATTGTTGCCGTTTGAGTACTGAAGATTGTTGAAGTGGTGAATCCCGGCGATGGTAGTGTGGATGATGGCAAAGAGCCCTGGGGGGCTGAAGATCCCGATGAAGAGAGTGCGGTGGGTGACTGCACAGGCAGAGATGAAGGTGTAGCCAATGGAATGGCAGACGAGGACGACTTGGGGATGGGCCTGGAGCTAATCGGATATGGAGTCGACAATGACACTGCCGAGGACGGGAGCTCCGAGCGGCTCACAGAAAAGCTCATAGAAAGGCTAGGAGAAGGAGATACTGATTCTGGAACTGACACGGGGATGCTAGAAAGCGAAACGGGGATTGGTGAGGGACTGATCTGCGACAAAGGAACGGTAGAAGGTCGGATTGATGGCAATGGGGTTGACGATAGTCCCAAGGGAGTAGAAATGGGCATCACGCTTGGGATAGACCGGATGGGCGATGACGATGACACCACGGCGCTTGATGAAATGAAGTGGGCAGGTGTACTAGATGGTGTAATTGATGAAGGAACGGCCGAGGAAGTCGAAGTCACCGTCGCGGTCGAGCTGATGGTGCTGGTCGAGCACACCTTCTCGGGACCAATAAACTTGGCATTGTCCAATTCCAGAATTCCGCCGTCATGTTGCGAGAATATTAAGATGACCATCGTGTGCGAGGTTGAAGTCGCCTCCCATGTACCAGAGATGGTCTTCCAGCCTGCTCGGGGCGAATACCTCAGGGCAGCGCTAGCTAGGAGGTGGCCATCTAGTTCGATGAACAAGTCGTAGGCTATTCCAGAGATAGGTTTGTAGTCATAGGAAAGTGTATATGTTGTGCCAATTGTCAGTCCGGTCACGGTCTGCTGTGCGGCCCAGTAGCCACCAAGTGGTCCGATCTTCATCGCATAGTTCCCATCATCCGACGAGTCCCTGATGACGAGGGGTAGCGAGCAAATTGAGCCTTTATATTTGCCCCATGGGTTGATATCACCGGTCTCGACTGATGGATTGGTGAGGAAGTTTCGTGGGGTGTTCTGGCAATTCACGTCGGTACTGGTGATGATTGTCGTCTCTGCCATGGAATATTGTCCATAGAGCAGAACTCGCAGGAGCACGGCAACCCATGCAGTCTTCATAGTGATAGGTGGGATAGTATAACGAGTGTGAGAGAAAGAGCGAACAGTTTAATTTCAATAGAAAAGAATGGACGGTTGTTAAACCAAGTAAAAGAAGGTATAGTCCTAGACCGATGGACCGAACGGAAACGACAAGACCGCAGTGTTTCTGGCTCTCGAAGTGCCTTCGTTTAATTATATACCAGATTTTGATCATCCATTACGATCTCTAGTAGGTAGATACACAGTCATCTTATTGGCGGGTCGATTGTTCTGTGTCTTTGAATGGGGGCTTGCGCTTAGCCTCCCAAGCACGCACATGGAAGAAATTGGCGATGGCTACAACTTAAGCAGCACCAGAAAGATACAAACTGGGAATACTAGCCACACAACACGATGTGGGATTCAATAGTCTGTGAATTGTGTACACTAGCGGTCGTTCGGGAAATAAAGTGGCAAGAGACACCGGGCCTCAGCGCCTATCATCGTGCGCCGTCGCTTGTTTGTTCCTGGCATTTCTAGCGAGAAGTGGATCTTCCGCGCCTCCAGGAACGCGCCACGCCACGAGGCTCCTGTGCATCTTAGTTAAGTTGGTGCACTTCGGTAAGACCGATGAGGCTCACGCAAGCTAAATTGGGTTGGAGTTCATCATAAAACAGGGTTCATGGTGACTTGATGGTGGGGATCCGATGAGATCCGGAAATCGCCGACAGCCAGCTCAAAGGCTGTGCTATCCCCAATTTTGGCATCACAGAACTGTGTGGTCGAACAAATTGAGGGGAGGTAATTCTGTTAATACTCGTTCTGCTCTATATTCAGAGCTTCATTTCAGTTCTATCAACCTTTTGGTCGTCGTGATGTTGTCTACGCGTTTTCCTACTGTGGGAACCATATTGAAAATTTTAGGTGCAGGCTCTCTCTCTACATTCAGAAACAAGACAAACAATTCGCTTCAAGATGCACGCTTCAAGAGCCCGATTCAACAAGGAGTTGAATGAATAACTCTTCCACTCTTCATCACATTCTCACCAAACCCCCTTCGAACACTATGCATCGCAATTGAACGGACCTGTACAATTCGCGAACAGATGTGACGATATTATTCTTCTCGAATCCCGTGTTGCAGATCGTCCAAGGGTCATCCACGTTGCCAAGGCTCACTCCTGTACAAGTGGCGCCATTCCCACCGTTCTTATCAGCACAGTGCCATTTCTGCTTGTCCATTGCATCGACATTGCAATAGTAGGGAGCGACACCCCCACAGATTCCGTCGTCAAACAACATGTGGTCTGATAGACCACCATCATACAGACCGTTGTCTTCATTCTTCATCTCTGAAGCATTCTTTGCATCGCAGACTTTGTCCTTGTTTTGTGTCATGGCGTAGATGTTCTCTCCTTCGTTTGAAGTAATGCAATGTGAGTCCCACCAACAAATTTATCAGCGAATCCTGACTGCCAGTGCTATAACCTTATAGGGATTTAGCAAATAGATTTTATTTAAGGCTAAAATGTAACTACGACAAGAATGTAAAAGGCTGCATGAGATCCGACAAATACCCAAGTAGAATAATGTAATCATATCTCTTGCCAACAGAACCAAAACACCAAGGGGATTCCTGTACTGATGGCCTTATGATGTCGGCCTGATCGTCGATTAAGCTGAAGAACCCGTCTAAAAAGCCGAGCCGACCAATCCTGGCAGATCTGGATATTATTAAAGTCGGCCTACAAGAAACTGCTGTAAGGGTCCCTTCCGCTGCAAGTTATGTGGCTGGAGCCTTGCACCCCCCACAGATACAAACTTAAGGTGTAGGAACTCGGTAGTGTCGAAGTTTCAAGCTTATCTCTAATTAATACATGGTTCATAAGCATGACGATGGTCAATTGTCAGTCTGCATAATACAGGAATGCATCCGGAGTTTCCTAGTCGGGTTGAAGGCAGGTACAAGGTAGGCACTTCTGGTATCACGGCAGTAACTTCGCTTATTCCATAGAGAGTATGGGTTGGCTTTATATCTTTCATGCCCCATTTTCACTGACCTCGTCAAATTCTGGTCGATTTTTATGGGCTCTGGATGTACCTCTAGCCCCTACTATGAAATTTCTAAATTACGACTTCAATTGGAAGCTCGTCTGTCATGACATTGGATCGTTATTGCAAATTCATCGACGCCGTTTCGATCAAACCGTCGATTCGTCACGATAGAACTATGGATCCATGAAACTGTCAAATAAACAACTTAGGAAATTTACATGTAAGTATGCGGCTATCTCAGAGGCTGATCCTGACGCTCGTAATGTGATTGGCAGCTTGACGTTTAACAGCCGACTTGATCTCAACTTTGTTTTTTTGATAGAATGGATCAGAGCTTTAATCTTAAATTTTGGTGCAGGATCAGACAGATAATAAGATTATTTTCATTGTATTAATAAAGTGCGGTTGTCGACGGTTTGGGTCATACCGCGTTCCTTCCTTTTGATATCGGTACCTTAAATGGAGCCGTACGATGGGAGCTCCCGAATAAAGATATTTCACACGTCATCCCTTCATTTTGGGCGGCGGCTCTGTAGCGGCCTCAAAGATTGCAATGGGGAAAGTAAATATTCGTCATGTCACCATCTTATGAACATTCGTAAAACCAAGCCCTTTCCACCACGAAAATACATACCAGGAGCTCTTCTCACCCTGTTACTATACTAGAAATTGTCTTGGCAGAATAATCGAAAAGTTTTCCAATATGTTACCGGTCTTCTATTGGAAAGTGGTGGTTTCAGATAATCGTTACCTCGAAGTCCTATCATACGGGTCACAATGGATCAAACCAGAGGAAGTCATTGATATACTTCTCTCCGAGCACGTACTACGTGAGCTCAAGCAGCGAGAGGAAGCGTTAAAGTACCGGATTGTAGCCTTTCAAAAGGCCAAGGAAATCCAATCTGAGGACGATTCCGAGCTTGAGAATGCCAATAAACAGCTCAAAGAGACGCGTTCAAAAGTTCCAATGAAGGAGCACGCCCTTTACCGAGCAGTTTCCATGTTGGATTCCTACTTCAAGGGCGTTCATGATAACTTAAGGCGTGATTCTCAATGGTTCATGCGCAATGATACGGTTCAGGATTGTGCAGATCGCGGCGGATGTTGTAGTCGAGCATGTGGATGCTGCTCACAGAGGCATCAATGCCACGGAGGAAAAGGCATCGGCCACTGCACGACCGAGTGTTGGTGCTGTACCATTTTCCGGGGGTTTGAACTTTCAGAGGACGAAAAGGCGGAAGTCAGAAACGATTTGAAAAGCCGACTGGAGCACAACAGATCGCCATATTTGATAAATATGGCAAACTGCTTTTTTCGCCCTTTGCCAACGCCGCCTACCCCGGCTCTAAGCACACCGATTCCGGCCTCGACATCCTCACAGCCCAGACCGTGGTGGTGCAAAATTTTTAAATGGAATTAGAAACGAAAGCTACCTTTTTAACTTCTAAATCATTAGCTCGACAATCACTCAAAGACTCTTTGCTTTCAACCATGGTACCCCGGCGATTGAAGAGCAGACGACATGAGTGTCCCTCTCCATGGCAATGTATTTTGTGGAAAACTTCTCACGGTATCATCTTTGGCTACTTTCGATTATATGCTTTTTTCGTTGCTGATCTATCAAGTCCGGTTTCATATCTCTGCTTCTCGCACCAAAGCGATGTTTAATCTTTCGGGCTAGGACAGAGCAATTTGGACTTGAATAGGACATTTAGTGTTAAAAAAAAAATATTTGAAGTGCCCATACTACGCATCTGCTTATACCTATCTGTTTGACACAGTATGCTTATGTGTGATGCCTTCCTTATCTTGCATAGTACATAGTATCGGGCAACAGGGTTGCCTTCGAGTGGCTCAGTAAGACAACCTTGAAGATGACGAAGTACCTAATCCGTCATGTTGTATACGCTTGAATAATTCTAGAATCGAGCAAATCAGTAGGAAATTTAGTGAAAACTGTTCCATGTTGTCATCACTTAGCGCTCGTTTCCCTGGTCTCAGGCCAGTTTCGCTGGCCCTCAACTTCATGGTTTCGCCACTCTCAGTGATAATTGAGGCTCAAAAATACAGGAATCTGTTTAGTTAATCCAGTACAAAATTCACGAAACTTATCTATGTCTTTCTTCTAGCTCATTCTCCACTTGTCCTGGTTCCATAACCCACAGAACAAGACATATGTACTTCATGGAGCCTCATTGGGAAAGCGGTGGAGACAGTTTTTCTGCCTGAGGACGGAAGCTCATCGCGCATCCAAAACGCCTCTCAATGCAAAAGCATCACGAGGTTCCTTTATTTTTCATTCCTCTCCAACCCGCCCACCTCGACACTTCCCTCCCTGTCTCACAAGCTCAGACCTCCATATCCTCGAGTGCACTTTGAACAAACCTTTCAAATTTGACACACATATCTCTCTTGTTCACGACAGCTTCATTCCACGCAGCTCTCTGGCGCGCCCTTTCCGATGTCCCTCTTCGGCAGCGTTGGTGCTGTGACGACCACCACGTCGGCAGGCCAGACCAACACTACGGGCGACATCTCCAAGGATGTTGCGCTCAACCAACCCCCAGAGGACAGCATCTCTGACCTTCGTTTTTCGCCGGTCAGTGAGCATCTAGCTGTCGCATCGTGGGACAAGAAGGTCCGCATCTACGAGATCAACGAGCAGGGCCAGAGTGAGGGAAAGGCACTTTTCGAACATGAAGGCCCCGTGCTAAACTGCTGCTGGTCTCCGGTAAGCTCTATTTCTTCTTTTCGAGTTCTGCAAGAGGTGTTCATGTCCCCAAGCTAACCTGCGACTCTTTTTAATCACCAGGACGGAACCAAGGTCGTCGGTGCAGGTGCCGATAAAGCTGCTCGTCTTCTGGACCTCGGCGCCGGCGCGACTACTGCCACTCAAGTTGCTGTCCACGATGCTCCTATCCGCAGTTGCCACATGATTCCCAATCCCTCGGTTGGTGGCTCTCCACTTCTCATCACAGGCTCGTGGGACAAGACCGTCAAGTACTGGGACCTGCGACAATCGACCCCTATCGCCTCCATCGAGTGCCAGGAGCGTGTGTACTCAATGGACGTGAAGAACAAGCTTCTAGTCATCGGCACTGCGGACCGTTATATCAACGTCGTGAACCTCGATACCCCGACCAAATTCTACAAGACCATGCAATCCCCCCTCAAGTGGCAGACGCGGGTAGTCAGCTGCTTCGCCGACGCCTCCGGCTTTGCCGTCGGCAGTATCGAAGGTCGCTGCGCCATCCAATACGTCGAGGACAAGGATTCCGCCTCCAACTTCTCCTTCAAGTGCCACCGTGAAAATCCCCCAGCCAACCGCGACATCTGCAACATCTACTCCGTCAACTCTATCTGCTTCCACCCCGTCCACGGCACATTTAGCACTGCCGGAAGTGACGGTACTTTCCACTTCTGGGATAAGGACGCCAAGCACCGCCTGAAGGGATATCCAGCTGTCAACGGGCCTATCTCCAGCACCGCCTTCAACCGCAACGGAAACATCTTCGCCTACGCTGTCAGCTATGATTGGAGCAAGGGCTACTCTGCCAACACCCAGCAAACTCCCAACAAGGTCATGCTCCACCCCGTGGGGCCTGATGAGTGCAAGCCTCGACCCGGTACCCGCAAGCGGTGATCGGGGTAAATGAAGAATTGAGGAGGATGGACGTTTGGGATCGTGCCCAGCGAGCATCGCGGCGCGATTGGCGCAACGAGCATTTAATGAGACCCTTTTTATCCACATCGGCGTGTGTGCTTTTTACTTTATTCTTTCAAAAGAAATCTGCAAATGGGACTTATTTTGACCCTAGTCCTTTCTGAGCTTCTAACTGGACGCTCGTTTCCATTCATTATTTTCGTACTCATGGACTCGTATTCGAGCTATGCACGGCATGAATCTCGAAGCTTTAGAAAGAGCTTGAACACAATTGATCAAGACAAAAAAACAAGGAAGGACTTTACGAGGGATGTGCCTCTGATGGCGCGCGGTATTCAAGGCCTACAGGGCAAGAAACGGAAAGGAAGAGTCGCCCATCCATTCTACAGCAAATAGGTACTAGGTAGATAGATCGAACCATCAATCAAATCAGCAAAATGTCAAAATGTCAAAATGCAAATGCAACTCCCAACTCTTTCTTCCAGAACACCTATTCTCGTGGATTCATGTGTATGATAAACAAAAAGGAGAAATGCCAAAATCCAACGTCCAGTATATCAGTATCAGTTCCGAAAACCACGTCGCTCATCTCATTCATGACCTATGACCCGTAACATAAATCTCTAACAAAGTCTGCGCCGTTGGGAAGCCTGCATTTATCGTAGAATCTTCTCCTCGCATTGGCCTGAGACCTTCCACGCACTCGTTTCTCGTGGTCCGATCCTTTAAGAGGTGGGAAGGGTGACCTGGGAGACGCCGTCGGTGATCTTCTCAACTGCCTCATCGTGGGGACCGTCGGTCGTCACGCTGGTGCTCTCGGCACCACCCTTGGCTGTAGCCTCAACTCCACCGGGGGCCTTGCCCTTGTCCTTCTTCTCCTTCTTCTTGGCCTTGGCAGCAGCCTTCTTCGCAGCAAGCTTAGCAGCCTCCTCGACCTTCTTGGCGCGCTCAACCTGGGAACCGCCGAAGGCCTCGCGCCACTCATCAGCCTTCTTGGGGTCAATGCGCGAGAACAGGTACGCCGCCTTGCCAATCTTATGACCAGCCCTGAGGCTGTCGGGCTTCCAGCCATCCTTGAGGGCCTCCAGCGAGGGGATCAGGAGGAAAGAAGCGTTCAACTGCTGCAGGATGGACTCCGAGGTTCCGGGCATGTAGGGTTCAAACACACTGGCCAGCAGGTGGATCAGGTTCAGGACGGTGCCGACGACGGCCGCGGCGCGCTCGGGCTCATTGGCGATCAGCGAGTTGTCCAGACGGTTGGCCTGGATCAGACCGTTACCGGCCTCGGCGAGGCGCATGGCGGTGTTGACACCGGCACGCAGGTGGACACTCTCCATCTCCTCGATGTACTGCTTCAGCAGGCCGGTGACTTCCTCCTCGAAGGGCTTGAAGCTCTCGGGCACGGTGAACTCGGGGATGACGCCGCCGAAGGAAGCGTTCACAAGCTTGATAACACGGTTGACGAGGTTACCCAGCTTGGCAAGCAGCTCGCTGTTGTTGGCATCTACGAAGGGGCGCCACTCGAATTGGGTGTCACCGGTCTCGGGGCGGTTCTTCAGCAGGTAGTAGCGCCAGACATCGGGGCCCACACCGGTCTCCTTTGCATTCGTTCCGAAGACACCGATACCGCGAGACTTGCTGAACTTGCCGTTCTCGTAGTTCAGATACTCCGTAGCGCTGAGGTGGTGGAGCATAGTCCACTTATCCCGGGTACCCATCTGAGTAGCGGGGAAGATGACACTGTGGAAAGGAACGTTGTCCTTGCCCAGGAACTGGTACAGCTGGACGTTCTCCGGGTTGCGCCACCACTGCTCCCAGTCCTTGGTGTAGTTGGCGGTGATGGAGGGGTAGCCAATGCATGCCTCGAACCAAACGTACAGCACCTTGGTCTCAAAGCCCTCCAGAGGAACGGGGACACCCCACTTGAGGTCACGGGTAATACCACGGTCCTTCAGACCCTCTTTCAACCAGGACTCGGTGATGACCTTGGAGTTCTTGGGCCATTCTCCCTTGCTGATGGCCTCAGTGGACCACTTCTCAACCTCCGGCTGGAGCTTGTCCAACAGCAGGTGGATGTGTTTCGTCTCACGGCGGACCGGGGTGGCTCCGTCGAGCTTGCAGCGGGGGTTGATGAGGTCGAAGGGATCGAGGAGGTGACCACACTTGTCGCACTGGTCTCCACGGGCATCGTCGTAGTGGCAGCGGGGGCATTCACCCTCAACATAACGATCAGCCAGGAACGAGCCGTGCTTCTCGCAGAAAGGTTGCTCGGCGGTGCGCTCGCCAAGGAATCCGTTGTCATAGAGGCGCTTGAAGATGGTCTGGGAGATCTCGGTGTGCTTCTGGGTAGGGGTGCGGCCGAAGTGATCGAATCCGATGTTGAACCACTTGTAAACCTCCTGGTGGATCTTGTTATACTTTGCGCAAAGCTCCTCCGGCGTGACCTTCTCCTCTAGCGCCTTAGTCTCTGTTGCTGTGCCATATTCGTCCGTTCCGCAAATGAATAGTGTAGGCCGGCCGCAAGCCTTGTGATACCTATTGTGCACTCGTTAGTTTTGATCGTTTGAAATTATCGCAGTGGGTTCTTGGTGCGATTTTGAGTCATACCTCGAGAAGACATCCGCACTCAGCACTGAGCCGACGACATTGCCCAAATGGGGGACATTGTTCACGTAGGGAAGTGCGCTGGTAATGAGGATATTGCGCTCGCCCTCCTTGGGCAGGATCGGGTCTGATGCCATTGTGGTTTGGAGAGCTTGAAAGAGCGTAGATGGAGGGGTTCGGCGGGAAATTCGATAAAAGTGGGCATCTCGTGACGCGCGCGCGCCCCGCATATCAAAATTTATGACCTCTCGTTGTTGCTTACCCCAAATCTTGACTCATACCCTCCTCACCCCTTGCATTTTCCTATCGCTTTTACTTTCCGATGGAGTCCAATCTTCTAGATAGTCTTCTCGACATTGAGGAGCAATTCTATAATGAAGGCTATAGTCTCGGTGTTGCCGATGGCACCGAGGCGGGCTACACCGAAGGCAGCGTCTTCGCCGTCGAGAAGGGCTTTGAGAAATTTGTGGAGATGGGCCGATTGTATGGCAAGGCGCTAGTTTGGGCCCAGCGACTAGCCAAGTCTAATCCATCGGAGACATCCGAACAGCCATTGGACCAGTCGGTGGCCAGTGCCGATGCTATCGCTCTCGATCCATCCATTTGCAAACAGATGTCTACGCCGCCAGCACATAGTGCCCGACTTACCAAGAATCTCTCTACTTTGTTGGAGCTTCTTGACCCGGCCTCATTGGATATGACCAACACAGAGGAAGCTGTTAACGATGCAGATGAGCGCTTGAAAGGCGCTGCGGTCAAGGCCAAGCTCATCCAACGCGCAATGGGTGAAGGCGAGGAGTCTTTGGATGCTCGACCGGGTGCGAAAGAGGGCTCAAAGCCTGGAGATGGAACCGGCAGCATCGAAGACATCAGCTCGCTGAATGTTCGTCACTGAAGTCTCGCACGTTATTTATCAGCATCATGCGAGTATGTTGTATCTGCCCTGCAGAAATTGGCATATGGATGCGCCCGAATCCTCCAACATGAGGATCTTTCAGACAAGCAGGTGTCTCGATGGCGGCTGCAGTGGTGACGAAAGCTATGCCTCACTTTGGGGATTACGCTACAACACCGCTTCCTTGCGAAGCAAGTGACCTCCCATGGCCACCTACCTCTCAGCGGAGACTCGCGTCCGTGATGATCTCTACGTCGACTCACAACTGGTGGCGAAGATGAAACCACCAGACAGGCCTGAGACTCTGACATCAAAGTGGCCCATGACGAGGGTCAGGTCGACGGCTAAGACTCTTCAGAAGCGATTCTCGTAGATTCGCTCAAGACTACGACGCAATGAATCTTGTACAGGGCGCTATCAAGTTTTGGCAAATTCAAGTTCGTCATTATGAACCCAGTAGAGAACTGGGGATCCAGCTTCTTCATTTTGAAAATCATCATCATGTATGAATAAAACCGTTTACCTCCCATAAACCGGCATAATTTTTGATGCTCCGCATACGTCTCTCCCAGGACATCATTGCTTATTCCAGACTGCGCACAGCCATAGCCATAGCACCCTCCTTAGTCTTGTGGCCACCGATAAAGCCACTAGCGTGCACAAAGATCGCGCCCTCGGGAAGCTTGTCTCGGCCGTTCTTCTCGGCTTCCGCAGCCAACACGCCGTCTAAATCCTGGTCACGCACGCCGCGCCATGACTCAGGAAGCGGCTTGCGGGACTCGAAGCTGCTCTCAGAGACAGACACGCACTGCACGCGCCACTTGGAGTCCTCAGCCGCGCTCTCGGGGTACAGGACGTAGTAGACCTGGGCATCCGGGCCGGCTGAGGCCTCACGCTCAAAGTTGTACAGGTGCTCCTTCCAGGGCACGCCGCCTTGGGGCAGGACCATGATGCGACCAGAGGGGTGGGCCTCGGTGCGAGAGGCGTAGGCATTGCCCACGGTAGTGCGGGCGGGCAGCCACGAGGTAGTGGCGTGGTGGAGCTTGCGCGCGAACACGTTACCGATGAGCGTGCTGGCGCGGCCGAAGAGGCTGTCTTCATCTTGGGGCTCGCCGGGAGGACTGGTCGGGTCTGGGTTGTTCATGTCATTGACGATGGAGGCGAGGGTGACGCCGTAGTCCTTGAAGCGCTTTTCAAGGTTGGCGGCCGCAACGGCCGTTTGGTCGTAGGCTGAGATTCCGTTATCGTTGGCATCGATGGCCTCGATGAAATCGGTGTACAGCTTCTTGTACAGCAGGTCAACGTCGGCGTGGTCCTCGGAAAGGGACATGTGCTGGGCGATGATGGCGCGGCCAAAGTGCATGTATACTAGACCCGCAGAGGACAGCTTGGTGTTGTGCTTGGGGAAGTTGGTGTTGAAGGTCCGCTGGTGATGATCATAACGGTTAATGGCAGCATCATACACTCCGCCGACATCCACCACGGTGTGACATGTGTCCAGCTGGGCCGGGTCGCGGGTACGAATGAGCGGAGAAGAGGCATATGTGGGCAGGAGGCGCAAGAGGTACACGGCCAATGCCTCGTCGGCGTGGAAGTGACCGCTAAGGTAGCAGGTTAGAGACGAAACAGCCTCGGAAATACATCCTTCGCATTGGATGGCGGGGATACGTACTTGTGGGTGCCAATCAAAGGCGAGGAGGTCTTGAGCTTCTTGGTTGCTGTTTCTTCGGCCATTCTGAATAGTTGTCGCAGACGTAGCATCCGCGAGAAGGTGATATCAAACGAGGAGCAGCTTTGAAGCTCTTACGATTTGCTCTGCTCTGGCTGGCTGCCCGCTCTTATCGGGGCTGGGGCCATATCGGGAAAGTAGGGCTGGCAGCCAGGGCCTGGCCAGGTCACCTGATGGAGCTTTGAACTCTTAATCTTAACCGGTTTGGGCAACGTGGGCACTGTTTCATACGCCAGGAAGGACAAGCATATAACTGGTTGTTTCGAAGTAACTCTGGTATTTTACTACTACTATTGTTGGAAGATTTGTGTGGATAAAAACTGTCATAAATGCCTTGACTCGACATCAAAAAGCCCTGGCCAGACCTATTCGTTCCCAAGTACAGTTACATCAAGGACTATACCAAACCCACGCTAGTCACAAGTACTGGTACTTTAATCAGCCATCGGCACTCTCCTCTATTATGGCGTTATCGAATCAACGCCATCCCAGTGAATGAATAGCCATCTTGCCGGTGGAATAAATCAAGATTATACCACTATGGACCTCTTAAATTCCTACCTAGAGAGCAAATTCAGTCAAATAGCGCATATATCCCCACATCGAATACATTCGAGTCACGTAATGCCCCCAACCTGAGGTTGCAAAGCTCATCGCGATACGGTGCTTTGACCGCCAGTCTTGCCCCTTCTGGGTGCCTTAGCTCGAATATTGAAAACACAATACTCACGATCTGGCGGCCGTGTGTTGGAAAATGAAAAAACCCCCCCGTTCTACTCACTCATGCAGAGTGACTACATCCTGCTGCAGAATTTAGTTGTATACCTATCACCTTTCCACACTATACGAGGAGCATCGATCAACCCTCCCACCGCCTGCAGCAAAGCAACCACTCATTTCTCCGTGTGATTCTCCAGAAAACCAAATCCCAAAGCCCTTTGAGCCAAGAGCCCAAATTTCCCTTCTCCTGCACTGCTGGTCGCCCCCCAAATTAGCGGGCCCACGTGAAAGGGCGATAAGCTCGAGAAGAGAAAAAGAAAAACAGTTGTGTGCCCTCCCCCCCTCCTCTCTTTCAACCTTCCTTCAACCTTCTTTCATATCATCACCTTCCAACTCGAACCACCCCCCAAACCTCCGTCGCGCGCTGCGCGTCTCCCACTCCCGATGTGGCTCTTCCGCGTCTTCTCGTCGGCCGTCTTTCTCACCGTGATCGTCTCCTCGATCCCACTGGCCTTCGATGTGGGCGGCAAAGTATGCGGGCTGGCCTTTTCGCTATCCCTCGCCACGTTCTACTTCCTCTTCTCGCTGCTGAAGGTCTCAACTCCCGACCGCTCGTGGTTCCGGTCCTCTCTGGTCGTCGTGGTCAGCTCCACACAATGGATCCTGATCCCGATTCTGCTCATCTGGTCTTTGAATCGCTTCTCGGAAGATGCAGACAGTAGCGGTGGATGGGTCGAGCGCACATTCACGGGGCAGAGGGCGGCGGATAGTTCAATCCAGGAGTGGCTCTTTGGTCGGGCTGGTTTGGTGGAGTCGGTGACGCTGGGCAACTGGGATCGACTGTTGCGCTGGTCCACCCCCGTGTTCCAGCTCGTGGAGGGTTTCTGCAGTTTACTGGTTATTCAGGCTGCAGGCCAGATTACTCGTTGGCTGGTCAATCGAGGCGGGCGAAGTGACAGCTGGATGGTATGTGTCTTAGCCCTGTTTTTACCTGGTTTCCTTTGTGATGCGATTTCTAACTTGGATCAAAGATTGGCCTCCTCGTTCTCTCTGCGACCGTCATCTCCAGCTCGGTATACTTCCTCTGGCGCGTCCTCCAGTTCCCCGAAATTTCCAACGTCGACGCGGCCTTGATCGGTGTCTCTATCACATGCGCGGTCATTTTGTGTGCGTGGGGTATTGGCAGTGGACGCGGAAACCCCGTCGAGAGCTCTCTGCTCTTCGCCTACGTCGTCCTCTGCATCTACCAGATCTTTACGGATTACCAGCCCTCGTACCCGGTCGAGCAGGTTCCTTCGCCTTCGCAAGTGGGTGACTTCCCCCCGCTTCCCCCCGATTATCATGGCATCGTACACCACCCTCATGCACGCGCTATCCCTGCTGCCTTCGATTATCCACGCCGCGTTCAACGTCATCACCGCCGTCTTCAGTGCCGTCACTCCATCAGTCCTGATTTCTCTCGCGTATCGGTTACTCGTGTTGTACGCGTCAACGCGTATAATTCCTGCCGTGCGGGAATCTGGAGCCCGCGCGCTCTCGCAAGAGGCCTCTCTGGATGATGCCGACGCGGCTGGCCAGGTCTTGGGCTTCCTGAGCTACTTCGCTCCATCTATTCTCATTTCTGTCTACACCAGTCTATTGATGCAGCATTTCGCGTCTGCGTCGCAAGCGATGGGCGGTAGTGGTGAATGGTGGAGCAGCCAAGGCGGCGATCGAGGCAATCTCTGGAGGTGGATCAACCTTGCCTGTACGATGGGTCTTTATGCAGTTGAGCTCTGGCTCGGAGAGAATGATGATCTGGATAATGGACTGGCTGGGCATTGGAAGACTGACTGAATTTAATATTCTTAAGGAACCCGATCGGAGGGTGTATTGTGATTTCATTTGTCCTCTTATGGGAAATCTCAATTCATTCCGATCGGCTTTCCATTTCTCCATGCCCTTCCGTTACAGGGGCGCCATTTCATGATTTGGAGCAGCGGACCGCGATCCTTGTTTCCAAATCACCTCTCCTGGCCCCCTACCGTACCCCACAGACATCAATATCACATGGGAAAACGCATCGCAGTCTGGTTATCGTATGATCAGTCTGTCTTCCCAGAGAACAAAACTATGGGGCATCAAAATCTCTACCATGTGGTGTCCGGTCTTATTTCAAACTGAGATTCCCTCCTTGCTCTCTGTCCTTGCACCTTCAATGCATGGTGATCCCCCAAGCCCCCAGTCCGACGCTATACTCGCGCACATCTGGATCAAGCCCGTCTTAGGCCTGACAGGTGTCAACAGGCCGTTTTCCTCGCGTCCATGTATAAGCCATTTACCCTTGTCCCTCAATCCTGGAGACCTTTCCCTCTCCACCAGATCACTCACCCTATTCCCAGAGGCCTCTGTTCTGTTCTCGGCTTCAGGATTATGTTCCTAGCTCCTATTTCCCCATCCTCCTTTCCCGCAGGTACCTACCATGCTTGCAACATTTTCCACCCATCCTCTCATGACCCCCATGATACCAAATGCAATGTTCCTTACCGTGTTTTTACATTCTTGTCATGTCTTCTCCACGCCATGTGCTTGGCACTTTTATACCCTCTGTCGCTTGCGATCTTGTCTGGCTCGTTTCATCCCTCTAATGCAAGCTTGCTCCGTCTACTTTTCTCGTCACTTCCAGTAATGTGTGCAACCCTTTTGCCTCTGGCTTTCCATTTCTGTGCTTGTACATAGTCTATCTGGTGATTGGTGGGTGTTTGTCTTGAGACTTGTTACTTCTTCTCTCAAGCTCGAGGTGGGGGTTGGAATGGTGCGCGTAACTAGACTTCCTCCTTCTGGTAGGAAATACTTGTGTTGTCTCCAGGTTCTCTCCATGGACCTTGGGCTTTCTCGGGGTTTCGGGATCCGTTTATACGTGGATCAAATGGAATGTGAATTCATAGAGCCGGAAATACTATTAAGAGATATTATCAATGGAAATTGAAATACCTTTTACATTCAAATCAAATGCTATACGATTTGAGTAAGAAAACACAAGGGCAGGAAACGGCTAGTTGGAGCATTCGACTCAGAAACGAGGAAGAGGTACAACGTAAGATAGTATGCAAATTGTTTGAAAGAGGATGTCCGAGATAAGAAAGGCAGTAACAATAACACAGGTGAAGATGAAGATGAAGATGAAAATCGCACTCAAGTATAAACAAGCTGAAGAAGTAAGGAACAAAGGGAATTGATTCGATGCCTTGGACATGAGGAGATTGCGGGTGTTGGCACGGATACTCTTCAAGGAAGGTATGCATGGGCTGGCCTGACGGGTGGTGGTATAGACCAGCACCTCAGCCTTGACATCCCAGTAACCAGAACCACAGTCCATCATGCCATACTCCGGCGGTCTCTCCTTTCATGCAGATTCTTCACATTCCTTCTCGAGGTCTGTTTTCAAGATGAATTTTTCACTTGTTTTTTTTTTCAACCTTTCAATCTGTCAACGCTTGCCCTGGCCTGCAGTGCATCCCCCTCTCCATAAAAGAAAAAAAGACCTAACATTCCCATAGCGCCAGGCTTTTGAACCCGAAAAAAAAAAAAAGAGAACAAAACATAGTAAAGAGGTCGCAGATCGCGAGATAGCAGATCAAGAACACACCCTCAACCACTCCCAGACCCAACCGGAAATCAATGGGAAAAGGCACAAACGAAAAAACGTAGCGGGTACCAAAGAAGCCATGCAATGTAAAATGCTCCATCAGAATGAGGAGACACAAATCATTTCTCGAGTCTGACTAGGTTCCACCCAATCAGCTCAGAGGATAACACATCCCTTTCCTGTATTACTGGCGGATGGGGACGCCTTCCCGCGCAGCTTGTGTGCCCACGCTAGGCTCCGTGCCCTCATTGCTACCACCAGCACCATCATCATCCGGGCCCCTAGAGGCCCGACTGAGACTGGATCCGCGGTGCAGGTAGCTTCCCTCTTTCACGGGCGACCGGCTCTGGAAGCCGATCGAGCCTGGGTGTCCGCTGATACTGCCGGGGATCTGTTGGCCGATGCCCGCGGTGCTACCTCCACTGCCGGCCGCGCCGGGGTTTGCGGCACCTGGCGAAGTCGCAGTGAGATGGGGGATGTTCTCCGGGACCGGGTGGCGGGAGCCGATGCTGGTGACGCCGACATCCGAGGCTTTGCCGGCTTTGCTGAGAGCGTAGTCGCCCGAGTCGAAGTATTTGCGCTCCTACGTATGTGGAAGAGAGAGAATGGTGTTAGTTGGGGGGGTGATTTGGCTGATGTTGTTTGGAAGTGGAAGTGGGATTCGATGGGAGGGCGGGAGGTGGTTGGGTATGATTGGAGAGGGCCCGACTAGACGCACCTTGAGCTTGTTCTGGAGCAGGTCTTTCTTGGTGGGCATTTTGCCATAGAGGCGCAGCAGACGCTGTTCCTCCGGGCTCATCGACTGGGATGGGTTGTTAGTTCGAGCGAGAGTGGTTGGAGGGTAGGCGTAGGCTCACGTTGATATCGACTTTGTTCTGCTGGTGGGGATTCATGGTGGATGGTGTTGTGGGGAGTGAGAGTGCCACAAAGCGGGAGGGAGGGGGAGTTAGAACTTTGGGGGGTTGTTATGAGGCAAGACAAATGTTGGAGAAGCAGTCGATGATCGTGAAGGAGAGAAGTGGTTGGAGGAGGAAACGGATGGAGGATGAAGAGAGTCGTTGGAGCTGCGGAAATGCAAGTCGGGGGGACTATCGATAACGCGGGGCTTCTTCCAGGAAATCACTCGAAAGGTAATCAGCAGAGTATATCCGAGACTCGTCTCGTACACCCTGTACTGTCCTGGATCCCGTTTCCTTTTTAGCCTATTTATCTCCTGGTGCTTACGGTGATTTGATGTTATTCCTCTCTCTCCGACTGTGTCTTTACGACCGTCTTCCCATTCCTCGAAATGAGCATATCCCCCCCTCGTACGTCATCAAGGCGACGGTGACGAACACAGCAGTAGCCGCAGCAGCAGCAAAGCAGCTATGCCTTCAATCGTCGGGATTAGAATTTCGGATGTGGTTCAGGATTAGCTTCGAAAAACCTAGTTATTGATCGTCAATAGAATCGCTCCCTTTCCTGCAGTCTTTTCAGTCAGGCGGGCCAACTCCGAGCGCAAAAAGTCGCCGCATCCGCACATTTTTGGGGCCCAACGGCCACGGACCGAATGACGGCGCAAAAGAGGCAAAATTAAGTTCCAATTCATTTCAACCCCCAGATTGCCGTATGATTAGTATGTAAGCTGTGTGGGTGACAATCAATGTCTACAGAATGACGAGAGTACAGTGTAAAAGAAAGAATGGGAATGGAATTTAGCAGTATGAGTATGTACTGGTCGTAGGCAAGCACTCTCTCCAGTGATCCGCCAGTTGATGATCTACGGGGCGCCCGCCAAACTCTGCTGCCCTTCCGCTTCTTCGACTGCTCGACGAACTTTCCCCCCACTCCGACATCCCTCGGGGTTTAAGAAACATTACAAGTTTCTCATCATGACCGATCAGAAGACCCTGGCCACCAAGGCCTTTGTGGTCGAGCACCTGGATCCCGAGCTGGGGCCATGGTCCGCCTTGGAATACGCTGCCATCGCCCGCGAGTCCCATGCTAGCGGTGCTCGCTTCTTGCTCAGTTCGGTGCCCGCCGAGCTGCAGATGCCCGCCGGTCTGGCTGCTACCAAGGGCTTGGAGGTTGAGCAGCGTAGTGTCGAGGAGATTTTTGCAGATCGCAAGGATAAGGTGTGTTTATTGGATCCTGCTGCTGCGACGGAGTTGAGCCCGGAGGACGGTGATGTCTTTGAGGTCTTTTTGTTTGGTGGTATTCTCGGTATGAGGCACCCTTCTTGCCTTTTTTTTTTTTTTTACAATGCCTATTGAATGCATTTTTAATCCCCCGCCATTCGGTGATTCTACGTGGCTTGCGGGGGGTTTGATTGAATTTGGGCTAATGCGGCATACTTGATTTCTGTGGGCATACAGGTGACGATCCGCCTCGGGGTATGTAAATCATGATCTATATTCCATATTTCTCCAGTCTTCGAATTGGTGAATCATGAATTGACCTAGGAAACTAACCTTCGGTAGATCGCACTTCCGAACTGCGAAAGAAGGGCTACATTGGTCGTCGCCTTGGACCCAAGCAGATGACGACGGATACCGCCGTGCGAGTGACTCGCATGGTGGTGCACGAACGAGGTAAGCACTTCCCATCGAGTTCAGATTCGACTGATCGACGGAGGCACTCACTAACTGATAACCCCTCCTCGTGCAGTGCCCCTCGAGAAGATCTCCTATGTGGATTATCCGGAGATCCTGATCAATGAGCATGAACGGACCGAGATGCCGTTCCGCTACGTGAAAGATGCCCAGGGCGAGCCTATTATGCCCGATGTAAGTCAAGCCGTTGCTCGTCAATTCAATTCCTTACTGTCCCAAAGTGGTTCGTTGGCTGACCAGTGGGTTTCTTCAGGGGATGGTGGATCTGATTAAGAATGATGCCGACAAGGGCGTCGGTGATCTTTTCTGAGCCAGGACAGGCTCCACGCCCAATCCGCCGAAAAAAAAAAACTATCAAGGACGCCGCGCGGCTTCAGACGATGATCCGATCAGTTAACTATAGTCTGGGATTATGACTGTTCCATGCTTCCCAAAGGAGGTTTCACCTTATCTTGGCCTCCTGCGTTCCTGAACATGGTAGAGTTCCAGATCAAGTTCAACTACAGTACCGTACTCATGCAGTTCCAACAAAGGGCTATCGAGACACTTCGAAACCGTGGGTTGTAGCGGCCGTAAATAGATGTCAATAGGGAAAATTAACAATTTCTCTGCCAATGAATGATGAGATTCTTCACGAACTAGCTTCACTAGCCGGTGACTCCTATATTCTTCCTGCTAATCATCGGTCGGTGGCGCATCTTATAGACCTACGAAATAGGCAACGGGCCTTTCAAGCAGTGGTATTTCTGGTCTGGTGGTCGAAAGTGTATAACAAGGTACTGTCCATGCTTTTGTGTGTAGATAACTGTAACATACGGGTAATACCTTTACCATACATACTCCCGTGCCCGAGTCGAGGCCACGCCAGCAATTCGTGCCGTCATGGGCATTATTCTTCTGACCGCGCTTCACTTTCAGAGGGTCTTGCGACCAACCCTCTGCTTCATTTTTCCCTTTCCTTTGTGGCTCTGGTGAGCTTCTTATCCTCTCCTCCTCTCACCTTCCCTCCCTCCGTGTGACTCGCCTCTTGCTTCACTCCGTCCGATGGTTGTTTGAGCCAGCGCCTGTCCGCGGCGGTCCTGGAACAGCTCTCAACGTGACCAACTCTGACACGTTTCATCACAACTATTCGATGGTTCTTTTTCTGGAGAGCTGTTGACTATACCCATTTTTATCATCCGCCACCTTTCCTCCCTTGAAGAAGGGCTTCGCCGTCATCATGCTCTCGTGGTCCCTATCCCTGCTGCTAGCCCCGGCGCTGGCAGCAGCCAGCTCCGCGGCTGATTATTATGTGCATTCGCTGCCTGGTGCTCCAGAAGGCCCCTTGTTGAAGATGCATGCTGGGTGAGTTTCTGCGACGGGCGGGACAATTCTTGGTAACACGAAACAAAGTACACTGGCTAATACTCGGATTCCGGATAGGCACATCGAGGTGGACCCTGAGAACAATGGCAATTTGTTCTTTTGGCACTATCAGAACCGCCACATTGCGAACCGTCAACGGACCGTTCTTTGGATAAACGGTGGTCCCGGATGTAGCTCGATGGATGGCGCGTTGATGGAGGTGGGACCTTATCGGCTTAAGGATGACCATACCTTGGAATACAATAAGGGCTCGTGGGACGAGTTTGCCAACTTGCTGTTCGTTGATCAGCCGATTGGCACGGGATTCAGCTACGTGAATACGGATAGCTATATTCATGAGCTGGACGAAATGTCGGCCCAATTTATGGTCTTCTTGGAGAAATTCTTCCAGCTCTTCCCGGAGTATGAGAGAGACGATGTAAGTGTCGCGTGCTACCGCTCCAACCTTTCACTTTGAGAGAATGTAATGCTAATGCAGGTATAGCTCTACATAGCTGGTGAATCTTATGCGGGCATGTATATCCCCCATATTGCTACGGCTATCCAGGCGCGCAACAAGGCCGCCGAGCAATTAGGAAGGACGAAATGGCCCTTGAAGGGACTGCTGATTGGCAATGGCTGGATCTCACCCTATGATCAGTCTCCCGCTTATTTTGAGTTCGCTCAACGCATGGGTCTAATTAAGGAGGGCACAGAGCCCTACCGCCACCTCGAGGCTATAAACTCGGTCTGTCTGGCCGCGCTGGAGGACCCCCATAGCAAGGATATGGTCAACATTCACCAGTGCGAGGAGGTCTTGCAGGCTTTGACCAGACTGACCACTAAGGATGGCAAATGCGTCAACACCTATGACATTCGCTTACAGGACACATACCCCGAGTGTGGTATGAACTGGCCCCCAGACTTGGCCAATATTACGCCTTACCTCCGTCGCCAGGACGTGAGACGGGCTTTGAATGTCAACCCTGCTAAAACGGCTGGCTGGCAGGAGTGTAACGCTGCTGTCAGCCAGACCTTCCACGCCACCCATTCGACCCCAGGCGTCAAGTTGCTTCCCGCTTTGCTGGAATCGGACATCAACGTCCTCCTGTTCAGCGGTGATCAGGATCTGATCTGCAACCATCTTGGTACAGAGACCCTGATCCACAACATGGAGTGGAAGGGTGCCACCGGTTTCGAGACGGACCCGGGCGTCTGGGCTCCGCGCCATGATTGGACCTTCGAGGGCGAGCCGGCCGGTATCTACCAGTACGCGCGTAATCTAACCTACGTTCTATTCTACAACTCCAGCCACATGGTGCCCTTCGACCAGCCCCGCCAGACCCGCGACATGCTCGACCGCTTCATGAGGGTCGACATCGCCAGCATCGGCGGCCGCCCGACCGACTCTCGCATCGACGGAGAAAAACTGCCCCAGACTTCCGTCGGTGGTCACCCCAACAGCACCGCCGCCGAGGAACAGGAGCACAAGAAGCTGAAGGAGACCGAACTCCACGCTTATACCAAGTCCGGCGAGGCTATCCTCGTCGTCGTCATCATTGGTGTTACTATCTGGGGCTTCTTCATCTGGCGTTCGCGTCGTGCCCACAGCGGCTACCGCGGTGTCAAGAACCCCGATATCCGGGGCGGATCCGTTCTCGACCGCTTCCATAATAAGCGATCCGCTGCAGATGTCGAGGCTGGTGATTTTGATGAGTCTGAGTTGGATGCTCTGCATTCGCCCGGCCTCGAGCGTGACCATTATGTTGTTGGCGAGGATTTGAGTGGGGACGAGGATGAGGTGCATCGTCAGACTGGAGGAACTGGAAACCACCGCCAGCCGTCGGCGTCATCATCTTCATGATTTCGAACTCTGCATCTTTCGGCGCGGTGGGCTAGGGCTCCTCTTGTTTGGGTTTGGTTCCTGATTCCCTCGTTCTTTGGACAGCTTTATTTCTTTTTTCGGTTTGATTGCGTGCATTTGTATATGGGCGTGTACGTCAAGCATCCTTCATAGACTAAATATATTCAGTCATTGGTTCTGCTTCGATCCTGATGAAATGACCATGTACATCTTACGCCTTGCAAGGAACACCTGCTGTTTGGCTTTGCTTCTTTGGTATGTAAATCCTTTCTTTCTGGGACGGCCCAACCTTAAGATTGTCCTGCATTGTACCAAATCAGAATTGACTGAGTGGAACTGACACCTTGAAAGTGGTATTGATGTGCAATACATGTCTCGAGAGCATTAACTAAATACTAGGGGCTGTATCCGAGGCTGAATTGCATAGCAACTCCTTACTTCCTGCATCGCGTAAGGCGCCCAACTCAGGTTTAAGAATCGCGCTAAATCTATATGTCAACTTGTACAGGTCTACTTCCATGAAAGCCATTTGGCAAGCTTGTTTTTCTCTCTTGTACTTTTCACTTGTTAATCAAAAAATCTAATACGCTTACGATTCGGACATGACGGAAGACAAGTCAAAGTCTGCGCAACCAACTCGAAGAGCAAAACACAAACGAAACAGCAGCAAAACAGCCTATCGAGCGATTGGCACAGGAAGCGTGGAGGTACAAAGTTGCAAGCGATGCCCTTGCTGCCATATTGATCTTAATTGTCAACATTATCACTCTCACAGTGATGTACGCCAAATATTCACTAGATGGCGATCAAATCACCTTCTACATGGGCAGCTGCAAGCGTGCCAAAGTCTTGACGACCGGTCCACACCTGATTGTGAACATACTAAGTACCACACTGCTGGCATCCAGTAACTTCAGCATACAATGCCTAAATTCACCCACAAGGAAAGAAATCGACATCGCGCATTCCCAGCACAAGGCCCTCGATATCGGTATACCCAGTATCCGCAATTTGTTCTTCGTGTCTAAATGGAAAGTGTTGCTTTGGCATGTCCTTGCTGCGAGTTCTTTTCCTTTGCATATGATCTGAAACTCGGTTGTTTTTCAATCGATGATTGTGAAGGAATTTGCTGCTGTGACGGTTTTTCGGAATTTCACACAGGGGGCTGCGTGGACGATTCCTCCTGTTAGTTCTCTCGGGGGTATGGCGAATCCACAGGGGTATTTGAATATTGTGAGTGAGTTGCAGCAGGAAGTGCAAGATGGTGGACTCGAAACTCTGAATGCCGAGTCTTGTTATTACGAGTACATGGAAGCTGGGCATGTGCGGAATGTTCTTTGGGTGATTGATCCTTTGGACTGGGTTCCCAAAGATCCTGCTATCCTTGATGATGCCTCTTTCCTCGGTAGTCATTTGTCCGTGCTGGCAGCTTTTGATTTGAGCTCGATAGCCGGCGTTGACGGGTTTTGTGGTCCAAACAAAGCTTGCGGTGACAGCAGCCATTGCAGTCCTACTCAAGCGGATCTAGGTGATCAAGGTGGTGCTCCGATTCGTGTCTGTTATGCATCTCCAGCATCCAAGAATTGTAAAGCCAGTATTGCTCCATTGTTCTTAATCTTGGTTATTCTCTGCGTTACTGTTAAAGCTGTCTGTTTCCTCTTGACACTGCACGTTACCAAGAGAGATACTCGCTATGCACAATCGGGGATGCAATCCAGTCTTTCATCAATACACCAGACATCCACACACGCTACGCATGTCTGGCCTCGAGAGCAGAGTATCAGATATTCTGGTTCAAACGGTCATCAAGGTGGTCTGGTCGTTTGGATTTTACCTCGACTGATATCTGGCAAGGTGGCCGTCGACGCTGGGTCACCGCTGTAGACCAACGACAATGGTGGATGTTCACATTCTCATGGGCTTCAGGTATGACGTTGATTGCCTTTCTCGTGGGTGGGAAGATCAATCTACGAAATACGACTCTGTTCTCCTCACCCATCGACCTCTCCCTGTCAAATCATAGCGGAACTCTACCATCGATGCTGGTCGCCAATATCCCGCAACTTCTGATGTCATACATCTACCTTGGATTAAACAATATCCTGAGTACTATCCTGGTCATGAATGAATGGTGCGGATACTCGACCGAGTCCGGAAAGCCTCCCAAGGGTCTCAGAGTGACTTCTCCAGCGCCGGACACAGAACAACGATCGACTTATTTTCTCTCCGTGCCGTATAAATGGGGGATTCCAACTATGATAGCAATGACGATTGCGCACTGGTTAGTATCAGAAATGATTGTTTTCGGCCAGAGTCAATTCCGGACGAGGTATCTCATCAATGCGCCTCCGAGGGAAACTATGGTTTTCCTATACGGTTTTATTCCTACAATGAGGCATGCTGTTCCAGTCAACGGGGCTATTTGTTTTGTTCTGGTTATGGTATGTGTGTTGATGAAATTTCCGAAGGGCATTGCATTGGCTGGATGCTGCAGCGCCAGTATAGCTGCTGCTTGTCAGCCTGTAGATGCTCGAGGGGGTTCTACTCCAGATCTTGCGCAGAAGACGTTGAAGTGGGGAGGAGTTGTACGTCCTGATGAGACGGATTCCGCTATTGGACATGCTACTTTTACTACTGATGAAGCTGCACCACTCGAATTGGGGAAGACGTACGCCTAGAGAGATTGCTCTATTCTTGTGCAGTGGCAGTTCAAAAGTCGGAATCTAGAGGCCTAGAAAATATTCAGCTAAACGCCTTAATTTTCGTTTCCTTTAAAGATCTTTTCTTTCTGAATCTCTTTAGAACGTCTTTCTGATAGCTCAGGCAAGATTCCTGGATTTTCCTTCCAAAAAGTGACTGATGAGACGAACTTGAACGTCTCCATGAGGTTTCAAGTATATGGGACCCCTATGTATTTGTTGTGGTATACCAGAACGTCTATTTCGGACTCTTCATTGAGATCATCAATGTATGCATTTTGTAAATAAGAATTCTAGCTATATTCCAGAAATGTACATGTTTTTAGCTTGCTAACTGTATACATGTACAATCAAGCTCAGTCCTGTAAGAAATCACATTCCCTGATCCCCTCGACCAAAGACATACTTCACCACTGCAGCGTCCACACCTTCACACTCCCATCGTCTGCAGACGTCACCAAAACCTCTTCCTCCTGGCCTTCCGTAGACCCCCGATCCGCGCGCTTCGCCCAAGCAGCGTGGTTGATCTCATAGATGCCATGCGCACCATCCACCACCGCAAGAATAGACCATTCCGTCTTGACAGACCGCTTCTCCGTAGTCTCGGTATCCATAGCATCTGCATCAGTCGCCGTCGGCTTGACAAGTCGTTCCTTATACAGCACAATCCGCCCATCAGCCCCCACAGACGCGACAAGTCCGCTTCGCCGACTCCAAGCCACGGCGTACACTGCCAGCTCGTGTGCATGCGGCAGCACCGTATCTTCCTCCCACGTCTCATCCGTCCCAGTGGGCCGAATGATACTCGGGATGCCAGTCGCTGCAGACGAGTTCAGGCCTGCGGTTGTGCTTTCTTTCGGCAATCGGCGCCAGATACGAACAGTTCGGTCATCCGAGCAAGTAATCAGACGTGGTCCAGACAATGCACGCTGCTCGCGCCATTGGCTCACAAGCTCCGCGCTCTCCTCTGGTGAAGAGGTAGATGTCGAGGGAATATTATCCACGCTCTCCCAGTCTAGGAACCACACCGTGCCCCCGTGCCCCTTGATGCACGCCACTTGGCCCCAATCGTCCAAGTCCTCACGCCAGATTCGAATTGTATCATCGTAGCCACCGCTCGCAAGACACTCTTCCGCAGGATGCCACGCAACACACTTCACATCACCGCCATGCTCTTGCATCACCGCCACCGTCTCAAAGTTATTGTCACCATCATCCAAGTCCTCCCAGATCCAGATTGACTTGTCCCGCGCGCACGTCGCCAACAGCATTCCCGAGGCAGACCACGAGACTGACTTGACCTCGCTGTCATGCCCATCCAACAGCACCGCAAATCGCCATTCTTCGTCTTCCTCGCCATTATCCACTGCAGGGCCATTGGGGTCGCCATCAGTATCGGCATTGGTGCCGTTACCTCCCCACCCCACGCCGCCACCTTCCGCACGCCCATAGCTATCCCACCGCCGCCAGACGCCGACAGTAGCGTCGAAGGAGCCAGTCGCGAGCACGCTTTCACCTTGCACGTGGGGCTTCCAGGCGGCGGTACGTACGCTGCGCTTGTGTCCGCCTGTGATTGTGGAGAGGAGCTTGAAGTTCGTGAGCGAGTATACTCGCACGGTCTTGTCGGAGCTGCAAGTTGCGACGATGGGTAGGGTGGGGTGCGGGGCTGTGAGCCATGCTCGTTCCAGGGAGGGTGGTGTGAGGTCTGAGAGGAGGGTAAGGTTTGGCTTGGCCATGGCGAGGACAGTTGCGATACAGGACGTATTTTCCCCTGCTCGAGATGGTGGAGGAGGGGGAAATTTGAGGTGAGGGTGGTCGGGTTAAGGAATGTGGATGTGGGGTGGATTGCAAGGTTGTCTGATAAGATAGCGGATATGCTTAGTTATAGTATCGTCCTAACTAACTATCCACTGCCTATCATCGGAGAGTGGAATATAATTGATATGGAAATAGAACATTCATTTCAAATTGACTTCGTTGCATTAGTCCAAACTCCTGGAATGTCATGTCATACTCTCAAATTATAAGCAATTCATCCTTTCCCATTCCAAACCAAAGCCAGTCCTGCCAATCTGCCCATGTTGCAAGCCTCCCAAGCAAAACAAGCCAAATGTAATTGCGATGGTACGAAAGAACGAACAGAAAACGGGTCATGTTATAATGATATAATTAGTACGCCCTCGGAATGCCTTTCACTGTGGGGGAACACTTTCGTCGCACAGACGCTCATACACGCTGTTGTGGCAGAGCCAGTCTACCTCCCGCACTTTCTCCAGCTCATCGACCAACTTGCCGACTTCACTGACAAATTCTGGCATGCCAGCCGCAGCAAGGCTTTGACTTGCAGTCGTGGTGGCCCGAACTCGCTCGGAGGCACTTGACGCACTCAGACGGGAGAGAACGTGACTCCGCAGACGGGACAGAATGAGCTTAGCCACCGGGTCTGAGAAGCTCAGCGCAGAAGGTCTGTTGGAGGCAGACTCGACCGTGAGGGTCTCGGAAGATGCATCCGTATGAACCTGCACAGCAGGCTGAGATGCGGCGGAAGAGCTTGCAGTAGCGACGGGTGCAAGTACTCGTCTGATTGTTGCTGCAAGCTGGGCACTTGCAGCGGAAGGCATAGGATGCGTCGACTCGAGAATCGAGTGCACACGTTCGGCGCTGATTTCGTTGAAGTTCAGAGACAGAATCCGGTCAGCCTCCGGCTTCCACTGAGATCGCGCATCCCGCTTCAGCAAATTCTTGGCTGTCAGCAAGATGGACGCCGTCGCCACGATCTGGAACGCTTTCGCATGTAGGCGCTCCAGTCGCTGCTGATCAAGTGCGAGCGTTTCCGGAATCAGATCCTCAGATACGATAGCATTGCTCAGCACCAAGTCCACAAGACCGTGTGCATATACTCGCGACGCAGGCGGCCGAGGCTCTCCCTGGATATTCTCCGGGTCTCGCTTCTTCATTTCGTCGACAATAATCTTCCGGTTCGTGCGCCAGAAACGTCGGGTCTTTCCAAGTGTGATCGTTCCATCCATAACACCCTTGTCAAAGGTTCGCTGCTCATAGCCTGGCGCCTCCTGAATAAGTTGCGGCGCGGCTACCTGGATCATAAAATTCGTGTGGTCCAGCGACAATAGGTCGATTATGCCCATCAACCTCGCCAGTCGATCGATGGCATCGCCAGAGGTATCCTCGGCAAATGCTTTGACGACGGGGTCGCGATATGGTGCGCAGAGGCGAGGGAGAATATTATTCATAAAGTCGAAGAAGTTCTCATAAGAGAATGAGCCCGCCTTGCACTGGCTCTCGACCAGTTTCGGGTCAAGAACTTCGCTAATAAGGACGTAAAGGGAATTGCCGGGTCGAAGTGAGCGTAGTAAACGATCTTGAATCACAGTGGCCATGGCAACGGTCCATTCAGTGCCATGCCCTGATTCCACATCTCGTCTCATTTGTTCGCACATATGCTCCATAATTTGCCGTCTAGGATCCGTGTATAATGCCTCTTCTATCTTGTATTCTTTGTTAAGGAGAAGCTCGTGTACCAAAGCACGATTCTCAGGGAGGGCCGTAAGAACCTTCGTAAATCGTTCGTGTGGAGACGCACGCTGCTTATCCAGCTCTTGGAGAACAGCAGCATCCACATTGTTAAAGGACTCGCTGATGTGAGAGGTGACGCTCTCGGTCAGAGCATCCGTCGGGGAAGCTGCCGCTACCTCGGTAGAACGAGGAATAGCCTGCTTCGAAGCAGAGCGTTTCTTCTCTCGCTTGGCTTTCCTGAGAGACTGTCTGATCATCTCCATGGCTTTATTCGAGCCTGCAAGCCGCTTGAGCCGGGCCAGGAGGAGGATCTGGTTCTGCCGAATACCTTGGCGATAATCATCAGCCGCACCACCGGCTTCGTCATCTTTGACTGTCTGCCAAATAAGTTCCAATTCAGCAAATTGCGCAAGCATGATTTCAATCAAAACGGTCGAGTCGTGAGACTTCCATGCATGGAACGCTGAGAAAAACACATTATGCGATTCGCACAAAGACTGGAGATCCGCGGTTATCACGGTTGGTGAGCAACAACCGGACGAAAGCAACGCAGTAACTTGATCAAACGCGGCCAGAAGCTCACGCGCCTTGGTGATTAGGTCCTGCTCCTGTTCTCCGTCGCCGCTCAAAACCTCAGTCGGATGTGTGACGATCAGATAGCTGCTGAGAAAGGTGCGCACTGCGCCTCGCTCGCCCATCGCCCCACCTTCCATGTCCTGCAGACCGCATAGGCGGAGAACCTTGGTCATAGTATCCAGCACGGCCTTTTTGGAGAGAAGTGCTCCCACCTTCTCAAAAGGCATTTCACGTACTTGGTTGACTGACAAATTTAATGAGCGGAATTCTAGCATCACCGCCTTTGCATGATGCGTCCTCCAGACTCGCTGGATCTTTCGAGCCGCAGCGTCCTGGGTTAGAGACTTGGTGACTGCTCGTGCCATTTTCTTCTCCTCGGCAGCTGGCAAGCTGCTTGTACGCTGGCGCCGATGGGTTTGCTGGTAAAGCACCCGTCGCTTCTCTGCCTCTGCAAATTTCTCAGCCATTTCAAGCCGGAGACGTGCGTGCTCCGCGGCCTGTTTCTCCCGCTGATCCTCGGCCTTCTTCTTGGCTCGCTTGACTTGGTCCTCGCACTTGGCCGCGATATCAGCCAGTAGACGCTCCCTAGCTTGTTGCGCTGCCAAAGCGCGCTCTTCGCTATGGAGGTTTCTCGTCGCTGCCTTAGCCAGGGCGGCGCGCAGCCGCACCTTCTCGGCGTGAAGTGCACGATCGGCTAGTCGGGCTTTGCGGGTTTCGAGGATGGAGGTGCGCCGGAGGTGTTGGGCAATATGATCTGCGCTCGTGGAGCCATTTGAAGACGCGTTGGAGTGATGCGAGTGTAGCGATGAAACGGAGCTACGTCGCGACGAGGCGGCAGAGGAGCGCCGGACCTTGCTGTTTCGGCGGTAGAAGCGAGCGGCGATGTGCGGCGGGAGAGTCAGCGGAGGTGCGGGCTCCTCGGATGTCATTTCCACGTCAGGTTCAGTCGCGGAGTCCGGAGAAAGGGGAGTTGGTCCCACATCGGGGAGTTGAATCTCGATATCTGAGTTGCGACGCATCATCGTCGAGTCCGAGGCGAAAGACGAGACGAGAGCGACACACTGCAGGGGAAGCCGTGGGAGGAACGCGGCGGGGAAGGTCTGGGCTTGATAAGCGATTAGACGAGGCCGTGAACTCGGGACGAAGGGCAGTTTCGGACCAACCTGGTCAAGATCGCGTTCTTTATAGAGTTATGATCTCAGATGAGGAGGCGAGCAATCTGGAAGCCTGAAACTAGAGACGGGGGAGCATGCTCATGGCAGGGCAGCGGCTGGGGTTGCGGAGGGATCCGTGCTTCGTTTCAGAATAAAGGAGAGGATTCATTCCATGTTGGAAAGAGAGAAAAGGAGAGAAGAAGTGTAGAAGAGAATGAACGGTATAATCTGCCTTGCCCATCCACGAAACCGGGCAGGCCTGAGCTGTTCCCGATTGCTGATTGCTGATCCGATGGAATCGCATGGCCGCAAGCAGAAAGACGTCAACGCGGCTTAGCTAAGCCGCGGCCGTGATTCTTGGGATGGCACTTCACCGTCTCGGGGCGCCAGCAGTTTTACTTCTAAGCCTAATATGGGATTTGCAATATAAAATTTCAGTAGATTATTATGCAGCAGAAGTTACTCGCTTAGTTAACGTTTTGGTTAAATGGTTAGTCATACCAACCCTTCCCGGTTCAATTGTAGTATCATCCCGTCCGTTCGTTGTAAATATGCCTGACCCGGAACTATAAGCGCACACCTGGCGGCCTGGCTGAAAACATTTACATAATAGCTGCAAGCGGAAACTATAGCATACCATTCATAGAACGAAATATTATTGCAGAGAACAAGCTAAGACACTCTCGGTCTCCTGACTTCAGCCTCTATGCCAGTATCACAGCGCCTGATACTTATTGGTCATGTGCGATCCTGCAGCAAGGACCGCCCTCGCCTGACAAGACTCGAGGGAGTCAAGGACGCAAAGTTGCAAAATTCAGTCATCCCTTTGGAAATCAGCACTCAGCTTCTTGCTGTAAGGAGTCTGCTGGGTAAACAAATCCTTCTTCTAGATATCTCTCCATCACACGTCCGATTGCCCTCTCTTCATCGTGGTAGGCCTGCCACTCCCTCCATTCTTCTTCGTCCTTGAAATCTTTGCGAAACTTGCATTGTGCAAAATCAATCATGAGGAGCTTAAATACATGGTCTGAAACCTGGTTCACCATAAAATTCCCTGGTTTGGCACCCTCATTGAGGATGCCTCGATCGCCCATGAAGCAGATAGTTCGAATGGCATCCTCGCAGATGCTCTGTCAGGTCTCTCTCGGGGCTTTTTTTTTCCAATATAGGCCAATGAAAACCCCTTAACATATTGTAAAACAATCCCTGGGACATGGGTATACTGACTGATCATGGTAGACTGCGCCGAGGCCGATCCGGATATTGTGACGCACGTAATCAATCGTGGAATAACCACCCCTTGTATGTCCTTGAGAGAATTGTAAACTTTAACTTCTGTATCACAGAGTCTTTTAGCTTGGTGGCTAATGTATGCTTCGTTTTTAGCAGTATCCCACGTCTGCCAATCTGGAGACATCATCTCGTCGTCAGCGTCAAGAGCAGCGAGGAATTTGGAAGCACCATCATCTCCTAAGAAGCGGTGAAACTCATTTTCAACAGGAACAGTCCAAGGACAGATGAGCTCATTCTCTCTAAGTTGAGTGGCAAAACGTCGGTCAAAAAGCTTCAGTACCACGTCGCCTTCAGATGCAAGCTCAGGGTGGTCTAGCCGAACCACCATTACGCAGGAAGGGTGAACGGCTTGAAAACTTGCACAATTTTTGCTTTCACTTAGTAACCATTGAATGGATTTTTGAGGCGTAGTTTGACAGTGTTTCTAACCTCATAATGACACCTGAAGTAGTTAATATCTTCCACAAGTACACCTTCACGGGTAACGCACTCACTCGATACTCTCATGTTCTGTAGTTTTCTAGAAGAACAGGTTGTTTAGCAACTTAGAGATGTCGTGCGTTGAGTCCTTCAAGTGAATATTTCAAGTCGTGATTGTTTTCCAGAGGCAGCAAGTATTAAATAGGCGAAGTCGAATTGGGTTTCTTTGTTCGAAATCTCCTCGAGATTCGCGAATAGCGACATGCTATTTCTTGGAGGCACAGTCGGGCCTGTCCACATGATTCTCAAATAGCTATTACAAAGAACACTCTTCAGAGCAGCAATAACAAATACCTAGAAGAACCCGGGCTCACATTAACGACTTGAGTATAAGCAAGAATTAGAAACCTTGGAACCTTGGAACCCTGGAACCTTAGACCAAGTCTCGTTTCCAAGTAAGTCTACAGGAAACTGCTTACATCGCAACAATTCATTTAAATCTAGATTTCTGATTGAATCGTTGCATATAAAGACACATGCTGGAGTGTTCTGGCTAGCACTTCACTAAATACATTCGCTGTTTCAGAGCACGCGCAGACCGACCCTCATCTGACCCTTCCCACCACGATTCGCTCTCAAATAGTAAGGAATAAATTTGAGGTCCTTCGAGCCCTTGGAAACTTGATTCTCAGGCTCCGTCACGATTTGACCATCCCAGGCCGACGTATCGAGTTCGCACTTCGAACCATTCTCGGCCACAATGGCGATGTAAGAGTCTGGCTCGGATTGCGGCTCCTCCTTTAAAATTGCGTTCAGATCAAGGATTGTACGCTATTGTCATGTCAGAATGCTTCCTAATTGCATGTGTTGTCGCTTGACTCAAACCTTGAAATGCTGGTGTTCCCAGGGGTGATCAATATCCTCGACACAATAGACAATTGGACCGCGCATAACATATGCCACGGGCTGCATAGTCAGAGGATTCGGGCGAACGAACCGAGGCTTCATCGGGCAAGCTAGGCGGAACTTGGGATTTTGTTTTAGCCACTTAGCGTTTAGAATCAGATAGCCGTTTTCGACTTTGAGATTTTCGGGGCGAGGAGCGATCTGACTCAAATGTGATTAGTTTCTGGAGCCATAGACAAGTCTTGGGCTCTATTTACCTCCCATGACGTTGCCCAGCCCGGAATCCTTAGACGTAGCTCAAGATCAACCGGCGGTCCATCGGTGTGAGTTTCAAATTCCACATCTCCATTCCATGGCCAGTCTGTCTTTTGAGTGACCGTCACCGTTGAGTTGGAGACCTTGAGACTCAAAGTGGCTGAAGTATACATATGCACATTCACAACGGCACTCTGTTGGCTTATGGTGTGATACCAGAAATATCCTCCAAGGAAACCCAAAGTGCGAGTGACATTGGGGGGGCAGCAGGCACACTCAAACCACTCATATCGTTCCGACAGATCTGAATCTGAGGAGGCCAACTGGTTCACATAGGTGAATGCTTTTCCGTTTAGACTCATCCCAGTAAGAACAGCATTGTACATGCACAGCTCCATGATATCGGCGTATTGGCCGTTCAAGTCAATCTGATAAATTGTTAGTAGCCACCATCCTATAATAGGAGATAAAACCTACACGTAATAAACGCTCGGCCAGCATCATAACGCCAATAGCTGCACATGTCTCTGCATAGCAGCCGCCTTCATCAGAGCCTTGAGGTAAGAAATAGTCGATACCAAACCCTTCCCACTTCTTCATAGCACCGATTCCGCCAGTGACATAAGTCTTCTTCTCCACCATGTTCGACCATAGTCTATGGAGGGCGGGTAAGAACTTCGTTCCGGTCTCACTCGTAGGTTGGTGGATTCGAACGAGATCGGCGACTGCTGTGAGGAGATACATGGCTCGAACAGAATGCCCCTCTATGGTCTGCTGTTCAGCAATTGGCACATGGGCTTGCTGATACCAGTAGCTTCTTGCAGCGGGATAGCTCATGGGAAGTTCATGCTCGTTTTCACCCCTGGCCTTCGCTTCCACGTCGTAGTAATGGCTTTTCTCTTTCCCACCTTGCTGATTGCCTCTTTCCTCAACGAAGAATTGCGCCAATTTCAGATGATTGGGATTCTGTGTGACCTTGTACAAGCGAAGCAGAGCAAGCTCAATCTCTGGGTGACCTGGGTACCCAGGCAGCTGGCCATCCTGGTCTCCGAAAGTGGCCACGAAAAGATCTACATATTTACAAAGTGGTGCCAACAGGTCATCGTTCTTGTAATAAAGATGATGAGCAAGGGCAGCTTCGATGAGATGGCCTGCATTGTATCTAGACAAAGAGTCACTTAGCAGAACTTGAGTGCATGGTAGCGCATAAGGAATTACCTACAACTCGTGCATATCTCGCAAGTTAGTAAACCTTTTTTCTGGCTCCACAACAGTGTAATGAATATTCAAATATCCATCTGGTTGCTGTGCCCCTCGAATCATCTGCACTAGCTCTTTGACTGCCGCATCGATCTCAGAATCAAAGGAGTCCATCAGCAAGTAACAGGCTCCTTCGATCCACTTGGCCACATCAGAGTCCCAGAATTGATGATTAGGAACTGGATAGACGGTGGGAGGATCATCATAACTTGGATGCCACTTCAGCTTGAAAGCATCATAGCGGCCAGTGTCCTTGAGCATCTTCAGCTGGTGCCTCAGGGTCTGTTTTCGGACGACTTCACGTCGACGCGCCCAAAATGACCCTGGCGCAAAGGCCGTGGCGACAAAGCTCTCCTGAGGATATTCCATGGCTGATCCCAATGCTTCGACTCCAGGATAAGAGTTTCGGATATGCGAGTGTACTTTCTAAATCTATCGAGCAGATTGTGACCCTTATAGCATTACCGGGGATCGGGGATTCTCCCGTCCCGAACTCCCATAAAATCGGAGATTGAGCGAACAGTATCCCACACGTTCCGGCTTCCCTACGAGTTAAGAAGGAAATCGTTGAGAGCTCTCTACTCATTGTGTTAATGCGGTCCCCGAAGCGGGATGTCCTGTGGGATGCCCGAAGGGTCGAACACTCCGGCGGAGTGGCTCCGGCGGGGTGAAAGGCACAAAACATGCTTAAACGGCTTTGATAGTCAAAAAACATGGACGACAGTAGATGGGATAAAGTTTCTTCAACCTGGACTAGCTTGAACGGCAAAGCGCCGAGACCCTGCATGTGGCAACGATTAGCTCCTGAGTATCTGGAGATCTAAGCTTCAAGATCAGGCTTCCGGACCTCCCACTACCTCAAATGTGGGGCTTCCGAGGCTTCACTTGAGCCTTGAGGGTTCATATATACTGGCCAAAGTGGTTGCACGCACAAGAGAAATGCATTTGCAGGTTGCTGCTTCTTGCGACTGTACTCATTTCTGGGTTTATAATGGGCCTCGTCGAAAAGTGTCTTCCCAAAGATGACCGGTAAGTTTTCAACCATCTCGAGCCTCGGAATCGCCTTTCACTGACACTCCCTTGAGTTTTGCGGCATTGTTGCTCTATGGCATGGTATTTTCAGCCTGCTTTAATGGCTATGATGCTGGTATTATGACGGTCATTTTGGCCGACAAACAGTTTATCGATTACTATGGGATTACTGCGAGCAAGTCTGGATTGGTGGCCACTATTCCTTGGGCCATGACTGGTAAGTGAAGGGGCAATTGTAAGGTACGAACTATATAGTAACTGATTATATCTCCTCATTAGGTGTTGCCCAGCTTTGGTTAGGAGGATCATTGGCAGGTTGGCTTGGGCGCTTGTGGGCATTACGAATTTCCATCTGCATCATGATCATCGGAGTGTACGCATTCTGGCCCTTAAATCTCCTGAGACATGACTGATAGAAATTTAGGATTGTGGAAGTTATTCTGAACAACTTTGGCGTCTTGATTCTAGGTCGACTCTTGACGTAAGTTCTTTCAGCTTCACCCCTCGGTCACATCAGCCATGAGACCAACTCTGACTTTCTACAGTGGTTTAGGATTGATTCGGGTGTGTGTATATCGCGACTAATCTCTAAGTCGCCGAATGTGCACCCACAAAGCTACGAGGAAGTTTCGTCGGCACCGTCTCCCAGTTCGGCTACCAACTAGGCACACTCATCGCTTTTTGGACCGGTTACAGAATGTCATTCCATAAGTCCCCGTACAACATTGCATGGCGGGTATCCAACACCGTTCAGATCCCTATCGGCCTAGCGTTCATCTTTGTCTCATTTTGGTATCCTGAAACGCCAGAGAAATCGCTGCATATGCTCAGCCGCGTCCGATCTGGGGCTCCAACTGACGAGCGTATTCGGGCTGAGTTCCATGAACTAGTTGCCTCTTATGAGTTCCGTCGGCGATATGATCCTGGGTATATTGGGTTGTTCAAGGATCCAAGTATGCGGAAACGTTTGGCGTTTGGCTTCTATGCTGCCGGTCTTCAACAGGTGCGTCACTAGGAAGTCTTCAATTATAGATTTTTCTAACATAATTCCATATAGTGTGGTGGTATTGCTTCTCTTACCATGTATGCGACGCTTTTCTACCAAAGTCTTGGATGGGACTCTGGCTCCCAGGCGCTAGCCATCAACGGCATCCAGTCTGTCTTACAGCTACTTATTGTTCTGGTGGACACATTCACCGTGGAAAGATTCGGACGAAGGGGCCTCCTCCTAGCTGGTTTTGCCATCCAGTCGCTGGCTCTTTTGATCATGTCCTGTCTTTGCACTGCGTTCCCTACGAACTCAAACAAAGCCGCCGCTATCGTGGAAGTTGCGATGCTGTTCATAGTTGGTCTCACGTACTGCTGGTCCAATGGTCCCATTGCCGCTGCAGTTGTCTCTGAAATCTTTCCTCGGCATGTTCGAGACAAGGTAAGAAGTGTCGCCACAAAATTCCGATTAACTGTGTACTAATAATCCCAGGGCTTTGGACTTTCGATGCTTGGTCAAACTTCCTGGCTTATCCTGTTGACACAATCCTGGCCATCCTTCAATGCCAAAGTGGGAGGTCATAGCTACTGGTTACTCTTCGCCCTGAATGTCGCCGCCGGAGTAAGTCCAAAAAACTCAGCTTCTTTTTTTCTGAATTGAGATGACTGACTCATTGCAAAGATATCTGTCTACTTTATCCTTCCAGAGACAAAGGGCGTCTCTCTTGAACGGATGGACAAGATTTTTGGAGGTCTTGATTTCGTCGAGGAAGGTGAGATCGATGGAAGCTCTGAGAAGCGCGAGGCCATGGCCATGGTGAAGGAGGAAGAGAAGGCCCCTAGCACGCATGTGGAGAATACGTCTCAGGGACTTGTCTCGGAGCCCCGAGATCTGCGGTCTGAGTATGAACAGGCTTCCAAACCAAAAAGCAGGGTCGCATCCAGTACATTACCGCGAGAAAACTGAAGGTATTTACAATTTAGATCACTGTGATTACTCATGTTCTGCATAAGATGTGAGGCTGCATCATTGGTCTCTTAGAAGTAGAGCCCATTCCTTAGAAAAGATCTCGGTGAACAAGATGCAATGTTTACGAGGCTATCAACATGGACGCTCATATCCGCGCTCGTCAAACAGTAAGAAGATCTCTACCAGCCTCGATTCAGAGATCAGGACTAAAAGATTATGAGGGGATGGTTGTGGAAGAAAGTATTTATTTTCTCGGATGGCATTTATCGGCCTCTTTTGGGAGGCTTACTATGAATGATCAGCATGCTATCTCTGGCTTTTCGAGCGTCGTCTCGGTAGTGATGGGTGCTAGGTGATGTCCAGAAAGATATTTTCCATTTCGCCGTAATGCTAACGCTTGTAAATAAGAGGTATGTAGGCGCCAGGTTACTAAGACCGGCTTTTCTAATGCAAAGTAACGGACCCAAATGTCCAACTTTTGCCATTCAGCCGTTGGTGAGCTTAAATGGCATGGAGAAGTCATCATGGGTGTAATGTTGCCAAGATGTCGCCAAAATGCATATTTGGAGGAACACACGAAGAACCCTTCGCCGCCATGTGTAGCTGTGTCACTCCTGGTCTCGGACAAGGAGACTTGTGAGGTCTAGAGTAGAGAGTTCATACTCTCATACCCCGCTTGACTTTGAAAGGCGTTTTGTTTAGGAACCTAACTTGAAGTCAAGCCCCAAGCATGGGGATGATGCGAGTCGCATTGTGCGGACCAAATCGCTCGGCATGAGAGAGCGACGGCTAGGACCCGAGAGTGGCAAAGGTGTCTGCGAATAGATCGCAGTGGTCGAAATTATCAAAGGATTTCGACTGGGCACATGTATTCGGAGGCATGACATGTCGAACTGGAAAGCTGTAGACAGTCCATTCGGGTTTTAGAAAAGAGGGCACGAGCTCATCGATGGCCGAAAAGATCAATGTATTCCCCGCCGTCATCGTCGTCGTCCTCTTCGTTATCTTCCTCGTTTGTGTCTGAAGAGTCCGTCGATTCCTCGTTGTCGTCTTCATCGTCGTCATCCTCATCAACTGTCGAGGCAGTCTCGGCGGCTGCCGTATCACCAGCGAGGAATCCATATCTATCTCGAAGCTTTTTGCTCAGGAAGTTCAGTGCACCATATTCCGTCTCACCCTCAGCCCGGGATGCGCTACCGAAGAAAGGCAACGACGACGGCTTCTCCGATTCACGCTCAGAGGGTAACCCAAAGTAATTGCTTACCACTGGGGAGATAGCACGCCCATGAGTCATATTGTAAGACACAAAGCGCCTGTCATCGCCCGTGCCGGCAGATATCGGAGCGCTCAAGCGTGAAGAAGCAGGATTCGTGTTAAGATGCAGTGCTGCCAATGAGGTTGCAGGCTCGCCGTCCGGGTTCAGGAACGCTGCACGCGGTCGAGATGTAATCTCTCCAACACCTTCCTCCTCAAGCACCTCGGATATGTCCCCTCCCTGCAGGACCCGAAGTTGAGCGGTATTATACGATTCACACCTGCGTATGTCAGTGCTCTGCTTCGTCATTAAATCTCATTTGTCACTTACAGATCACATTTCAGGCCCAACCAGTGGTATTTGACAACAGATTTGGCTCCACAATCATTACAATATATGAGACCTTTAGTGTCTTTGAACTCAGCGGGCATCGGTTGGCTTTCGATCGTGCGATCTAGATTTCTGAAAGTTGACTCCATGTTCGTGATGGTCTTGCTGCAGATAGGACAGCGGAATGATGTCTTTGAGTACTCCGAGAGACATTTGTGATGAAGACTGTGGCCGCATCGCATTACGACCACTGTCTCTGGTGATGTAAACATGTAATCTCCGCAAATGGGGCAATCGCACTGAGTTGACCGTTCGATACATCTATGAGTGTCTTCGATTGAGATGGGCAAGCAGACGGAGCATGTCTGCGTATCGTCAGCACCCGTGAATGTATCTCAGGGAATGTATGGTTGGAACGTACCTTGCAGTGGAAGAAGTCCTTGCCAAGTCCTTGGCCAATTCGACAAATTCCACAGTCGTAACAGTGATATATGCTCTTCTTACTGTCATTGTCCCAAAGCTTGCAAATATCGCAGTAGTATTGAGCAGTCTGCTCGTCGCAGTGTCTGCAATTTTGTGCTGCAGGCTGAGCATGGCCGCACAGCATACACAACATGTTCTCCGTATCCCGGCGAATGAGAGGATGGTCCTCGACTGCATCATGGCAAAACCGACACGTGTACCATTTTTTACAAATATAGCACTGCAACTTGACATTCCGTTGATAGTGCTGGCAGCCCAAGATGGCTTCGTCGCACTCTTCCGTATCCGGATCATCATCGGCAGCATCGACAACTTCAGCCATTGGTGATTCAGGCTCAACTTTTGGAACATACGTCGGTTGTAAATCGCTGGGGGTAAGTGAGAATTGTATCTCATATTGCGGGATCGACGATGTAAATGTGGGGCTCATTGGTGTTGGGTCTGAGAGCTGTTTCATCTCCGGAGCGGGAGAACTAGCCGGATGGTTTATACACGGGGAACTCAGCATTGGAGACAGCATTGATGGAAAGGCTGGCGGTAAGTTTCGAGAAGAGTTGTAGCTCTCTGTCATCAATTCGTGGACCATGCGGGCTTTCTCGTTATTATTGAGGTCCAGATCCCGGATGGCATGAATCTTCTTCCTTAACCAACCCATTCCATCATCCGCCGGCAGGGACATCTGGCCGAGCTCATCAACGTTCAATATACCGCTTGGCGATCGCCCAACACCATCCAGTCTCAGTCCTAAATCTGTGCCCGATGGCCGCGTCTGGTCCGCCGGTATCTCATTCAGCTGGGATCGTTGACCCTCCAAGGCCGCTGAAAGTACGCTGATATCGTTCTGCACAGGGCCAGTTGGTAGGGCGTTGGTCACCGGTATAGTTTGGCTATCGGCAACCGGGCCATGACGAGACCCTGGTCGTGTGCCTTCCGGCTCTGGCGTTCGGCCATCCATCTCTTTCGGTAAGGTTGCAAAGAAGGGAGGCACAGGTAAAGATCCTGCATCTCCGCTGGTCCGCGCTAGTACCACAGAGTCTTTACCAATATCGAGACCCGTCAAATCACCGTTCTGGTTCGAGTGGGGGTTTGTCGGTTCGTTCGGCGAGGCCACCGGTTGGCCTCGAGGCTGGAATGTGCGGGGAAATGGTGTGCGGAACCCGAGCTCAATTAGCAGCGAGGTGATGAAGCTGCTCATGAAGGGCTGAGGCGAATCAGATTGAATACAATCGCAATCACCTTCAGCCTCTTTCTTTGCAGTGAAGGAGACAGTTAAGGCGCGGAGGTTGGAGGCATGTGACGTCGGGCTGCTGAATCATCATCATCACATGCCCCGCCATGGCCTTTGGAAGTATGAGCCCAACCAAATTTCCATGCGATTTACGCGATCCTACAGAATCTTTAGGGTTTTGTAAGATTGATCTCCAAATTAGGTAATATATGAAGCTCCTCCGGATATTGAACATTCTACTTTTGACTCGGCCATCCCATCACAATTCACAGACCTGCAGCAGACTGCACCCAATCTGATTGCACCTCCTTGGCTCTATGGAGCGAACTGCTTGGTAGCAAAGACATCTAGGAGGTGGCAGATATGATATGGACTATACATCAGAGGCAGTCTTTCTCCACTTGATTCGTGGTGAGTGGTGCAATGCGACAGAGGGCGGTAGTAGGATCATAATCTGCCTAGGACAGACGGTCAGCCCCAGTAGTCTCTCGGGGATCCAAACTCGACGGTGGTAAGGCGGCCGGATTGCAGAGGAAGGGAGAAATTGATGCTCGTCTCCCATTCCGGAAAGCTGCCTCGTGGGTCTATCCCTCTCAATGTCTGCCCAAATGGAGGTACAGAGGCCCAACGTAGGATTAAATCGGTAGTGCGGCGAATCAGATGGGCATCATGCCACCGTCTCTTAACTGCAAGGGTCCCCTTCACTTCAGACACGTCCCTAGGCTCTCATTCAGACGCTCCACTGTCAAGTTGAGTTGGTCGTAGGCACTTTTCCGCAGTTGGTGCTCTGCGTTGCCAAGTCCCAGGCTTCGTAGACTAATTCGCAAGTCAGCGATATTCATCTCCACTTCCGTGCTGGGCAGGGTGTGATGGGCAACTTACATGCGACTCTCTTTGGCAATCTGCGGCAGTTCCCAATACCGAGATAATAGCAAGTTCTTGAGAATCCGGTGTTCCAGACCCGTCATGTCGGCCGCACGTTCGAGAAAGCGGAGGGTATTTGCGATTCTCAACGGGTTGAATTCCGCGGGTGGAGATGCTCGAAAGGCCGTCCTCAAGGTGGTTCGAAGAACATGCCGGCTGGGAGTCGCATATCTGATGGCCTTTAAGCCTTGTCGGTAAAGATGGCGATATGCATGAACGACTTCTTGCTGGTTGACCAGCGGTCTGATCTGACAAGCGCTCATAGTGGAGTTGTAGCTTGATTTGTCTGGTTCGTTCCGCGTTGGCTGGAGCTTCACTTTCGTCGGCCTCAGGCAACGCTAGTCTCCTTCGGGACAGGTGACTTTGGGCCGCAATCGCTTCGTCTTCGCATTTTCCCCCACTTGCTTGGGATGAGAACCTGCAGTGTTCGTGCTTTGCTCAACTTCTGTCGACCTGGCTCCAGTAGCTAATAAGACGTGTTCTTCTGCAACGTGCCGGGCATCTCCATTTGTTTCGCGCCTGTCACGAACCCTGAGTACCCTGAGTACCCAGTGAAACCCAACCCCAACCCCAGTTGTATGAACTGACCGCCCGTCCCTGCGAGTCTACGCTCCTCTTCTCGACTTGCACTCCCTCGAGTCACCCGCGACGATCTATAAAACATGAGTTGAAGTGAACTTGTTGCCAGGCTGCGTCCAAAGCCGACTTGAGAAGAAATGGCCCGGGTCGTAAGAAGGGCTATGGCAGCTTCGGCTCGGCGCGCGCCCACTCGCGCTGTCCAGAGGCGAGCTCGCAAGCATAAGGTGATCATGGAGACGGTCACTCAAGAGAAGAAAAAGCTGCGGAGCGTGGTATGTGTTTAAGGATCGGTTTTATTTGTTGGAACGATCTCTAAACAGGCGACAATAGATCTGTTTCGAAGCTCAGGCGCCGACTGGGTATACATTCATCCCAGCGGGCAACCCGCTCCTGACCACCTCGTGCAAGGAGCGGTGTCGAAAAGATGGACTTCAAGTCTACGCGGTCTCGGTAAGATATAAACGCCTTTTGTCTGGGCTCTCTTCCCGCATGTTGCTCAACTAGACCAGACAACACCTCATATGGGTACACATAACCTTTCGCAACATGTCCATAGGATAGGGTATCATTTCCCAAGCACAGTTGTCGCGGCGGCTTGCTCAGAGCTGGGTCTATACCTTACGAGTGCCGGGAAAGCAGTGCCCTTCCACACACTTGGCACTCTACAAGAGAGTCCCCCATCGAACTCCGAGGTTGACCAGATTACAATCAACACCGAGGCAAGAGATGCAATCAGAGACTTGTTTCCCAACATTCCCGACAACGATCTGAATCAAATTATCAAGACGGCTTTTCAAAAGGTAAGTCCACTGCGAAATTACATGAGGCGAATGGATGAGAAAGATCGGAGGTACCTGATATCTATATCTACGGTGTCAGGGTCAACGGAAAGTCGGCACCGCATCCGAGTTGCCTTTGGCTCGCAGAGCACAACTGGCAGTAGTGGCGCACATTCGTCACCTCTACACTGATTATGATCGCCTTTTGAAACAGAAATCATTTCATGAAGCTAGATCGGACGTGGAGCAAGTGACATTGGCCAAAGTCATTGCATGGCGTGGAGATGATGAAAATGGACAGACAGCTCTGGAGGATGTCTTCCGCGAGGTTATCGTTATATCCGACGATGATGATGACAGTGAAACAGAAGAAGAAGGGCTTGTACCAGCAGGCTCTAGGGATCGCAGCGTGGAGATTTTCTCTAAAAATGGCGGGACCCATGAGATCCAAACTCAACCGATCAGCACCGTGCATGTTACAACCCAGGATCCATTGCGAGAGCAATCTGAGGAAGCCGCGTCTGGATTCCGGATTGTCACCAGGGTGCCCGCCCAGAATGCCATCAACCGACGTGGATTCAACAGATATCAAGCCTGGAATCGCGCACTGAATAGGTATCGAGCCGAAGCCAATTCTACTGTACAGGCTCCAATTGGGGGTGCCACCTCCAGTGACAAGCAGAGTCCACGGTATGGGAAACGCCCTGTTGTTGTCCAGGATATGCCAGATCCTCCTAGACGTCGAGACATCACAATCCCCTCCATGGAGACTGTTCCCAAAATTTTGTCACGCCCTGTCTACGTTGACAATTCAGGGCAGCGGTCGCTTGCCATCCCAGCAACGGGTCCTCCATCCGGGAAGAGCCATGTAGGTCCTCAAGAAAGACGTCCGCTTCTGGAACCCCAGCCGGTGATTGCCCAGTATGAATCCAGTGGGCGACCACTTCTACCACCACTAACCACACAGAAACCACATGAATCTCGTCATTTGGGTGCGAGAAGCTACCACACTGCTAATCCTGGCTACTCCCAGGGTATGTCCTACCCGAACACAAGTTCCCATACTCGTTTGGAGAGGATTCCCTTATCACTCAATGAAGCAGACGCGCCCGTGTTTGTGAGCGGGCCGCAGGAGCTTCACTCAAATAGGGAGAGCCTGTTTGGACCCCGGCCTGATCTTGCCGGTCCTCTTCATCCCAGGACTGGACCAAGTCGTGAGGATCCAATACCTTCAATTGAACTGATGGAGCCTCCTGGCCTCGCCGATAAGCGCTGGGCCGATGGCCGCTTAGTACACATGACCAACAGGATGTCGCTTCGTTCCGTAACTCCAGGCCATTCCAAGGGTGAGACCTCGCGGCATGCCCATGCTGTGGCCCCAGGCAGCTCAGAGGATCAAAACTGCAAGAGGAGACGACTTTCGCACCATGCTGCGGGCGCTGTAAACCCACGCCTCAATGACTGGAACCCAAGACCTATTGGAAATCCAATTCCGGAGGAACCGCGAAGGCTATACCGCCGTGATGAGATTATCCAGCCAGAGCCTCATTTGCAGGATAGGACCTATCTCCGTCGTGATTTTCCCCCACCTGCAGAACAACCTCTAGCTATAGGACACCCACGGCAGAGAAATCCCGCCCCTTTGGTTCCATCTCAGGTCAGCTTGAGTGCCAGGCCCCCTCTAGATCGGACGCGTATGGCCGAGCCCTATAGGCCAGTTTCCATTCATACACAGACAAGCCTTCCTGGTTACAACGGCATTATTCCCTCTAGTGATCGCACCATTGGGCCACCAGCAGGTGTTTCTTACGCGGATGTCCGTCCTGCTTACTATGGTGATCGTAGTCCCCATTTGGACCGTGCGCGGCCTACCACGCTCGAAGAACAACGAGCGCCTCTTTGGAGATCTCGTACTGATGCCGATCACACCGTGGTCCATTCTGCTCCCTCCAACGGGAAGCTGTACGCCGATGACTTTGTTCGTCACGTTGATTACCGAGAGGCTCGCCCCGTGCCAGTGGAATACTATCTCCCGCGGTCGAGACATCAACCACTCCCGCATGTGGAAGAGGATCGTGGCCAACCGGCACGAACAAGGATTTCTGACCTTCATGCCCCTCAAGATCTTTCTCACCTTCAGGGCCCGACAGAAACCCGTCATCCTCGAAGTCCACGGGTGGCATTAGCTTCTCACGACCAGGGCCCTCGTCATCCCAACGCCGGGTCCAGCCCGCGTGAACTTCATAGTAAACCCAGCGGTGCTTCTCGTGACAGACGCCCAGGTAGTGGGCTTGGCGCGCCGCGGTAAGCCCTTGCGGGACTGTTGTCTCATGCTCACACTTCTAGTCTTTTAACTGGCCCTGCTGGGACTAACATCATCGCAGACGCATCCATGACCCGCGGTCGTTTCAAATGGTCGAGCAAAATCGCCCCATCTATGTGCAACGAGTCGAGTCGCAGCCACCGTCGCACTATCCCGTCCCGGATGGACGGCCCATTGTGATTGTCGATTAACGAAGAGAGCAAGAGGACTTGTTTCCAGGGCGTTTTGAGAGTTCCCGGATTAGGATTGATGCATTTGTCACGCACGCATTTGTCTATGATACCCATATGCCCATTCTTGTTAGAGTGCCTGCGATCATGATTCTTATAGGATGCCAAGTTCATGCCTTCATCTTCGGCATGTTAATACCAAACTATATACTCTCTTTGTATATTCCTGGTCGAAATTTGTAGATATCAGGGTATGTTCGATATGGCTAGACAAATTCTGAAATGTCCTCAAAAAGGTTGATAGGATTTAATGTAGGAATGCGAAAGGTATATTGCGCTTGTGATACAGTTCTTCTCCAGTGTACAGGAAGCCCGCGATCAAGTCTTCCAAGTACATCTGAAGATACAGCACTCTCTTGTGTGAAGATATTCCGACTTCCATGTAAACCACTCCCTCACTTCGTTTCGGTTCTGTTCGGGGGAAGCCTTTCACGCTGGTACGGCCCAAGAATTGTCTTACACGCTCATGGTCTGTCCATCAGCCTCGCCCGTATTCACCGTCTTGCCGGTCTTCTTGATCGCGGCCAGCACGGTATCGTACGAGACAGTGGGTTCGGTGGTAATGTTTGCCGTCTGGGATTCGAGGCTGACATCGAATGTTTTGACGCCTGTAATCCTTGAGTGTGAGTAATAAAAGACAGCAAAGGGAGAGCCAGTCAGTGGATCGGCAGGGGATCGACGCAGGTCGGAGCACGGGAATCGGGGTATACAGACCTTCCAGACGCTTCAGGACTCGCTCGACGGCACCAGAGCAGCCGCCGCAGGTCATGGTCACATTGAACTTGTACTGGTGGTCGGACATGGCTGGGACAAGGGGAAGTTGCAAAGAGTTGGAATTGTTCCGCGGGGCTGCGGGGAGATAAAAAGGCGGAAGCGGAGGTGACCCAAAGGAGGGGAAAAGAAGGAAAGAGGATTACGACGAGAGAGAACGATGGCAGTGGTGAGACCAGCTGGCCTGATTTGCATTATATAGGACCACAGTAGTATATACCTACATGGTTCGTATTAGTGACTACTTGACAGGGGTACGACTATCCTCATGTTTACACTTTTTGGTGTTTTTGTGTTTTGTTATTATTGATCGCATTCCCGTCGCAATTTGTCAGAAAACTAGTTCGAGCCATTTCCGCGATTGGCCCATTCGACCAGTGGATTTGCAATGTGATTCAATAAGATTCATTAGATTCGCACTGTCAGCAGCACGCCATTCTTCTGGGAATTGGATCGTGATGCATGAACTATGTACACTCATCGAACGCAATAATCGCGCCCTGTTCGACGCTAAAATCCCGCGGCCCGCCGCTTCTTTTTGGATTTCTGGCTCTTTTTCGTCTCGCGTGCTCCGAATTGTCCGCGCTCCATTTGAGTCATCGGTACTTCGTCGACTGTCAGTTGACTGCTCGGCAGTGGGAGCGCTGGTAGTGCGTCTGCAGGCTGACTGCCCCAGGTTCGAATAGAGGGTGCAATGGGAGTACCAGGCAGGGATGTGGCCTCGGGCACCGTTGGCTGTTGCGATCTTCTTCGTGACCGGCTCCTTCGGGGTAGACTCGGTCCTCCTGTACGTCGTGCCTCTTCTTCTTCCAGCATCTGCGAGGTCTTTTGCCATTCATATGCTGCTGGATCGGCGCCCGGTTTCCAGTGAGATAGCAAGTTGGCCACATTCCGGGCCATAGGGCGAGGCGGTTTGAACGTGGTAAATGCAGATAGGCCACTGTAGGATGGGGTCATAGTTTCTTTCGAAGAGTTGCTTGATGGTCGCTGAGAGCTAGTTGCTCCCACGCTCGTTATCTGACTGCTAGGCAGTTGTGAGGATGGCAAGCTCTGACTTAGATTCTGTGAGGACATTGGCCCCTCCCCCGCAGCTTGATTCTCGCCCGTAGTTTCCATCTTTTGCGGCGTATCTTTGGGACTTGGCGGGTTGGATATGCGGACGATCCGTGATAGAAGTAGATCAAGTGCAATCCCACGAACGACTCTCTCTTTCGTTACGCATGTGAACCGAGGGATGTCGTGTGAGACGCTGGTCACCCACCCTTCCACCAGCTGATCGTAAGTGCTCAGAAAATCCAAGCTTGAAGGTCCACCTGGAGAGGTGGGTGGCAATCCATGGAAGGTCTGTGAGAAAGTCTGCGGCAGGATCATATATCGAAACGGAGCCCAGTCATCAGGACTCTCGGGTATGATGGTTGAGACTAGACGCGTCAAATGATGGGCGGTGTCATCAATATCCTCCAGCACGGGTCGGCCAAGATTAAGCTCAAGCCTGTAGTGCATTCCCGTTAGTTTATTCGAATAGAACATGCTCACGCAAGGCTACTTACATCGTTTCGGTTGCGACCCACTCCTCTAAGCCGTCAGTCAGGTTATTCTCCCGAGCGAGGATGAGCTGATCAAAGGTAGATCCCAACGAGACAGAGCTGTCGGGACTTCTACCAACTACCAGATTGGCCACGGCAGACGCATATATAGACGTCAAGTCCAAGGTCCACTGGAGATCCAGATCGGAATCAATGGTGAGCTTTTGGTGAACAGCCGCAAGGGGAGGGGCAACGGTCTCATCCCAGTCATCCACGATAAAGTTTTCATCATTCATCTCTGTTTTCTTCTTGGGGGCATGATGTCGCTTCTTCAGACGCAGAACCTTGCTAGTCTCGAGATGCATCTCATCCTCTGCCTCAGGTTTTCCATCTGGTAGCCTGAAAAGGCTCTCATGAACGGCAAGTGATGAATCAAGCCAGAAGAGCTTGGTGAGCTTGATATCCGGGTTGTAATACGATTTCCCGACGGATGCAAGGGTGTGGCCGATTTCACGAAACAGCAAGGTTGAGTAGTGAACAGGCTTTTCTTTCTCGACCGAGGACTCACTGACTTCCATTGGCACATCTAACAAGAAAGGATCCGGCACAGGAACCATCTCCGTGGGCTCGTCTGCAAGAAATGGACACGGGAAGACTTGGACAAGCTCGGTAAGCTTGGAATAGACAACCATATGCAATTCTAGTTCAGTTAGTATGGACTCAAACACTAAGTCATATTGTAAAATATTTAGCATACCTCCACTGATCAGCAGATCACTCAACCGTAGTGTGGTGTCTTCAGAGTCTCTGAAATGACGCCAGGCCAAGCGGGGGCGAAGTGACGTTCTTGACCCATACTCCTTTGATGGTGCAGCGGTAGCATCAAACCACAGCAGCCGAGAGGTAGTAAGCACAAAAAAGTGAGCCACATTTTGGGTGCTTCGTTGTAGATCTAGAATCCACTCGGACTGCTTCGTCATGCTGAGCTCAACGACGTTGCTTTCAATCTCACCCTCCGCTAGTCGGTAGAGCATGAGGCAACGTCTATCAGAGACTAGAATGGTTGAGAAATCGATGACCCATTCGATAGATGCCCAGCCATCGTGCCGTGGGCGAGTGGAATCAGGCTTATCGTCCATCTGGGACAAGGTGCCTTTCTTTCCACACGTAGCAGCCCAAGTGGCTCTTCGTCGTCGTTGTCGACCGGATATGTCCCAAATGCTCCAATTACCTCTAGTGTCAACTATAGCGAGCTGCCGCGGATACCATGGGTTGAAGGTCACATCGGCATGGGGGAATCCGCCAGTGTGCGAATTCGATATGTCAACTACGGGATTTGCATCGAGCCGGGAATTTCGAAGGGGAGCTGAGAACGCAGCCGTGTCATCGTCCGGGATGTACATGGGCACTGGGTCTCGATGGTATAGAGGCCGGAATATTGTGGTCGCATCTTGCAGGCGCGCGGCCATCCACAGACTCTTCTCCTCTAACGGCCGCGCGAAGCAGATGTGCTGAATGGGGGCTCCCCGCTTGGACCACTCAGTAACCTCTGTGTTGCCGATGCATGGTACACGTAATGCAGTGCCCTCCAACGGTAGCTCTGCCGTCTCGTCTGTCAATACTCGGAATGAGATCGTATTGCCACACTCCCCAGTTACCGACGCCGCGATTGCGATCGGTACTCGACCTCGTTTGTCTTCCGCGCCGTGATACGTCGCATAACCCAGGTCGAGAAGGCAAGATACTTGTGGATCACAAATATCGCTTGCATTTAGAACAACTTTCGAAAAGGCGTCATCTCGAAGTGATGACCATTGAGAGGCAAGCTCGGGGAGAACGTGGGGAATGAGTTGCGAATCCGCCGTTCGAATAGGTTTGGACGAGTTCTGGGTCTGGGAAACAGGATCAGGGGCCGGCACAATCGTTGTTGTAATCCCAGTGTATGATATCGGGAGATTTCTTGCAAAGGAGCGCGAAAATGTCCACGTTTGTGTCTCAGCGAGATAGATAGCTCTTCCTACGTGCCCATAGTGTAGAGCACTCTCGGGGTGTTCATCCATCGGATCTTGCTATGCTCCGTGCAGTTAGCGCAAGACCGGACCGGAGCATGTCGAGAAAGCTCTCAGAACATCAATCGTTCTAAAGTATTGCGGAGGTCGAAAGGGACGAGTATGCTACTGCATCTCTTGACGTAGTGTTGGTGATCCGGCTGAAGTCCGAAAGTTTTTTGGCTGCTTATCGATAAGCCCGCTTTCTGTGCTCGTTGCGCCGCAACCCAAAACACCCGCGATCGTCAACGCGTCAAGTTCCTTCTTGTCACCCACCACGTCGCAAACTTCGCCCATCAGACCATCTTGATACCATTGATACTATACCTCCGGTGATACATAGCCATGGCTGCTCCATTTGAGCCCTCCCTCTCGACCAGTGGCATGCGCCCTCCCCTCGCCTCGGCAGACGCCCCCTCCATGGCCGACTCTCTGCCCAGCATCAATTTCGGATTCGAAGACTTGCGCAATCGCATGGCGCAATTTACCGCAAAGTTTGACGCATTCATCGAGCGAGGTCGCAAGCGGGTTCTGGAGGAACGAAACCAGTTTCATATCAATCTCGCCGAGCTGCAAGGTATATTAAAGCAATCATAGGGGGCGCATTCCACTAGGGCAATAGCTAACTCAACACACAGAGGACGAACGAATGCGCGAGCGAGATATCGAAATAACCAACTTGAAGGTCCAAACCCACGACCAAACCCTTCAGAAGGAGGCCGCGGAGGCAGCCGAAATGCACGCTGCAATCTCTTCGATCACCATGGAGCGCGATGCGCGACTCGCCAAGCGCGATCGCCTGAAGCAACAGATCGCAGAAACGCAAAAGGCGATCAATCAGAAGTTGGAGGCACAAAAGACACATGCGAAGCACCTGGATGCACAATCTCGACTCAATTTTCCGGAATTGGAATTTTGGCAGGATTATCTATGTTTACGGATTGAGGGCGCTGGTCGTGAGGACCGGTTGAAGTTTGTTTACAGCCACCTTCTGGAGAAAGACTGGGAGGCAGAAGCCTGGTTTGAACTGGGCACTGCCAGTCGTGACTACGAGGTATTGCACACCAAGCCCAAGGTCAATAGGGATGCCTTGGAGCGTGAGGTGGATCTGGTTAACGATGATCGAGATTTCGGGGCATTCCTCAAGCGGATGCGCAAGCTGTTTATGGAAACGATGAACTGAAGGCGGATGGTTTTGTCCTTAAAGATATCTGTTTATGACATTCATGAGGTAAATTAATACACAGGGATCATTGTGTTCATTGAGGTCGTCAAAAAGTACGTAGACCAGCACCGGCACCGAGGCGATATGATGAAACCATGCTCAGCCGCCAGTTGCCTCACGGTAGAAAGCGACACTCCTATTGGCACCGGCGGTAGCGAAGCATTCGGATCGGGCTGTCTTTGGAAGCCACTTGGCACTCCAGACTGCCTTCTCAGTTTCAGAGTGTGTGGCAACACACATCTTTGTATCAATTGACCAGACTTTGACTTTGCCATCGAAGGAACTGTCAAGCTCGTTAGAAATATGCACCATTCGGCGTCCACCGAACTGAAACCACTTACCTGCTCAGAAGGTACTCGCCTGAGCTGCTCCACGACAGAGACAGCACCCAGGCCGCGTGGCCAGAGAGATTGGCAATCTGTTCACCAGAAGAAGTGTCGTAGAGAACGATAACCTTGGAATCTCCCGCTGCCGCAAGAATTCTACCACCGGGAGAGAACGCCACTGCACGCACGGGTTTCACCAGGCCTAGACTTTTCGTTAGATTTGGTGGGGTCATGAAATTCAAGAGTCGTGCGCACCTGATAGAGAGAACGGCATGCGGCCAGTGTCTGTGAGGAAGATGTAAACAGCACCATTTTCATGACCACTGGCAATAAAACGGCCATCGGCAGACTGGAGATGTCAGCAGAAGCCATGGTCAAGAGCTGCAACTAAGGACCTACCAGGTCGATGCATGTGCCGAAGCTGCCCTTGGTTTCATGGTCTCTTATTTGGGCTCCACCTCCACCCAAGTCCCATACGCCGACACGACCATTCTCAGAGACACCTGCAAGATACTGGCCGTCTCCGGACAAGGCAATGGCCCACGGATGAACCTTCTTCAGGATGTCTGTCGACTATGGTTAGCACTGATGTGACCCCTCGTCATGGAAGCATAAATGTCTCTTCCGTACCTGTAGTCGCAGTATCTGCCGACCAATACCCATCTTGGGAGTACCAGGCCTTGAGATTCCCGTCGAATCCAGCAGTGATGGCTCGAGAGCCGTTGGCGTCAGTCACGATGTGGTGGCAGCCCAGTGGGTGAGCTGCATCAATGGACTGGATCAGCGGAAACTCCGTATCAGTAGTCGAATGTATCTTGATGGACGGGGCCCCCGATACAGACAGGACCTGCTTCTCGGTCACTGCCAGAGAGAAGATGTCGACCGGGTGCGCTGGGCCTCGGTCAGCTCATATCAATTCATTTTTAAGATCTTGCCAACCCACCATTGTCGGCTGAGCCCCACGTAAGGTATTGTCTCGACTAGACAAGGTTAGCAGCGATGCAAGCTCATAGGGGTTCTAATTGGACGGTACCATGCCGAGTTCAGTCTCAACGTGAAGAACTGGTGTTCCAGGTTCAAAGTGCAACGACCCTCACGGTTCTGTTATGACGTTGGGAGCCCGCGACTTCGGGGACGCTGTGGTTCCGCCTTCGCGCCTCAGGCGAACACAAAAGATGCTGAACAAGTACGCTTCTACAATTCTACAAGCTGACAAGAACTATACTAGCTTTTTCCAATCTACTCCACGGGTATAATTGAACAGAAATAAATTTTTCAAAAGGGCCATTACGACCAAGATCTAGAATATAGCGAATTCACGCTTTTTTTCCCACGTAACCAGACGCCAGATGCCATGCAGCAGATATATCCACAACCAATTCCTAGAAATACACAATGCGCTTCGGGTCTGCTCCACGAAGCCTGCTCCAACCGGCCTTTCAACGAGGAGATGAGAAGGCGCACCCCTGTTTAATGTTCGATCGCATCTCATGCGGCTTGCGCCGACTTCCAGGACTGCTTAATATCTAGAAAAACCGACTAGTTAGCGTTCAGGTATTTCGCAAGAAGTCCAGGCAGCGCTTTCGCTGCAGATTGCCACTCGACATCTCTCCAGGTAGATCAATGCCGAGCGTCCCGGACTCTGGTTTGATGGGATTGAGATATCCGTTGTGTACCTTTCACGCAGTGGGGACACAACACATGAGCCCGCTTGACCTGGCCGCAGCCAGGGCACTTGTTGAGATTCTGCACATCCTTCAAGGCTTTTCCGGCCATTTGGCGATGGCGTTTCTTCATGTGCGAGGTCTTTTTCTTGGGAACAGCGCGAAGCACAGACTCCCAGAGGTCGGCGAGCAGCGGAGGAATCGTAATGGAGATGGGCAGGGCGAAGGAGGCGGTAGAAAGGAAGCCGAGCGGAGGCAATTGGGGCAGAGCCCTTCGGAGAGGAAGAGAGAGGGCCATGTCGACTCAACGTAGAGAAGAGAATTCTCGTGGAGGCAAAAGTGCGGAGAAATCGACGAAGCTTTTGAAGGTCGAGCCTGCCTCTTTTGGGCGGACTCGTTTTGCACCAGTTCGGGGCAGGCACGCTAGGCCCGATTGGGAATAGCGCACCCCTGAGTTCGATAGGGAAATAACAACGCCGAACTTAAGGGGCTCTCCAAGCATCTTCACCTTGGGGAATTAGTTCAACCTATCTTGCTGGTTTCGGTCTTGGTCCTGTTCTCATCCCACCTCTCCTCCGTCATTCTTCAATCTCTCCATCTCCAAATATGGCCGCCGCTACCAGCGCTGCTTCGGCTCAACAGCCCACCGTCTTCCCCCACAGCCATGTTGGTTTCGACAGCATCACCTCCCAGATCGAGCGGAAGCTGTTGAAGCGTGGTTTCCAGTTCAATGTCATGTGTGTCGGTATGTATGCTTCTGTGTGCTTACTCTGAGATCTCGAATTGACGTCTTCTTCTTTCCCTTTGCGTATAGGACAAACTGGCCTGGGTAAATCGACTCTGGTTAACACCATCTTCGCATCCCACCTGATCGACTCCAAGGGTCGTCTTACCCCCAATGAGCCCGTGCGCTCCACCACCGAGATTCAGACTGTTTCGCATAGTATGTGTAACCCGTGAAGGATGTGGAGGATGCTTCGGACGCGAAATGGGGACCGCGACGGCTGACGACGTGGCTATAGTCATCGAGGAGAACGGTGTCCGCCTCCGCTTGAACATTGTCGACACACCTGGCTACGGCGACCAGGTCAACAACGACCGCTGGTACGAGCATTCCCCGCATATGCTCTTCGATTTTAATTCGAATGCGGTTGTATTCTATAGATTGATACTGACGTGGCACTAGCTGGGACCCCATTGTCAAGTACATCAAGGATCAGCACTCGGCATACCTTCGCAAGGAGCTTACTGCTCAGCGTGAGCGCTATATCCAAGATACCCGTATCCACTGCTGCTTGTTCTTCATCCAGCCCTCCGGCCATGCGTGAGTCTTGCCTTGCTTCCTCCACCCGCAGGTTATAACTGCCATTGAGTCGACCTGTGCTAACTCGGAACCCTTTCCACTCTGCAGCCTCAAGCCCATCGATATCGTTGTCCTGAAGAAGCTGTCCGACGTCGTCAATGTCGTGCCCGTCATCGCTAAGGCCGACTCTCTCACCCTCGAGGAGCGTCAGGCTTTTAAGGAGCGCATCAAGGAGGAGTTCGCTTTCCACAACCTGAAGATGTACCCCTACGATAACGACGAGCTGGATGATGAGGAGCGTGCTATCAACGCTCAGATCAAGGTATGCGACTATACCATGCGCAGCCGTTTCCCAATCCCCAGTCTAACCAATCCTCATACAGGACATTATCCCCTTCTCCGTTGTCGGCAGCGAGAAGACCATTGTTGTCAACGGCAAGCAGGTTCGCGGTCGCCAGAACCGCTGGGGTGTCATCAACGTTGAGGACGAGAACCACTGCGAGTTTGTCTACCTGCGCAACTTCCTGACCCGCACCCACCTGCAGGACCTGGTTGAGACCACCAGCCAGATCCACTACGAGACCTTCCGTGCCAAGCAGCTGCTGGCTCTGAAGGAGAGCAGCGCCGCCGGTGGCCACTCTGGTGGCACTCGGCCCATCAGCCCCTCTGCGGACCGTGAGCTCAGCCGCAACTCCCAACGGGCGGCTATGAACGGCTACTAATTCCCCTCCCTCCCTCTCTCGGATGGTGTTGCGGTCGTCCATGTTGGAGTGAGTGCTTCCTGATATGCGTTCGGTGGTAACAAACAGACATCCTCTCTCCCTCCACGGGCAAGGCTCTCATTTTCCCCTTCTCCGAAAATTTACTGTCCTTTCGACGCCAGCAGGCCCTTGCAGATATCCCTTTTTTTTCCCTTTTGCGTCTCTACGTTTTTGTCCTCAACATTTGTATTACCTCGAAGAACTCGAAACCCTTCGATTTCCATTGGGCTGTTTCCTTTTTTTCCTCGTTATTCTCTAGGATTTTTGTATTGCCGGGAAAAAGAGTCTGGCATCCAGCGCTCGTGCCATTTGGTCTTTTCCATGTACTTAGTTTCCTTAATTATCCCTGATGAGAAAGTCTTATTCTTGGACCGTTTCTCTTGGTGGCGGGGCCATGTGCTGTCCCAGTGGCATATTATTCGCATATAATGCTGTAATTTAATGTTCATTGGCTTTGCCAGCCCGGTCTGTACGAGGATTCAAACGCTGGACAATACTATGTTCTATATGGTAAATGGTTTTCAGAACCGCGTTCTTTATTGCGGCGCACCGAAGCGGCCACCATCGACAACCCAGTCCCGCAGCTCTGCGTAGGCCTTCTCCAGATCGTCGTTCACCACAATCTTGTCATGGGCACCGGGCTGCTTGGAGAACTCCAGCTCGTTAACTGCCTGGTCCAGACGCTGGCGCAGACTGTCTGTATTTCCGAAGATCCAAAATTAGCGCAAGATCATGACATAACGTACAATTTAAATTAATTCTCAGAGTGCACAATTACCTTCAGTCTCGGTTCCACGAGAGCGCAACCGACGCTCCAACTCCTCCATAGAAGGAGGAGCCAAGAAAAGGAAGCGGGCGTTGAGATCGCTGTTCTTCACCTGCTTGACGCCCTCCATCTCGATGTCGAGAACACAGATGCGCTGCTTCTCGGCCACGTCCTTGACTGCTTGCTTCGACGTGCCGTAGTGGTTGCTACCGAATTGGGCTGGGGAAGTGGTTAGTCCTGTAATTGTAGCCGAAACTACGGTTTGCAAGGCAATGTCACAGACCGTGTTCAATGAAGCCGTTCTGCGCGACTAGATCCAGGAAAGCCTCCTTGGTTACAAAGTTGTATCTTGACAAGCGTTAGCACGCGATCGAAGCTTCGTCTGTGGTTCTTTTCGTGCTCCCTCACTCTCTGCCATCTTGCTCGCCAGGGCGGGGCGCCCGAGTAGTGTTGGAAACGCTGAATCCGAAGCGTTCTATGCAATTGAATAATTAGTTAGAAGGTGGTCGAGTATTTGTGGAGGTTGTCGAGGCATTGCTTTACCAGGGTATTCCGCGAACAGGCGCTTGAGGAGTGTCGACTTTCCACAGCCTGATGGGCCACTGATCACCACGGGGCGGAACTGGGCTATTGAGAGCGAAGCAGTCAGTCATCATCCTTGGACTTGTTCGGATTGAGCGTGGGATAGAGATAGGATGAGTCGGAGAGGTATGAATGCGCCAGAGGAAAGGGGGGCTTGAGTATCATACAAGCGTTGGTAGCCATAGTAGAGACGAAACGGTTGGCACAAACGAAAGGTTTATAAGAAGCTGACAGGGCACGAAAAGCCGCCAAATGATTCATATGAAAGTAATTGGGAAAGTTGCGACAGAGCGAAAAGCACAGAAAGTGGACTACGAAAACGATTGTCCGGCAGAATACAGGCGGTGTGGATGACGAAAGCGCCCGATCTTCTATTCGAGGCCGATTCTATACAGGCAGAGAGAGACAACAAATACAGTAACCGCCCTGGAATAATCCCATAATTGGACAGTGGAAAAGAAATCGCACAATTTGTGCTATCGCTATGATTTCGCTGGTCCTGGATGACTGCCACGTCTCATCGTGTTCCTGTCTCCAGCCTCTGCTTCTTGCTCCAGGAAATTGGACCACAATTCGGCTAGGGTTTCCTTGCTGGATGCCCCATTGTCCATGAACTCGGTGGCCAGGTTTGGCGTGCTGGGTGTGCGTAAAGGTGTACCAGGGATTCGAAGCTTGCCGGGGACATTTGAGGTTCCTGGTCGAGCCAGACCTGCTTGCTCGCGTTGTTCTGTAAGGGCGCTTAGCAACCTGCAAAAAGAGTACAATGGCTATCAATAGCTGAGCTTACCATCATCCCAACCCAGTAAAGCTGCAATGAGCTGCAGGATCTGGAACTTCTTTGGATCTGACCGGTCGAGTGCAAGGAAATGTAGTAGATGGTTTGTTACAATTTGCCTGGGATCCCGAATTGTTAGCAAGAATTCCGTTCTTCTGGCGGTTTGAGAATTGGACGTTTAAGGAGAATGAGAGCTTACCGGTCCACATTGTCTTCTGGTTTGCCCTTCTTAAGGAATCGCAGTGCTTTCGTTAGATGGTCATTGAGCGTCACCGCTTCATGCCGTAGCTTGCCGATAAGAAGATTCTTCTCCTTCACCTCCTTTTCGAAGGGTCGCACCCGCTCCAACTCCGCCTGGGCCGTGAGAAGGTTCATGTCAGCGTTCTTCGCTTGTTCCTGCGCTTCTCGCAAGGACTTTCTCAAGTCCTCGAGTTGAGCATCGGAGCTCTCGACCAATTCACGAAGCTCCTGCTTCCGCGCCAACTGAATTTCTTGTAGCGCCCGCTGGAGACCATCCACCGTGGATTGTTGGCTATCGCGTTCGCCAGATGCCCTTTCATAGGCATCTCGCAGATTGACCAGCTGTTCCTCGAGATCGCCCACTTTCTCCGCTAGATTCTCACGAACGGATCGTTCCTCCATGGCCAGCACCTCCCAGTTATGCATGGCATCCTTGGCTTGTTCGAACTCGGACTGGAGGTATGCGTTCTGTTCCAGCAGCTCCTCTTTCTCTTGGGTCCAGTTCTGTTGTGACAAATTCGTTCGATCTCGGAGGGTGGAGATCTCCTTGGTCTTTTGTGCAGATTCCTCGGAGAGTTCGGCTAGTTCTGTAGACTTGGATTCTAGCTGTGACTTTAGGGTAGCGTTCTCATCCTCCAGCGCTTCGATCTGGGATCGCGCTTGAGCCAATTCCTCCTGCAATGTACCGTGAGTTTGGTTCACCTAGAGAGGTACAAGAAACAAGGTCACTTACCTCATCCTCCTTCAAGCGCTCGCCCAATTGCGACTTGATTGCATTCACCCGCTCCATGAGCTTCTGGAACTGCGTTTCAGCGTGCTCCTTCTTAGATTCTGCATCGCCCAGTTTCTGCTGCAAGGCTTCCATGTCGGCCCGGTGTTTTGATTGGATCTCTTCTAGGGACTTGCGCATGTCGGTCACTTCGGCCCGGAGGGAGTCGCGGTCTCGAACGAGGGCATCGAAGCGGTCTTTGGACTCGGCGTCGTCCGAATCAGGCTTGTCGGCATGCTCTTTGGATGTATTATTCTCAGCTGTATCCGGCCTGGCGGTATCGGCGTCTGCGGTCTCGACGGGATCGCTGGGGTCCTCGGCCTCGTCCTAGGGTTCTTTAGCAACGGTTGTAATGGCAGGGCGGGGGTGTAACACCCACCTCGACGGGGCCATCGTGTTTCTCCGAGGCTTCTAATTTTTCAGAGTCGGCCTTTTGCGCGCTCTCTTTGGCCTTTGCGCTCTTCTTCTTGTTCTTCTTGGATTTCGCGCCTAGGGAAATTGAGCGGGGTGAGCGAGCAAGCAGGCACTCAGGGGAGGGATAGGTCGAGATTCTCCGCACCTTGAGCAGCAGACGGGGGATTGTCTCCAGGCATATTGGCCACAGTATCGATTAGGCCGAGGAAGGAGAGGGGGAGTGGGAGAGAAAGGGCGGGTTGGCGGTTTCTGAGGGTATCCAACGGTTCCAAAGTTCGCAAGTTCCAAGCTGTCAACACCTCCACTAGCGCCGCGCGGGCTGTCCGTTCCGCCCTGGGATCGCGATGATTAATCGAGCTCACGGTTTCTCCAACGGTTGCGATCTTTGTGATGATCAGAGAAGTTGTAAATTTATTAGAGGTTCCGTCCTCATTGCCGTTCCATTGGGGGTATGCTTGGCATCCCTCCGTGTCTCTCTCGTCTTTCTTGTGGCTGGTCCAGTTGGGGCATCGGGTCGGTCCCCCAGCCACATCGGTAGACGGATCATGGCGCGATGGATACAGGATTATTGGAGATTGAGATTGATCCCTTTCAAGATTGTAGCCTTTGATAAGATAACACATCCTTTCTTTAGCTCCTTCTCTAGTTAGTGGATGTCGAATAGATTCGTTTATCGCTCCGGCTGCTATAAATAGCATCTTTTAGTCTACAGGATACTGTACGGTATGTACTCAGTTTATAGTCCATGGAGGAAATGAAGTATACTATGCGGAACATAGTAACCAAACATACATAGTCTATCGTATGCCCCCCAGGGCCCCCATAGGACAAGCATCGATCCCATCTGGAGTATCTCGCTTGAATTTCCGGCAATAGATTCATCAAGTCCATTCTCAAGTAAGCACACGTATGATGCATATTGTGAGTAACTCGCTCCAGGTCACTTCATTGCAGATCTTCATCCTACTTTTGTTCCTCGAGTCGTTGAGTTCACACTGACTGTTCGATCGATTCAACCAAACCCCCCTTTTCTAGGAATTTGGGAAAGTTATGCGCGCTCGTGTGGCTCGTTCTAGCAGCGTCTCGGACAAAAGGTAGAGAGTGATCTACAGTTCCAACTGGACGATGTATCTATTCTTTAAGTATCCTCGCTGGGATGGTGTAGCGATGATAGTCATGCAGTCTTTTAAGCGAGAGTCGTCTCATCCGCCACGAAAGTCCACAAGGCTTGTCGTTGACATGCTTCATAGACCTACTTCCGTAGTTTGTGTAGATTTTAGATTTTTATACTGCGGCGGAGGTCCCGGTCTCGTGGAACTCATTTCCGTCTCCTCACCTTTTCCTTTTCCCCGTTCTCTCCATTTGCCCTTTTTGTTTTCGCCTGCTTATTGCTCTCAGAATTACATGACCGAGTCTCGGATGAATTAAGGTTTTTGGGGGGTTCTCAATTTTCGGCTTTTCCGTACTGCGTCATCGTGGAGAAAACTCAATGGACTGTCATTCCGGCGCAATATCCTCTCTGGGATGCTGGCCGACTTCCCGTCAGTGCGAAGCTTTCCAGGTGCTGGATTACTCTCCTCCACCTCCCCGTTTCGTCTGACCTACGGGCTGGCCCGCAACGGCAATGGTGCTGATGCTTTTGAGAATTCCGAAACGCAGTTGCCGATCGGCCACCTTGGCCCATACAGCCTCGAATTGTGGGCGGGAAGGTTTCAGAAGCTCATTTGAGTGCTTTCAAGTATGTATCAACACCATATCCACATCCACTATTTATGATGGCAAGACATTCTGAAACGGGCTGGAAAGCACGAGGTCATCACCACGATGCATTAGGACAGTCCGGTCCTCATGGCTGACGGTGAGGAAAGCATGCGGAGTTCCATGTCGAAAACCTACACTCACGGGATTCTTCAATTCCTGCGGCATGACGAGCAGATGGAGCCAAATTGTTACGCGGCCGGCACTTTACTCAGGAGGAGCTCGTTCCCCAGAGCCCAGGTCTAGACGAACCAGCTCGTGGAGTTGGGGACCGGCAATAAGATATGCCAGAGAAAAGATCAGCACTTACTCCTGAATTGCCGAGCTCGCCTGTGCAAGACCTTTTCCACCTTAGTCAGAACCTGATAACGGCCAATCCTCGGGGATCAAGAAAATCATCTTTTTATTTGAGCCGAAGCACCCGAAACAACCACGAACCATTCCCGTTGCCCATCTTGGACAAGGCTACAAGCCGCCCAGAGACAACTACTGTATGTGATCACAGGGCTGGCACGCGGCCCCAGTTGGAGCCCGGAACCAGTCAAAGCGAAGCCCTAAAGCGACTAAGAGTGGCCTTCAACGGGAGCCTCACGGGCCAAGCCCAGCCAAAATGGCCACCCTTCTGGGTCTCTGGACCGCCTCTGGACCACCATCCAGTGGGCACTCGACCACTTGACCACCGATGCGCCCCTTCCATGGAAGTTCCAGTGTTCCACTGCACTTCCTCCACCCCTGGCGGATCCCGAAGTATCCCCACCTAACTGATGCGCCGGACCTGCTAGGCTGCTTAGCCTGCTTAGCCTGCTAGGCTTCTGAGGGGAGCGGGCCACACGCTTGCACCGTCATCACCGTGGCCCACTCACGAGTCAGATTGGCCCTTCAATCTAATTTGGACTTAAGCGACGTGTCCGACCCTTGAACCCTATATCTCCGTGGCGAATCAGCAGCCTGTCTACGTGGTCTCGTCTCGATCCTCCCCGGCTAGCTCGATCCTAGCCGGAGCATGTCATTTTCTCTTCCGAGAAAACCGTTACGCCAAGGGCGCTGGTGCATAATGAACCTTGCCCACCGCGGGCGAGCCCGCTGGTACATTGACAAACTACGGAGATACACCCAATACGATTATTATACGCCTCTTTCTTTTGCCGCCCCCCCCCCCTCCTCTCTCCCTCCCTTCCCTCCTCTCGCTACTCCACTCTTCCTCCAGTCCGCTCTGGTTTTATTCTCAAGGTCCAGCGTTCCTTTGATGGTTCTCCGGACTCCCCGTTGGCTTTCCAGGCTCTTGGCTTTTGTCCATTTCTGTGCTGCTAGTCAATTGGACTTGTTTTGAAACCTTTGGGAGTCCTTTGCCATTGAGGCGGCTCTCGTCATCTTCACCTTCCTTTCTCTCCTTCCGTTTCTCCGCGTATATCTCATCTCCCACATGCCATGATACTACTCTACCATTTTGTTCTACACTTTCCATCCCTGGCCTTCCAGACTCGCCTTCCTTCCTGTCGGCATAAAGTCCGAATCCTATGGCCTAACCCTGTATAAACTAGGATTCTTTTTTGTTTAAGTTCATTATAATTTTCCCCCCAATTCTCGTCTTATTTATTTTTATTCCGGTTGTGACGACCTTTGGCATCTCCGGAGGCCTACTCAAACTGGGTCCCTCACACTCACACAACACACCCCTTTCCCACTTAATAATCCCACCCCCTGCTCCACCTCGGCTCCATTATTCATTATTTTATTATTTGTATTATTGTCTTATTCCATGATTGAAAAGATTCCCAACTCCCCGTCTGGTCGTGTGCAGAATTCTTTCTCTGTTTCTTGTTTCCCTATTTCCCCTCCTGCTCCCGCATCTACAGTTTCTCTTCGCCGTCAGCGGCGGTTCTCTCGTTACAGATCTCCGAGCAACTAGCCCTGATCCTCTTCTCTACCTTATCGCGCCAGTCTCTACCGCCATGTCGAAGGACCTAGCCGGCATCCGACAAGCGTTGGAACGTGCGCGGAACTGTGAAGATGGCACCGTGGACCCGCAAACGACCGCCATCCTCGAAGCCGCCATCACCGAACTATGGACGCGCATCCAAGCCGATCCGGACAGCTATGTGCTCAGCCGCGATGAGTTCGCGCTCTTCAATTACTTTCTCGAGCGCTACCGCGGCTCGACTGTCGCCCAGCGGGCTGTGGCGCGGTTTTGGAACAATTACCAGGGCTCCCCCAACGCGGCGGCTAAGAAATAGTCTGGACCACTGCGAATAAAAGTGATTCGCGATCTGCAACTGGGCTGAATGGGGATTCCTCACTCTCTTACTTCTGTTTCCATTTTCTTCCAATCCTTCTTCGTCTACAGTTGTACGGTCTTTCTCTTCTTTCCTGCCCTCCACGGACGGAGGAGGGGCAGTGGAATGGAGGGGATGAGGACTTGTCCATTACATCCTGGACGTGGCTGGAATGACGGGTCTGCATGATGCATGCCCTGGCTACTGCCGCTCCCGCTGTTCATCCGTGTATGCCGATGCAGTCCAAGACGAGAGCAGCAAGAAACTGAAACCTGATGAGAAACCCATGAACCGGCACCCCCTCGCGCGTGCCCATGATGAGAAATCTACATATGACCACACCGACAATCGCCCATGGTAAGCTTGGCCCTCCAATGGACCAGAGACTATGGGGGGAAACTACGGGGAATGACAAAAGGACGAAGCAGAAGACCCGAAGACCCGAAGTGGGCGATGGACCTCTCTGGTTGGGGGTCGCTCACCGGTTTGCCTTCTTCCCCCAACGGCCCAACCGCCAACGAGGACTCACAAATACAGGAGCAACCAATTGGGAAACGAAGAGAGGGGGGCAAAGGCAAGCATGATGCAAGACGTTTGCGCTTGCTGCGGGAGTGGAGATGTGCGGTCAGGCAAATTGGCCTGGAGCCCTGCGTCATTTCGGGACTACATGCATTTGGGCAGGGCATCTCCGCATTACCTGCCACCCGGAGCCCTCTGATTGAATGATTGACCTTGAGAAATACACCAGAGTCTGCCAGCTGGATGCCAGCTGGAAACCACCTGGTCAAAGGACTTTCTTCAGAGATCCTGGAGAGATCGATTTGCCCTTTCTCATCTGCGCTGCTGTCCATCATGGTTCAGGCAAAGATGACCAAAAGACAACAGCACCAAATTTGTGGACGACATCCTCATCTGTCGATTGCAGATAACCTAGCATGCTGTCTATTTTTATCATTCCATCCTAACCTCCCCCCTTCCGAGTCATTTCATCACTCTATCCTGTATTATTATCTACATTATTCTTTACCCGGCATATCTACCTAATTTCAATCTGCGTTGGTGGAGAGAGCCGCCGTATGACACACAGCTGCACGACCCCGTCAGCAATTCTCCGACTGGCTCGGCTCCGACGGCCTCCTCCGCCGAGGACTGGACTTTTTTTTTTAAATTAATCCTTCCTTTTCGTGCACTTAATCTATGCAATTTTACAGTGTCCACCTTATCCCGTTCTGATATTTAGTGTTGGCCACCCCGCCGTGCGATGCTGACGCCGAGACGTTACAATGAGCTATGGACTTCCGAAGTATACGGAGACCACTAGCGTGAGGAAGCAACGAGTAGGCAAAGAGGGCTGTTGTCGTCACATACTATCCCAGTCTAGTCTCCATGCTTGTCCCTGCTGGGATTCTTCGAATCACTAGTTGCTCAAGGCTTAAATTGCGGGTGGGTTGCGAAAAGTGTGTCTTACAATCATGGTGAGCGCAAGCGATCCCAAGGGACAAAGAATACATTCCTTGCTAATGAGTTCTCCTAAAGCCAGAAATTTCCAATCAACGCCATTTCCCTTTCCATCCGACAAGCACACCTGCTAACGATGCAAATCAAACCATAATGGAAGACGCCATACCCTCCTCCTCGGCCATGAGATAAAACACGCTGTGCGGCCGTACACAATGCACCATGGAAAACAAAGAAAAGTCCGCTCAATACAGTGAGTTATCTGCACAAGAGAAACTGCCCCCTCTTACTCCTTCCCGTAGGTTTTGGGAAATGGACCGAATCGATGAATACACGCCAATCAAGCACTAGAGCAAATCAGTGGATAGGTCAGATCCGAAGGGGCAAGAATGGACTGAAAGTTACAATGATCAGTGCCACAAAAACCAGGCCCATGTTGAGGCAAAAAAAGACCATCTGAGTCCTGGTCATGAACCAGCGATGTCGGTTGATATACAGCCAGAACATCCCTGGCAGACCAACGGTGAACCAAGTAGCAAACAAGGAGCTCTGTGAAACTAGTTAGTGAGAGATTCGCTCATCTGATAGATGAACGCATACTGCCAGACCAAGGACATCGTTGAAAACAGGAATGGCCTCCGCGATGATCCAGGACAGGATCCACAGAGCGAGACAGATGACCATCCAAATCACTCGACCCACGAATGACTGGGTATGCATCGCTTTGGTACCGCGGAAAATGCGAACATAAATGGTTTTCACTCCCACGTGGGCGTTCACGACACCTCCGATCACGATCTACATTGGGTTAGCATTCAAGAGATAATTAACTTCCCCACATTGGCGCTGCACAAAACACATACCGTTGGAATGGCAATACCATAGGAGATCTTTCGAAAGAGTCTCCTCGCAGAATTAAGGGCAGGTGATGTGACGGATGGGCCCACATATGCATAAATGACAATGGCAGTGGTCGTGTACAAAATCATCTCGGTCAGTTGCAACAGACCCAATGCCCGAGGGAAATCGTCGATGTCCTGCAACTCAGAGAACATGGTCAAGAAGGCCACATGGCCAGCATATGCAAAGACAATGTTGGCAATTGCTAGGCATATATCATGTAATGGGGGATGAGGAGAGAAAAGGGGTATCTGACTTGGACCTCCTCTGGCAGTGACTACACTGACCATGGTCACCAGAACTGCCACAACGATGCTTATAGAGCTTATCGTTGACAAGTGAGAGAGCTTCTCAAGTCGACGTGGGAGAGTCAGAATGAATGAGACCAACAAGCCCAGGGCAGAGTACAACAAAGTGCAGCTGCCATGGTCTGTGAGAACATTCATCATGATCGAAAACGTCAGCACATGGCTCCCCATGATGAAAATGTAATAGATCAGTTGGGAGATTCCCAGGATTTGCCGGCCATATTGTCCCATCAAGAGGTCTCCGGCATCTGCCATGCTATGTAGCTGCATGTTGTGCCTTTTGAGCGTACCGATGGTGTAGCCCGTGTAAGTGGAGATGATGCCAACAGCAAGGATAGCGAAAACGCCCCTGATTGATCGAGTCAGTGATGTCTTTCTAGACCAGAGCAAATGTCGCTAGAGAGCAGGTTAGATACGGAATCAGTCCCAACGTTGCCAAAGCTTTGGGTAGAGCCAGAATCCCGAGTGATATGGTCTCTGCAATCATGACTAGCTCTGTTAGCTTTGGCATTGTTTGGGAAGAAAGACCGCGGCCTACCCATTCCAGCTTGCCTAAGGGAGCGACTCAGTTTCCGGATGCTTCTATGTCTCTTCGAATGGATCGAAAACTTACCACCAGGCCATCGTCTTATACTTCACACTCGCATCGCTTTCATCTCCGAAGGGGTCCGACTGCACAGCGCCGGCCTCTGGGGTCACGGCGGCCTTCTCAACTGGCACACCAAGTTCAGAGTCGGCAGGGTCAGCCCTGAGGGAGCTTCGAGGGTCCATATCGGAGTAAAGGCATGGAGAATCCTGGTTTGGAAGGGGAAGACACGACCACAGTCGATGGACAGCGAATAAGGCACCTGCCTAAGGACGTGCCTGCCATTCTAACGGAGCCTCCCATACGGAAGGCAAGACATGACCGAAAGATACCGTGAAGAATTAAGGAAATTTTATATTTGTACAAGATCGCTCTATATATATCCACACACATGTCTATTTGTTGGCTGGAGAGTCCGGGGAAATCAGGGGATCGGCATTAGGATTAGCATCGCCCTTGAGAATGTCCTGGGAAATCAGGGGATCAGCATTGGGATTGGCATCGCCCTTGAGAATGTCCGCCGGAGGGTCTGTGAAGAAAAGAGTGCGTTAGCCATGTGAATACCTCGCCACTTTGTCATATTTGAAACTTACCAGTTCGAGCGAAGTGTTTGCGCTCCTCGGTATCTAGCTCCTTGACCCGACCGTTCGAGACCTCCTGGCGTGACAGACCCAAGAGGCTCTTGGGAAGACCCATGGAGGACAGGTACGAGACCGACTCCTTCCACTCCAGCTCCTTGCGCTTGTTGGACCACTTCAGCTCCTCACCCATAAGGTCAATCACACCAGGGAGAGCCTCCAGGGCGGCCTCAGCGTTAAGGAAGGCCAGACGGGTACGGCGGGCGATGACATCGACCGCGGTCTGAGCGTACTCGTGGCGGACCGCATACCGAACCTCACCGTCGACGAAGGGGTACAGGGCAGAGATACGGCAGCCGCGAACGGGGTAGCGGGCGTTGGTCGGGGATGACAGAGCGGCGACCTGCCAGGCACGGTCACCGTAGGACTGAGTCAGGTGTTGGGCCACATCGGTCTCGAGACCAAAGTGCTGGATCAGGTTGATGAAGAGGGTCTTGGAGTAGCCGTGAGCACCGATCAGGCGCACCTGGTGGGTCTGGCAGCTACCGTCGAGGACGGCGCCATCAGCCACCAAGCCACTGCCGCCAGCACCACTGATATCCGGCATATCGTTCAGCTCGCGAGTCTTCAACTGGAAGGACTTGATCGCCTCATCAACCGCCTCCTCGGCCATTTGGCGGTAGGTGGTCCACTTGCCACCGGCACAGGTCAACAGACCCGAGGGAGACACGGTGATCAGGTGGTTACGGACAAGAGCTTGCGAGCTGGTCTTGTTGGGGTCGCGAACCAGGGGGCGAATACCGGACCAGGCGGCCAGAACGTCCTTGCGGTCCACCGTGATGTCGGGGGCCAGGTAGCCACGGATCTCCTTGAGAATCCAGTTGATATCTTTCTCAGAGGGCTCGGGCTGGGTAGTGATCTCGGTGGGGGCGTCGGTGGTTCCGGCGATGGTGTTACCCTGCCAGGGCAGGAAGAAGATGACACGGCCGTCAGAAGTCGAGGGGTCGATCAGACCCATGTTAGACGGGCTGTAGTATCCGGGAAGAATAATGTGGACACCGGAGCTAGGGGCGACAATCTCCTGGGTGCTAGGCTCGTCCATCTTGCGAATGGAGTCGGTGAACGGACCGGTCGCGTTGACGATACCCTTGGCACGGATCGTGAACTCCTCGGTCTGCTCGCCGTCCTTGCCGGGGATCACGTCCTTCAGACGCGCCCCGTTCAGCTTACCGTCCGAATCCTTGGTGAGACCAGTCACCTCCATGTGGTTGACCACGGTACTGCCGTAGAGGGCGGCGGTCATAGCGAGGGAAACGTTCATGCGCGAATCATTGTGGGCGCCATCTACACAAAGTCAGATGAATCAAAATCTATGGCAATTGGGGGTTTTCGATCGTCGAAGCAAGAAACTTACCGTAGTACACCATGGCACCAATAACGTTATCGCGCTTCAGCATAGGGAATGCATCGATGGCCTTGCTCTTGGTCAGGAAGTAGGAGCTCTCAATGCCCTCGGAACCAGCCAGAAGGTCATAGGCCTTGCAGCCCGCCCAGAAATAGGGAGCCTGCCACAATTTCTGCACGGGCACCATAATCGGGAGCCATTGGGACAGATGGGGGGCGGTGTTCAAAAAGTACTTGCGCTCGCGGAGCGCTTCCTTGACGAGCGCATACCTGCGATGACATCATCGGTCAGTAAAGAACGGAGTCTTCAGGTCGAAAAGCTCGAAAATCCGAGCAAGATGAAAAACTGACTGGTTGTAATCCAATTCCCAAACGGCCTTTTCCAAATAGCGCACACCACCGTGGACCAACTTGGTACTTTTACTGCTGGTGCCAGCACTGAAATCATCACGCTCCACCACCGCCACCCGCAAGCCTCGGGTCGCCGCATCCAACGCAATCCCGGAACCCGTCGCGCCGCCACCAATGACCAACAGATCGTAGGGCTCTTCAGTCTGGCTGCGCTTCAGGTCCTTGATCTGATCAATGCGACCCTTGATGGCCGGGAAGCTTGGGGGTACCAGCTTGCCCTCATGGTAGCCCGGAGGAGGGACCGCGGGGGCTTCCAAACCGGGGATATTGCGAGGACGATAGGAAATGTAGAGAACTCCTGCTCCGGCGGCCGCGGCCGCCGAAGTGTAAAGAAGTGGTCGCAGGAGCTTGCGCGAATGACGAGCGGCCATTATCCGATCGGGGGGGGGGGGGTTGATTCTTTTTTTTTTTTGGAGATGAGAAGGTGAGGTGTGAGTCTCTAGCTAGAAATCACGGGTTAAGCTCGTTTTCTCTGCGCTCAAAGCAGGTGAAGTATGACGAGGTCCCAGAGTCAATTGGGAGTTTTGTTGAAGGAGGGAGAAATGTGTCCAAGTGGAGGATCAATTGGCGTCTCGGAGAGAGAAGAACGCGGAGATTCTGAGGGGAAGAATGCGGAGTGGGGAAGGGAGGGAAGGAGGAGTGGTGGAAGAGAAGACGAGCAATTCCTGGGACGGAAGGAGGAGGAGAGGGAGGATGATGGCGATGGCAGGGAGGAAGGGAACGAGCAGAAGTTAAGCCGGATGGTTTGGCAGAGGAACTCTGACCTGCGACCTGGTCTTTTGGTCCAGTCCTTCTTTCCCGTCGGATTTCACCCAACGTGAGTCAACGAAGAAATGGCTGACCAAGGCAGGATTGGCGGGTGCGCCCCAAAAGGGATCACCGTGATCGGGATACCTTCCCACTTTTCCACTTTTTCCACTTTTCTTCTTTTTCCAGCCAAACCCGGTTCAACTCGGCCCCGACGTCATTCGAGGCCAAACTGGGATTCTCCCACCAATCAGGCCCTCGGCAGCCAACTCATGCCCACAGATTTATTATCAGCACCGGATTTCCACCCCGATCTTTACAGTATTCTGGACTACTGGACTACTGGACTACTGGACTACTGGACTACTGGACTACTACTGTACCTACGATGGAGTCATGGAGTATGACGATGGAGTATGGGACTGTGTCTCGACCTTGGCGGATCTTCCTCTCCATGTGACACGCAGAAATTTCGAACCTCTCCAGCACCACTACCAGCTGGCCTATCCCTTTCAGAACGCTCTCCTTTCCCCTTAAGAAGCAATTCGTACTCGGCATACCTGACTTCTTTTTTTTTCTACTTGGGCCATCTGACCATCCTTGGGCTTCCGTGATCCCGTCCGGGGTACACCACTCCGTGTATACGCAGTCCAGCTCACTACCTGGAACTGGACCTGGAACTGTCAGTCGATCGCCAGGTTCGCGACAGTCTCTGCATGGGCAGCTGACTTGCGGCTCGATCCACCTAGATCGCGGCCCCAGTTTTCAGGGGCTCCAACTGCCTTGTTCGTTAGATCCACTCCATCGACTCTTAATCGGTCATGGTTATGGATCATCATGCTGTCATGGTGGTCCTCAAAAACCTGCCCTTCCCCCGATGGAGTTGGTTCTCTCTTTGCTATGATTGTTATCCTATCTCTCTTGCACTCTTAACACCAGAGCCAGACACAAGATAGGATCCATCTTCTGAAATCAGACCAATGTGGCCCTGATCCACTGCCACTCCACCAGAATTCCTGGTTCCCTTCGCATGCCTTGCAGGTCGGAAGGAGAAAATATGGTCACCCTATGCATTCTTGCCTGTCTGGTGGAGTCCATGAAGCCCATCTACCGCTTGCCACATAACTACACGAATCTACGACTACTGTATATGTCTATGATGAACGTGATGAACATGATAAATTATATTTATGCCTGAGTATACCTTCTGATAACTGATGTTGGGACCATAGGATGCGCGTGGGGGTTCCCCTCATAACTGACTGTGGCCATCGTAGATCTAGCCTCTTGTCCTGCCTTCGTCTTATTTTTCCGTGTCTTGTGGAAAACGAAAACGCTATAATTATTTATGGCACACAATGTGGAATTGGACTGGTGGAAATGGCATCCCGGACCCACCGATAGTGGCTTTCAAATGGATCAGCTTCCTCCATTGCGCCCCCACGCTCCTCGCTCACTACAGTACCAGTGTAGAAATATATAACCACCGGGCATCGATAGTCCGGATCACCACGCGTTCATGTGTTCTCCATTAACCATTGGGCTGTTTCCCATAACTCAAGTCTTTAGGATATATTGGACAACTAGGCTGAGATATATCAGCATAGTAGACGGTGACCGATCAGGTGATTTGTATGTTCCAAGCAGAAGCACTTGTGATGCCCAGGCAATTAGCCTACTGTACACAAATGATATACTATGTACGGAGTACTGCATCTTACATAGTACTACAGTGCCAGGCAAGAAGTTTGAATACACCCTTGGTAGATTACATAATTTTCTGCCGGCCAAATTAAATTAAATTAATTAAAATCAACAGACTGTTATATTCGCATAGACTAGTAGGTAGTATACCACCCCTTGGATTCGATAATTGCCTGCACACGATTATACATACTTATACTAAGCTTACGCAGGATATCAGGGTCTATTTGAGACCAGGTGTGCTGCGCTGCGCTGATGAGATAAACACGCGTTTCTTCATTGTTAGGCATATCATAGAGCTTAGGAAATAGCTCTAGTAGCCTACGCTTGAGTAGCCCCTAGAGGTTTTCAATTGGATTCAGATCTGGCGAATGTGGTGGCCACTGTATAACTTCTATATCTATCTCGTTTAGGAGATCGCGTACGATATGCGCAGTGTGTGTTGATGCGTTGTCATGCATAAAAATCGCATCGGATCGATTCGATAGAATTGATAGAAGGTAGGTTGAATAGGTTGATTGAATAACTCGTGAAGTAACACCACCACGCGGTGATTCGGGATCTCCGTCTATTGGAATTAGGCCAGTTCGCCTAGTATCACTATTAATACAAGCCCAAAACATCTGTCGAATCTGTTTCCTATAAGGTTTTTCATGAATTTCGCCCTCGCGAGCTTGGTGAATTGGTCGTACGAAGGTCCATTGAGCGCCAGCGCCAGAACCACGCTCAATTGATGTTTCGTCAGAGAAATAAACGCGCGACCAATCTTCTGGTGTAAAATCGCGATATCGCTCCGCCCAGGTAAGACGATTTGCTGCGTCGTTATCGTTTAATTGAGGTCTTGTAATCTTCCGCCACTTTCGTAGACCAAACTCTTTTAAAAGGTTTCGTAGGGTACGCTCGCAGATTTTGTAGTTAACCAATTCGAGTAGCTCGTAATATCGGCAGCTAGGATTTTGCTGAATATAATCATAAATACTATCGCGCTCCTCTTCAGAGAGATTTCTTGGCCGACCGGATCGTTTTAGCGTATCGTTTTCTTTGCCACGAATAGCCTCACGTCTGCAGGTGGTGATAATTGTGCTTCGAGAGATAGAGGGAAAATGACTAGCGATTTCGCCGTAGGAGAGCTTCGCATTAGTACGAAGACTGCAGATTCGCGACCTTGTAGAAGGTGATAATTCTACTCGACCCATATTGATTAGTGATGGTTGAATCTGGTAGTTGGATAGGGGCTAACTGACCTACCTACCTACCTACCTTTCAAATAGGGGTAGCCTGATTGTTGTTTATTTTGATGGTTATTTTGTTGTTTATTATGATGGCTGTCTTGATGGTTGGCAGGGTGCTAGAATTATGGTTTAAAATAGTAGGCGGTAGGCTAGGCGGAAGTAGGGGTGTATTCAAACTTCTTGCCTGGCACTGTAGTATAAGACCCACACAGAGTAAGACTGGCCTCAGGCTTCAGCCGACCTCAAGTCATCCCAGCTGCGGGAATCACATTGACTGACCAATCCACGGACCCAGGGCATGGTCCAGTGGCCTAATAGAGTAGTTGCCGCAATTTTCAGGACCACAATCCATGTATATATTATCTCTACTATCTATCTATAGGCAGCGCTAGCAGGGTAGTACGTACAGAGCAGTCCAGGAACAGTATTTACATTCAGTCCCGGCTATCGCGGCCGGAGACGGGTGTCCCAGGATAAGACTGACTATCTCCCGGGTACAGACAGTGGCTCGAGTAATCTATCTCTTATTGATCTGCAACATCGATGGAGTATATCCCACATGCGTCTTTTCCCCCCGAACCTCGAGATAAGAAACCCCTCTGCACGCAGGGCAACTTTGTTTTTACCATTCCCCCCCCCCCCACCCTGACACAGTCTGGGCATGCATGATGCCGACGCAAGTCCAGCGCTAGGCTTCAGAATACCTTCACCATAGTCACGGAATGCATGATGCGCGTATGGAGAGATAAGAGGTTGCACAAGGTTGCAATTGCCCTCGCCCCCCCCCCCCCCCCCCCCCCCCTTTTTTTCCCCCTCATTCTCCCACCAATCCTCAGATGCGGGGAACTCCTGATACTCTACGATTCTGGTCGGACGGACGGTACAGTAGTAGATACCTGAAAGCGGTTGTTAACAGTCGAGCTTCTGAAGACTGGCCACTCGGTGAACACACGCCCATCAGCCATATCGAATCCCACGATGACACACGGACACGGACGATAGGCGATTACGGTGGGGTGGCAATGCCGATCGAGCCGCCGTCTCCTGCACGTCGATCGGGTGTCAGTCTGTTAGTGGTGGTGTCTACAGTACCTACAGCATGGAGACTTTAAGAGATGACTGCATGGTGAAAGGTCCAAGCACCGTAAACAGCCTAAGGGAGCCTGAGAAGAGCCCGGGTTCACCTAGCCCGGGTAGAGTACATACTACGTAACCTACTGCGTAGGGGGGTACATACTCCATCCTACTACTTGAGTAATTTGTATTTTGTGTGGTTGCCACTGGCCAGGGTAGAAGAAGAAGCCTCCCTGATCGGCCGGTTGAGTTTGACAGGTGGAGTGATGGCCAGGTTCAACGGGAGATCAAACCACCTGGGTGGAGACCTGTGGCTCCGTGGCCCAATGTTGAATGTACCCGAGAATCGCCCCCCACTAAGAATGCTATACCCTGTATGTCTGTAAGATGTAGATGAGAATGTTGTTGAATGTGGCACCATGGCACTGACGTGGTCGTATACATCCTGGAACTAGGTACTGTACACGGGAGAAAAGCATGAGAAGGATATCAAGGGTACGAAGGAAATGGAAAGGATCGTAATTCAGTCAATCAAGGCTCCATCGAGAAATTCATTTGTCATAGTTCGTGCTTCACTTCGAGCATCGAGTCTTCAGTATAGAGTAATCTACATTCTTCATTGCCGTACACACCGTCCCAATCCAAGCAAAAAGGAAACACGGCAGAGAAAGCAGGACAGCAAAGCAAATCTCAGCCTTTAAAGAGGCAAATCAATACTCCCAAATTGGGGGCCTCATAACATTCTGGTGTGGGGCAGCGTAGGCCCATGAGAATCCCAAAACAAACTCCAGATATATATCACAAGATGACGGGGGTATAGATGTCGTGATGAGCGGGAGAGAAGATTCAAAAAAAACAAGGCCAAGTCCATAAATCCATAAATCCATATTCCCAAAAAAAGGTGCAGGTGATCGTTCTGCACGGAGACGCCTGGTTCGTTTTTTCCCGAGGATATGCAAAATGTGTCGCTGAGATGGGGGGAGAGAGAGAGAGCAAGAGAGATACGAGGGTGGAGAGGGCGACGAGTCAGCCCTCTTCCCGCGAGAAAGATGATTATTATGGTAGCAGAGAGGTCGGTCGGAGAGGAGGAGAAGAGAAGGAGGTGGTGTAGATGGGGAAGATCATTAAGAGGAAGCCATGCGTCGCTTCAGATCTCGAACATGATCAAAGCAGCTGGCATAGTCTCGCAGCTCATCTTGAAGCTGGCCGGAGAGGGCGGCATTGGAGGAATGACACCGCAGCGAGGATAGTGAGGTTTGAGACGACGAGGCCGAGAGACTGTGTGCCGATCGGGAATCGATGGAGTCGAGAGTAGATGATCGAGAGTGAGTCGCACCCTCTCGAGACTTGAGTGCGGATTGCTCGCCCTCGGCCGATGTGCGATCCAACTCGGCGAGTCGGCAGGTCTGGGAGCAGTAAGGACCGCCAGAAGTCTGGCGGTCGCAGACGAGACAGAAGTCGAGAGACCAGTCGGTAGACATGATGAGATGGTGATGAGTGATGTGGTTAGATGCTTGGTAGAGATTGGATGGAAAGAGAGGAAGTATGGTAAGATTGGATGTTGAAAAAGGTAGAAGCGAGAGGAATAAAGCAGATGATATACTCCAGAGCAGAAGAGAAAATAATCGACGCCAAGTGGTGGTAGGCCCCAATGTTATCAACTCGGCAGAAATGACGAAGAAAGGGGAGGATAAGAGAGAAGAATAAGAAAGAAGATGGGAGTAAAATGTGTTTCGAAACTCAGCAGAAAAAGGTGCAGCGTGCAGGTTGCAGACCCGAGCGATCACCTCATTAGGGGGAGCGATGGGGAGGGGGATCCACAGTGTCACAATCAGGACGGTAGTGCCAGGAGTGGAGTGGTTCAGAGCTGAGGCAAGTAAAAAAACCAGAGAAAAGAAATTCCATAGGTAGTCGTGACTCGTGCGTGGGTGAATCATCCTTATAATTTGAGGTACCCGTGAAACGATGGGAGGGGAAAAAGGACAACCCAAAGAGACGTGAGAGACTAAAAGAGGCGATCGTCGCACGGATGACCCCTGGCGACCAGCCAACCACACGAGCAAGTGCGGGGGAGAGGCACAACGGAGGGGTACTTCCAGTGGTACCCAATCCATTATGGCCCCAGATGTACTCGGTCCCAAACGGTGGTGGGAGCTGAGGACATTATGGGAGATTATGGCGTGGCTCGGGCGCTTAGGGCAAAAACTACTGAAAAGATGGCCAAAGTGGAAAAAAAAAATCAAATAAAAAAAGGTTAAAATGCGGACCTGACCATTCAAGCATGCAATCCGTAGTCCAGATAACATGCTTCGGCAGCTATTAGAAGAAGAGAGAGAGCGATAGAGAGAAAAAAAAGTTAGATATTCGAGATGACTCCATCCACGACCAGGTCACGGCATCAGGATATTTAGACATCGGAGGAGGAGCTTGACAAGCAAACATGGCCAATGTGGATAAAACTACGGAGTAGAGGACTTTATAAACTGGATCCGGGGTAGTAGCCCCCTCCTTCTCATTTACCCACCAATGTCCCAACTGACGATGAGAAGCCCAAAAAAAAAAGACGGCCTACACAGAATATGTTGGATGGTGATAGTGGGACTCCATTCTACAGTAGCAAGAGCAATTCACTCGATTGAGACACTAATGACGCTAATGACACACCTTTAAACGCAAGAGGCGCAGTATATTGGCCTATAGGTCCTGTAAATCCTTCTGATATACTGTATGAGCGAATTTGAGGCCACGAAGATGCATACCTCGTGGACTGTCCCACTGGTTGGTATGTACGGTAGGTACGTACTCCAGTAGGTTACTAAGGTACTCCGTCCAGGATGACGAGGCTCCCTTGAGACTAGCTTGCCTGCGCGTCGCCTGCAGGAACCTCGAACGGGCAGTCATCGGCCTCCCCTTTCCCCACTTCCAGCGTCCTTGCGGTGGCTTGTCAGCCCGTCATCTGCGCACGGGCCTCGGGACTACTGTTAGCACGGTGCCTGATTCATGCAAACTTGGGGGCCTGCCAGCTCAAGTAGACTGACGAAGAAATTGTCTTATTATGGGGGGGGGGAGGGCGGTTCCATAAGACCATAAGATATCGTTTATAAGATAGCTTCAATGATACTACAGTATGTTATTTGATCAGAGCGCAGGGATTGCAGCCTACGTACAGTTCCAGATCACCTATGGTTCAGGATGTCTAGAGACATACTACTACTCTAAGTATTATTCAATCAATTGAGGGTGTCCTCGAAGTGGATATGTACATAGCAGAAGTGAACACCATGACGCAAAGTCCACCCCTGGTATTCCATTTGGCTAACCTAATATACTGCACTGGACTGCGATATGCACGCTCCCCGCCGATAAACTTAGCTGCATTTGGCATTTTTGGCGCTATCGAGTCACGCGAGGAACGCGTGAGGGATGCCCATCCCGTCTCGCAAAATGCGGGGAAAGTATCGTGCTCGGTCCTGACCTTGACCTTGACCTTGCCCCTTTGGGGAGGGTCCCCCAGTGGCAGATCCCGTGGAACGTTCTCCCCCTTCTCGCTTCGGCAAGCTTTCTCCGAGCAGGGTCATCCAGCACCAGATTCACACTGATTGGACAGAGATTCTGCTTGCCCAGGCATATGCGGGTGATCAGGGACCCAACGAGGTGGATAAGGGGAGTTGGGGAATAATTGGGGGAAGAAACAGACTTCGCTTGGCACTTGATGAGAAAGAAAAAAAAAACCAAGGAAGCGAGAGGGAGGTGGGGAAGGCCATCACATCTTTTCCGAGTCAAGAGGTTTCTCAAGAAAAAAAGGGGATTAGGTCAATTTCTGGCCATGAAGATGATGCCGCTGGTTGCGGTTGATGCTGTTTCACTCGCCAGTCTTTTCCCGTGGTTCGGCGGGGATGCGAACCAAGGTGGCTGGCAAGCGAGCTTCGCGCGCGGGGTCCTCCGTCTCGTCGGGTCCAGTATCGTGAAGTCCACTTGCTTTAGCTGTGTGAAACCCGTAGCGTTAGCTTTGAATCTGCACTGGTGCGATAAGGAGCGGTTTCGCTCAAGCTTACTGGAGGCCAGGCTGATGGCGCGAAGCACATTGTCCCAATTGGCAAGCACGCATGCAACCGCTGGTTCGAATCAGTTTCAACGTTTCAACGTCCAAGAAGAGGGGAGGGGCAAGAGATAGACACCACCTTCCGTGCCATCCTTCAACGTGGCAATCTTGCTCTCGAGCGCCTGCATTTGCATGGCCAATGTCCCACTCAAATCCCGTAGCTGCCGGAGGTTTTCGAGTTCGGCCTTTTTCGCGTCGATGCGCGTCGATAGCGCGGACGAGGACTGGGACACTGGCTGACGAAGCCCAGCACCGGGCAACATGGAGGTTGGTCGTGACGAGTACGCCATGGTAAAGGTAGAGGCGACGACAAAAAGACAAAATGGAGAATGAGGCGCTGCCTGCTAGATGAATAATGCGTGACGAGCGATCAGAAGACTCTCATCAGTCCGCAAATACCCCAAACACTGCAAAAGGGTCCGGCATCCCGCCGAGGGGCGCTGAGTCAGCCAAAATGGGACTAGTCCCAATAAGGACAAACATCAACAGTCCTGTTTACACTTTTACACTTTGTTCCTCTTGCGACCGTCAACTCGACTTCCTTACGGCCCTCCAACAACATGGCCAGGCTGAACGACTTTGCTGCTCCGGCAGAGTCTGTCGAGGCTTGTAAGTTGATTCTTTCTTTCCCTTACCCGATGATAACCCCCCCCCCCTTCTCCCGAATCAGAGATTGACGCGATCGTGGCTAGTGAAACGGCGATTCGTACGACAGAACCGCGACATCGTGCGGGTGAATTCTATGCAATCCCTTCGCATCCGCAGTTTAGAATCCGAAGTCTCACATCTACTGGCCGAAAATGTTTCCCTGCGCGAACAAATTATCAATCTCACGCAGGAGAACGAACGTTTCGAGTCTGCCAAAATGCTTCACGAGGAAATCTTTGAGATCAAGTCCCGCTTGGATAAGAAACTGGCTGAGCTGAGTAGCTTGGCTTCGGACCTGGGAATGTTGCCTCGCAAAGTAGGCAGACAAGGTGGCGACAAGACTGGAACAGATTCAGGTCGGCCCAGAGCGACCGTGGCGGACTCAAAGCCTCGAACCACGGACTCGGAGTTCAATGCAGGTCCGGAGGATGGAAGGCTGCCGGCGATTGTGGAAGACAAATATTATCCCCGAAGAACACTCGAGTAAGTTTGGTGATCTTTCTCCATTATTTATGGTGAGAGGACTGTTCTCACTGACCCCCGCAGACAACAAGAAATTCAGAACCTCGACCACACCGACTCCCGCTTGGAATCACCTCAGCACGATCGTCCAGCGCAGGAAGAGTGCGATCCAGCTTTGGAAAGCCCGAGACCCGAGTTGGAGGAGATGCCATCGGAAAGTCGTATAGACAGCGATCCCTCACACGATGAATCGGCCCTGCCACCGACGCTCGAGACTCGGAAGAAGAAAAAGAAGACCGACTCGGTAACCCCTGCATATAAAACATTGTCCCAGGACGATCTATCAACTACAGCGAACCAATCACGCGAGCCGACGAAATTAGGATCAAAGCGTAAATTCAGTCCAGACGAGGATGGGTTTTTGTCGGATCTGGCGCAAGACGATGACGAGTTCCAGTTTACTCGCCCGAGCGGAAGCCCTCGGACGAAGGCAGATCCGTTTGATTTTATGCGCCAGGACTTCTCACCCAGTAAAACGCCGACGAGCGTGAAACGGGGAACTGCCCAAGCTGGACTTACAAAGCGAAAGGTCCTTGAGCCGAGTATGCAATTTCCCCTTCAGTCAAACTCTCCTCTGGCTCGTTTCCATTGACTAACACCATCTAACAGAGAGCGCAAATACCAATCTCGGCTCCCCTAAGAAGATCCGGGCATCTTTGAATTCAGACTACAAAGTTCTTCCCAGAGTCGCAGCAGATGAGAACACACGCTCGCCCCAGAAACCCAAGGAGATTGATATTCAGAGCGGAAGGACTTGGAATCAGAAACCTCGCGTTGCTCGAATTGGCGCCGTCACGCAGAAGCCAAAACGTGCTGGCCGGTCTATTGAAACGGAGGACCATCTCGAGCCCGACGTGAAATCTACATTGCCAAAGGACTCCCCGGTGGCAAATACAGGGGACCAAGGCTTTGGGATGTCGGATATGAGCGCGACTTCCCGCCCTTCACGGCGTCGCGGAGCCGTGGTAAGCTATGCAGAGCCTAATTTGCGAGACAAGATGCGTCGCCCATCCAAGAACCTGATTGATGCCGTGACTGGGGCTGGTCCTCGCCGCTCCTCGAGTTTCCAACTTTCCCGGGATAGCCTCGGTAATGAAGCGAACCCTTCGCAATCTGACGCCAGCCCCCATCCATCTTTGAGCACGACCCGTGTTGCCGATCTAGTACTCGCAAATGAGGCTGCCGACCCGTTCGTCCAGGACGACACTTCGGATCAGTTACTGGCGACAGTATCTCGGCGAAGGCGAAAGGTATCGTCATCAACCAAGGATCCCGATGAGCACCCGGGATCGATGTCAACCTCGGATGCTTCAGATTTGAACGACCTGTCAGTAGCGCTGAGACAGAAGGTGTGTTCCAAGGGGCCTTCTCGGCGGCATTCTTCGAACCCCAAGAGCACCTCCCACGAGACGTTACGAGGGGAGGCAGATGTGGCCAGCGATCTTGACAGCAGCTTTGAGGCGGATGATACGGTCTACCGGCGGGAGACTCGGGTCACAGCAAGGAGAAAGAGCATGATGGTTTGACGGGTAGGGAGTGCATGATGGTATTGGCCCCTGGATAGGCCGCGGTTTAAGTTAATACTGTATTTACATTTTAGCCTGCATTGGTTGCAGTCCTCGTACAGATACCCTCGTCCCTTTTTTTCCTTCCTATTTCTGTTTGCGAGATTTGCCAGTCAATTGAACTTGTTTGGAATTTGTCTTAGGACTTTGAACCCTCGAAATGCATTCATTGTAGACGATGAGTGGGAACCATTGGTAAAGACTAATGCACTCTAAGTCGGGTACCGAACCCATTTGTCACGAATCCTCGTACATGTGTATTTCCAATCTTCTCTCTGCCTGAAAGCTGTATGGTTGTGGTCTGGGTGTGTTCATCCCGTGGCAGAAGTGTTATTCGGGATGCAGACAAGTGGTCCTCAAATCGCCTTTCAATGGGTGAATATACACACCCACACACATTGGGGTAGTGGTAAGTCCTTTTGCCGTCTGGATCCATTTGAAAGTCTCGGGTCATGAGATAGTGGCTGTGAACATGATCTGAAAGGTGGAGCAGATCAATCAGGTACCCCGGGGCTGACTGTTCTTCGAAGGCTTGGGCATCTTCTCATACGCATTCGGACTGGGCTTCCTCCTCCTGCGCTTGATCTTCTGGTGATGGTGGTCAGAACAGCATGCTGTCGAGTCTGCATCGGGAGGCTGGTCGGCCTGATTCTCGCCCAACGGCCTGCGCCCTCGTGGGTGGGCGTGATGGGCCATGTGATTCCGGTGATCGGTCTCGCTTTCACTATCCGAGTCTGAGGAGCTGGAGGAGGACTCGGATTCAGAACTGCTTTCGCCTACGGGTCGTGCCTTGTGGTAGATACAGCAGACTGTTAGAGAGGGTGTGTCTAGTCAGTACGGGAAGGTGGGTGAGATGGGGCACAGGGGAAGAGAGTATTTACCCTTTGAGCTTTTCTTGCCCATGCCCTCATTGTCGACTACGTCTTCGCTCCATCGAATGCGACGGCCTGGGGACGATTCAGCGGTGGTGGTGTCGGGGGTATCCTCGGCCCTCAGTCGGAGGGTGCCCGTGAGCCGAAGGGTGGATGAATCTCGAGAAGTTTCAGTTGTAGACTGAGAGGATAGAGTCGCCGGTTGGCGAGTTCGAGACATTGTGCTGCGGCGAGTCTGGTGGTAGTGGGAAGGTACAAACTTGAGTTGGGCGATTGGGGGCCACTGGAAAATAATGATGCAACTGATAAGACGATAGAATCTCTCACCGCCTAGCGGGTTTGACTTGCAGCTTACGAAAGCAGCCCTACAGCAGCTTCTCGTATCTCGTATAATTATTGTACGAAGTAATTAGTTATAGATGCTTGGAATAACGATGTATTCCATGGTATTATGGGTGTTTAGCAAACTATACTGGTCATGCACTGCTCCCAAGTTCCATTCCGGTGAAATTGTTGATCTTGCACTCGAATGGATCGCCATCAAGATAAGACTGATATCGCTGTACAAGGATGTCACCCATTCGACTTGTACAGTATGTATCAGTCAAACATCGATGAAGGTTCAAAGAGGCCAAATCTACTTCTTGATAGGTGGCGAAACTCTGCGCCTTCAGAACAATTACCTCACTATTTCTCTTGATTATGCTAATCCATAAGCGAAGACGTGCTCAGAAGATCTCGGCTAATGTAAAAGACTGTCAGGGGCCATAGTTACTGGGGCATTCGATCAAGTTTGACAATACCCTCTCTGGTGGTGAGCGCAAAATTTGGCAATGAAATCGGAGATATCGGCGTGTCGGTTTCTGTGCTTAGAGTCCATTGATATACTCCCATTCTACCTTCATGTATATGAGGACCCCGGGGAGATACACCACCACATTAAAAAAATTCATAATCGTAAGTGTGAATAGAATTGTCTCAGAGAACAGCCTAACAGAAAGATGTAAACTGCAGTCCACACTAGTGGCACACTAAGGAGGCGTCGGCCTCGCTAGCCAAACTGGGCGATATCTAGCTCGGCAACTAATTTACTCCCGCAGTTATGGATTGGAAGAGAGCCGAGGAATTCGGTGGAGAGTACATCATATTTTTCGAGCCTCGATTGTGCCAAGCGACGACCAAGGCTTGTTTTCGCTACAGTATATTAATCTAATTGTGGTAAGGTGGATCCAGAAAAGGCTGAAGAATTGAGTCGCTCATAAGCCATGTCTTGTCCATGCTAACCTCTTGACCAGCCTCTTGTGCATCACTTTCGAAGAATTATCGACATTCATCAACCTGGTGTACAATATTTAGCCACCGCCAATCACTTCTCTAAAATACTCGTTATGCTGGTTCAAGCTCTTGTTGCGACTCTCCTTCCAGCTGTCGTCCTGGCTGTTCCAGCCGCGCAGACCACATCCAACAACGGAGAAGATGTCTACGGAATTCCCTCGTCCGTTATTGAAACCATGTTCAATGTCCCAGCCTAGATTGAAGCTGCCTACATTTCAGCCATCCCGACTGCCTGGATATCATCTCTAGACACCCCTGCGTTTGCATCCTCCGTACTAGCCGAGGAGGAAGCTGGCATTGAACCATCCTGGTATAGCAACGAGCCCGACAGTGTGAAGGCATACTTTTCCACTCGCAACAAAGCCATTGATTCCTACTACGCCAAGGCGTCTTCATCCTATTGTGTCACAGCCTCGGTCTTGACCGCCGACATCTCTGGTGGTTCCACTCTGTACCGCTAGCACTGAAGCCTACAGTACCTCGGGATTGACTGCCACCTCCATATCTGCGTTTGCGTTTGCGTTTGCGTTTGCGTTTGCGTTTGCGTTTGCGTTTGCGTTTGCGTTTGCGTCTGCGTCTGCTTCTTCCACGAGCATTCAACTTGGCTCGACTTCTACTGGAGGTGTCCCTGCCGCCACGACGGGCCTTGCCATGAGCCTTGCTGGTACTATGGCAATCCTAGGTCTCGCGGTCGCTCTGTGAGATTGCCGCAATCGATGTATATTAGTCTAGAATTAGAAAGTGTGCAGATACTGGAATGGATACATTTACTTGGAGTACACTTGTCGGACGACATCTATCTTATCATGGTGAACAAATGTATTGGTGAGAATTTTCCTTTTCCTTCCAAAGAGCTATGATAAGAAAAAAAAGATATCAAACATGAACCTCCCTCGACATTCCAAAGGGGGGTTTGCAAAGTACACGAAAGTGGAGGAAAGGAGATCGGGTTGCATCGTAGCAGAATCTTTGCGCCAAAACAAAAACAGCGTCTGAGAGGGAGAATGCCGGTTCTATGCTGCGGTATATGCGCGTTCCGGTTCTCATATGCATGCCCCTCCAAATAATCTAGAGCTCGTAGAGAGACCAGCCGTCAAGGCTATCATTTCTCATCGAGCTTGGGTTCCCCGACCTTCCAGAAGAGCCAGCCGACGCCGGTGGGGGGTATTCAGTGCGCAATTCCTGATCCAGTCATAGCTCGTCTTCCTGATCCATCTCCGATGGCTTCAACAAGCCTCCTACCTTCATAGCCCGGGTGCGCTCGGCGGCTTGCGCATCGCGAACGGCCTGCTCTCGTTCCTCTGCGTAGAGATCGGCGTTGTCGTCAGAGAACTCCTTGAGGGAGATCAAGAAGTCACGCAGATGGGTCTTGAACTTGTTCAGGTCATTAGTGTATGCGAACAAGCCAAGGACGAACTGCTTGATTTGCGCCCTAGAAAGAAATGAAGGTTAGCGACTGTGCGCACAGAGTTGTCTCGTGATAGAGGGTGGATGGAAGCTTACTCTTGCAGGTTCTTGAACGCATTCTGCAGCAAGTTGGCGACGTATTCCTGCAAGAACTGCTTGTTGGAAGTGCCCGCCGGCGCTTGATCAGCAGTATAGATGGGTTCCTGAATCTTGCCGGTTTCGACGAATTCAAACATGCGAGACAAGAGCATGGCTTGGGACTTGAAGCCAGCCTTGTGGTCACTGTCCGTGAGGACAAAGAAGACATCCTGGAGAATCGGGATGTAGAATTGGCGGAAGAAGATGCTCGAAGTTTGCACATCCGCCTCGGCCATATTGTTCATCAGTTCGAAGCACATGGTAAGACCCGTGTTCTCCACCTCACGGTTGTCGTGCTTGGAGGCCCACATGCAGGAATCGATGACAAACTTGAATTGCGTGCCATCCAGCTTGAGGAGAGCCTGGAAACAATACAGATTGATGGCCTGCAGGAGCTTGAAGAACTGGACTCGGTGCTCGGGGTATTCATGGAAATCCTTGTTAATCATCTCCAAAGTACAGCTGAAGACGCTGTCCATAATGGCAGGGATCTTGTCCTCCATCATTGTCTGTTAATCGTATATTGTTAGCCACATCTGATTTAGAGGAGCGAGGGGAAAGGAACCAAAAGGGTTGGCTATTGAAACGTACATGAAGCTTGTGGATGATGGTAGTCATGACGTTCAGAACCTCGGCTTCTCGTGCATCGGGCACGTTCCGGTGGTAGTCAACCAAAACAGCCTCAAGGAGTGGCGGAACCATGTTAGCGTTCACCATGTCCACATCGTCCGACTTCTCCACGTAGGTGTCGATCAACTTCAGGATCTCCTTCTTGATGGTGCGAAGCCCACGGACTTTAGGAGTCTTGGGAGCGATTGTCCCTAGAGCGTGACACGTTAATATTTGGCAATGGCAAATGGATTATGTGTGCATGAGTGGGCAGGGAGTGTGACTTACCGTCGTTGGCTACCGCATCGTTGATGAGCTGACTGGAGGCACGATACATGTTCAGCATGTCGTGGTAGATCCGGCCAATCTGAGAATAGAAGTAGGTTCCAATAGATGAGCATGCTGCAACATTCGTCTTCATAATGTTACCAATGATTTTGATAGTGTTGCCATCCTGGAGAATGGCAGCGTTCTGGTTGGCTTCCGCAATGATTTGATCCCAAGCGGAATTGGGCAGTTGCATCAGGTTCTCGATCAACCGATCTTGGAGTGTCTTTTGCCCCTGGGCAGAAATCATGTAGCCACATGCTTCATAGAAGGTATGAATTTGCTGGGGGAAAGGTCCATGGTGATCTTTCGCATGTTCCGAACGATCTCCTCAATGAAAGGCTCATTCTCACCCGGTTGGAGTGCCACAAAGTGCCGTCGGCACTTGTTGGCGATCTTGATGAATGTATCGCAGGCCATATCCTGGACACCTTCGTGCGTCTCGTGCATGAATTCGAAAAGCTTGTTGACCACTGTCTTCAGGAATTTCCAGTGTGCCTTCAAGAATCGAGGATATTGGCCCACAATGTACATGATATTACTGGCGACCACGGCCTTGTTGTCTTTACCACGCTTCTGCTCTGTCAGGCCGAGAAGATCCTTGATGACGGTGACCAAGAACCGCTTTTCGGTTTCCTCATTCATGGCACCGGAAATGGAGCCGATGGCCCAGCACAGGGTGTTGCAATTGGCCCAGGACCACTCAGATCCATCCACTTGCTTGGCGAGCTTGTCAATCATAATCGTCTCGGTGTCGACCACGTCCAAGTGAGTGAGGTAAACCAGACACTCCCGAATCGTCTTGTAAAGCTGGATGGTATCGCTCTCCTTGACGAATTCACGCACAATCTCGCCCTCATCGTTTTCGACAATCAAGACCTCCTCGGGGCGGACCATCTTCTCAATCATGACAGTGCGCAGATTCGACAGCACGGTTTCATACTTGTGCTTGCGAAGAGGATAGTTCGCCAAGGTGCTCGGATGTGGTGCACCACCGTTGGCCAACCCACTGACCCCCATGGTCACAAGAGGGTTGATGTCGGTGATGGGTAGCTGTTGCATTTCTTCGTAAAGCTCCTGAACCAGGCGAGTCCAGTAGTCCAAGCAGATCTTGAACACCTCACGGTCTTCGATTTGGCTGATCCGAATCAGGTAGAAATGGGCATGCGTGAGGAAGTCTTGGTTGGGCAACTTTTCAATAAGCTAGGCACGAAAGAACGGTCAAGAATTAGCGTCATATCGTAGGCAGAACGCCCCAAGGCAAACGGATAAGGGGGAAGGGAGAGGGGCTATTGGCTACACCTACATCCAAGTGGGCGCTAAAGAAGCTGGAGAGGAAAAGAGCCAAATTGGCAACGAATTCCTGGTCTCGTCCATTGCTTCGGGCGTAGGTTTCCTTCAAGTCCAGAGACAAGGGAATAACATTCGAGACCGTTGTGAGTGTCTCCGTGAACATGTGCACCAGTCTCTCGTCATAGTTGTACGGAGTGCCGATCTGCAATCCACCGATCTCCGTGAGACACTTGAGGGTGACATTCCGGAAGTCGGGCACATCCAGGAATCGCGTCAGGAGGGTATTAATGATGGGCGTTTCAAAGATATACCCCAGAGGAATCCAATTCAAGAAGCGAAGCAGAGTCTCGAGGGTCGCCTTGACAAGACTGGGCTGGTTGGCGGTGTTGAGGACTTCGGAGCACAGTTGGAAGATGGAGGCAAATTCCTGGGTCATGGAGGTCTTCAGATTGCGGGCCTTGACGGAGGTCATTTGGTCCTGGGAAAAGTCAAAGACCTCCTCCGACAATAGGCGAAGGATGGCCATGTTGTTTTCACAGATGGAAAGACTGGCATGGCAAGAGGAGACGATCTCATTGATGAAGGTGGGCCAGTTATGCGGCCACTCCTGCTTGAGAATCGACACCAGGACCAGATTCAGTTTGTTCAAGAAGGCGCGCTCAGTACGGAGCTTCTCTTCGGATCCGGAGTTCTCGATAATGAAGTTGACGATGAAGTTTCGAATACCTGGAGAGAGGGGGAAGGAGATAATGGGTCAGCGGGATTTCTATTCTTAGCTCGTTTCGTTGATCTCTGGCAAAGATCAACGGGAGAGGTTGGGAATTTAAAAAGCTCGAGGCAGCGGCGAGCGGAAATAGCTGAAGGAGCCCATCGTTACCTTGACATTGATCTCTCGGTAAGACCTTCCATCGGGTCATAATCACATCGTCAAGAACTTGCAAGGCAATATCTAGATATCTCCGTCAGCGCATTCTCCTATGACATTTGTTTCCTTCGACGCGGTCGGCCAAGGATGATGGAGTATTTTCATGTCAACCCACATTTGGTCTGGGGGTATGTTGCCTCCTGGAGGATATTGCCCACGGTCACCCAGGCATCGGGGTTTTGCTTGAACTATACGAAGACAGATTTGTGAGCGGGGGATCAATCATTCATTTGTCGCGTCGTCGCAGATGGGGAAACTGGGAAGGCGACGATGGTGGCGAGCTTACTTCGGTCAAGGTCTGCTGGGCTTGTTTTTGCTGCGTGTTGTTTGTGAGCTTCGGGTGTGCCACAAGGCGTCCATCGCGAGAAGCGAATCGACAGCGAGGAGAGAGGATACGTACCACGTCGCCCTTGCCTTCAAAAAAGGCGCGGACCGTGTTGTCCAGCTCTTGTACAGAAACAGACATCCCGCCGCAGAGATTGGCGATTTCGCCCTCACGAGGTGGCCGTCACCGAGGCTTGCCGGAATGGAAAGGATGGGACCCGAGAAGGAAGGGGTGGACGCGGGGAGGAATTGACGAATGCCAAAAGGCCAGTCAGGGTTTGGGGCGATGGACGGGTTCGGATGGTGTAAGGAAGAAGCCAGGAAGGAGGCCGCGAGATGGGTTGATGGTAGTTCGTCGACTGGTGGGGCAAGTAGAGGGAGCGAGGTGGAGGGGCTTTGGGTCAGCCAAAACACCTGAGCTTTGACCGCAGGACAACCCTAACTCGAAACGGGAGGGAGGGGGGGGAAGCTCGAAGGAGGGGGAACAGAGGAAAATCGAGATTCAAGAATCGAGGATAGACTAGCAGCAGCAGAGCTAGTGGGGGGGTAGGGGTTGGATGAGGAGGAGGGGGGAAAGAGAAAAAGTGTGGAAGTGGTAAAGCACTGGCGGTGAAGGCGCGTCAGGCCTGGTTGGAAACAAACGGGCTTTTTGGAGACAGACAGAGAGAGCGGGAGAGCGAGCGAGCGAGAGAGCTGGGCAAACGGGCTGGGAAGCAGAGTGCTTAGTCAGCCCGAGCTGGCAACAACCTTAAGGTCAGGTTAGAACACCAGTGTTGAGGTCTTCTGCTAGGTAAACTACAGTAGACAAGTCATATCAAATGGACATCTCTAGTAGCTATAGTGTGAGCCGTCAAGAGAGATCACTCATTAGAGGCCAGTAGGTATTAGATAGATTTCTCGAAGCATGGTACTACTGCGATCCATTCCCTTCGTAGTTGCTCCCACAGGAAGAAGAAATACTCGAGATCTGACCGAGATCTCATTCGATACTGGGTAGCTTTTGCACCTTCCTCACCTCTTGTATATATATTGTAGTTCAGCTATTTCATTTTTGTGACGCGCATGAGGCCAGATGGGGGCGAAGTGATGCTATGGAGAGGGAACTGGGTTCCCCCCCCGGGATCGATCGAGATGGACTCACAGACAGAACATAGACAAGCCACGAATAAAAGATCATGAAATCAGGTCATTCATATCTGACAGTATACTCTAAATACTTGACGAATCAAGTAAGTTCAAGCTGATGTGTGGGGATATGAAGATACTGTACTAGAGATACTTCGCCGACGTATAAACAATGGTGTATGGACGATATACATCTAGAGAGTGGTCGAAGCGGTCGGGATCTATATGCATAGAACCTTTAGTAGAACGACGATGGATGATATGCATCAGAAGTGGAGGGTGAAGGCCACGGTCGCGAGTTGGAACTGGTTCACCAGTTGAGGGATGACGTATTGATTCCTGTGGCTATACAAATGAAATAGGGATCATTCCAGGATTTCTTCCCGCCGTGGGTGGCCCATCTCAGCATTTATCCACCCGGATTGAAGGTGGAAAAGGGGGGCGGGTACCGCAGGGAGCACTTTGGCGACGCGCCAAGAGCAAGAGGGCCTGAGGGGAACCAGAAAATCCCTAGTGACCAGCTGATAAGCGATGCATAACCGCCCAACCCGCGCGGCGCCACTCGAGGCGTCTTGTCCCCACTCCGAGACGGCGCATGCGAGAGACAGAGCGAGCAGCGCAAGAATGCAAAGTGGGGGAGCGACGTTGGAGGTATCACGGGCGAGACCCCGACAGACCCCGTAGTCTCTTTTGGCCGCCTGAAGGAGAAGCAGGAGGGATATTCCGTCCAGGAGAGAGAGAGAGAGAGAGATGTCGCAAGGAAACGGCCCCAAGGGACCGAGCGAGGAACGCCATTGACGCTAGTCGGTTGTCGCCAGTCGGAAAACGAGAGCCATGGCAGCGAGGATGTCTCAGACCCGCGCAGCTTTTCACCAGACGGGCGCGCGTTGCTCTTCCGATTGGCGGCCGCTGTGACGCCGGCCGTGCCGATCGCGCGCTAACTCCTCTTTTTCGCGCCCTGGTTGTTTTCCATGTCCCGAGACTAGAAACAGTCTCGCGGGGAGAGGGGGTATTCAGAGGAAGAGGAGGAAGAAGAGGAAGAAGAGGAAGAAGAGAAAGAAGAGGAAGAAGAGGAAGAAGTATTGGACAAAGTATACAACGGCTATACTCCGTAGTCGTAGTACTATCGTGAGTACGTTAGTACCACTACTCAAGTCCTACGACTATAGTATCGTCCTATATCCCAAGGAAACGTGACTGCCGCTAGCCTGAGGCCCTGAATTAATCACTCCAGTCACTCACCCCCAGCACGCCCATCACATCTCTCGCTCTCTTCTTCTTCTTCTTCTTCTCTTCCTCCCACTTTTCTCCCAAAACGTACTCCCCTCTTCAACCCAGCACCTCTCTCTCTCCTTCCTCCTGATCTCCTCTTTGTCTTTCTATACTCCATATTCCAATTTCTCGTTGCTGCATTGAAGCGCTACCCGTCTCCCAATTCTCCTCTCCGTCCCCAACCCGCCCCACACCACCCCCCAGGCGAGGTTACCGCGGTCCTTCCTCTCCCAGCCCAAAATCAAGAAATCGCCAAGAACAAAATACAGAAAGGCATTTCCTGTTGTCCTACCCAGTGTCTCTCTCCTTCTCCTTTTTGTCGGATCCTTTTACACCCAGTCTTCCTCATTCCCCTGGTTCGCTCTCCCCAATTCTTATCCGCCTCGGCAACTTTCCGCGCGTCTCTCTGCTTCGCTCAGGCACCGTCCCAAGTTCCCCCCCCCTCTGCGGCTGAGACTTGGACTGGGGGCCGCTCCCAGTATTATTATTTCCCCCCTCTCCTTTTTATCAAAGAACCGTCCGTTGTAAGCCTGTTCTCTTCTTTTCTTTTTCTGGTGTTTTTCCCTAAATCTCCCCCCCCCCCCCTCTCTTCCCCGATTTACGTCTGGCGGGGCAAGAAAACCTCCTCCCCCCAGCCCTGTTCCTGGGCTTTGGGACTTTCGGTTCTCTTTATCACTCTTACCGCCCCCCCCCTCCTCGCCGAGGACCCATTTACTCGTGGGGATTACCCGCCCACGTTTCCCAAAACCATGACGGCTGTCGCAACCGCACCCGTGATGAGTAACCATGACTCCGGGGCGGAGCCCCGAACAGACCACAGCCCATCTCGCTTTACAGCGGTCAATGGCAGAGACGCGATCGCATCCACCCCCCATGGAGGACCGACTGCGGTTCCAGGCACCATGAACCAAGGGGAAAGAGTCGCCGCGGCAGCGGCAGCGCCAGTCTCAAGCGACAATGCGGACCCGTCGCGCGACAGCTTGGGTACCCGAGGCGATCACCACGAAGACTCGCAACGATCCTCACCGTCCGAGTCTAATAAGCATAAGCGGAAGCGGTCGGGCTCGGGGGACCAGGAAGCCCAGCAGCCTCCAGACCCTAGCTATCACCATCCTCCTCCTCCTCCTCCCCCTCTCCCTCCTCATCACCACCATCACCACCATGTCGGTCGCGGCTCCATCGGCCATTCGGAGGAACCGTCCCCTCTCCCTGCGAATGGAACGGGCCCAGGATCGGTTTCCTCCGAAATGGACTCGATCAACCCGGTCGCTGCCTCGGGCCACCGATCGGATACGAATGAGACATCGCAGCCTCCATCCACGGGTCCGTGGCCCGATTATGACACCCATTTGATCAGTCAGGCCCAACGGGCGCAACAAATCGATCCATCAGACGCTCACTTGGCTGATGCCCTCCAGCGAGATGCGCAAGGCCCGGACCACTCCCGCAATGGAGGAAACGACCGCTCCGTGCCGCCAGCCTCGTCCCCATCCTATGTCTCGGAGCGTGCGACGGGCGCGGTTCAAGTCGCGCCGAAGCGAAAGCGTGTCTTTAGCAACCGCACCAAGACGGGATGTATGACCTGTCGCCGCCGAAAGAAGAAATGTGATGAGCAACACCCTGCGTGTGAGTCGACATGACGCCGCTCTCTCTCCGCCTCTCTCTCTCTCTCCATGCCTTTTCCCTTTCCTGCATCTGTCATTTTTGTATTGTGACCTCAATCATGCCATATCATCCATACATGAGTTCACAACTCCAGTATTCGCAAAGATCATGATGTTCAAGTTGGGGAAACACGGCTGACTAACCTATCGGTCATTCTAGGCAACAATTGCATCCGCGGAGGGTTCTTGTGCGAAGGATACACCTCACGAAGTACCTGGCAGAAACCTTCAACAACGAAAGCACCCGTTCCGTTGCAGTCCAAGGAAGGCTATGCCGATATGAGTGGCCAGTACCTTCCTGAACCTACTGCCCATCATGACCGACCACCCTCGGGATTGCCCGATCATATGGAATCGCGGAAGATGAGACCATTGGGCGAGGATAATGAGCGTATCACCCAGCCATATACCACCAGCCCATCCAACAATACAGCCCCCACCCACGCACCATCGTCATCCTCGTCATCCTCATCATGGTCAAAACGCACTTGGTCGGGCCCCGGCCATTCGACGTATGTGCCGCCAGAGCACCTGGCCAAGCCCGATTATCGAGAGGTGGCCCCCATTCACGAGCTTCCCCCGCGAGAATCACATCCAAAGCCAGACTACCCCATGGTCCCTCCGATTCGGGAATTCTCGCATGCACCACCTCCACCGCCACCGCCAAAACCTAATAGCTTGCCTCTGTTTCATGGGACAACCACCGAGCAGCAGCGGCCTATGCCTCCGGCACCCGCGCCCGCCCCAGCACCGACTCCCATGCCGGCGTCCGCGATGGACACCAGCAGTCCACAAACGCAGGCACGAATGGCCCTCAAGATTGAGCATCAATTATCAGCCCGTACAGTGAACGTGGAAGAAACGGAAAAGGACAAGATGATTCGCGGCGAACTCTACCGGCCTTTCGATCTGCAGCTGGTTGAGGAGAGGGATCGGTGCAAGCGGGCCCTGTGGCGATTCAACAATGCATGTAATCCACACTATGGATTAAGCTCGAAAGAACAGAACCGTCTTCTCAAGGAAATCCTGGTTCCCCCCTCAGGTTCAGTAGCCAGTTCCCCCTCTGGTGTCGCATTGCCTCATTCCTCGGGGTCGATTGGACAGGGTGCAGTTGTGGAGTCTCCCTTCAACTGCCATTATGGATACAATATTCAAATCGGGGAAGATGTGATGATACACCAGAACTGCCTTTTTGTCGACGACTGCGGCATCAGCATTGGCGCCCATAGTTGGATCGGCCCAAACGTCACACTCCTGAGCTCGATGGCCCACTCCAGTATGCAGGAGCGTAAAGGGTCCCAGAGTCGCTATCAAGGCCGGCCTGTCATCATCGAGGAAGACTGTTATTTAGGCGCGGGCTGCACCATTTATCCCGGAGTTCATCTAAACCGAGGTGCCTATGTTGCGCCTGGCGAGGTCGTGAAGACAGACATCGTTGCTTATGGGTTCCAAGGATACAAGCCCAGTTATATGTGAATACCCCCCCTTTTTTTTTGGTTATGAACCGCCCATTTTCTCCCGTTGGGATCGATTTTCCCCACCTTCTTCTTCCCCTGAACTCTCTGTTAGATTTAATACAGGCTTCGTCTTTGTTTTTGCCTTAATAGGCCTTGGTGGCGAAATGGACCATTGGAAGCATGTGGATTTGAGTCAATGACTTTCTTTGTTAATCATGCTTCGAACTGGTGTATAGCACCTTCATGTGGATCAACTGGAGCTCTTCTTCGCTGTTAACTTGTCTGTCTATTCTCCCCTGATGACATCAGCTCTTGACTGTTATTATTCCAGCGATCTGGGCATGTGATTGATGCCGTATATAGATAATCTAACTATGAATGATCTCCACTTATGACTGCCTGGGCTAGAGGCATATGGACTACTTGAATATTTCGCTCCACAGCGCTTGCGATTATGGCGAGGCAAGGGCAAGGCTCTTAGAAAAGTATGGACTAGACAATGCAAAACTTGACTGGTGGTGATGACATACAATTTTTGATATAGTCAAACTATGGGTATCTATTTGTTTCTGGAGTGGAGTGGTTGATGGTCGAAGAAAATCTTCCTGGCTTCCTTCTTTCTCTCCTCCTCGACCAAGGAACGATGTACTACAGAATCATGCTAGGCATGTATGGCCTTCTCCCTTTGGCTCCCGTCTCCTTAAAATCCGGTTTATAGCCAGTCCAAAAATTCCGGAGCAAAGTAGGTCAGGACAATGCCAGCGCCTGCTCGGAGTATTCCCTCCGTGCTCTCAAATGCCATTGCTTTCAAGTCAAAAACCCCAGCCTTCGCCCCCGCGTGGATCATTGCAAATTCGCCGCTAACTTGGTAGGCTGCAACTGGCATATCCTGCGCCAATTCCTTGGCATCGCGAATAATGTCCAGATAGCTACTTGCAGGCTTGACCATGATGATATCGGCACCCTCGGCAATATCTCTTTGAATGGCACGTCGGGCAAGACCACGGCCTCCAGGGGGAAGTTGGTAGCAACGGCGGTCTCCAAACGAGGGACACGAGCCGGCTGCATCACGGAAAGGACCGTACAGGCAGCCGCTAAATTTGGCGCTGTAAGACATGAGCAGGACGCGGTGGGCTATCCCGGCCTCAATCAGTTTGAGCTTGATAGCGCGTACTCTTCCATCGTTCATGTCCGACGGCGCAACGCAATGAGCCCCGGCAACGGCATAGGCTAGTGCCACGTCGGAAATTCGATCTACCGATTGGGTATTGTCGAGGGTCCCATCCTCCCGGAGAATACCACAGTGTCCATGTGACGTATACTCGCAGAGGCAGACGTCGGTTGTAATATAGAGCTGAGGGAAACGAGATCGGAGAAGGCGAATGGCCTGGATGACTGGGCCCGCTGGGTCATCAGCTGCAGTTCCCAGCGCATCCTTCGCCGAGGGGTGAAGGGGCACGCCAAAGAGAATCACCGAGCGCAACCCCTTCCGGACCAATGGGGCTAGAAACGGCACAAGGCGATTGACGCCACGGCGGTATTGGTTTGGTAGAGATGGGATCGGGGTCTCTTCGTCAGGATTGTCCGTGATAAAGAGCGGATAGATCAACATATCCTAGACATGATCGTTAAACCACGAGTCCGGTTGCCGGGAGAAATAAAGTGGATGGTACCTTGGTCAGTTGCCTCTCTGCCTGCCATGACCTGCTCAATGGGTGACTGTATCCGGCATGGAGCTGGCTAGAAATGTCCCCCGAGATGCTCACACTGGTCGCGGTGGTGCTGGTGTAGGATCGGGCAGTGCGGGACTGAGCATGCGAGATCTGCGAGGCACGATCATCCGGGTTGGAGTCTCGAAAGGCGAGGTCAGAAACCAGATTCGAGAACGACATGACGGAAGTACGTGGAAACCCGAAGAAAAGTCGGATGAGGGATACGTAGGTAGGGCTATTTCGACGTTGTATGTACGGGCAGGATCAGACCAAGGGCGGCGTGGTTTTATGGTTTCTGGGTTTTGTGGGGGAGGAGGAGAGGAGGAGCGGGCGTGAGAGGGAAAAAATGATCTGCCGAGGGTCTGGTGCGGGTATAGCGGCCAATTGCGGCCACCAACCAGAATCCCTGGATTGTTCATCTATTTTTACCGCCCTATTGATCGTCCTGATCGATGCCTCAGGCCTCGAGCGCATCGTACTTCCTAATTAGGCAATTCAATGTGATTTTCAGCGACTGTAGAAATCAACGAATATCGCCCCTAGCCCTCTCTTGCTACCAGCTAGTACGTGACATACAGTAGTTAAGGTATTCCGATGTCTTGTATATCATAATTGGCTAACATCACCTACTATTTATCTATTCCGACCTGCCGCATTTTCATTCCGGCCAACTATGTGCCAACTTTGACTAATGAATTATAGCCCCGATAACTTATACTGTATGTTACTTAACCGATTAGCTATAGTTTCAATCCTAGGTAGCTATCCAGCCAACTACCTATCAATCTCAAAAAGTAGGTATTAATTACGTCAAGCGATATATTAACCCTGATACCTCGAGACTGTGTCTGTGTCATCCTAATATATCTATCCGATCCACTGTACATCACTATACTATGTCTTATTCCGAAATACCGATCCTAAACCGGTTAACTACACTGAAATCAAGCGGTGGCGTGGAAACGGCCCTACAAAGGCTAAGATAGGGGCTATAAGCTGACTGGTGAGGCGGAGGGGATATATCGGTTAAAGGGGGAAGCGTGTCGGTGGAGTTGAGATGTTGTTTTAAGTCACTGGAGATAACCTTCCATATACAGTCCGCTCTATGTAGTTACTGTATCTCTTGGGAAGGTACGCGCTAGAAGCTATCTAGGTGTTTAGCTGACTGACACGCAAAGCAGCATGCTAGGCCGCCACCCTAGAAAGGCTAGTAGTGAAAGCCATTCTTGGCCAACTGAAGCGAGGTGACGCCACCGAGCACTTATCCTTGGAATGACAGAGATCTGGCAGCGATTATAGAATAGGTTGGTCGAGAGAAAGAATTTCTCCTGGACGGTCCGTTGTGGGGTAGGATCTTCGGGTGGAGTGGGAGGAGTCGCGGATTTGGAGATAGAGGACTTCCTGCCAGCCCCGCGATCTGGACGCTGAGGATTCATCCCAATTCGATGCCGTTCTTTTCGTTTCTATGGCTTGTACCCGTTCGATTCTTTACAGTCCAACGAATACTGTACGTTTCGAAATCAGGTTGACCTCTCACTCATTAGCCTTGTTTCCTGGGGAAAATATTTCCGAGATACGCTAATCTTGTTCGAGATCACCGCTTTGTTAGTCAGGCAGAATCATACTTGTAATGACTATTCCACAGTCGTGCTCGTATTATAATGACACTGTAATGATACATCGATTCCACAAGCGCGCATAAGAGTTAGCAATATAGCAAGAGTAGGTGGCTGCCATGTACCCACGTTCCCACTCAGGCCCAAGTTGCCACGTTGCCACTTTTCCTCATGTTTTCTTCTATGTAGCCTTCGTGCAAAGGGTGCAAACCGACCAGTCATCCCCGAGATCTAGACGTGCATTGCTTCTGACAGAAATAGGGACAGTCTGAAATGTCTACAAAGCTTGGTCACCGCCTAGATGACTAGTTAACTAGGTTAATTAACCAACGCGTATTATGTAAGGCAAATGCTTCGCCCACAGATTTCATGGAGCTTCTTTAGCTAGGAAGCTTGACGAAATAGTTAAGAGAGTACTGTATAGTGTACTAGTGTACTATAAGTAACGTAGTATGAAATATCTTTCACATATGATTGAATTTGATATTTTCGTACTATCATTTCCTTCCAATGCTGATTTGCGGTGCCAGGATTTCAACTAGTTCGTTATATTCAAGATGTACAGTTTTGTGTCTTGGTTTGAGCCGTCTCAATAAGCCCATGGAACAACATGTTGAAATCATTTGACTTCTGGACAGAATTGTCTGATTACGCTAAATCAAGTCGCCTCTCTATCTGCTGGTGCTTGTAAAGACGACGGCGGCTGTCAAATTGCTGCATCGATGGCGGAATACCATTTTTTGGCCTCCTCAACACTCTGAGCTCTGAAAATGTACCGAGTGACGGCGTGAAACGGATTCAGAAGATTCCTGCTGGAGACATTCACGCCTTGAACACTGAACTCGACGTCATTCACAGGACTGATGGAGCAGTCTGCCAAGTATAAGGACATCTCCGGGACCGATGCTTGGTAAAGGGTGTTGTCACGATCGAAACCATGCAAGTAGCCTGCTTGCGTAACCACATAATGGTAATTCTTAGGTATGCCATTGGAACGGCATACTAGATCGCCTTCGATGATTGGTTTCGTTGCTCGATGGTCCTTATTCGGAAACGTTGTATAAACTGACAATCTCCGTATAGCTTCGGAATTCAGTAGTGCCGCGTTCTTTCGCTCCACAAAACTGAACCATTCCAAATCCGGGTGGATAAGCTGTGCTGTACCCAGGATATCACCGTACATTGCACGTTGATGATCGAACTGGCCACCCATAAACTGGAAGAGTTTAGCTAAAACACACTGTACTGTTTGTAAAATATGCATTTCGAACCACAGAAAAGATTCCTGAATCTCTTGGTTTTCTTGTCGATCAACCTTTTCTCTCGTTGCTTGCTCAATTAATCGGCTGTCGATGCCCTGGCGGAGGAGGTAGGGATCATGGGACCGCTCAATCTTGTAGTCGGTGCTAGCATCAGAGGACCTAGTGCTCCTAGCCAGGAGAAGTATATGTTTCTGCGTTGCGCGCCATGCTTTCTCGAGTAGATTTGCCCCCTTGGATTTGTCAATCTTCAATTGTTTCGCTTTTGATTTGATCTCTTTGAGAAGACGCTGTAGCATAGGCAGCACGCTCTCATTTAGGTTTCCCTCAGCCGCGGCATTCACTTTCACTATTTCCTGGAGAATATCGTTGGTTTAGACAAGACTTAGGGTACTATACACTTGGTTATCGTACCTTTGTATTAGTGTATATGTTTTCAAAAAGACCAGCGACCCCATCTGTGCTTGCTTTAAAATGATGACCTTCCCTGAGTGGATAGCTCACGCTCTAAGCCCGGGGAATTAATCCGATATTTCTTGATTTATTGGAGTAAGTACCTACCTTCAGAATCGTTTCATATTCTCTTGACTGAGATTTTTGCGCTTTCGCAGTTGCAGAAATATAAGAGTAGAGATATTCACATACGTGCTTCCACGCAGTGAGGCGTTCAAGAAGAATATCAGAGGTCTAGATACAGTTAACACTGGTTACCTCCTTGCTTTGTATAGAGGTAACGACAGCAAAAATATCACATATACCTCATCACTATCGGATCCCAAAATGGGGTCTTCGTCCGTTGAGCAACTACGTACACTGTTGTCGCCTAGTGCTGCTAGCCGCTGACTATTCTCGTCTGAGGCTATGATAGCCGACATGGCTGGAAAAGAGGGACTGATAAAGTCGGGGGAAGATTAAGTGCCGTTTAATTATCTCGTTCGTCCCGTCGTGGCCAAGAGACCGAAATTAGGGAAGTGGGTATATATGACTTAAGACCAGTAAAAATCACCCTCTCTGGGGGTCACCCTAGAACCACTAACTACGGAGTTACAGGACTTCCCTACAGCCACTACAGGGCTTACATAATACATCACATGACCCCTGAAAGCCCAACATTCTATGTTACCCTAGTAACGAATATCAAGTCTAAATATCAATAAAACCCTGCAAGATTTTCAGATCCCATTTCATCTCAATCTATAATTATAGTATTAAGAAAGAAGAAAAGGATTAGGAACTAAGTACGCTCGGTCTTTCAATGATACTTATAAGAAACTCGGCACTAATTTATAATATCTACGCTACCTATATAGTTAGTGATTATAGTTATTAGTAATAGCAAGAACAGAATATCTCTCTGTAGGCTCTACTCGAGATGATCACAGGGCCCGGGCTTCCTTCATAGGGTAGATTGAAACTAAAACTCACTCATACTAGAGAGGCCGAAAGGGGAAACTATGAAAAGCTACGGGTTCACGAGGTTGGTCGTCAATAGACAACCCCTCGACGGCAGAGTAACTGAGGAATCACCATAAGTAGATATTAGGTAAAGTGTCAACATTATGAACATTTCGTCTGCCCAAGCGGGTGCCATATATACTTGCACAATTGAACCCAACAATAATCACGCACATTCTCGAACGCCAAGAAGCACGGTCCACTTGCAATTTTTAGAACAACAGGCATTATCGGATGTGCAAAGCAACCCTGGGGCTGTACATCCGCTAGAGCTTGGATTGACCCACGGCAGGTCTGGGCTTATGCAGCTTTTCCGTCCCGGCTCATTGTTGAGTTTCTCCGTGAGTTCATCCCTGACGCATACCAATAGGGCTTTACAGTCTGAGTTCTTTTGGCAAACAGCTCCACTTGACCCATCTGGCTTCTTGCAAGCTCCGTTAGAACACAAGCCCGATACGCACTGTTCGTTGAGCTCACAATGCTCACCATCGGGACGGTCTCTCCTAATGCAAGTATGACTGCTTGGAGAGCAAAAGTATCTGTCCTGACCCTCACAATCGGCTGCCGTGTCACAAGACTCCCCCTCACTGGTGGCCTTACAGGTCCCCTGATAGCAATGCCGAGAAAAGCACATGTTACTATTCGTGCATGCGTTGCCATCGGCTACCTTGTATTGACATTTCCATGTCGACAGGTCGCAGTATTCCGTCCCGTGATTCTGCCAGCAGTCCTTATCCGCGGCGCAATTTTTGCAAATTCCTCCGTAGCACACGCCATTAGCGCAATGGCAGTCTGCAATACAAGCCATGCCCGATCGGGCAAGTTCAGTACAAGTTGACGTGACCATATCGCAATACGAGCCCTCAGAACATTCACGGCTCAAAACGCATGTTTGATTGAATGCGGATGCAGTTGCCATTGCTGCAACTGTCAAGAAGGAGAGACATTGATATAGAAGCATGTTTGAGTTTGGAGGATCCTACCGCTATCAGCGATCGTAACTAGAGAGTTTCCAAACGTAGGGCTTACCTGATGGTAGACTGAGATAGTTGATACGATGCCAGTGTCACCGGAAGGAGGGTTGTCAAATAACTCACAAATTTTACAATCATCTCAGAGATTGTTTGAAGACAAACACTGCGACAGAAAGGGAGCGGCCTTTTATAGCTGCTCCGGGATCTATTCGGCCCTACCTAAAACATAGTCCAAACTAGTGAAAAGGGGTATATGGTAGATCCCAGAAGTCTAATTACCCCGTTGTAGCTCTCTGGATCTATAGTGATGAACTATAAGCGTACTATTTGGATGAGCGTATTGCGATTTCCAATTCTCAAGGTCGGTGATCTTTGCTAACATCTCTCCATAACGATGATCTTTTGGAGCTGGGATGCGTCACTAACTCACTATTGACCTCTAGCCATATCTTTCTTGAACCCTAGCCCGCTCCGAGAATCTACCATGCGCTGGCTGTGGACTCCTCAGGGATCGAGTGGAGAGGGGTTCGTCTCTAGCTGCAACTAGTCTCCACGACTGAGATCTAAGCTAAGCCACGTCAATAACAAACCAAAGAGGCTTTGATGTGATTAGTTCCCTAATCTAACTAGACCCGTTCTAACCAATAGTGGCGTTGCAAAAGTCTGAAACTATTCAATGATTTCCCTTCCCGCCTGTCTAACAAGGACATACCGCCCGCAATTTCGGACTTTTGAGTGGTGAATATACCAGTTTCCGGCAGACTACGCGAGAGTTTTAGCCAGGATGTGGTTCAGTCAGGACCCGAGAAATTTCGGGCAAAGCTAGCCTGAAGATCCCTCGGAGAAATGAAGCGCCGAGCCGGCCTGGCCAGCTTCCGGGTTCTTCTGATCAAGGTTATATAGTCGTCTCTGATTGGCTACTTCGCTGGGCCTACTGTATATAAGCCACAGCCCCACTCACCATACTCTATTATTAATTCCACTTGGGCGGCTCGCCGTCCAAAGTTTATGGTTGGAAAGGCAGCCATTTCTGGCGCCGGAGGCTGTCATTTTCGGCGTCGATTTCACAGGTCCTCAGATTCTAGGTGCAGAAGATGAAGCTTATGTAACGCGCAATGGTCATACATATAACAAGACGCCCTGCGGACACTTAACGATGATTCAATGTTGTGTTTGAGGACCTTGGTATTCTAGGCCTGTCAGAGGTGCAAGGTCTTATTCGCCCTTGATGATATTAAAAATGGTCGCATTGAATCTGTTCGCGCAGCAGCAAGGCTATACGATATCCCCCATACAACCTTAGCCGACTGCGCGAAAGGCTAACCTTGAGTCTAGGCAAGCCACGGCCCACGATCTAGAAAGCACTGTGTTGACAGATAGAGCACAGATCACTAAGGATATGCTGTAATCTAGGTTTGACTCACTTAGACTATCATTTCAGCAGTATTGTTCATTTACATACGAGGGTAACTTGTCAACAAGACATCATATCTGGATATATGTACGGAGGTACTTTGACACTAGATAGCAGCTTGTGACGTTATTGCCAGTTAGAGACGTAAAAACATACAACCAAAACTGTCAGAATATAAGTATGCGTGCGCATAAGATCTTACGCCAGCTTCCTCTATTGGGTCCTGGAGGAATCATGCTTCCTGTATAAACCTTCCTGCAAGATAAACCTACCCTGCTTACCCTGCTTAATATATCATATTAATCTTCAACGATCTCGTCAACATTGCCTATCTAGGCCGGATAATGCTTAACACTCCAAAATGACCTCGAATGTTCTTGATTTCCTTATGTGATATTTGCTATATACCCTATATGTTGGATTTTTAAAAATTGATCATAAAATCCGATTGCACACAAAAGGATAAGTGTGTCCGAAACAGGTGAAGAAAGACTATCATGAGAGGAATAGGTGTCGGCTAATTAGACCAAAGAAGAGTATGATCAAGTATGCCAATAAATCTACTCATGAATTAAAAGAGATGTCAAACTTGTTCAATTTAGATAGGAAAACAGGCAGAATTTATAACACGAGGTACATAGTAAATATCACATGAAGAAATCAAGAATCGTTCGAGGTTATCTTGGAGTATTGAGTAGTCTCCGGCCAATATAGGCAGTTCAATGCGAGATCGTTGAGGATCGTTGAGGATCAATATAATAAATCAATATAGTGGTCATGAAGGTGTTTCTTCTAGGGAAAAGATAGTGGCGGCTTAGTCATCTACGGGATGACCCTATATAAGTTGATATCCCCCCTCAGCTCTCGATATAAGACAAAAGCAAGAGCAAATTAAGAGCTGAATAAGACAAAAGGTAAGATCTAGGACAAGGGGGATACTTCTATACCTAGTTGCCTAACGAATTCATAGTGTTTCTTACTTAGTAATCGTTTTATGAAACTATCTGCTAGTATTTTAGTCGTCTTGACTTATTTGACTATTAACCGCTTAGCCTAAACTTCTTGCTGAATCCAAAGCTGATAGATATCGACGTAGCGTAGTTTAGTCTAAAATACTAATTTCTCGCGATTTAGTAGATTAATAGTTTGCTTATTATCGCAATCTAGCGAATTAGATTACTTAGTATCGAATTAGATAAATAAAAATAGCCGCTTTATCTAATATAGCTACCTAGTAGTATAACTAATTATAAGTAGTTCGGCTTCTATCGTCGACGTAGTAATCGTCTTCTACTTACGAGATCTCTAATTAATTAGCCCACCGAATAGGTAGAAGAGAAATCCTTTAGAGCTTTTTCTATTATAATTATTAGTAAAGCTTGTATCGGATAAAATAGTAAAGATCTAGCTATCTAGTTAGCTATCTCTAAAGTAGATTACTAGATATCTCGTCCTGTATAGGTAGGAGATAAGATGATTAGCGGTAGCTAGATACTTCTTGTTATACTAAGTAAGCGATTAAGCTAGTAGCTAATTAGCAAATACGGTATCTAGTCTCGTCTAAATAGCCGCGAAAAGGGTTAATCTATATTTTTATTAATATAATTTAACGATCTTTAGATTAATTAGTTAACCTATTACTAGATTAAGCTTGTGATTAGTTAAAAGTAGGGTTCTTAGAGGCTTTTTGTTAAGAAGATTGAATTTAGTAGTAATCTTTTCGATATAGGCTACCTAACTAAGCTATATCTTTCTCTTTAGACGATCTCTAATAACACGAATCCTAATAAATTAAGTAAGTTTACTATAATCCTTTATCTTAAATCGTTTTAAGAGAAGGTCTTTAATCTAGTAAGCGTATAAACTCTTACTTTTATAGTAGGTAGCTAGAAAGTTATCAACGAATACTATAATTACTATACGATTATTAGTATAAAGGGCAGGGTTATTAGGATATAGCCGAAATCTAAGTAAGAGGAGTAGCTCTTTAATATTATCCTCCTATCTCTTACTAGCAATTCGTAGGCTATAT